TACCGCTGAACGACGCTGCCTGGAGTGCAGTGCCATATTTTTCACTCTGTGCATTCACCTCGGCCCCCTTCTCGAGCAGCAGCTGCACTGTGGCATGATTACCGCTGGACGACGCTGCCTGGAGTGCATTGTCATAGTATCCACCCTGCGCATTCACGTCGGCCCCCTTCTCTAGCAGCAGCTGCACCGTGGCATTATTACCGCTGAACGACGCTGCCTGGAGTGCAGTGCCATATTTTTCACTCTGTGCATTCACCTCGGCCCCTTTCTCGAGCAGCAGCTGCACCGTGGCATTGTGACCGCTCCGTGACGCTGCCTGGAGTGCATTGCCGTATTCTCCACCCTGTGCATTCACCTCGGCCCCTTTCTCGAGCAGCAGCTGCACCGTGGCATTGTGACCGCTCCGTGACGCTGCCTGGAGTGCAGTGCCGTATTCTCCACCCTTTGCATTCACCTCAGCCCCCTTCTCGAGTAATAGCCTTACTATGCCATATAAGCCAGCCAATGATGCATAGTAGAGAGAATGAGGTATGTTACTTAACCTCTCCCTTGACCACCCTCTCCATGGATTATCCAGGTCATATATTCGAACCCAGTTACAAAATGCAAATCCGGACATCTGCATGAGCTTTAATGCGGGCTCTGATACAGCTTCACTGATTGCAGCTGTGGTATCATTACTGTGAGGAACATGCTGTGTCCAATATTTGGCAGCATATCCAGCAAATGGAAAGTCAGCCGGTGATTTTCCGTCCAAGCAGTCAGCAGTGGAAAACTGCAGGAGATAGCTGAGGCATGTGCACGCAACAATTGTGTGGGATGATTTGTCAGTCAGACTGTATTTTGATACAGTGCCTGATTTCTCCCGAATACGGTCAGAAATGAGATACTCCTGGACCGAGAAATGAGCAAGGGCAACCGGTGTAGAATCATCATCATTTTTCCGGTTCACAAGCCCCGACAGAATGGTAAAGATATCAGTCGCTCGACGAAGTCTGCGTTTGCTAATGACATAAGGATCACTGTCACGCTCGATGTTCACGGCAATGGTTTCTGCAAGCTCTTTGACTGACAGGGGCCTCAGCGAGAAAGCAAGAAAGTGTAGGAGTCTGAGGGCACATGAAACGTGTACGTCAGGGATAGCAGAGAGTATGCGGTCATATGTCTCGTCTAGGTCTTTCGGCAGATGGGCCAATGCCTGTTCGATATCCTCCTCCGTCAAGCATGATCGAAGTGATTGGAGCTGCAGGTCGACCCATCGGAACCTGATGAGATGCACGTTAGCCATGCCTTTCTTATACGAGACTCTGAAGAATAACCTTACATGCCATTTGCTCGTTCAGTGAGCGAAAGTTCAATACTGTCAAGAAATTCTGCATCCCATAATTTGAAGTCCATGTCTTGATCAAGAAAGCGGCGAATGCACATCTTGATATCGTCTTCCACAAGTCCAGTAGAAAGGTCAACAAGGCTGGGGTCTAGGCTCTCCATGGATAACTGGATATCGGATTCTGGGCGGCTAGTCACCATGAGATGAAGGCTGGGGCACTTTTTTCTTATGAGTAAATCAAGGAACGGCAAAAGCTCTGTCTTTCGCATATCGCGAGAGGGCTCGTCGAGAGCGTCAATGACAACATATGAATGCTCAAAGAGATCGAGGAGCCCGGAGAACACATGCTCAAGATGATCGATAGGTGCGGTCATGCCGCTATTAGCGTGCTCAGAAAAGAGGTTGGCGATAGAAGCGGGCATCGTAGAGCACTGCGATAGCATCTGCACGATGAGCGAGCACAGCAAGCCCCTCAGATTAAGTTTAGCTTGATCTCGAAAGTCAAAGTAGAAGTATGCGAGGGCGGATGAAGGCTTGACCTTGCAATGCGCCTTGATATTGTCGATGACCGTGGAGCTGTAGACTCGCTATTTAGTATACGGGTAGGTAGAAACTGGAGTAGGGCAAACCATAGAACGCTCTTTCCGTTTCCGGCTAAAAGACATTTTGTATCAGGATCACGATATAAAGTAAGAGACAGATTACACACGTTTACCGTAAAGCCATAACGGACGACTGCTCCGTTCGTCTCTCCAGGCGATGAACCCCGGACTCCGCAAGAACCAGTGGCCAGTCTCCTGGCCAGCCTCTTGGCCACGACGAGCGGCGCGGTTGAACTCATGGTTCGTGGAAGGATCGGGCGGTGACAGCCAGTTGCGGATTTTCTCGCGGAGTTTTTGTTCTGATACAGCACGGTATTCGTATTAGCGCAGTGAGGATACCAATGGGTAGAGAGCCTACCTTGGGCGTCCTCCTGCCTCTCCATAATTTTCTTAACATTCCGGTTCGTGAGAGCACCGACCATGCCAGCCTCCTGTGCCGCCAACCTCGCCATCTTCTTAATCGCACCGTTAATATCCTCATCCTGTCCACGAACTTCTTTGAGGAAAGAGACTGTATGGTACATTAGTGAACCAGTAACTGCGGAACTGAGAGAACAAAGATGACACACCTGCAATGTTGGCTTCCATGAAAGTCGACAATGCGACAATGGCCTTCAGTAGCTCGGATAGGAAGGAGAGAATGATCTTTTTGATTTCGTCTGAGATTGGGTTATTCTTGTGCACATTCATCCGATCCACAAAAGCACCGATCTCATGGAGTAGCTCGAGCATTAGGTCGTACTTCTTGATAGTCTTCTGCCCGGCCTAAAAGACGTGTATGAATCTGACTGTCACGAAGAACTGTTCAGAATCAGTATACATACCTTCGCCAGCATACCAACAGCGGTGAAGATGGTCTTCGCCGGCGGGAAAGCCTTGCGTTGGTCGAGGTGTTAGCCCATATCGATGGCTGCGCACGTGAGATCGCATCAACTCACGATGCTGACACCTTCGCCTAGCAACCCCGAGGCCGCCTCTATTCCTTCCAAAATCGCCTTAATCCCATCGCGGACTTTCTCCTTTTCCTCCGTCTTACGTTCGAAAACGTCCACCGTCTGCTGAAAGGAAGACAGGCAGTCTTCGAGTGAAGTCTGCGCGACAGATGGAGGAAGATTGCTCCCGCCCTCTTTGCTGAAGCGCCCAAGAGCAATCTCCCATAGTTCTTCTAAGTCAGTGCGTTTGGGCGAGTCGACGTGTTCGGGAGACGGTTCGGCAGGTAAGGTGGGCGGTTCGACGGATAAGATAGGCTGTTCAGCGCTGATAGTTGCTGAGGCAGGTTCGAGAGTACCGGTACTGCCTTCAGCTGCGCTTGGACCTCGAACGGAAGGAGGGGGTAGCTGGTACGAGCCGGTCTGTCATTTTCATGCATGCGCATAACTATGTAGGAGCTTACATTTGAGTCCGCCTTACGATGAGCGTTACTTCTAAACATTTTCTTGAATGTCTCTTTGATCTTGGCCATGGTTGGGCGTCAAGAGGCTTGGATAGATGGTGTGTATCTGTATGCTCGGATGAGTACGCAAGCTGCCAGACCAAGATGAAGCGGGGGTTCACTCACTGAGCTTGAGTTGCGAAGGAGAAGGGTAGTCCTGAAGGGGAGGAAGGCTCACTGGGCAAAGGGGACAGCAAGGGCACGCAGACGCAACGAGGAGAACCAAACACGCATACATACTGCCAAAGATAACTGGCGGGCGGTGTATGGACAAGGATGCCGGCGCCTAGTCCATTTGAGCGAATCGTAAGGAACCTAAGAAAATAGATCACTGGGACCTTCTACATGAGCATTCCTCGTGCCCCTTATCCTGTCCAAGGTGGACCATAGAGACTAGCTTCGCAGAGCACGATCATGTCGCTATTCTGAGCTCTTGCACAGCTCAGCGGGAACCGGGTGTTTTTGAGAAAACTTCACTTGTGATCTTCTATGGCGCCGGCTGGTAATAGCAATCCGGACCTATGCATCCCCCGTCGGGTCTAATAGCTTGTAGAGCGATGAATGCCATCGCTATAAATATGCACTATCATTCTAGGCAGCATTTACCGATTTTTCCAGACCATCGTCCGTGCTTTAGTCAATTAGGAGGAGAAAGTAACCCAGATGAAAAGTGAAACTGGACATGCTAGGCGTGCCGAAGATTTGTGAGCGTTGGTCGAAATGCAAAACGTTTAACATCGCAATCCGCTCATGTTCACGTAGCTGCTAGAGGGTCTTTTTTCACAAGGGAGATATCCTCAGTGAGAGACAATACTAATCACAATTTCGTTCCCGTTCCATGATGCCATGCTACCGCGACTCGGAGAATGCTCGAACAACGCTACACGAGCACCAGCGTCAGCTCTCCTAAAGAGATCCGTACATTTGACAAGGAAAGAGACGGAAGAACCTCAACAAAGACGACGGCGTCTGTGCTATTGAACGCCGTTCAGATGGATCTGCCCGTACGGAGGATCCTATCGTAGAATCCGACGCGAACGATCGATCGTCATACGCCGAGATGGAGGGGCAGATGACAACGACGAGGCCTTGCGGAAGCTGCGAGAGTGGGTAATCATAGATGTAGAAGGATGTGCACGTACGACAAAAAAAGACGGTGTGTAGCGCAATGCAGTGGCGAGGGAGAAGATAGACGTTCCCGTGCTCACGCGTAGGTGCCGATCTCGCAGGGTGTTGATTATAACTTTTCGTGTTCCGTCTCTGCGTGGAGATTTTTGTGCGCGAGTTCATCAGCGAAGAGAAAGTCGGACGTACGACAGACAAAGGAACTGTGCGGGACATGCGGATAGCATAATTTCAGCGGGAGCGCACGAAAGCGAAGAAATACAATCTACTAAATCGACAGACACCACGACACAAGAGTCAGCGCTGAGGTGAGTGACCAAATGAATCGATGTCCACAGGAGCCCTCTGCGCCCCATGAAGAACAGACACACGCTCTAGGAGCCCCTATCTGAGCGATGGTATACAAGCTCGCGTCAAACGATGTGTGGGAAATGTCGGCTCAGGAAAAAGTAGTCGAGTACACCATTGGGATCGGGGTGGAGCTGAGCTCTTGCGAAAGGCAGTCTGGGGTCTCGGAATACATATGTGGCGGCAACCCTTTGTCTGGGGCCGCCGTAGACGATAGCCGCGACGCTGGAAAGCTCAAGGGCGAGTGTATAGTTTGACATGACGGCGAACGTTGCGAAAAGGATGATACCACGATGGAGGCCACTAATATGCAGCGGAGATGGAGCGAGGAGGGCCACAGAGTATGAGCACTAGAAACGAAGGTGGCGACATCGAAGGTGGAGAGATCGAGGCGAGAGAGTAGAAATGTATATGATAATCGGGCATGAGAAGGATGAGCAACTTCGAAGATGCATGGATAGGACGAACCCTCGTTACTCTCCGCCTCAAAGTACTAATGCATCCCCTCTTCCTGCAGGCGTCCACTCACGTCGCCCTACAATTCCCGCAAGTCCACAGCGTTGACCGAAGATGCATGCAAGCCTCGAGCGAACGCTTCAGAGTGATCCTGTCGATACAAATTCTGCACCATGAGATACCGAGATGCAATCAACGAGTAGGTCTCACAAGAAAGGGAATGCATCTCACCTACATAACTGACTAGTACTGACTAGCTATGCAGTTCTAGGGTAAGCGCATACGAAGTCGGATGTGCGGAAGATGTCGTACACTATTGGAAAGGAGGGTGATAGTCCGAATGTGTCAGTTATCCCTCTCATGAACGCATTTTATGAGCGAACAACTTACAGTGTTTTTGAGTACCACCTTGGATGTGGTGCCCGTTTGAAAATCGCCCCGTTGGATAAGCCCATAGTGCGACGGCGTGCAAGAGGAGACGACACTATAAGGGAAAGATGCGCTCGGTTCCTCGAGTTCGTCGACGCATATGCATGACTCCCACCACGACGACTGCCTTGAGAAGCTTGCCAGTCGTAGCAAGATGACGGCGTGAGGGTGTCGATGATGGTCTTTGCGGAGAACGCGTCGTCGCGTCGTTGTGGCGTTCTAAACCAAGTGGCATCAAATGATGTAATCACGTTTTTCGGATGCGAGAGAAAGAAAAAAGCTCGACTCTTGCTCATCCCGCAACCTCCTGGATCCACAACACCTCAAGACACGCTCACTCTCATCATCCCAAAGTCATCACCTAATGGAACTCCCTCATGATAGTATTCAAATTCTGACGTGCGCATACTCTGGCCTCGTACTCCCCATAGCATCCTGCACCCTTTGTTTGTGCTCGTCTTCTCCGACTCAGTCGCTATCCAGCTGAGTGCACCCCTTTCGAGCGTGCTCAGGCAGCGTCCCTCTCGTGGTTCTTCTCTGTCTCCAGATTCTCAGCTTCCTCCATTCTCCTGCTCTATCCGGTCTCTCGTACAGCATCTCGTCTACTTAGCATCGTTGCCCCCAAGCTCGTTTGTCCGATCCGAACGTCCGTCGAACTGCGCTTATGTATTCCTGGTTCCAAGTCCTGGCCCTCCATGTTGCTCTTGCTCCCGACAATTACACAAAGATGAATTCCATGGCTCACGACGCCATGCAGACCTTTCTGTTTTTTCCTATTCGGAATGTCGAACTGCTTTTGTCAGAACATCCTCCTCCGTCTCTGCTTTTTGGCTCTAACTTGAGCCCCTTCCAGTCGTTACGACTCATCGTCAAAACCTCGTCTCACTAGCTGTTTCTCTGTCGTCTTCCTCCGCAAATTTTACAAAGCCCGGAGCTCGGAGTTTCCCCATGACGTCTCAATGAGATCGTCAGCTGCATTTTCTGCTCGAGTCTATGCACCATTCTCTCTGTCTTTCTTCGCTGTCTAAGATGGGCTCCGATGGACTAAAGCAGACCTTGTTCTCGAATGTTGACGACCTCAGTCGGTTATGTTTGGAGATCGGTAAATGCGTGGTGTGGCGCGGGATGGAAGCGATTGGTGCATGGTGGTTCATGCTTGCTTCGAAGCTAGCAAGAATCGTGTGCCCGATGAGGGTTGAGAATGCTGGTGATACTAAAGATCGAAAGTCACGGTAAGACGGCTTATGAACTTGCTGCACGAGCGATCAAGTCCATTGGACGGAGCTGTGGCGAATGTGTTTAGGTGAACAGACGGTGGGACAGTGGCGTGTCCCCGACACGAACACCAACTGGTGGGGTCCATCCCTCGAAGAGAATAGGTCTGAAACTTCACCTTACCAATCCCGCATTCACATCATTTCAATGTTGCAATTCGCTCAGATCGAATGTTGACCGTTCATAGGCAGCCTTTACCATCTGACATTACTGCGGGCTGTGTCCAGTATATGCTCCGGATTGTGCTCGTTGACGTTCCCGCTTGGAACTAATACACGTTCAAGTGGATTACATGGCGACGGTGCTACACAGTACAGTCCGATATCACTACATCATACTTTCGTTGTCGCCGAAGTGCCCTCGTCTACCCTAGGCCGGGACGTCCGAAAATCAGAATAAATTCAGGCGGGTCTTGGGCTGCTCCCTCTGGGCAGCATGCCGTGCATGTATAATCTGGGATAGTGTAATGCCCCCGCAAATGCCTTCTCAGAGGTGACAATGTCCCGTGAAGTTCAGAGTACATGGTTCCGGGAAGCAATGCAAATGAATTGCCTAGTTATACTGGGGCAAGTGGTGCAAACCTTTGCAGAGCCTCGCTATACCGATTGTTTCCGACGACGAAACAAAAGCTATAATATGCGTCCCAGAACGAGGCGAGCTGCCATCATTCGAACGTTTAACATAGCAACACCTCTCACTGTCCATTCCGCTCGGGACTAAGAGCTTCTCTACAGTGACGCTCGACGGCAATACTCTGATGCATTGGATTAGAATGAAACCCCGGGATGCTCTCGCCTTATCCAGGCGGAATTTTGAAGAGTGTTGCGGGGACTCCAGCGATGAAGGGTGAACTCTATCCTGGTCTATCTCGAACATGAATGAGGACGCCAAATGGCTCGCATACATCGGAGTAAGAGCACCCCAAGAGGTGGAAAAGATAAAGCCCGCGCTATCGTGAAAGCGACAAGGAGTGGGCGTCGCGCAGAGAAACGAAACTCCCGATGTAAAATATTATCGCCAGAAATCGCTTTCAAGATCAAGATATACTCACAATTTCAGTGAACGCTATAAAGGCACTTCCATCTGCGCGGGGACGACTACTTATTCCGCAGACGATATGTCTCTAGTTCCAGTGGACCGTCGAAACCGAGTAATTGGCAAGAAATGTAATAGGAAGAAAAGATGACGTGGCAAGGAGACAACCGGTGGCGCAGATTGGCACACGGTTTTTGATCGGAGCTTCAATTCAGCTATAGACGGCTGCCACTTGCTTGCCACTTGTTGTCATCTTCGTCCTGAATCATCATCCGTTGTCGGTACTGTGCACGCTCATGCTCACCATACCACTATCACTATTAACTCTTGGACGCCCGATATAAATGCACATCTGTGGGAGGGTACTCAATCATACATGAACGCAGGACCTCGTCCAGGGCTGTCAGTGACCCGGAACCCCACAGTAACTTAGGAGTACTGTAGTTTTTCGACCAAGTGTTCGTGGGAGAATTATGTAAGCCGTGACCACCGCTGGGCCGCGGTTCGTTCGGGCGGGCCACGCGTGACGAACAGGCAGAATTGCTCGTATTTACGCCAAAAATTCAATTTTTGGCGATTTTTGGCGCAAATCGGTCACGATTCTCTGTTCGTGAACCCCTGTGCATGCGTGACCCCGGGACCCAATCTGTTCGTCGACGCACGATGCGTGACGCGTGACGAACAGTTGGTCGAAAAAGTACAGTAGTGGATCATACGACAGACCTCTGAACTCACAACCACTCATCACAAAAGTTGAAACAGACTACCCTTTCATCTAAAGTAGTGATTAATCTGAAAAAAAAAAGATTCTCGTATCGCAGACGTGCGTAGTTCGAACCGAATCACTGGGTGCGTAACCCCTTTTCCAAGGCAGTCTACTCATCTGAATCTCTCTGGATGACCTAGAAACATTCGCGTCGTCAGAGAAGGGAACGACACCTCAACTCCTCGGTCGTCCGTCCTAAACTATGAAGATTTGGATTGCGATCTCGCGTCGCGCCACCGTGGCACCTGGGAGCCAATGATTTGGTCTATCAAGACTCGATGAAACGGTCACCGCGCCTGCTTTGAGACACGAGTGGTTAATGGACTTTTGTACGCGTGCCTCGGATGATCTCCATTGTATGACGTCCGTAACCTCTTGTTTAGTCGAATATGAACGAGGTCATGATGTGGGCGCAGTTGGCGTGGCCATGGCATGAGGCTTCAGGCATGCATCGTTGTTACTTACAGCTCCTTCTGCGTTGCCTGCCATCTACTAATCTTCACGGCTATCCCTCTTCCTATCTAAAGCTCTTACTATCAGTTAGATATCATACTTTCTTCTTCTACCAGATATCTTGCGGGGTGCCACGTACAGGCGCAGACACGAAGCGCGACCAACAACCTTCCGACAGCATCGACAAAGTCAGCCTCGATGCCGTCGACTGAGAGCATCAGACACAATGTCTCCAAGTGCGCTCATCACCATCTCCTCCGGATACCCTACTGATCGTACTTCAACCGTTTGTCTGATAGGTATCTGAATCTTCTAAAACACCCTTTACGATCCAAAGGCCACGTCAGCCACGGATATACAGTCGACACCGCTCATCTTCTAATATCCACCCTCACCATCACTCGCTTTCTGAACCATGTCTCATCCGGAGAGATCGATCCAAATAACGAATCCTCCGTCTACGCAGCTCTCTGGGCCGATACGAACGAACTCGCCGATGTCTCCCATCTGTCGGAAGTCCAAGGCTCGCAGATCGACATGGACACCTGCACTCGCGTTGTAGGCTCGATTTTCCGTGACGCTGGGTTTCATTGCTCGACTATCGCTGGATACATCGGGGACGAGGTCCTCAGGCACTCAGATATTGTGAGGACGGGATTGGTGATCGGTTTGTGGCCCATCAATGCGCAGGCCATGGTTGGCGAGGAGTATGGGAGTCCAGAGAGTATACGAGTTGAGGGAAGGAAGGATGGGAAACAGAGACAGGCTCAGGCCATGATCGGTTGGATCTCCGTCGACTCTCTGGGCGTGAAGCGTCTCAAATTGCTGGAATGGCGGACCGAGTCCAAGCGGTCAACGGAGTCGTCGAGGCAGGGGCTGAAGGTGTATGAGCACGACCCCAAGGAGTTCGAGATTCTTCGGTGCTATTGGCCTTACGGTAAACGTTCTGGGGATGATGAAGACGACTCGGATTCACGTTCCTCAACAGGCTCTTCGTTTTCTTCCGAGACGGGAAACACATCCTCCAGGCGGCCTGTCAGATCCCTAGTCTCGCACTACGACGATCTCGACAACAAATCACGCACCTCGCTGCTTCCACCTTCGCGGTCTCTACCACCTATTACGATCCCAGATCCTCCGCCCCGACGGGCCACATTTTTACCTCCACCGGTTACCCAGCCTCCTCCCATACCACGACGCCACGCGAGTACCACAGCGCGAAGGAGTTCGCGCTCTCATCGCCATTCATCGTCCAGCACTTCGAGATCTGAACGAGCTTTCCAGGTCGTGATAGTCGCCGCTATCATGATTCTCGCAATCGCGTCTGCGTCGTACCGCCTGCACACCATCCGTCCCATCAGCGCCCTCCGTGGCGTTCCATCGTCCCACGTCTCCTCTACCACAGACCAGCCATGGCAAAACCATAACACGCCATCCCATTCATCCCAGTCTTCGTTATCGCCACAGCAAAATCAACCACCTCCTGTGCAGAATGACCAGTCTCGACCTGCAGTCTCGTGGAGCCGTCCTTACGTCCCAGCTCATGAGATAGTGCGTGTCAGAGAAGTATGGGGGCCTCAGCGTGTTGGGGCTGTACGGCCTCGGTGCTTTGAGTCTCGGGGGGAGGTATGGTGCCCATCAGATAGAAGTCCAGATCTGTACCTTGGTTGGGTCTAGTAGCGGCCACACAGCCGTCATGAAGTTTGCATCACGCGAAATCTGGATTCTATGAACCCAAACATTTTTACTTCTTTTTGCATATTTAATACCTCTCGCTATCAATGTTGTTCTCTGTGTTTGTTCTCCTAGATGGACGTTCTAATTTATGCAATCAGACCGAGGAAGAGATATATCACGTAGAGATAGTATGTACACTAATACAGAAATCCACATGATTCGAGCATGCAGAACGGGGGGACATCTCGATGGATTAGAGAATACGAGTAGTGCGCGATGTGATTCAGAATAGAAGTGTATGTACACGGTACGAAAAAGGAAGCACTGCAGTCAAGTCCGCAAATAAGTTATGTGCAAGTCGGCAAAGCAGAGAGACGGATCGAAAGCAAGTAACAAGAGACAGGTCGCAAACCTTTACAATGAAGACGCACGAAAAACAAACCGATATGAACAAAACCGCGAGATGAGGTGCTAGCCGACCAACGTCGCCTCATACCGACCTCTGCTCATCACCACTGTCCAAGTTTCCCTCCATCAAATCGAGCAAGTCGTTCCTGACCGTGACCAACTCATCGTCCGTCCCCCTCAACCTCTCGCTAACCTCATCCAACCTCCCAATAAATTCCTCGATCTGCTGCCGGCTGAGCATCACGCCACCCGAGTTCAAGCCTCTGAGTTCTTGTCGCACGTCGTCAAGAATAGGACCAGCATGGGGTGTGAAGGTGAATGAGAATGCGGACGGGAGGGAGAAAGGCTGCCCGAATGGTTGATTCGGAGTGGACTCCGCCACGTCTCCTTGTCCACGGCCAGAGAACGAACCAGCGTCTGAGTACTGCTCTTCATTCTCTTCCTCCTCTTCCTCTTCTTGGACCGGATCCAGGCGCATCCCCTCAGGCAAAGGTGGCGAACCACTATCTCGATCCTGCTCGTCGGCTGACCCATCTCTCTCCGCTTCCTCCTCATACTGCTCCTCACCCTCATACTGCTCCTCGCCCTCATACTGCTCTTCTCCTTCATAGCCCTCCTCATCCTCATATCGCTCCGCATACTCGTCCTCGCCCTCGCCCCCACCCTCATACTCGTCCCCCTCTCCATCCTGATCCTCTCCCTGCCCAAGGCCAAAAGAATCTTCTTCATCCTCCACCTCCATGCTAACCTGCCCCTCGTCCTCCACAGCCGAAAGCTCCACAGGCACACTCGGCAAAGTGATCGTATCCCAAATCGGCGACTCGAGCTCCATCTCAGCCTCGCCTTGCGAGTCATCCAGACCACCGCCCTCTTCCCGCTCCTCATAATGAAGCCGCACGCCCGAAGAAGACGCGACGCTCGTACCGCCAACCGGTAGATTCTCGATCTCAGATTCAAAGGGCGTGAACTCATAATGCCCATTGGAATGACGAGGTGGAGGATGGCTGAGCAGTTCAGGGACGGTGATGGCCATGGACGCCGTATACGTATCCCCAGCGCGCGTGATATCGTGCGGCCATTCCGCCTCGACGGTCGAATGCGTACGGGCCACTTCACTCCCGCTCCCGTTCGAACCACGGCCTTCGTCCTCGCTGAAACCGAAACCGTCTCCGCTGTTGGACGCTTTGTGCGGCGATCGGGAATGAGAGGGCGATTGTTTGAGAGTTTCGTGGAAAGCTCGGAACGATTCGTGAACGCTGGTATCATTCGAGGTCAGTAATTCGAATTTGCGTGGATATATGTGATGGGGTTTGTGAATGGTGGAGATACTTACCCAACGTTGTCCGAGTCAGGCTGATAGTCCGAAAGCAGCGTACGATTCACGTCCGCTGGCCAAGGCGCTGGTTCTGTATGTGTCGATGCCACGAGAACGGCCTCCGAAGTCTCCGAACTCGCGACTGGCTCAAACGCTACCGAAGCCCTCTGGGGTTGAGACATTTGCGACCTCGCAGACTACGGGGGAAAAGGACGAGAACGAAGCGATAAGCATTCATGGAGAATCGTGAAGAGGAGAGTGAGAAAGGCCTACCACTGTCAGTTCGACTTCCCTTGGCCTCGAACGAAGGGATCGTCTCTGTGAATGGGCAACCCCGCCCCTAGACTGTCCCAAGTCCGCTCTCGACTGTCCAAGATATCCAGTCCCCCGTCCATGCCGCCCTTCTGACCGCTCAAACTCTCCTTCAGAACGTCCGAGGTCCCCCACCGGCCGCCCAAGCCCTCTTTCCAAACGCCTAAGTTCAATCTGCGATGACTGGCCAAACCCACCTCCCGTCGACCGTGCAAATCTTTCCATAAGCCCCCTCCCATCCCTCTCCAATTTATTCATCTGGCCCCCGAGCGTGGTGATCTGCTCCATCAGATCTGCGAGCGATGGACCCAGAGCTTCCGCTTCGCGTTGTTGTGACTCGAGGGAGACATTGCGTCCTACTGGCTCAGGGGTCGCATGTCTTCGTTCTGCTTGGACGAGTAGTTCATCCTGATCACGGTCGCGACCACGATGTCGATGACTACGGTCTGTCCGACTGGATGGCGAAACGGGTGGGTGTGGTTCTCGGGTAGAGTATGCGGCATGGACATGGGCGCGGTCGGGAGTTCGTGGGTTTGATGAAGGGGATGCCGATCGGATATGCACTGTACGAGTAGGCCGACTCGTCGACGCATATGCATCGACCGTTTCTGAGGGTGTAGGTGTAGGGCTACGTGATCTTCGATGATGATGATGGTTCTGGTTGCGGCTGTGGTGGCGTTTATGTGTTGACGGAGGTGGGGTGGGCGGTCGATTATTGCTGGGTCCTGAGTAGGCGTCGTCTGAAATTGACGATGATTCGAGGTGATGGGAATGGGGATGTGGGGAAGGGAATCCAAGCCTCTGGCGGTTGTTTTCGAGGTTCGAGATTTGGACGCTTAGGGTGGCGATTTGAGCGGTGAGTGCCGCGATGGATGGTGACGCGATGTCTGCAGCCAGAGAGGTATTGACGGCGGAAGGTATCGCGATGGGTGATTGTATTTGAGTGGGGGACCGTAAAGTAGGACGTGATGAGGCACGAGGAGGTGTGATAGGCCTTGCGACTGATGGAATAAGATCTGTCTGTACACCTTGAGTATGGAGAGGTCGCTGTTGGGGTTCAGCCCGGGCGGTCTCCAGCTAAACCAAACAAGATGTAAGCGCGGCCCCAAAGCACCATGAGCAAGCAAAACTGAGACCTACTCGTTCGACCAAACTCTCCACCTCCGTGATGAGTCCACGATTGCGCTTAGCGGACGATTCCAATATCTGAATAGCCTCCTCTCGTCCCACTCTTCTGTTATCACCCTCCAGTTCGGGAGACTTCGAACGTCGAGAGGTGCGAGCCTCCGAGGGCCGCGCGATGAGAGCCTCGATTTCGGCTTCCCGTCGTGCGACTTTCGCTTCCAGGTCCTTGATGTGCGCATCATTCGATGCTAGCGATGCCTTGGAGTCTCGGAGAGATGTTTGTAGCTGGGATATCACGGCGGTGGCGTAGAGGAGATCGTCGTGGTCGCGATCGTGTGTGTCATCCTGGATCGGGGACGATCGAGGCTTGGCGGGACGGAGAGGACGCGACGATGAGCCACTGGTGCGCATAGCGGGCTGGGGCCATAGTGAGAAGTCGCTTGATAATTCGACTGTAGTTGAAGAGTTAGCTCTGCTATCCTCTCAAGACCGCTGTGTCAGACACAAGGAGAACTGGGACACACCCTTCCGGACCACAACCTCCAACACTTCGCGCAGCTCGTCCTTCTCTTGCTCCATCCGTCTAAGAAGGTTCTCCATCCCTCGTATACGCTTTCGCAGCGCATCGTGTTGCTGATGTTCATGCTCAAGCTCGAGAGTATGATCGAGTTGAAGCGTGTCAAGCGCGTCGAGGGTGGCGAAGAGTCGGGCCTGGAGATGAGATGCCAGGAGTGTCCGAGTCTTCAGCTCACTCTCCAAAGATTTGATCTAATCATCAAAGCGGTTATGATTGTTAGATAAATTGCCTGTAGAAAATGTACATAAAATGGTATACCCTTTGGTTCTTCTGCGCGAGAAGGATAACCGGGTCCGTGCGGAGACGATGCGCATCGTCATTATGCTCGCCCTCAACGGCGTCAGAGCGTCTTGTGCGTCTGGATGAAGGAGGGCCCATACTATTTGTCTAGCTTATGATGAAGTGATGAACATAGGATGTGGGTGGTGGACAGCAGTGGACGACAAGAGCTGGATGTCTCGACGCTGGTGGGAACGATGAATGCTCTGAATTTCAAATAGCATTACATATGTGGCACTTTATTGGGGCCATCAATTTGTGGCCCAACTTCACCGGCCGTCTTTGCTCTCGAGTCCCAACCACCACCCAGACGCAAGGCTTCTCCTGGCAAGCAAAGTGCATACTCTCAAAGTGAATAAGCTCACACAGATGAGGAATGAGGCGGCGCAATAATCCCGTGGCCCAGCATGTCCTCCTGCGCTCCTGTCCTCCGGTCAGCCGCAACCGTCGTTTCGTCCCATTTTCTTGCATCCGTGACAGGCTCTGGTTTCTTCGCCAATGTCAATGCATTGGTACCTTTTCGACCTGCTGATAAATTGGCCAGCCGTTTGCAAATCACACTCACGGTCGCGGTGTAAGTAAGATGTCCCTCCTGGACCTCGAGCTCCATAACAACTTCATACTGACGGGTCATAGGTAGCAGCGTTATGGACAGACCTGACTTAGATGACGTCTCATCGAATGAAAGGTTCACGGATGCCTTTACAGCCCCAGCCTCGCAGAATTCTGGTAGTTGCGTCTATATTTGAGGGTCCATGCCGCCAAATCAATGTATGTGATGTCTTCTACGACGAACGAGATGGTCGCAGCGTCGAAGTATGAAGCTCTCGATGTTGTGGAGTGCCTGCGCCCCTAAAGGTATTCTACCATTCGTTGATCCTGTTCTTTGACGACAATATCCGCTAATCCCGCTGCACAGGTTTAGGCATCTCGAGTTCTCCGTCCACATTTTGCTCTGGACTAAATATGCAAGAGAAGGGCATGCTAAAAGGTACGTTATCACTGACCACACGCAGACAAATAAATAGCCGTCAGATTCGTCTTGACTCCATCAATACCGTCTGTACCAACACCATAAAATAAAATCTCCTCGTAGATGGCTGCCCCGCCTAAAGCTGGAATGTCTGAACAAAGCTCGTATCCATCCTTAGAATTTCACGAACGGTGGTCAGTATTCTGCTTGGCGGTGCATTTTTGGAAGCTTTGACGTCGATCCGTCCCGTTGCCCTCGCCGCTTGGGTACTTCGATGAGGCATCGCACTACCTTCCCTGTTCATTACGGGCTGGCTGACATCGTATTCCGACACCGGCGTTTGTCCGCTCCCTCACTGTAGCACGAATAATTTCTTTCTACATCTACATAAGGTCCCTCGACCTGGTGGCAATCTCTCAGTGTTGACCACTTTTCCGCAGAGCGTCTTCTTCTCGTCTATCTATTACTACCCACTCAATTATCTCACCCCGCCCAAGATGGTGTCTCCAGCCAAGTATGTATCTGCTTTCTAGCTCTCTCTTCGTACGACTCACGACCTTCTGTAGCCTAGGACCGCTGGTACTATGTCCCTGCATCTCCCAGGCTTTCACGTCGTATACTGATATACTGTACTATTTCGACCGTAGGCCATGGTCACATGTCACAGCGGGCATATGGCATGGCCTAAACACCTTTTGTCACAGGTCACAGGCCCTCTGCGGCATTATTTATTCGTTTTTTCGTCCGGGCTTCGCCCAAAATGGTAACTCACCTTCCTTTTAAGTCGGTCACAATTTTTTGGGGCCGATGGCCTATTTACACCCATGGCCTAAGTGCCACCCTTGTCACAGGTCACACCCCGCTGGCCTACGGTCGAAATAGTACAGTATATTACCGCGTAGTTTATCGCAAATATGTTGAACTGGATGTTGATGGGCACGTTGACCGTGCAAGTCTGTGAGGGCACTCGATTTTCCCTCTCTAATCCCATTGGGACGACTGATCAATGAGTATGTCGACCTTCAGATGTATACTTCGAGCGCTATATGATGGAGCGCATTGCGTTAAAATTGCTAGGTGAGTCAAGTGAACGATAATTTATCGCCGGAAACATCGAGCCTGATGGCTTATATGCTCGCAGTTTACGGCCTTTTCTGTTTAGATATGGCGCAGACAGTACTCGCAACCCATGTGGCGTGGTTTTACATGATTTTAAACCCTGTAGCTTCTCCGTCCGGCATAAAAGCGCCATGGTCCGCCTCGGCCTTGACTATCTCCGCTGGTCTTGGTGAGTCTTATGCTTTGGTTTCGTAACGATCAGCCGACTCACTTCCCTTGCCTCCTAGTGTCCGCTGTCGTGCAAATATTCTACGGATGGTACGTTTCGCCAAGTCTTGAATGCGTGTGCTCGTTGCTCATCCAGAGCAGGCGGATCTCGACTCTTGACACCTCCATGGTCATGCGCGGCCTCGTCTGGCTTATTGTGCTTGTGCGCCAAACCCACCATGGGACATATTTTCCTTCTTTCTGACCATCGATGCAGATGGCCGTCGGACAGTTTGCTACCGTCTTTGCTTCTTCGGTATTGGTGAGTGCTATCAGCTGCGGACTTCGTGCATAGACTGAGTAACCACGTCAAAGTTTGAACTTGCTCCAACATATGTGCAATTATTCTCCGAGTCAAAATGGCGTACGGTGAGTACCCTCTAGCCAAACCACCATGAGCCGCCACTGAATGTATATTCGCCAACAATTTGAAGGCATGGCTAATCCTAAGCGCTGTGGAGGATCTCTTGATCACAGCTTGTATGACTTGGATCGTAAGTACTCTGCACTTTCCCCGCATTCATAAGTTTGCTATACAACACATATTACCGTCGTTTCATTTCAGTTGGGCAAGGCAAAATCGGATACGATGTGGGCTTTCTCAAACTCGCTATTCACCCGTCTTATCACAATGATCGTCTCGACGGACCTCGTCACCACGTCCCGTGCCGGAGTCAATCTTCTACTACTGTTTAAGTACCCAAACACCAACTACTTCGTGGTCCCGTACGACCTTTTCCTCATTCTGTCACGCAGGAGCATGCTGAACATAACTTATATGGCTCATACTATCCTATAGGCTCTATGTTGTCGGCAAACTGTATGCATCCGCACCAATACTACCAGCTTCTCATTCTCGTCGAGGGCGAGACTGATACCCTGCTGTTTACAGATACACCAATAGCTTGATGGTCATGCTCAATGCTAGAACCCCTACGGTGGCACCACGCGTTGGCAACGACTTCGGCTACAACCCTGGTTCATCTGTGGCACAGTACGTCCAGCCTCGGGCAGGCCGGGTTTCTGCAGCAGAAGGTTTGGCGTCCGACACAAGACAGACAGGAGCAAGCACAGGAGATGAGGTGTGAAGGATGGCCGTATATTGGCTGATGATCACCTCCGTGGTAGAGGCGGCGGAACAGTATGGCGAGCGCGGCAGGATTCTTTGTTGTCATGTCATCTGTTAGCCGGACTGCAGTCTGGGGGCGGGCAATACTGGGCAATATCTTGAATGCATATTACTGGAGGCATGGGCCACTGCGGCCACGGCACTCTGAATCTTCGAATTTATCGGAAAACCTTTGCGAGAACCAAGCAAACGAAAGTATGAGTGTTTCAGAACTCCACGAGTGTCTGCACAAGAGCGTGGTCAAAAGGGCTTAGTATCTCTTTCCTGGAGCAGATACTTGAGGGGAGATGCAGCAATTCGAAGTGCGCTTGGACGCTGAATTTCAAATACCATCTGAATCAGGTGGCACTGTATTACCGCCATCTATCTGTGGCCCAACCTTGCCGGCCATCTTTCCTCTCAACCACCGCCTTTCCCTGACAAGCAAAGTAAATATTCTCACAGCGAATGAGCTCACATAGATCAGGAGTAACGCGTGCATGTGACTCCTGTCGGCGTAGGAAAGGTCAGTGTTTCTTTGGTGTTTCTGCTTCAATCCACAGCATGGCGTTGGTGCTACCTGGCAATGATTCGTACGTCGCTGACGTCTTGGAAATTACAGTAAGATGTAAGCACATCTTCCATGAAGGTGAAAGGTTTGAGTCTTACATTATCTGTAGGCGAAGCCGGAGGCGATTCAGTTGGCCAAAAGTGTTCAAGATGCGCTCTCCAAGGCGTCGAATGCACGTATAACGCCACACCACAAGTCAGTCAACTATCTCCTTGACACCAGAGAAAAAAACTAACATAGAGGACGCAAGCGGGAGAACTTTGAGTACGCTACGCATGATTTTTCATATCATTCAGACCTGACCAGGCATCCCATGTTCAGTTCTCGTCAGATAAGACGCCTGCGTAAGAGGTGTGATGAGCTGGAGACCCGACTCAGCCAAGTTAGTCATTTTCTCTCTCGCGGACTAGTCACCCTCCTCACACATTACTCTTGCAGATGCAGCAGCTCATGAACGGTACAAGCTCTGGGTCGAATGTGGTCTCTAATCTCTCGACCTTCAATACCTCCGCAAATCTGCCTTATGTCGACTCACCAAACACTCGCACCACAATGCATTCGAATGACTCACTCCTACCCGTGACAGATGATGATGACTCAGACTCAAGTGACGACGAGTACGGAAATATCAGACTCCTTACCGAACATGTTGAAGCTCTGTCTCTCGCCACTGACGCAGGCCGCTCAACTTTCCATGGAAAGTCGAGTCTTACGGGCGTCATTGTCCAAGTCGCACAAGCCATTCCGCCTCCGCCACGGGAGATCGACAGCCCCAGCCATTCGACAGCCATATCGCAACGGCACCTAATTTCCTGGATGACAGCCCGCGTATATATCTACATTCATCTCGCGAGATCGACGCTGACCTGCTGCATTCGTATAGGATGGTTTCAACCTTCGATCCTCCTGTGCCGATGTGGATTTGAACTTCCCCGAACCATCCCTACTACACGAACTGGCTGAGATCTACTTCACCCGTTCAAACCCGTGGACAGGCTTGCTACACCGTCCCACCTTCTTCCGTTCCGTAGAAAAGGGTCTTCACCACGACGATCGAGGATTCGGCAGTGTGGTCCTCCTTGTTTGCGCCCTGGGTGCCCTGCATTCTGATGACCCTAGGCACCTCGATGATTATGGGACCACTACCAACGACACTAGCTCTGGCTCGGTTTGGCAGTCCGCAGGTTGGAAATGGGTGTCTCAGATCGACCCGATGCGTAATGCATTGTCCCATACACCTTCCTTGTACGATCTACAGATGTATGCGGTATGTGACGGCCATCGACAGTGTTTGTGCCAATAGTTGACTAAGTCCCGTGCTTCTACACGCAATAGTTATCGCTGGTTACCTTTCATGCGTACCCAACGGCAGTAGATCTATGTGGTCTTGCTGGAATGGGGGTGCGTCGTGCGCAGGTTGTAGGAGCTCACAGACAGAAGGCGTATGGAGGTAAACTCACAATCGAAGGAGAGCTGTGGAAACGTGCTTTCTGGTTCGTTTAGATACAATACAACTTCCGTGCTGAACTAATGTTTTCCTTGGACTCTGACGTAGGTCGCTGCTGTCGACAGAGACCTTGCTTTGTGTTGCCCTTGGTAGGCCGTGCTCCACTCAAGAGTGTGTCTCCACAGTATTTTCCAGCGTCTTACGCAATTAACTCACCTTCTTTCCTACATCAGCTGTGACTTAGACCTACCAGTAGACTGTGACGACGAATTTTGGGACAATCCCGACCCCGAACGTCGTTTCATCCAGCCGATTGGAAAACCATCTTCCATGTCATTTCGTATAGCTACGTTCAAGCTCCGAGAGATCCTTGCTTCCGCATCCCGCACCATCGTGGGCTTTCATTTTCGTCTTCGTTACATTCTCTCTATTCCTCACGACATATTTCACAGTATTCGACCAAGAAGTCCAGGATTCTCTCGGGACTAGTGGGACCAGACTGGGAACGACGTGTAGTCACTGAGCTTGACTCTTCCTTAAACCGCTGGCAGGATCTACTCCCCTCACACCGTGCGTCATTCTCACCACGATTGCCGTTTGATCAGTCTGACTTTTTGTGCGCTTATAGTGAAATGGAATCCTGACCGCTCGGTCGACATATTCTACATCCAGTCCGCATGCCTCGCCTGCATGTTCTATCACACGCAAACGTTCATCCACCGGCGGTTCATATCCGCCATTGGCAGTCATACGCCCAGTCCCCTTGTAGAGGCCTCGACTGTGATATGTCTGAACGCTGCGAGATCGTGTGGGAACATCGTTCTCACCCTCCCGCGAACACGAACCTTCTCATTCCCGGGTCTCTTCGTGCGTCCCTGACCCTTGCCTTTCGTCTTCATATGCTGTTCCTTACGGTGCGGCATAGGGAAATTCTCTGTTCGAGTGTCTAGTTATCCTCGTCATCAATGTTTCACGTAGAGTTCAACGAGGGGAACAACTCTCGGAGCAGGAAGTCCGTGACCTCGATATTGCGTCAAAATGTCTGGCTGTCACGGAGTATCATGAGCAGAGGTAGCGCTCTCTTTCTACGTGGGATGAAGCATCACTTGTGCTCACCATGGTGTTATTTATGTAGATCCTTCGCGGCAGGAAGACTGAGGTATGAGTGCTCATTTTCGTCTGCACTTTCTCTGAGGAACGTAAAGCTAACACCCACTACGTAGGCACATACTCTGCCACTTTGCCTTTTCATGCGGACTCTCCTCAGTATGGTCACTGGCGAAGTTTCCCATACCAACTACCACAGAGGCCGGACCAAGCGATACTTCACGATCGGCACCGGAGTTCACCCAGCAAAACCTGTTACTACAGGATGACTTCGAACGATGGATGGCATATGAGGCGCTGCAGACCGAGTTTAATCCCTTCAGCACTCTGATTCAGGGCGAGCCAGCGAACTCATTCCCATCGTTCTTCGGGCTCCCGTTCGATCTGAATGGTGGTCCGGCTATTGATGTTGACGGTGCCGCTGCGATGGGGATGTCTGCTATTGACTTCCCGTCGAGCTCCTCTTCGGACGCTCAGCAGTGGGGATGATGGGTTCCTTGGGCATGGTTTGATCGAATGGATGTAATGTGTTATGCTGTCTATTTGAATGTGATAACTACTGCATACCTTACCGTAGAGATCTGGAATATTCTTAGACTTAGAGATAGCGTGGCCCCCAAGTTTGGCAGTCGCATTTCATGCTGAACCGTTCTCCATATGCGTCTTGCAGCAAATTGTGAATCTCCACATAACTGTCAAACAATGATTACGGAGAAATACACATACACGACACAATGGCAGTCGTTTCTAAAATGCGTCGAAGGTCTCTTGAAGGTCTCCCAAGATCTTTTTGAACGGGGCATGGTGCTATTTATAGGACCCCAGTAGATTTAAAACTCCGCTCGTCCCGGGTCGACCCGCTCAGCCGCGCCCTCTTCGACCAACCGCAAACCAACCGTGACACCTTGGATCGCACAAGCGCCGCGGATTGTCTCTGGAAGAACAACATATTTTTCAACAGCTCATGTACGCTCCGAAATTAGGAGCAAAGCGCGCGTGCGATCCCTGTCGACGCAGGAAAGGTTAGTAATTTTTGCTCGACGCGTTGAACCCATGAGCTGATTCACAGAATGATAACGCCATGGCGAACACAGTTCGATGTATGCACCGTTTGATATGACGATAGAGAAAATTGTCTTATGCTACCTGCAGGTGAAAGCGGAAGCAATCCAGCTGGACAAAAATGTTCAAGATGCATCGCCCAAGAATTAACATGCACCTACAGCACTCCACTTCAGGTCTGTTTTCCATCCCCTTCCTTTCACCAGATGAAGACACCTAACTTGTTGGGCATGGTATTCAAGCGGGGGAAAGACGAGTATGTGGTCAATTGTTGCAGGCTTTGAATCACACTCACCCTACTTTATCATAAACAATACCTTAGGTCTCGCGAAATAAGGCTTCTGCGCAAGAGGTGCAATGAGTTGGAGAACCGTATAAGCCAAGTTAAACCTTCTTTCATGGCCTATTAAAATGTCACCTTGCTCATGAACCACTCATGCAAATACTACAGATCATGGAGGGACCGAATGCTAGGCCCTTCGATAATCTGTCGACCTTCACTGCCTCCGCAACTCTGCCTTCGGTACCCCAACCTAACGCCCTAAACATGCATTCAACAGTGCATTCTACAAGGAGCGACTTATTCGCACCCTTAGTAGACAAAGACGACTTAGAGTCAAGCGACGAAGAGTATGGAAGTATCAGACTTCTAACTGAACACGTTGACGCGCTGTCTCTCGCGACTGACGGAGGTCGTTCGACCTTCCATGGAAAGTCAAGCCTCACGGGTGTGATCGTTCAGATCGCGCAGACCGTGGCCTCATCTTCGTCGCGAGTAGCTGACAACTCGAACCTCAGCCATTCGAATACCATCCCGCAGCACCACTCGGTACCCTGGGTCACAGCTCGTGTATATGTTTCAACTGCCATCCCGTTTACGGTCACCTATATACTAACCTGTCCTGAATATAGGAGGAATTCAGCCTTCGATCCTCCAGCGGTGACCTGGAGCTCGAGCTCCCCGAACCATCCCTGTTACACGAACTGGCTGAGATCTACTTCGCTCGTGCAAACCCATGGACTGGGCTCTTGCATCATCCTACGTTCTTCCGCTCTGTAGAAAAGGGTCTACATCACGAAGACCAAGGCTTCGGCAGCGTAGTTCTCCTTGTTTGCGCTCTGGGTGCCCTCCATTCTGACGACCCGAGGCATCTTGACGACTATGCGGCCAGTGGTAACCACGCTGTTTCTGGTTCGGTTTGGAGATCCGCGGGTTGGAAATGGGCGTGTCAAATTGACCCGATGCGCAACGCATTGTCTCATACGCCTTCGCTGTACGACCTCCAAATGTATGCAGTATGTGACGTCCTTCGAGTTAGCTAACCGAATCTTTTGGACGATTGACTTTTTGTTGTGTGCTGTAGTTGACGTTGATCACCTTCTCTGCCTATCCAACTGCGATCGATCTATGCGGTCTTGCCGGAATCGGTGTGCGGCGTGCGCAGGCTGTAGGAGCTCATAGACGGAAAGCGTATGGAGGTAAACTCACGGTAGAAGGAGAGCTGTGGAAACGTGCTTTCTGGTTCGTCCCACTTCAATACATCGTCTATACCGTGCTAATATCGTTTCTCGAAATGGGCTACCACTGGTCCAGGGCACTTGTGTCGACAGAGCGCACTCTCTGTGTTTCTTTTGGCAGGCCATGTTCCAATCAAGAGTGGGTCGTTGAATCTTCCAACTCGATTTCTTCCGCTAATCGTGTATGTTTTCTTTCGTTGTAGTTGTGATCTAGACCTGCCAATGGAATGCGACGATGAATTTTGGGATCATCCAGATCCCGATCGTCGTTTCATCCAACCAGTTGGAAAACCATCTTTCATGTCATTTCGTATATGTCTACTCAAGATTAGTGAGATCCTTGCTTTTGCCTCCCGGACCCTTGCGAGTATCATTTTACATCATTTGGTCTTCACCATATCGTTTCCGTCATTGACTGATTATTCCACAGTATTCCACGAGGAGGTCTAGAGTTCTTTCTGGGTTGGTCGGACCCGACTGGGAACAGCGTGTAGTCACCGAGCTTGACTCCTCGCTGAACCGCTGGCAAGATCTGCTCCCCGCGCACTGTGAGACGTTCACGCAATACCTTCCCATTCGATCTGTCTGATCCCTGCTCATATCCAGTGAGATGGCAACCTAGTTCCACGAACGATATATTCTATATTCAAGCTGCATGCTTAGCCTGCGCGTTCTATCATACGCAGATGTTCATCCATCGTCGCTTCATATCTGTCATCAGCGGTCATACATCTAGTCCCCTTATAGAGGCATCGACTGTGATATGCCTGAACGCCGCGAGATCCTGTGGAAACGTAATCCTAGCACTTCCACGAAGTCGGGCCTTCTTATTCTCTCCTCTCTTCGTACGTCTCGGGCCCATTACCTTCACCTCGAACGATTGCGCCTCACATCTCAGCATAGATCACCGCCTTTGCGGAGGCCATTGTTATCCTGATCATGAACGTATCGCGAAGGTATCATAGTGAAGAAAAACTTTCGGAGCAGGACGTACGTGACCTTGACATCGCGTCCAAATGTATAGCCGTCGCAGAGTATCATGAGCAGAGGTACTACTTCGTTTCTGCCTAAGGTTCAAAACTCACGTTTCGCTCACTATAATGTCCTTCCCACAGGTCTTTTGTTGCGGGAAAAGCGAGGTATGAGAGCCCGCAATTTGTCTAGCTTAGCTTGGAGGAACATAAAGCTGACACCTCTCCAGGAGCGTACTATGCCACATCGGTTACTTGTGCGGACTCTCCTCTGTTTGGTCGATGGCGACGCCTCCTGCAACAACTGCCCCAGAGGCCGTGCCGGACAATACCGCACGTTCGGCACCAAACTTCAGCCAACAAGACTTCTCACTACCGGACGACTTCACGCGATGGATGGGTTACGAAGCGCTGCAAACCGAGTTCAATCCCTTCGGTGCTTTCAACGAGCCCGGGGATTCGTCACTCTTCGGGTTCCCATTTGACCTCAATAGCGGCGATTCCTTTATTGAAGATGGAAATGCGGCAGGCATGCCTCCCGCCGACTTTCCATCAACTTCCACTTCAGACTTCCAGTGGGGATAACGGATGTGTCGGGTTTTGTTTGCGCGTATGTACAGAATGGATGATTGGCTTCTATCCTAGTACCTCTTGTTTATCTTACTTTGAGGTGGTTCCATTCAACGTGTACCACTCCTCTCAGCCTCCATCGAACAATGAAGCAATGTGCATTCCGCGAACATGAAACCACAACATAGGTGTTATGTTATAATCGGCATATCTTTCCAAACAACCGGTAGCGTCACGTCCAAGGACCATAGATACTGCGACTATCATAGGATACGCGCGTAGAGTACAAGTAGAGAGTGTCATCCGAGAGGCTATCGAGGGACGAAAAGAAAGTAATTAACCATCGTCAATGTGAGGTTCTGGGATCCGGAAAAGACATAAATAAGAGGCATATTTGGAATGAAACGAAGTCTGCGAGAAAGTCACCACAACGTGAAGGCTAGGTGGCCATTAACTCGACTCCTAAGACATATAGGACAGACTCGAAAATCACGCAAGAGATATACAAGATGGGAGGGGAATAAACACTGGGGTGCATAGGAAGTTCTCCGCAAGGTACGTGAACACGAAGAAGACAGAGAACGGAGTCAAAGAAGCAAAAGAGAACGGGAAAAGCCAAACGATCGAAGACAAATCTAGCAAAGATGGGACAGGATGCAGAATTAATCGTGCACGATGTGATTGCAAGAGAAGTCTGAGTACTTTAATAGATGATAACTGCAGGGCCAACTGGAGCTGGATCTGGTAATTGTGAACACAAGACGTCAGCAATGCTAAGGTCAAGAAGGAACACATTCCATACCTGCTTTGATCTCAACATCAAAACCCTCGGCCGCGAGAGCCTCTAGGCGCGCCAGCTCGTAGGGGTGTTCTCGACTCCACCACCCTTTGTCGTCGCCCTTGGCACTATACAGGACGGCCTTCTGTAAAGGCTGTACCGGCTGGTCCTCCTCATCTACAGCGTTCGCGGGAGGTCTGAACCGCGATACTAACATGTCCACGATATTCCTCCACAAGAACGGATCGTGCGCGTTCGCAGCCGCCAAAGGCGCCATCACGATGCGTTTTCGTAACTCCGTAAGCATGGAGAAGCTCCGAAGGCGTGGTAACATGCCGGAGTCGAGACGCCCGTCGCTGGCGTAGCGGAGAGTGAGTAGTTGACAGCTCGCGCTGGTGAGAGGGGGGCAGTTAAGCGACGTGAGGTGTGGGAGCGAGGGGAGGAAGGAGTGAACGTCTTGAGTGGCGTGTGCGTTGACATCGAATGTGAGTTCCAGCAACGAGTCGGAGCAATGAGCGATGAAGTGGAGGAAGTGGGTGTGCATGCGTTCTGTCCAGCTCATACGGCTCTCCGGAAAAGCGATGGAGAGTCGTTCGAGTTCAGGACATACGAGGATCCGGAGAAGCGTCACAGTACACCGATCGTCCAGGTCGCGTAAAGACAGTTCCTTGAGCCCAGATAGACGGACGATCCCTGAATCCGCAGGAGAGAATTCTTGGAGCAGGTCTATAGTCTCGACGCGCAGGCACGTAAGACTGGATAGTTTGTGTACGTTGGCGAGTAACCATGCCAGGTTTGTCCGAGCGTCTCCTCCACTTCCAGCATACGTCAACTCCGTCAACGTTGAAGTGGGCATGTCCCACCGCGCCAATGATGCGTTTGCGAGGGTTAGGTTGACGAGTCGGGGGCAATGTTCGACCTCGATCATCATGGGGTAGAACCAGGGTCTGGTAGTGTGGTGGTGCAAGGCAAGTCGCTCCAACTGAGGGTACGCGTCGAACCATTTGATGGGCCAGTTCGTGGAGTTGGGGTCGAAGCCGAGGTGCATTTCAACAGCCTTCCACCGCTTGGTGTAAGCGAACAAAGGCTGAATACAAGCCTCCTGGACCCTTCGGTCTATGCTTGAGGACACCTGCCACTTGATGGTGAGGGGGACCGTCGACTTTGAAAGCCATTGGTTTAGTACAGCAACGACGCCCTCGACAGAGATCGCACTGGACTGAACACGATTGTCATTCCTCGGGCGGAATGTCCCCTGGCCTGCATAACCCAAATAACCGAATCGGGTCTCTTCAATACCATCAGTCACGAGGATATTGGACCACAACGAGCCCAAAGAAAGAGCGACCGCCCGCCATCGTCGACAGACGCGCGCGATTTCTAAACGTGAGTCCGGTGCTGTCATTGTCCCCTTCAAAACGTGAAGGACGACCGGGGCGGAAGGGTCGCAAGCCAGAAGAAGGATGTGACCTAAAATCTCGTTGGGAATGTATTTCGACGTCGCCGGCATGTTTGGAGGGTACAGAGACATATCTGGTTCGTGGAGGGTTCGATATTTAGCGCTCAGTGATGCCGACCTACTAAGTACCAGTTTCGACGAAACTGGAATGAAATCATCGACTCACTAGTTTAAACGGTCGACTTGGTGATGGGCACACTCTGCTTGACAACGATTGATATCTCTGAGCTCGAGTTGTGGGGAAAGACGAGAAGAGATGAGCGCCGGGGGTGGCGAGTCAGGCCAAGTTCAACGGTGCCACCAATTCGGAGATCCACGTGCGTCGGGGCAGGTGGGGGCCGGCCGATACGTATGTGGCGTCTGGAGCTGTGTGGCGCCAACTTCGAAAGTACTTACGACGGCTCAGTTTCAACGCAATATCAATGTTAACAAAATGGAAGGATGTTTCGAGCATCCGTGGATTATATTAGAGCTGAGCCATGAGGCTATAGTATCACAATATCGTAAGCAAAATAAAGACAAAACTCGTGCCTCCACGAAAATGCCTAGTAGACCTGGATCCCCCAGATATGCAATCTCTCCGCCAGGGAGGTCTTCGGATAAACAAATAAAGGACGCTTCTTTGGGTCTCCGTCTGTAGCATCGACGAAAGAGTGAAAGATCGCGGCCTGTCGATCCTTTGGCGGTTCATAGTCCCGGAGCCTTCGAGCCAACCAGCTCAGATGCGCGAAGCGGACCGCCATATACTCCACCGTCTTCTCATCGACATCTTCGAGTATGTACGAGCTTTGAACCGGCTTCCCGCAGTTGATGATAGGAAGCTTGAGCCTCGCTAAGACGGCAGAAACCCAATGGATAGAGGACCCCTCAGGATCCACAAAGCTAGCATCCATCAGCGTAGTCAAGAGGAAAGCGATGTTCGCTATTGCTGTTCCACCGTGCTTGCTGTAAGATGTGATGTGAAGGACACCCAAGACGACCCCTAGAGGGAAATCGTGGTAGGACTTCACCTCGGATTCTTGCCATGTGCTCCCGTCCGCGCCCTTGTGGAAGTTGCGGAGAAGACAGGGCCGTGCCTGAACCTTGCGAGGCCCGTGGTCGTTCGTGCTCAAAGCAAATACAGTGGACGGACGTCGAGGGTGATAGAATGGGGAAGGACCTTCGGCGTCGGCCTCGTCGAGGACGATTGCGAATTCGAATACTGCCGCTGTGGTGTGGATGATGGCGACACCTAGATGTATGTCCTTCGTCGACGGGGCCGGTGGTGTCGCTGCAAGAAAGTGATCGATAATCAATGCTAACTCATGATAGAGGTTAGGGATATAACTACGAGTGCTCACCAGACGTAGGCACTGTTGGGTTGGTGAAGTGGGAGATAGCTCGCCACTCATCCATCAGGTCCATTCACGAAATACGTGTGACAGGCGCGGGGGTAAGGGGGTGAAGGGGAGCAGAACGAGTGTCAAGGACGACCTTTTATATGTTTCTTGAAAGTATTGTACCGACACACTGGCCCGTGCCCAGACAAGGCGTTGGCCGAAATCGTGTCATCCTATATCCGGTAAAAAAAAAAAAAGATTAAGACACAGATGGTTAAAGCGTCGCCGGCAATGCCGTTGTGTCAACGGAGTCCATGCCTCGTCCAGAAAGTTGTGGCACTACAAAAAAATTGAACTCAAGTTTCCTTTGAAATTTTTTTTTTGCCTGTGGTAAACTCCAGACAGAGTCGGAAGGCGACGCTGGAAGAGGAGGCGAGGGTTGGGCAAGGGAAAATGAGGGAGGTCAGGGAGGTGAGAGTTGACTTCAACGTTGCAACGTGACTCTGTGTCAGAGACAAGGGATGTTCCGAATTTCAAAGACGAGGCGATGTGGCGCTACTGTGGCACTAGACGACCTACGTTAGAGATCGACACGCCTTCTCAAACGAGCAACCATTCTCACTACATCACGAGCAACAGTCCAGTGGATCATTGTGAGGATTACACCGGTGAATAAATCGATAGATGAACAAAACTACCATCGGTTAAAACAATAATGATACAGGTATAGCGCCAGTGTACAAGCTCGAGTCCCAACTCATCCCCTGCTACGTATATCCCCGTTCGTACACATCTATTCCGCCTCCGGAGGTATAGTGGTATAATGTCCTCTAGCCTAGCAATGATTATATCAGTCTCCAACACGCCCAATAGTCTAGGTATCATCTCCATTAGCAGTGTCGGGTGTCATCCTTCCACCCCGGATCTCACCCCCGTTCACCAATGATCACCGATTGGCACTCTCGACGACCCTAACCACAACACTCCCAAGACACTTGCCCGTATCCACCTCGAAGACACCAATATCCCACTCTCCCGCATCCTCCGCCTCCGGGATTCCCCATATCTTCACCGTAGGTCGGTCCTTCTTCCCATCGCCACCTTTCTTAGTACCAGCCGCGCCAGCACTGCCCCAGTCGACAAGGAAGGCCGGTGGGAGTTCTTCACCGTTAAGTTGTCGGACGGTCAGATTGGCCGAAGAGATGTCGGTGTCGCGTTTGAGAGGAATACGGAATGCGAAGGATTGTGCGATTTGGAGGAGGACATTATATTCCCTGCTTCGACGAGATGACCTGCGACTGCTGCGGAAGCTAGCATCGCCATTGTAGGAGACTTCAGGAGATGAGAATGATTCGACCATTGAGAGACCACTACGAGACGAAGTCGAATCAGTGACTGCATCTCCAGAATGATGGAAAAAACATCGAACGTACTCGTCAGATCGATCCTCTCCCAGTGCACGGACATACTTCATCCCCTCAGTCAGGTCATCCGCCGTCGAGTATCTCTCCTGCACGACGCTCGCAATCTGGCTCACAGCCCTCTTACGTCTCCTTCCGCCACTACTGACCGATGACGCCGGCTTCCCATCGCTCTGGGACGGGGTCACATCCACAGGGACATCCGGTGAGGGCACCCGACTGGCGTGAGTGAATGGTTTGAGACGAGGCATCTCAGGAATGTGGGCCGAAATAGGAGACGAGACAACGCTGGCGCTGTGCACGCTCCGTACGCTCCGAGCCCTGGACGCCGTCTGAACGATAGCTTCTGAGGCGTGCATCTTCGACGATGAATTGGACGCGAAGGAATCGAAAGATTGGACAGAGAAGCTCTGCTGGTGGCGGGATACTTTCTTGGTGGCCCGGGTGTGCGCTGCAGCAAGGTGTGCGAGAGCCGCAGCCGAGGAAGGTGAGTTCGGAGGAGCAAAGTCAGCTCTTCGTTGGGGGACCGAGCGACCACCACTGGACGAAGTGGGCGAAGCCAGCAAATCCGAGCGAGCCGACAAGATGTTCGTCCCCGAAAGGAGGCTTAACGGGTTCCAAGACGAAGGCGAGGAGGGGGCGCCACGATGCTGAGGGATCGAAGAGACCGTATCCGTGTTGGCACGGGCAGCAGCTTGCGCACTAGTAGACGCATCGCCGAGGAGAACAGGCCTTCCGATGACGGGTCGCTTGGAACGTCGGTAGGAACTGCTGACTTTGCGAGCAGTGTCACGGAGGCGATTCATGAAGTCGCTCTTTCGAACCTGGCGAGGACTCCCAACCCCTGAGAGCGGAACGGGGCTAGTGATGCCAAGTTCGGAGAAATTCCTTGCGTCGACCGGAAGACCATCCACAACCCGTATCTGATCCACAGACCGGCCAACAGGAGCATCCTCGCTGCTCGCCGACCTATCCGACACCGCGTCACGATCCCTCCCTTCGTACCCTCTCTCCACATCCTGCAAGTCAGGATTGTTCCCAATCCCATACCACCTCTTCTCCTTCTCAGTGAATGCCTTAGTCGCCTTATCGCCCGTGACAGCCGTATCCTTCGTCCGGTAGCACCTTCTACACCCGGCCAACACGAGCACAAACATCAAAAAGCCGCCCATAACTCCGAAAGCAATCCCAAGCCCAAGTCCGAGCTTCTTCCTAGTCAGATTCGAGAGATGCAGAGGCCCGGAGCCTGGGGTCGCAGGCGGCCTCGAGTTCTTGAGATCAGCTGGTGTCAGAGAGATACCAAGCGAGGTATGAGACGTAGAGTGGGTGACGCGAGAATAGGCTGTGAAAGTCACGGCGATATGAGTGTAGGAATTGATGTCGGAAGGAATCGTCCCGGAGAGTTGTCCCGAGGAGCCATCGAAGGAGAGGTATTGGCCAGCTTCTACGGGTTCGTACGAGGCGGTCATATTCACGTCTCCACTCCCTCCGGTCCCCGTCTGGTTCGAGAAGTAGCGAGAGAGACCAAAACCGAAACCTTGTCCAGGGGCGACAAGGATGGGCGTGATTACTGACTCCGAGAAGTAAGAGGGCACAGCAGCAAGAGAGACGCTTGTGTGAAGAGTCTGGTTGAACGAGGTCGAGAGTGTAACAGGAAGCGTAGGTGGGTTTTGACTGTTTAGATTATCTGGAGGCGTTCCGCTAAGCGCCCGGGTGGATGCATCGTACTTCAACCAACTAGAGGATGAAGTGTCGACGTCGAGGGAGTTGATCGCCGCGATGTCGATGGGCTTTCCGTCTGTGAGAACGCCAACGAAGTCCGCGAGCGAGTTCAGCGTGATGTTGAAGGGTATGGCTGAAGTAATGTTGATAGTCGGGAGCGAAGACGTGGCGAGTGAAAGTTCATGTGGCGCGACGACGACATCGAAGGGTGTGGAAACAGCCGAGTATTCTTTCTGGTCAGATCCTATGAGCATAAGAGAGATGGTCGAAGGAGTTGGCAGATGCATAGACGAGGGAGCAACTCCGTTGAGAGTCACAGCGTCGCCATTGAACTTCATCCACTCGGGAAGCGGGCTTCCGTCTGCCTGCATGGCCCCATAGAAGACGTCGTTCTCGCCAGTAAATGTCTCCCCTTCAAATCCAAGACTGAAAGACCATCCAGAAGGGACCCTGAGCGTCGGCGTCTCGCTGGCAAGGGCAGAGTTAATCGAAAGCGGAAAGGTAGAGGATAGAGTTGAGTTAGATGTATTCGAGAATTGGCCGGCGAGCGGGATACTGAGTTGCGGTGGCGGGTAGTGTGTGACGCAGAGCGTGAACCAGGAAGACGCGGATTGGTCGGTAGAAGAATCCGTAGCGGTCACCGTGATCCTAGGGGATCCTTCATCGCTGCTCGTAGGAGTCCCAGAGAAAGCCCCACTACTGCCGTTGAAGGAGAGCCAGCCAGGCAATGTCGAAACGTTATATGCGAGCTGAGCGTCAGAGGTCGTACTAAATGTGTTTGACGAGAACTGCCATGAATAGGATGAGTTGATGCGCGCGATAAGCGGAAACTGTTCGTTAATCGGGTTGACGACAGAGACCGAAGCAGCAGCGAGGACAAGAGCGGCCTGAGACCAGAGAAGCAAAAGAGTGAGGAACATAGGACAGAACATAGGACAGAGAGATAGTATGGCTTCGAGTCGCGTCTGCAGGAGGCGAACTTCGACGAGCGCAAGATTAATGCGATGTCGACCTGCGACCTGGCTTTTGTTGAGGACAACGACAAGAAAGAGTGGGCGCTGGCGGACGGCGGGGACGACGGCGGCGAGCAAAGGTAGTGAGCGGGTGCGAAGCGGGACGAGCTGTGTTCGAACTTCGGTGATCTCGATTTGGGACCGGACCAAATAACGCGTCAACAACGCGTCTCTCCTCCTCTACGATCGATCGATCACGGCGCTTGACTTCTACAAATTTAACTTGAATTCTGCACTCAAACACGGATAAAATCGATACAGCGCATGGACCAAAATGGAACAAAAAAACATAGAGGTATGAAAATGGAACGAGACGGGATATCATTGGAGAAGAATGCATCCAACAACTTATCGTGGCAGCGGGAAAGGAAATAACGGACGGGGCACGAAGATAAACAGGCTGGTAGAGGATTCAAGGGCTACGGCAGTAGGGTGAAATGGAAAACGACGACAGTACATTAGTAACCGGCAAATGTATCAAAACAAACAATCATAGGGACGCATAGCACAACAACAAGTCATTCTAAGATCATATTTGTACCGAGACAACAACCGTCAAAGAAGAAAACGAAACAAGAGCCAACCCAACAAAGACAGGACAGATCGTCAATACAACCATCATCACAGTTTAAGCACCGGGAACGAAAGGACCCAACCCCGCCGCCTGGATCAAGGCCGGGTTCTCCGCATTCAGCGCACCCACAAGCTGGATCAACCTCGCCCTAATCTCGTCCCCAACCTGGTCCGGCCCATTAGGGTCAAGCACATGCGCAAACACCAACACCAACTGCTCCAAATACGGGCTGAGCGCCTGCCCATTCGTCTCCGCGAGGTGGAAGATAGCACGGAAGATGGGACGGTTCTCGAGGTAGTCGTTCTTGAGCGGGAGCGAACCGAAGAGAACAGGGAGAACTTGGTCGAGAGGGACGGCGGCGGTATTGCGGGTGACGAAGCGGGCAACGGCACCACAGGCGTTATCGCGAGCGTTCAGCTTGGCGGACGACGATTCGGGGGTGACCTCGAACAGGGTGCGGAGAGCGCCGAGGAGAGGGAGATATTGAGGAGAGAGATCCTGTTCGGAATTCTCGATGAGGAGACCGGCGGCGAAGGCGGCGTTGCTCTGGACCTCGGCATCGGGGTCGCTGAGAGCACGGTAGAAGAGCTCGAGGAGGGGCTCGGTATAAGGAGTGATAGCGCTCTTCATGCCGGAGATGACCTCGGCGAGGCAGCCGATGGCGGACGAGCGGTCGCTGAGGGAACGGTTCTTCTTCTAAAGTATGGTCAAAACCAGTCAGAAAACATCGAGAAGGTAAACAACAAGGTGAACTCACGTAGTACTTCGAGATGAGAGGGAAGAACTTGTCGAAGGCGGGAGCAAAGTCTGCGCCGAGAGCGTTCGACATGGCGGCGACGAGGTCACCAGCGGACGAGATCAGGACGGAGTCGTACTCAGCCTGGTCCTCGGGAGCCTCATCAGCCTCATCCTGGTCAGGATCCTGCTGGCAGATGTGCTTCTGCTCGAGAATCTCGACCGCAAGAGCGCAAAGCTCGTCGTACTGGCTACCATCCAAGAAGGCAGGGCCAAGGGTGTTGATGGTCTCAGCAAGCCCAACGCAAAGGGACGAGACGACGCTCCTGGTAGAGAGATCGGCATCAATGAAGACGCAAAGGAGGAAAAAAGGAGTGAGACGACGCACTTGTTGTCCTCAGACTGGACCATATCGATGAGAGGAGGCAAGGAGTGGTTGATCAAGCTCTTCACGTTCTCGTGGAGAGGCTGGGGATGAGCACCAGGCGCCCACTCAACTGGACCACTGAGCTCATAGAACGTCCTGATGATCTCCAACAACGAATCGGTCGCAGACTTCCTGATACCCTCGTAATAATGGGGCAGGAGACCAACGAGCTCGAGGGTGCACTGCTCGACGTAGGGTAAGAACGCCATACGGGTGGCAGCGAAGACGGTGCCCATGGTGTCGGCGGCGATCTCCTTCTCCACGGCGATGGCGGAGTTGACGTCGAGCATCTTGTCAAGGTCAATATCCTCCACTTCGATCTCGCCGTTCTCGTTCGCGGTGGACTCGTCGGGGACGGCGATGGCGTTAGCGGGAGAAGTACCGGAGCCGAAAGCAGCAACAGCGTCAGCGGACGTCACTGAAAGGGAGCAAGTCAGCGTTGAGATTGAAAAATCGAACAGCACGGAAAGAAGACGCACAGCCAGGGCTCTCCTCACCGCTCTCCTCTTGGCTGCAGCTGGAGATGAGCGCAGGCACGACCTTGGGCAAGGAAGGCGCGAAGTCCTCGCCAAACACCCTAGCCATCACACCGAAGAACAAGAAGCTGCACTCCCTCAACCTGGCGCTGCCCAACTCGATGCCCTGATACGCCTGGATCATCAAGTCGTTGAAGTAGGGGCTGAAAACCTCCTTGCCAACAGCCTCCGCGAACGTCCCAACAGCGTCCATCGTGATGCCGCGGAGCTCGATCTCGTCGCCCTCGCCGGTGAGAGTGAGGAAGAACTTGATCCGGTCCATGGTAGGCTGGAAGTACGGAAGAAACTTCTCCTTGGAGGCATGAGCGGCCGAGCCGATGGCGCCAACGACGACGGACTTGACCGGTGCGGGGGCAGTCTCGAGAAGACCGGAAAGACGCTCCATAATGAGGTGGAGGTATCCCTCGATGTGCTCGTGGAGGATCTCGAGGAGAGCATCGAGAGCGGTGCAGGCGGAACGTTGAGTGACCGGGTCGTTGATGAGACCCATGATAGCCTACGACATCGGAAGACGGTTTTAGGTAGGTATTAATCGAGGCAAGTTTGAAAATACGCACGGGAACGAGGACCTCGTGCTTCTTGCCACACTCATCCTCGAGCCACTCGCACAGACAGCTGACGGCAACGCAAGTGGCCTTGCGGACGTTGACATCGGGATCCTGGAGACCAGCCTCGATGATGGGCCACACTTGGCTCATAAGAGGAGTCATGAATTCGCTGCAACCCTCGACGGAGACACCAAGAGCGAGCATGGCACCACGGCGGTGGTTGGCATCCGAGGAACTGAAGTATTGGATGATGAGTTGGCGAAGCGCAGGGAAGACCTGCGTAGGGGGGAGAGCAGTGGAGAGCGCATCGATGATGCGGAGAGCAGACTGTAGACGAATGATGAGAGACGGCTGAGGATGATGACAATGCTAAGTACGTACGCGGGCAGGAGCATCGTCGTCGATATCTTCGGGCTCCTCCTCGGCGGTAATGGGCATGAGCCCTTCGAGGATGGCGGGACCAAGGTTGTTGCTCTGGATTTTGGATTTTTTGCTGCGAAAATAAAGTAAGGGCTGTGGGCTTGAGAACAAATGATAATAAGGACACGTACTACTGAACGGTCCAGTTGAGGGCGTTGAGGACGAGGATTCGGAGCTCGGGCTCGTAGTTGCGGTTGGCGCCACCCTGGAGGAGGAACTGCACGAGCTGGGGGATGTGGTTGCTGAGGAGAGGGATTTCCTGTAGAAAGGCTTAGTGATAAGAGGGTGTGCATAGACCAAGAAAGCGTACAAGGATGAGAAGAGTCTCAAAGACATCGAAAACGTGGCGGGCACCGGGTTCATCACCCGAGTCGAGGGTTTGCTGAATGACGTTGATCATTGCGGGAAGGAGAGCTTGGAAGGATTTCTGCGAAGAGTGAGCACTTGGCAAGAGAAGAAGAAGAAACCGCTCACGATTTCGGCCTTGTCCTCGCCATCGAGATATTGTGCGATAGTACCAAGCGCCCTGAATCTCTGTCAGCGCGTCTCGGAAATGGTATTTAGAGAAAACACATACCTGACGGTGGTGATGCGAACCTCAGAGCTCTCCGGGTCCTGCAAGAGAGTCTCGAAGAGCTTGAAGAACTCCTGGGTGTGCTCCTGGAAACCCTCGACGATGTTCTCGAGAACGGTGAAGAGAATGTAGATGCCAACTTCGCGGTGTGCAATTTGGGGTGAAACACATGTTTGGTGAAGGTAGGGAAGGAGTTGAGGCCATGTGCCGTGAGGGATTTCGATGCCGGCGATGGATGCGACGACGCGTGCAGCAGAATTTCGGACGAGTTTGCTGGAAGAAGAGTTAGCAAGGACAAATGATTAGAACGTAACAGTGGATCCACTAACTTTTGCTCGGTCAGAATGAACTCCGGCATCCGTGCTTTGATCTGCTCGCGATCATTCTGCGCGACCTGGAGCCAAAGGTCGCCACTGTTCTGTGCGACGCGTTTCCTGAGTTCAACGGCAGCCAATTGACGAACCTATTCCACCATCATCATGAAGCAATGAGTTACAGGTATAACAGAAGATGCAAATGCAGTGGGCGCACCGGAACTTCAGGGGAGGAAGCAATGAGCTGGGCGAGAGCTGGGATGACGGCCGGATTTTTGTTGAAGTCTCTGTTGAGAGTGGCCGTGGCCTACGAGGACATACATAAGAGAGATATCCAGTGATTTTTCGAAGGAAAAAGACGTACCGCCTTCAGCTGAACGGTATCATTGGCGGTGGACTGAAGGAGGAGATTGTGAAGTCCTTCGACAAAGCTGGGCTGCGATAAAAGTTAGCAAACTCCGCTAGAAATATAATGATACCCTTTTACTCACATCCATGGCGTAAAAAGTCGTGAAAGGAGGGAAGAGGGGAGGGGAGGAGGGGATGAAGGTGGCGGTTGGGGATAAGGATCAGCTTGGATTCAAAAGTGCTGCTACAAAATTTTGTCGGAGTTTGAACTATGGGGGTACGCTCCGTTCGAACCTTGCTCCCGCCACATTCCTTGTTCTCGCTCTTTCTTGACGTCTTACAGTCTTCTGCTTTCACTGCGTGTTTTCGTGTAATTCCAGGAAGAGGCTGTGACTCTTTGATTTTCCCTGAGCAACGGGCATCTAGAGACAGACTACTGTGATACGTACGCAGGCCCAACTTGGTGCAATGTTCGTGTTTCTTGAAGGAGACGCCTCTCGCCTCAGCGACCAGTATCCTGTATGTTGGGGTCGCGATAATTCGGACTTCGTAGGACGCCTACAAAGCACGTCTTATGGATAAGACGGCTGATCATCTCGAAGCACTCGCGGACGTTAGCTACTTGACATACAACCTTATGTCGTTACTCCGGAACGTCTTGTCTCGCTACGGCCGCCATCTATCGTTCTCTCGTCGATCCAATTGAACATAAAAGGGTATCAGCTCCTCTCTCAACTTATGGGATATCTTCTTTGACAATGAAACGGATACATTATATCCAAGCCTTCGTGACGGTGTAATGGCTTCTAAACTCGTTCGACAGAAGGTGTCCAAATGTGAGTAGTACTGTCATTCTACGCTAAAGTCATCGAGCCTAGTCAACGTGGTATAAGATGATCAACAAATACTAATACCCCGCATCGTCCTCCTTCTTTTGTATCATGCGTTGCGCTTTTGAGATATAACAGCGTTCTCCTTCTGTCCAGCCAGCTGCAGTGCGTTGTGCCCCAAGCCTAGATAGGATCGTTGTTTCCTGTATGTCATGCATCCAAACAATCTTCGATATCTGGTCGACATACCCCTCACTACCTGAATATACGGAAAGCATACATGTCTACAGGTTGATTGTTGAACGTCGTAAAGGAACAGCGCCACATAGCGCCACACCTAGCTTATTCAAGCTCCGCCACAAATCATGATGCCCTGAACCCTCTCGACAAAGGTTCGACGTTCGCTTTATGCTTCGTCTACGCGTGAACAACGTTGTCTGATATCGCATCCGTATCCTGACGCTCGAATCTAATATGTCTCCGCCTGTCTTTGAACCTCTTGGAAAAGAAGCAAGTCATGATGCAACGACATCGATGGATTTGGTACGCCCTTTGTCCTTATCGCCTGCAAATTGGTCGTGTCGTGCGATGGTCGAGGCCAGATTAGACTCACATTCGTCAAATGCATAGGATCCTTTCGAGTGTTCTACGTCTATCGTTTCCGCGTTGGTCATTGCCTGGCTATAGCCTTTTGTTTTTCCCGGTCTCGCCACGGCGCTTCTCGACAAAACGACACACAAGACCGTCCTAATCGGGAAATTGCCTGGGATTGTGACACGGTGGTCGGCCTTTCGCGGCTACATAAAGGGCGTACGGGAGGGCGTTGACCTCTCTCGTCGCTTGCCACCTCGCGTCCAAGACTCCTTCGTCTTCCAACATTTTGTGCGTGCCACCCTGATCGCTATCGGCACCGGTACTCATAACAGACTTGGACTTCGCCAGCCTTCAACACTCACTCGTCTGTTCGAGACTGCATACGTATACGCTAAGTATGGCTTCAAATGGTACGTGTCAACAATCATACCCCACGTCTCACCCTCACGCTTACTGTCCCTATCCAGCCCCTCCAACACCCAAAACCGAAATCGGCGTTGCCTTTGTGCTACAACCAGGGACGAACAACACCATACCCACCATCATCACCCAAAACGCTGGCTTCGGCCCAAACCCCTTTCTGAGGTTCGGGAGAAGTAGCCGTGTCTTTATGCTCAGCTACTTCTTAGGGTGGGCTGAACTTGGCGACGTCACATACTTTGAGTGTCTTTTCCTTCCCTCCCGATCTGCTGGCGCTCGACCGCAATGGACCGGACCTCAACATTACAACAATGATTTCCCCCTTGGCGACGTCACCGGCATTCTTTACCTCGGCACGCACGATCCAGCGCGACACAAAGGGAAATCAGTTGAAGAGCTATTGATAGGAGGGAATCGTCTTAGCAGAAAGAAAGATCAGTATGCGTGGGTAGTCGAAGCGTTGCGTCAACTTAGACAGCCAATTGTCGCCGGACGTCTCTCGCTCCCATCAACGGATGATGAAGAGCCAGCGCAGAAAAAGGCAACCCCAGGAATGGCCGACTTGACTATGAATCATTGTCTGAGAAACTTTGGAAAGATGTTGTCCGCGGATTTCGTCACGTACCCGCTTATCCCACTTTGTTCCATCAAGCCTCGAAACGTCACGCCCACCATCGTCTACTTCCAAGGAGGTCGATTTTTGGAGTTCCGGGTGTGGTTTTGGACTGCTATAGAGCCTACGGAGGAATAATTATAATTTGATGTGAGTCTGACACGGCTTGCGTCATCCCTTTGTTTACAAGATTATGAGGTTTGAAATTCCTTTGTCATACAGGCGTGAAACAGATCGCGTCCCGTGTCCTGCGATACTGCTGGCACTAGGTGTCTGCCATATTATTTACGCTTTTGTACTTTGCCTTCGTGTTTCAGATCAATGCGATATTGTCACTTCGTCTCGCTGCGTACCCAGGTTACGCCGGCACCCATATATCTCGTGTACTGACACAACGTGGAGTTTGCTTTGTTCTTCGAGATGTGCGCGTTGGCCATGCGACGGTGGCTCAGGTGGCACAAGACAAAGAGAACGCCGCGACAGAATATAAAGATGGGTGTTCGCCGTCCCCTTCTCCTTAGCACCACCGTCTTCTCTATTTCTCGTCTTCGTCTTGACTTGCAGCTCAGTAAGTCTATAGTGTTCGCTTCGGCCTCAAAACTTGCGGACAACTCGTCCTGTTTGTAGAGTCGTGCCAGTCCCATCATGGTACGCCACAGCGTGTCAGCTCTCTTGTCAATCGCTAAATACTTAAGATCTACCCAAATAGGTTCAAATTCCGAAACGTGCTGGCCCCAGGAAAGTGACCCTGCGCGTTTCTTCCCCGCCTACCAAGCCACGGGGTGAGTCTTTGCGAGCCCTTTCGTCAGGCTCCGAACCACACTAATAATGAAAACAGCCACAGACATTGAACTCACCCTCCACATCGGTGTCGCAGTCATTCTGCCACAATCCGATACTGCGACACAACCTTTCGAGTTTGGCATCGCGACAGAGGTCGTCGACACCAAAGAAAAACCCTTTCTCTCCTACGACACAAAAACGACGATCTACGGTCTTGCTTACTTCCCCTCCAACCTCTATCGCCAAGTCGTCGGTGTCCGCGAATACACCCTCCGTCCCTCACGCCCAGCCTACTTCTCAGGCTGGCATAAAACGTCCTACGTGAACTTCCCCGAGGGTGATATAGCGTGTATAGTTCACGTCGGGAGCGTTTGCGGCGACGAGAACGCAGTGAACAGAGTGATCGAGACGATCCTCAGCAGCCAGGGAGTCTCCACCAGAACGAACTCGCTCGAGTGGGCGGCGGACGTTCTGGTTAGGCTGCGGATGCCCACAGTATGGAGGACGAATGGGATCGAAGAGGATGATCGCGACGACGATATATTCGATTTTGAGCCAGAACCAGAGTCTTCCGCACCGAGGTGGACGAGTTCCTGCGGACGGCGAATCGCTTTCTTGAACTGGCTGGGTCGCACGTTCCATTTTGTTTATCGTTCGCAGATGAGTGTTCGCATTTTTGAACCGAATTGTCCGCAGACTGAGGCTTCGAGGAGGCCTACTTACATTTCGGAGCATTCGCAGGGGTGTCAGATCTGGGAAGTGACTGATGATTAGCGACATATTCTGTTGTAAAAGTAGCATGATATGTTTGTACTGTAGAAATTTAAGATACCACGAGGATTTGGCTAATTCCATGACCGGAAGAGAGAATCCAAGTGTGGCCCAGGTGGCGGAGTGCGCCTTCCACCCTCGAATGTTGTCGCATCTACTAACATTGGACGATCATGCGCTATATCTGCTGAGTGAGTGGGTGACAAGGCTGTCTTTGAGGTAGAACTGAAGCCGTGTCTGGATAGAAAAGTACTTGTCTCCGTCAATAACAGCGTAGACCAGACCTTGAGTTGGGAAGCCGCGGGGCACTTCGATGAGCCACACGAAAGAAGATGTGGGTCAAATCTGAATCAAATTCCTTACCTGCACCTACACCATCCGTCGAGGAAGGCCACAAGTCTTTTGAAGAAATGAGATATCTGCAAGTACTTCGAACAGTCGGAACGATAGCCTTGCATGACAAGAATTTCCGGGGTCCAGCAACGCAACTCGTGGAAAGGACAAGCATACTCGAGTGGAAGGAGAGCAAATCTATTGAGATTTATCCAGACATACACGATACAGTGGCAAGGCAGAGAACCAACAAGAAACACGGAAGGAAATGTACCTCCTCTACGGGCCGCTGACGCCATATAAAAACCAACGTCGCGATCTTGGGGAGTAGGATTTAGTCTCCCTAGTACGAAACGGCTCAAAGTCTCCCTGATATCCTCTCCTTCGAAACAAAGAACGAAAGCGAGCGGAGAGAGACCCCAAATATCAGCCAACCAGGTGAACTTTCGATGCAGATCGTTGAGGACGGGCTGCTCGTTTATATATGCCGCGTGTGCCCGATATTCCCACGCACGGGCCATGAAGATCGCCGCGATTGCCACTGTGGCCTTCCATCTAGCGCAGACTCCGAATTTGTTGCTTGACGAGTTGTGATTTTTCTCTCTATCTGATACTGAGAAAACCGGTTTCGATATCTGAATGATTATACCGGAGCCTTACAGCCGGACGCAGGGCGAATTATACTCAATCTGCGACTATAACGCGACATCTTGAACACATCAACTTCGCCTTGTTTGTCAGTTCAAGATTCTTCTTGTTGAGCGTTATGGCCTACGAGCACAAAGTGTGCAGAGAAACAATCTAGTCTGTATCTTCCCATGATGGAGGCCAGCGTTCGTTCATTATACCAGCGTCCTTTGACCTTGCGCCTATTCCATTGTTGGTGGTGGCTCACAGCACAATATCCCCAATCTGTGACAACGAAAGCACTCGTACATAGATGTGATTGGTCCAAATGACCGCCCCATTCTGGGTAGTAGTAGCCACATGACATATAATGTTGCGCGTTTGAAGGAAACGAGTGGGGGTGATTGTTGCTATTGGCATCTCCGTCCAGCCTGGATTTTGCCTCTTCGTAACGCTTGATGTTATCCTAAATAGGTGACAGCCGGAATATCCTGAAAAAAGAAGGTCCTGAAGGATATGAGCAGAGTTTAAGTATCCCGGCGCAGCAATGAGTTCGCAATCATCCGTCGTGGTCCATCACCACAAGTTACAGCTTTCGCCCAAAATAACGTCAATATCAGAGCCACAGACAGCAGGATCCGGCTGGCGGACTAGAGTGGCAGTCTACTGAGATCATGGAGATAGTGCTTGCATGACCGCAAAGTAGGCCTCACTTATTATTTCTTTTAGCCCCAACATGCAAGCCAATTGTCATCTCAGAAAATCCGAGTGTCATAGCACCTGATATACACCCTAGCACAGCACGCTCATACCTCCGAACCATATCCCAACGAGGCTGTCAAATAACAGATAATGAGATACCTAGCCGTTGCGGCAGCATGCTCTTGACTGCGCGAACAGCTTGAAGCGTTAGCGAGCTCTCCAAAAGCGCTAGCCGAGTCCTATCCGGGACAAGGCGAACCAATGAGTACACCTTTCTCTGGTAAGTGAAAGACTGGTACACATTTATCTTCGCAGCTACATCGCGTTGCATCTGCGCAACCTCTGCGTTCTCGAGCGAGTAAAGCGCTCGGAACGTCACGTGAAATGATGTCCATTCGAGCCACAATGGCGCCACAAAATGTTTAGTGGAGTGAAATCTCTCCCCAACATGGTCGGAGGCGAAGAACATCATTGCACCAGATAGCAACGCAGGTTCATGTGCGGACGCACGCTCGCGGACCATTCAGAAGGTCGAAAGGGTTGTAATTAGAAGGGAGAGTGGCGGGGAACGCACCGAGGAAAGCGAGCTTATATGTTATTCGGGAGCGGTGGAAGTCTTGACGTTGAGGAACTTGAATGGTTCAAGCAACGACGATAAGAAGCTTGATCCCGACCAGCCGAGTGACGATGGAAAACGAAAATATATATACATCCCTGGTGAAGTGATGGAGGGATCACAGAACGTTATAAAGTTGGCATTGTTCGGTTCAAGGCACGAAAGCGAGAAAATAGCAAGAAACAGACAGCGGCCGGTCGTGAATCGACGACCTCTGGATAGAGAGTTGAAAGATGATAGTATCGTACGATCACACCGAGCCCAGGATATTAAACAGAAAACTATGTCTAACCCCCAGAGCAACTGTCATTGCGTGCGTGGAACGGGTTGAGCCGATGAGGACATACCAAGTGATTTATGACTTCCAGATGAGAATTGCTAGGGAACCAACATAGAAGTAGATGAAGTGCTTGGTTTCTGCAGCAAAAAAGACAGGACGTTAGCCCACGGGCGTCTAACACTGAGTCACCGAGTCACCACGCGACGCGCCACCAGACCATTGCACGCAACACCGCACGACCAGTCTTCTCAAATACAACGTCCACTACGGCAGAGAAGCGAGTAGACGATCAAAAGTGAATAAATGCTTACCGTGAGTGACATAACTCCCGAAGTTCTTCCCAACAACGACGTGCCAAGTTGGGCCGTGGCGTTTGTCGAACTCCTTCTTGATCTGAGCAGCAATATCCTTCTCGATGTTGTACTTTTCCAGAGCGGCAGAGGCGATGTCAACGGTCTCCTGCTGCATCTCTTCCGTCATATCAACGTTCTTGATGATGGCCTTCGCGTTTACGCCGACTTCCTTCGAGCCGGTGTCGTTGGACGAAGTCGCGTCCACTTTTTCGGACATGGCGAGTTACGAGTTGACTGTGACAGAATCGAGAATCCGGTCAGACGTGCGTCAAAAGTGATTGATAAATTGCAAAAAATAACACTCGCTGTGCTAGTTGGATGGGATGATGGGGGACGAGTCGATGGAAAGAACGCGCGATGAGGAGATCAAGGTCAAGGGCAGGGCGTGGGACAATTCATCTTGTATGAGCGGAACGCGTGTTGTCCGCCTGTGTGGCCCTGCTGCATCCTGTCATCCATCCACCACCTCGCCACACGCCAACGAGCACAACAGCCCACAGTCCTCGCGTCTTTCTCCCCATATTTGCGACCTCCACATGCTCCACAAGGTACGATTTTATGTCAGGGCGTCTGAACTGCGCTTTAAGACCTACTTTGCTGCGAACTTTCGCCTGGTTTCGGGTCGCCGTTTGGATGCAGTTTGGGGCTACCGCTCGCGATGACTTGCCCGTGGCCAACATCGGTCTCTGTGCGTCTGTATACAGGGGAGACTGAAGGGTCGATGAAGCATGTGCTGCTCGTGATTCACGTCCGGATTGTTTCGGCGAGGCGACCTTGTGCTCTTCATCTTCGCCTCTCAGGAGTTCACGAGGGTATAGTACTACAAGTCTCACCGGTTTGTACCCGTCGCTGCGCGGGGTCTAATGAGAACACTATGTGGTAATGGCGTTATGTTCGTGCTGAACAAATGCTCCAGCAGTGCGGAGTGGTCTGTGGTCACAGACCCGCTTGTGAGCTTGCAATGCACAACAACAGGGGTAGGAGAAAGCGTCAGCGCAAGCGCTCATGTCTATGTGAGTGAGATAGGAGAGTGTTTCACGCTTCGACTGCTGTGCTTGCAAGATCGCTAATTATACAATGCGCCTTCCTGTCATCTATCTCATCTATCTGTATTAGCCCATAGAACCGATATCCACCTTTGTCTCCAATCATATCGGTCTTATTCTGGGATTTTCTTCCGGGCATCGCCCAGGATACATCATCCTTTGTCGTCAGCGTGCTGTCGCCACAGTGGTTCGAAAATAGCGGCACACCGCCACAAAGGCCCTGCATATCTACTACCTTGGACATCTGCTGGACTTAAACTACACGAGCTTAGTCCATCGCAGCATGTACGTCTATCTGGTCCAGTAGACCCGTCCACACACCACGGCTTATGTTTCAACGGTTGAGTCCGGACAGACTGCTTGTGTCCTTCATGCGCGCGGTGATTGTGCACTGTGCATCGGGCGCCGAAGGGATTCTACATCGACTATCTCTCTGCATCGGTCTTTTGGACAAGCAACGTCAAGGGCGTCAGTCCTTCAGACTCATCGGGCGTTCATCCAAATTCTGCCTCCGGTTCTTCTGCGGAGAGTTCTTGTCGGGGTGGTCAGACCTTTGATCGACTCCCTGCTTTGTACTTACTTTGTTTCCCAATGAATCGCCTAATTCTAATGGCTCAGAAAGATCAGCCAGGATGTGGCAGGATACGTATCCAGTGTCCAGCTCACCCTCCGCAACGACATGTTCCATATGCGCCCAATCTCCCGAGGAGATTTGTGCCTCATATCGATCGCGTGTAATTGGTCTAAGGATTGCTGCACGGCACGGAGGACGCACCTTCTATTTCCGTGACCTTCCACTGAGCGGGTTTCATGGGATTCAGTAATCTCAAATCTTCACTTCAGGAGGGCCCAAATTAAGGATATGACCAAGGCCACCCGGGGGTACCTACCCTCGGAGTTCTGGTATGGAAGTCAAATCTTACAACCTAATTTGGCGTCCTTGAAAAGCTTCCATCGGAGCGGCAAAGATCCCATACTGACAGTATCTCAGAAGAGATCGTTAGGGGGAGTTATTCTCGACGGTCGCTGTCCGCGGACCTCCATAGACCGTTGAGGAAAGTATGGTAATCCAGTCGGAGCGAGCGGAAATCCGGGTAAAGTCGGGATTCAGCTACTGCAACACAACAGACGCGTTTAGGCAGGTCCCTATTGGGCGAGCTTGACACTAGTTCTATCCGACTGGAGTACCGGGCAAGTTCCATTGTCAGACGACTATCCGCGCTTTACACCGTTTGGTAGCGCATAGATTGTTAAGTCCAATGCAGACCAGAAGCAATATGCCTCTTACGGTAGTAGTGCCAGTGAACTCCTGTGCCCAACTGTCACGGTGTCGTTTTGCTAACGTAATAGTATCGACTACGAGATGATCTCGTCCCCCACAGTATCGAGCATTGTCCAGGGACGAGTCGGCTAAAGGTGGTCAAGCAGCAGTGAGGTTCTTGCCGGCTCTCACAACTCGACTGCTAAACGCGAGTTTCAAACAACGTCTGAAATCTCGTCACAAAAGTCGTGGCTCGTGCCACTTTCCAACTCTTGACTCTTTTTTTGAAACCATAGAGTGGACAAGATGACCCTATAGCGGTACTGCGCGCTCTTGTGGCAAGTGGTTTTATCACCCTGTTCCTTCCGAAAGGTATGGCATCTCCGTCGCAGAGATGGGCGCATCGGAACAGCTCTTGATACGCTCTGTGATGACGGTGCTCCGTCTACAAGCCCTGCCGGTTTGCTTCGGTAGGGATTGCGACACAGGTCAGCTGATATCCACGGATCTTGCGAGCGGGGTGAAGGGTTCGTCGCTTGAACTTCCATCTCCGTGTGCCCATGGGGTCGTGCAATTTTATGACATCTTCCGTGAGGATGTACTCATGGCTGGGAGCTGTCGGCACGGGGAACTGTTACTTTCCTTATCCTATTCTATCGGAGATCTCACTCTTTGAACTCACGGGCGTTCATGCTAGTTGTCCACCGAGAGACAGATACGGAATGCTGTCTGCGTTAGCTTCGAACTTGCATGAAAAAAGGTCTTCCGAGGCATGGCTAACGCTAACGGCAGTTCCGCTTTGGCTTTACCAGCGGAGTTCTTTCGAGAATGTTCCATGACTCGCATTGACATCCCCATTCTACTTAAGGGCGCAGTGCTTCATATTGCCCGCTGCAGGGTTCATCATCGGAAGGATGAGCATTGACTTTTGGCATGCTCGGATATCTCATCTGAGTGCCGACGGATTACAGTATAATCGATCTTCATTTAGAGTTCGCAACTTCCTTTGCTCTATGGCGTGCTCGCGTTGACCGCTGTTTGTTGAACTTTCCCCACGGCTGGGGCGTCATGCTCTGTCATACTGAAAGCTGCCTGACGCACACGTTCTTCTCACAAAATCAGGTGTCAATTGTCGCTATGTACAATGGGACTCTCATGCCCATGAGTTCTGACTGCGAGGTTCTTTTCTCAGATCGATCCTTGTGTTATTTTACGTAGGAGGCGGGCTTTCCAGAATTTCTTGCAGGCTCGTTCAAGCACTTACACGGTAAATATATCTCGCCTTCACGCTCTTTCAGTGTGCCTTCCATAAGGGCGCACAAAGACTAGCTCCTCTCAGCTGGCTCAGTCTTACCTCTTTAGCTTGCGGTACGCCCACACCCAACACCATATCAGATATGAAGTATGATGCTGATCACTCTCGCCGTTCAGTTGACCTTCTTTAATAGGGTTGGCCTTCCGAATAGCGACCCGTCTCCCGATTAAGTTTACCTAACTTCTCTGCAAGCTCAACGATTCCATTCAGATGATAGCGTTAGAAAGCGAGCGGCGGAAAGACGGGTGTACCCGTGAGCCTTCGCTATGTCATAACTCCGTTCATTATGCATGTTTTACTCCGTTGAACTCTGTTACATCGTCGCACCAAGCTCTCTTGTGCCGATGGCCTTCCTCGCTCGGAGCGGTATCTTGTGTCGCACTTGACCTCCCTCGTGTTTGCGAGACCTCCTGGATCGCACGCTGACGATGATCAGCCATTCGGAGAGGATAATGACAGATGGGTTCCGAAGAAGCTTACTTGTCCTTGGTCAGTACCAAGGCGTCATCTGCTTGATACCTCAGATACTGACTATTCTATCATCTAACATAGTCGCCAGTTGTTCGTGGTTATGTTGTCATGTAGAAATAACTTCAAACGTAACGCTCACTGGCAGGGAATTACATTCGAAACTCACAACTGTGTTTCTGTCGTTCCTGCACGTCCACAAGAGCTTATTATTGTTACAGCACCGAGCATACCTTACGGTATCTCCATCATCGATATCCAGGTCCTATACCCTACTACCAGCTTCCGGAACTAGGAACATGCCAACGGCTACTTCCACATCTTACTGCATAGTCCTTATCCCCGCCAGTGCCTCAACATCGCTCATCTCACCTTAGCTTGGTATATGGTCTTGTCCCGTCCCCGCGCCAGCGACACCTCTGTGGCTTGCCGTTTCCAGTTACAACACATGCCTTCGGATCTATCGACAGCGCGAACATCCCGCCGCTCGCTCCGTAGACGCTTATCTCCATCTCAATCTCTTGCTTCGCGCTCGGGAGTTTCCATCGCCAGCCGCTTTGCTGGTGTGTACTTACCGCATCTCCACGATGTCGCTAACGCGTGCTGTTCGTACCAACATTGAGTTGTCCTTCATCGATAGGCACCCGCGCCACCCGCATGCTCGACACCCTCCTGTACAGCCTCTTCAATGCGCTCTAACAGCCAACCGCAAGGCACGAGGTTCCTCGTACTGGCCATATTTCCCGCCTCGTTTCCACCACGGAGGATCGATGATGGTATTAGCCCCCGGCTGCGCCGCCCGTAAACCCCGTTCTATTATAGAACATTGTCGGCTTCTCACCTGCGGCACGTACATACGGGTTCTCTATAATACTGCCCCACGCCTCGGGGTTTTCTGCGGCTGGTGACGGATCAGATTAGGCTTGGCTTTTATTCGTCATGTCGGTAGGCGCTGCAGATGATGGTGCGCGGACCTCCAGCTCCGGGTGTACTAGCTGCGGCTTTCCTGCACATACACGCGTATAGAAAGGGACCACAAGGGTTGCAAGAAGAGGGATAGCGGTAGATGTAGAATAAAGTTGTATTTTTGGTGGAGTGATTTAGAACCGACGGCCGTATTTATGTACTTAAGTCCCACTGTCGCTCGGTTCTCGGACACCCAATATGACTTATTTGTGAATCTAGGAGCAATCTACCTTGAGACTATCTCTAAATCAGGAAGACCCTCTTCCAAGCCTCTTCAATCCGTTTTGGTATGATGCTAAATCGTGGTTTACTTTTAACTGCGATCTGCTCTTGTACGGTTTAGTCTCAGACTCTGAGTGTAGCGTTATGCAAGGATGCGCGACCGTCTTGTACTGTGTTCCTAATAACCTTCGCATGGCGGTCAAAAACTGCCGTATAGGGCGTTCTACTCCAGTGCTAGCAGAGACTCAAGTTTCAACTTTGCTGTGGAAAACTCGGAGAACTCGGTCCAGTGCGACGGAGATACATCGTAGTAGTTCAAGAATCGGGGAAGTCGGAGTAATATCTGCTCCTTAAACATGTAGAACGTCATGGCTTCTCGTAAACTTGAAAAGTCGTGTTTCACGTTGGGCTCACTTCTACGAGCTCAACGGTGCCACAGTGGCGCATCCTTCTGTGTCCTACATACACGTAAACATTTGAAAGTCCAAACCTAGGCTCGTTCCCATCCGGTTCCGGACAACGTGGCCCTACGTGTTACTCCGGGTTCTGTCAGGAACCGGCTGGGACGACTCGTCGCGCTTTTGGCGGGCGACATTTCTCCCCGCCAAATCCAAATCTCACCTTTGCGCAAATGAGGTCCTCCCCTCCCAAAAAAACGTCTCAAAGTGGGTGCATGAAAGTTGTAGATCTCGACGAGCTGATTCGAATGGTGTATACATCATTTTGGTGATTTTTTGAGCATTTGCGACCTCCCGGCGGTCAGGAGAGCGGCTGTCACGGGTGACAGGCGTTAGTGTCACATCCGTCACCGAGCGTTCCGTCGCGCATCGCACAAGAGTCGAACGTTGAACGTTGTTCAGTCCTTTCATGCTGGAGCTCTCTCGATGCTTTCCTTGCTCTCGAGATCTGTATCTGGTACTTCTACTGGGCTCTCCTTGCTGCAGCAATGATAAAGAACACTGTGTCTACTTTATATTACATATCAATACATCAACCTGCGCTCACTCCACCACCTCACACGTCGCTTGCAGAACGGACAGGCAACATCACCATCCACAAGTCCAATTCAATCACCACACGTCATATAATCTGTCAAAAACCGAGGGCTACCTTTATTGGGACGCACTGGATGGCCGAGGGATGTCATTTGGGCTTGGGATTGCTGAGTGGCGGGAGGGCTGGGGTTGGACAAGTGGCGAGAGAAGCGTGGTTTCATCTGGCTGGAAGTGCGAGGCTTGAGACCGAAGATGGGGATTAGGTACGTGGTGTATTGTCGGGACATCCTGAATGGGTGTGTGGTGTTGTGATCCTGGAGAGAGATGGGCAGGACCGGCGCCATGTTGCATCGTATGAGCGGCAGTGGCTGGGTTCACGTTCGTGGCCATAGTGTTGTGAGCCCCGTGTGGCGTGTTATGGGACTGTGGAGAGTGAGAGATGGGCTGAGTCGATGTCCAGGGTGTGGTGTGCTGATTCGTGGGCCAATATGGATATGTCGTGGTTGTGTGTGGCGTCTGTGCTTGTGTCGCAGATGGATAGTACGCTGTCGTCGACTGGGCGCTCGCGTTCGAAGTGAAATACGGTGCCACCAGACCTGATGGGTCATTGGTGGAATTCGCTACAGCGGCACTCCGTCGCTTTCGAGTTGGCGCTGGTCGGGTGCGATGTGGCGTCTCAGAGAGCAAATCGGGGTAATCTCTGAGCAGTGAGCTGGATTGTGAGGCGAAAGTTGGAGTATAGTGTGGCCCTGTTGACGAGCCTCGTTGTGAGCCTGCGTAGCTGGGCCACATGCCTCCAGGAGCTGACGGCGGAACAGAGTACGCAGGAGGAGACGACGGTGGTGGAAGCATAGAGAAATTTGGGTGTGGCGGTAAGGAAGAATGCGTAGATTGCGAAGACCTGGGTGATTGATCGAGCATCTGGCGAGCATGAGGGGGCAAGGCGATAGTCTTGCGCTGTGGCGAATCATCGCGTATCGTGAATCCTTGCGATGAAACGTACGAGCGGGAGCTTGTGCCATGTTTGCTAGGTGATGGTAAAGGGTCGAGAGGTGTTTGCGGGTCTTCCGCGATGCGGACCCGTTTCTGGGCCCGTCTCGTAGTCGTCGGCGTTATGGTGCTCGCATCGAGAGCACGTTTCAGTGGTTGTGCCGAAGCAGAGTCTTCTAAAACGAGAGTGTCGTTGTGCGAGCGTCCGCCTGACATTTTGCCTCTAGAGTCGTGATGGAGTTGCTGTGTCGTGGACTGGATCGTATGAGCAGTCGCCGATGGAGTGGCTGTCGCTGATGATGGGTGTTCGGTGAGGACCGGGACTATGCGGGCTGGCAGGGCACTCAAGCATGCAAAGAGTTCGTCGCCGAGGTCGGTCCAGTGGGCCCAACCAGGCTTGAGAAGCTTTTCCAAAACAGCTTTATTTGCAAGAGGATGGACGCATGCAAGGAGCTCGCATGTATCGTTGTCTAAGAGAGCGTGTGGCGCCCAACGAGCTCGAGGAAAGTGTTTGTGCTTCGCTTCTCGACGCCATCCATAGAGAGCCTCACGTACGTTGGGGAGCGGATCGTGGCGCTTGATACCTGCTTGACGAGCAACCTTTAAAGGTCTGCCTCCTCGAACTCTATTGAACAATGTCGGGTTACACAGGTCACAGCACTCGGCGGCCGATACAACTAAATAGATTACACGGTGAGTACACCAATAGATATACGGATGAAAGGGCACTCACCGGGCGGTACATTCTGAAATACCTTTGACAGGAAGCGACGTCGACACTCCGTAGTTTGTACGAAGATGTACAACCCCTCGAGAGGTGCATTCTCGGTGAGTATTGGCTCATTCCTCACCAAAATAGCATCATCCTTCCCGCTGCATGATCCGCGCTTCAGTCCACGAAGCACTGCGTCCGCCAATGTTAATCTCCTCGTTTGAGCCGCCCCATGCCCGGAACCACCGCCACCGCCACTTTGACCATTTCCACGGCGACCATTCTTCCCTCCTCTCCTTCCGCGTCCACCTCTTGATTGCGACGATCCCGCCAAACTGCCCGAATCATCCTCAGAAGACGCCAACGCTGATGTAGGATCAACTTGGAATGCGCTCTTCTCGACTAGCATGACGGCTATACCTTTCCGCCCTCGCCCCCGAGCGACTCGACCGGCGCGCTGGACCCATGAGCTGAGAGTCTTTGGTGCCTTCCATTGGACGACAATGTCGATATCTGGTATGTTACATCCCTGCGTGGTTTCCATGTTAACTATGGTGACAGGGAAAGACAGGGCTGGACACGCACCATCCCTGCTGCATCCGTACAAACCAAGACCCGAAGCACTCCCGCACGGAATAGTTTCATTGCTCTCTTGCGGTACGTACTGGACATGGCGGCATTGTAGGGACGTACGAGTCCTAGGTGCTTGAATTGGTCGGCAACCCGACTGTTCAGATAATCGACCATGTCGGCGCCTCCAGATGTGTCGTCGAAGTAGATCATGGTCTTTGGGATGTCGGTGACAGCCGAGACATGGGGTGGAATGACAAAGTCGAGGTCTGCGAAGCTTTTGAGGGGATGCTCGATGGAGCGAACGACTTGCGCAACATTCGGACGGTCATTGCCGATGTTGATGTAACGATAGTTGTTTGGATTGAATTGAAGCTTGTCAAGGATATCGTACCGTACGCGTGCGGTTAGAGTTGCAGATACCGCAATGAAGGGTGTCGAGCGCCAGAGGTGAACACGTATGGTACCGATAGTCCCGTACTTTTTGCGGAATCCAGCACCCCAATGTGAGACGCAGTGAGCTTCGTCAATGAAGACGGATATGCATCGGGCGGCGAAGTCGGGCTTGCGAAGTACACCTTCGATAAATCTGCGTGTCTGGAGCATCTCGGGCGACACAATCACGATCTGCCATTTGCCACTGACAATTTGCTGTATAATAGATTTCGCCCGTGAGTATTATGGGATACCGCCGAACCAGAACCCTAAATGAGGAGCTGACCTTCATCTTCTGCGCGGAGCAGCCCGTTTTCTCCCCCTGCGCTGAGTTGACGGCGATAGCGGAGAGCTTAAACTCGTCTTGGAACGCCACCACCTTGATGAGGAAATTCATCAAGATGTTGATCGTGACAGACAGATCAAAAAGGACATACCTGCTCCTCATGTAAAGCAATGAGAGGCGAAACGAGCAGCGTGACCTTTCCTTTTCCTTGATTGGAAGGTAGAAAGTGGGGAGCCGCCGCGATGAACGTCTTTCCTGACCCCGTACTCGCGTGAACGACGGCGTCCTCGCCAAGGTGTGTGGCACGTATCGCATCCAACTGGAACTCTTGCGGTTCTTTGTCGAACCAGGAAGGCAAGTTGGTCTTGACATACTCTGGGAGCTCTGCGAGTTCTGCGATGCGAGACTGGCGCTCTTTGGCAGACAGTATGGGCGTGGGGCGTGGAGGGCGCGTAGAGCAAGGCTTGACTTTATGACGGCAGCCTTTGGGTGCGTGATTGACGGGTGTTTTTGGCGAGCCATTGTTTGTAGACATGATGTGGGCAGGATGGAAAAGTACAGTGTCGGGACGTTGTGCGATGTAAAGTGAGAGTCGGTGAGCGTACGACTGAAAAAAAACCAGACTGGTGTCGATCACTTGCCTCTTTGAGCTCACCGGCGGTCATTCATTTGGCATAGTCGCTGCTCACCATACCCGCCGCTGTCTTTTGGTATTCCTTGCCCTTCTTGTAAACTCAAGATATAATGCCCGCCGAAGTGGACACTTGGCATCGAGGAAAACCTGGCGGTGACGAGGGTGTGTGGCCAAAACAGTCTTCATTTATTAGACAAAAATAACTAATCTGTCTTTCCCGCGCAGAAATAGACGATCACGCTACACATAAATCACTGTTAAGGTTTTGTCTCAGTCTTTGCCTGAATCAGAGTCACTCGTACTCACAGATGTGTTGTCAGTGACTCGGATGACAGCTCTGAAGATATCCCTCTCGCAGCTGCGGTGACCCATCCAGCGACAAATAGTGACACGCCTCGGGCAAGAAAGTATCCCATCGAACACCCGCTTTCTCCACATGATCACTCCCCTGGATATGGAAACATAGATTCCGACGACATCCCTCTGGTTTCCCCACCACCGAAGTGGACATCACATCGAGTGGCGGCAAACCTACTCCGTACGCCACAGAGGACCACTCGCCAACGCAGTCTTTCGGACCCTCTCCATTCCACATACACAACTCCCAATTCCTCGCCAATGTACTCGCCCAGAACTGAACGCCGCATGATGAACCAATCTAAGGCAGACCAGAGGAAGCATACGATAGAGTCCAACAAGAAAGCGGCCGAGCTTGCAGAGGAGCACCAGAAGTTTGAAGCGAGAATGAAGAAGACAAAGTTCTTTGATGAACTGTTGGAGATGTTGACGGTGGAAGGATACACCCTAGTAGAATTCCTCGATTATATCTTCAACCCGAACAACTGTCTCGCCCGTGACTATCGCTGGAGCGGCTTTTTCCAGAAGAAGGCCGCGGTTCTGCGCATCCTGAATTATTGGTGTACATCACACTACAGCAAGTCCGTGCGGGTTCTTCTATATGACTGGGCTATTGCACTCGTCGGGAAGATTGTGCAGAGGGAGGCGAAGAAGATAACAGACATCGGAATTTTACGCACCATGGGGAAGACGATCAACGAGAGCTTCTTCTTGTCGTACCGTTTGGCTGCGATGGCGAAAACGTTGAGGGGATTGGCCCCAGGCATGTTTTCTGTGATGGACAAATTCTCTACGACGACGCGTCAGCTAAGAGAGATGAAACCAAAGAGTCTTGATCGCAAGAAGCTTGTTCGTTTTCTCTCCCTGCACCTCCTACCTCGTGACTGATTTCAATGTACGGTTTATCATTTAGCTCCAAGGATCTGCGGCATTAACATTACTAAAAGGTTTCAGCGAGAAGAATAACTACCCGGCGGCGGTCAATGGAACATATCTCATGGCTACGGGTGGTCAGCGTCAACACTTTGGCGTCTTTCGAAGTCTCGGGATCATGCCTGGATACACAACTATAATCGCACCTGGAGATGTGATGAAGATAGGATCAAAGTCAGCAAAATATCAGACGGATATCCAAAAATCAGCAGATATGACCACAACTGTATGCTATTCCATTGCTTCTTTTTCGTCCGTTTTCCTTAGATATCGTGAAGTTGATCAGTGGAACTGACTTGAGCTGCAAATCGTGCAGAGCGACGTCAATCCGTTCGACCTCAAGCATGCCGATGCTGACAATGGAAGTAGCGCTAATTCTGACAGCGATACCACCACTACTTTATCGACATCGACAGACCGGAGTAAACGACGCCGACGCCAACCAGAACGGAACCTTCGCATTCGCCAGAAGGCGATTCAAGACAAACTGATTGTGGCGGCTGGCGCCACATCTCGCTCTGGTGCCGCATCAGCCAGTGCTTCTACGCAGACTCGAGAATCAGCCCAGTCATCCACCACACGTACACCCTCGAGCGACCAAACTAGCACAGGGAACGTCGAACCTGCTCAAGGCAGCTCTACTCACGACCCTGCTGCTTCTGCGGACCCGACAACGCCACTTGACATTGGAGCCGAGAAAGTAAACACCACTGAACAGACCTCACCGAAACGTCGAAGGAAGGTGCCAGGCATCCTTCGCCAGTTGTCTGAAGCGTGCAGGGGTACAGCACGAGGTGTTGCTCAGGTTGGGCTGTTTGGGTGTGTGTACGACAACATCAATCTAATGTTCCGAGTCGCTGAACAAATTCTCGGGCGGAAGAGTAAGTTTCAAGTTGTCGGATGCCAGTATGATATCTTACACTGTTACTCACAATGTCATTGATATCTAGACGCACAGGAAAATGGCACATGTGCTGCAATATGGCCGCTGTTCGCGGCCGAACTCGAAGACATGAAGCTGTCTGAAATCAACGACGCCATTCTCAATGCTCCACCGCTCGAAATCAAGCATATAGAGCTCACCGAAGAAGAACACGATCTCCACAACAGGTGCATGATTCATACGGTCCAACGTATTATTGTGATGTTTGGGGGTTTGGGCTTCGAGCGATGGAAGGCAGAGCTAGATGCGTCAGAACCATTCACATCCGACAGAATCCCCACTCACAAGACAGATATCCACCCGTTACCAGCAATGGAGATTGATGAAGCACCAATCGTAGGAAATGTTGAGGTTCTCGAGACCATATATCGGGAACTTGAACTGGTTACGGAGTCCGAAGAGTTTACACATTACGCCAAAATTATATGTGGCGACCAGCTCACCATCGCTCGCCAGCGGTCTATCGTGAACATCCGTCTTGGCCATGAAGATGGTGCCGACTCTTGGCAGCACGTCGCTCTCATGCCTGGTCTATTTCACGTCAAACTCGCTGACTGCAACGCATTTATGGAGATGCATTTTGGGAAACCGAACGCCGCTCAGCGCAGTCCAGGGGGACTCGCCTTCCACAACAGTGTCCTCGACCGCACTCCCATCCTCCTCACCAGTCTCCCTTCATTCCGGACATGTCGTGATCTCATCATGACCTCTCTATATGCTCGGGTTCTTCATTGCCTCCTTCTTGTTTCCGGGAAGGCGTCGTTAGAGGAATACGTAGCAACGGTCGACTCTTTCAAAACTCTGACCGAGCACGCCACTCAAATCTACAAGACCTACACCAATACCGATTTCGTCCAAGAGCTCCGGGAGATGCGCGCACCAGAAGAGTATCGCCGTGAAGCTGGTCGAAAGGCGGCAGAGTCACAGAAGAAATCGAAGAAGAAGAAGCAAGGTGCGTGATTCTTAACCCGTTTTTGGTTCTTATGACTGATGATACTTCGATGGGCCACAATCGCATGTATGTGTCCAGATTCAACCTCTACTGCACCATCGTCTGAAGCACAATCGGAAATCCCACAAGGCCATGTCCCAAAGGGTGACATGGTTCTCGAGAACGCCTATCTTTTCATGCGCGATGGTTTGTTGACCCGTCTATTTGCTGATTCCATCAAGAGCGGCGACTCTGGCCGGGTCATCATGGTCTTGAAACTGTGGACATACTCTTTCAGGGGTAATAATCGTTCAAAATACGCCCATGAGATGTTGCATCTGATCCACAATCTCATTAACGTTTGGCCAGCCAAGTTCCGGTAAGTTTCACTCTGTTGCGGAGCTTCAGACTGTGAATAATGGAATTTGCACAGCGACATCATCATCAAGAACTGGCTGCTTAATCCCACGGGAAAGGACAATGCATTTGTGGAGGTTGATCTCGTTCAGGAACATTTGAACTTCTGGATCAAGGTCAGTCTCGATACTATCTCAGCCTGAATGTGGTGCTGATAGACATACCCCAATAGAAAGTATACAAAGCAGACGGCGACTCACACTCCTGGGACTGGTTAGCCATGGTCGCACCCACAGTCGATGTCTTACGCCGTTTGGCAACCTCAATCCACGAGGAGATCGGCTCTCGACAAGGCTCTAAACACTCCAGTCCTGAGATATCGAAGGACATCAAGAGATTGATGATGAGCATTGACGATCTTGATGTCTACAGGTATAAGGAGGGCCGTGTTCTTGATGCTGACGAGAAACCTGTTGCAGATGCGATGTCGGTTGGATTGGCAGCACTTTCGCATGGGTCGGCAGGGAACCCACTTACCGACTTCAACGCTCAATGGGCTACCGCATGTGCACGCCGCCGTCTAGTTCCTATCTCTGCGCTCTTGCCATTCCTCAAGTACGATGATCCCCTCGCTGACAAACGCCTTGGGGGAAACGGTCACGCCGCACCTCCTGATGATAATGATGTACGTCTATCTCTATCCATGTTTCTATAAATTCCCCTTAGGCTGCATCATCTAACCTTGAGCTCATGGCTACTCAGGCCATCTCGCCAGACGCCTCTGAGCCTTCAGTCACTACCAATACCGAAGGTGCATTATACGCTTCAACATCCTCCGCCCTCCCCACTCTCGCCACAACACCGAGATCCTCATTTGTGCCCGAACCTGCACTACTCTTGGCCATGGATATTCCGATCGAGGTCGATGAGGACTCGGACTGGAGAGATGACGAAGGCTCTGAACCTGATTGGGATGAGCGAGAGGATGAATCGGAGGACGAAGATGTGGACCGAGCGCAGGCCTTGTCTGTGGAAGACGGACTTGTGGGGGTTGACGAAGACGACGTTGCTTCAGATATCGAGCAAGATGTGGGTGGCTCCGATTCAGGAGATGATCAAGGGGACGAGCTGTTCATGAGTGGCGGGTTTGATGTCGAGGACGAAGACTTCGCTGGTGCTGACGATGACACAGACGACGATCAAGGATGGACTTCGCAGTAGTGTAGACATATATACAACGGTTTTCTTCATTTTTGTCGATCTTTTTGAAGGAGTTATCGACGCCACCCGTGACCCGACTGACGCCGCCACACGTAAGTAGCGCCACAACAACTCTGCGTTGACCTCGGTCCTCGATCTCGCGACGTACCCTTTTCTTCCCAACATCCACTACTTACTCTCTTCGCAGTTTGAAGGACGGGCAGTCGCACTTCGACACACCCTCTTTGACTGACGGTCATTTTTGTTGATGTCCTTATAATCTTCAACATCATGCAGGATGAACACCTTGACGGAGACCCGGCCTCTACGCGGTCCAGCAGAGAGTAAAGTGAACAATTGACTGAAAGCTCCAAGTACGCAGCATGGTACTCGCTCGTGGACTTACATTAGAGAGTTGCACCTGCGATACATTACTAAAATAAGCACAACAGCTCCGCCATGCTCAATATCTACGCGTCTGGATACAAACATCCACAGGCCTGCCATTACTCGACCAACCTACTCTACGACCCAGACCCCTCATCGCTCCATTCCACCTTACTCGGCCTACCATGCTATTAACATGAGTTGGGAGTGGGGAGGGGCGGGATGCTGACTACCTATGTGCAGACGAGGTCGGTCCCTGTTTTTGTCTTCTTCTTTTTGCGTTGGTGTTTTGTGGGGTTTCCTTATGTTTGTGTTGCTGGGACTTTGGGTCCACGTTCTGCTGGAGGCGCTTAGTTGGGTGTGTTCACGCACTCCAGCATCCAATGTATGCACAGAGATGACCTCAGCACATCTCTGAAGGACGATACGATCTTTTTTCTCCTCCCTCTTCCCGCGCAACATCGTCACTGAACACGTCTGGTTCGAACGGGAAACTGCGACGTGTGTGTAGCGTATAGCTCACGTCGACAATATAACCACGCAAAAACTCGTTGGAGTGCATTCCCTATATTGTCTTTTTGCACGAATATGTGGAGATAGTGTATGACAAGCCGTGCTGAGTTGTGTCGTCGGCATAGGTGTCGGCCCCTATCTCGCATGTTTGGAGGACCACTTGTACGCCACATCAATGGCTTTTATATTCAGCATCTCACTTTACAGATGAAAAAACTCATCTTTCCCTCCTGCTTTACAGCCCATCATGGCAATATGTCTTGTACGCCTGCACCACGACCTCCATCATCTGCGCCACCGCCTACGCGCCCGGATGCGCCCTGACCGACTCGCTGCACGAACTCGAATGGATCACCGTATTCACCAACGCTGAAATCCTCCCCCTCCTCGCCAAAGTCCTTCCCCGACACCCTCCATATGTCTCCTCATCTACGACGGAACGCCCAAACCGGACCTCCTCGATGAAGCTCACACGATTGGGAAACAACAAAGGTGTGATGTGCAAGCGCTGGAACCTCAGGTTGCCGCCCTTGGGAGCATGTACACGCTGTTCGGACACCACCCCCAGATGGACGATAACCACCTCACCTTCCTCCCATCTTCGCACATCCTTGAATACATCGTCGAGCTCTGTTCTGTGTTTATCGGGTTGGCGCTCGGGTATGGGTGCGTGAATACGCTCACGAACGCGTCGGTGAGGAAATGTGTATACGATATCAAGGCGTTCAGGCCGACGATTATGATCGGGCGCCGGAGGTGTTATTGTATCGTCAATTGGGACATACTCTCGAGTTCCTTGTGATGCTCGAGATTGTATTGGCTTCTATGTTGTGTCTCAAACCCTACGGTATTCAGGTCTTTGGGTGACTTACACTTCCTGAGGGTACAAAAAACAAGAAATATTCACAGAACACCTTCCTTTTGATAACAAGCCAGTGAGAGGTGTATAATTACTCGGTGTACATACATAGAGCCTCCAGATGAAGAACAAAATCACCTCGACATCTGTGTGTTCCGTTATCGTCGTCGTCGTCGTCGCCGGGCATAAGAGTGTGGCGGGCGCCACAAATCAGGCGTGACAGGCCGACAATCACGCTCTCGCCCGTCTTGCAAAGTCGGCGACCAAAAATGGCCAAAAAATCACTCAGAACTTGCCTACACTAATCGACTCAGTTTTCTTTTCTGAATAAAAAATATATACCAACTTTGAGGACTTTTTTTACGAGTGGAGGGCCGTTTTTCGCAAAGTCAAGCTTTGGATTTGGCGGGGAGACGCGTCGCCCGCCAAAAGGGCGACGGATCGTCCCAGTCCGCTCGCGGAACTCGCTTCTTAATCTGGAACACTTAAGTAAGCAAGAGCACGCGAGCGGAATGGGGACGAGTCTAGTCCAAACCTGCCGCGGGAGCAAAGTATGGTCTATCCACGTGGGTGCCGCGTGGGCGCGCCGCCTTCTTGAAACCAATTTCTCGTTCGTCCCACAAATACAAGCACTCAACGAGCCCCAAAGAACCACCGAACGCAGGCTCTCCTTAAGTATTGTATAGAATCTTTCCGCTGTGTTCTGCTTTTTATCCATATCGTCGAGCTTCATCCGAGGATTGAGCGCTATAATGATTGTTCATCACTGCCAAGCCGGTTCATGTTCCGGCAAGTTTGGTGCTCGGGCTCCTATGGTGCAAACGGCTTAGACGCCGCCACTTCTGTACACAACGTTGAGGACGGTGCCGCGGGCCGAGATTTGAGAATTTTCACTATCCCTCTTCCAGAAACACTCCTTTTGATGTAAGGAAGAGTTCCTCTAGAGGGATTATCCAAATTCTCAAAACTGGCAAAGATGAACTTTTGGATTTGGCCACCCCGCCAAATAATAATATTTAATTCATTTGTTTATTATTTTCCGAAAACCAAGGGGGGTGCCAGGAATTTTCTTTCAATAAATGGGGATTTCGACTTTCGCCGACGAAATTGGCCGCTGTACAAAAGTGGTGATGACTAAGCCGTTTGCACCATAGTCGCTCCATATGCTGTGGCTTCGCTCGCGTCCAGGGCTCTGCGGTTGCGAGACGCTCCAGAGACGAAAAGACGCAGTTCTCGGTCGATGCTCGCGCGGTGGAGTGGTGGGGCTATCATCCATTTCTTGCTCAAGGAAGAACGTTCGATCGCGTCCGAGTAAGTTCTACGTTCTTCGAACCTCTAAGCCACTCGGTTCGGACCTGCTGTTGTGTTCTCCTACCCCTTGCTCGATACGAATTAATGCTCAATTGTAGTGCATGACTATATTCGTACGTCTTCTCTAGTCATCTTGGGCCACATCCGAGCCGGTCTAGAGAAAGGCGCCGTACGTACGCGTCGTTCAGTTGAAAAACGTGTACACGTTCATCCTGTTGAACTTCGGGATCGGGAAATCAAGTCGGAAGCGTTTGTTCGAGTCATGAACGAAGGACAAACCAGGACCCGAAATTCGGATCCCATCCACTGACCCGACCACTGCTCCACTTTGGAGGCCTGCGCCACCTGACGAGTGCGCATTTCAGGTAATCCCTTACCGTGTCCTCGGCTGGAAGTTAAATCGTGTAATGGCGATTCTTCTTCGACTCCTTTGTCGGGCGGTCCAGACTCTGCACAAAGATCTTCGAATTTGAATCAGTAGATTCTGGTTCTTGCACAGGACGCACTTCTTGCTTACTTCCGCAATCACCGTGAGGTCTCGGCCACAGTTCAAACGACAGCAGGGAGGGAGTGGAAATTGCGTTCAGATATGGTCTTGCCATAGGCTGAGATCGACTCCGTGCTCGAACCGCGCACAAAAGGCGTACTGTGACACGCGTCATCCTCCGAAGCGACTCGGATGGGGAATCGCGTGGCTCTATATAATGACCTTGGCTACCGGGACTGAAGGTCATCTGCTTAGGAGGTGAGCAGTATTGGTGCGAGCACTTGTGATGATGTTCGTCATCCATGACCAGTTGAAGTTGTGGCCAATAATCAACAGGGTATTAGTTCATGCACGCGAAGGGCTTCGAGAGCATGTACAGGAGACTTCCATGCAGCAGAACAGAACAGAAAACTCCTCGACGGGTCACATCCCCGGAGGCGTGGAATTATGAACAGCTCAGCGTGGAATGCGTAAGCAAAGGCGAGCGATACGGGTTTACAATAATATCAGCGAGAATGCACAACGAAGTGCATGCAACAGAACACGAAGGGTTGGACAGGACCGGATCGTATGAAATGAAAGACCACAGTACGACGAGGGAGTTCCGGCTAAGGGAGGAGTGGCGTGTGGAGGAACACAAACAAGCAGACTATAGGACAAGTACGTTGTGGTATATGTACACTTGTAACGCAAAGCAAATCAGCAAAACAATCCAGCAAATTAAATTACGTCTACACACGGAGGAATCGTCAGCTTGAGGTCGACGAGGGAAGATCATGCGGATACGTACTCACAGTATGCTATTATACACCAAAGAAAGCTAAGACGACAGATCAACCAAAATAGAGAACGACTCCCAGAGCGGACTGGAGAACCTGCAGACGAGAAGAACATTGAAGCAATTGCGGGCGCAGTTGTAAGCAGGATGAAGTCGTAGGAAACGGAACGGCCCGCAAAGATCGTGAGATACAGCAGGAGAAAACACATGGGGAACCGATGAAGACATGATACAGTGAAATGAAACGAGTTGTGATCCGAAATGAGCCAATGCTTGAGACCAGAGTGTAACCGCGGGCCATACTGAGGAGATAAACCGACGAGTGACCAGGATCCGAAATGAAAGTGAAAGTGGAGCTGCCGCATGGAGAATGAGACGTGATGGCAATGTGACAGATAAAACGGACATTGAGATGAATATCCACACGCGTGCTCCGTCAAACTGCGAAGGACAAACACATACCACGAGATGCGAAGTATGGGAGGTAGGGAGCACAGGCCTTCACCGGTCATCATCGGATCCGGCGTCGGGTTCCGGTAATCGTCCAGGCGCCGTTCCGCTTGGAAGAATGTGCGGGCCAGCGTGACGCTGTGGCTGACGCTCTACGCGGGAATCACTGCGGGAGTGAAGGCGTGGAGTAGAGGACGCAGGCTGTGAGGATTGCGACAGCCGTCGGGAGGAGGAGAATGAGCCGCTGAGTCTTGGGGATGAGGCCGACTGCGCAGACGCTCGCTCAGCGGTGTGAGCGTCTGCGCGCTGGAGTTTTTTGACTGTGACGCGGGCGTGGTATTATAAGGCGTTATGATGGAGGACAGAGACAGCGGGGATGGCTTTGTGGTAGCGTCGGGGCGGAACGAGAAAGAGGATGGAGGAGAACGATCGTAGACCCGAGATGTCGATGCCAAATTGCCAACCTCTGGAGACCTAGCATCGAAGGGTTGAGACGAGTAAGAGGGAACATCTGGACGGGAATGCTGTGGGACAGAAAGATGATGGAAAGGTGGGACGGGAGATGTCATGATTCGTAATGAGGGTATCGGCTGCTCGGGGCCATGTCGCAAGAGCGAGTAATCTTCATCGCGAGACGGCGCGCTAGCTGAAGTATGAAATGATGGTGCTGGTGGGTGAACATCCGTGAAAGGAAGCGAGAACGACCCCGAGGGACCAGGTGGGATAGGACGCAGAGCTCCATGCACCGGAGCCATGTCGAAGGGCCGCGGCGACTGTACGAATGGTGGCGGGCCAGTCAGGCTAGCCAGCATAGCTTCAAGCTTGTCGCATCTGCTTTCCACGGTCGCCAGCCTAGTCTTCAGTTGCTCGTGCTCCGCACGACTAACGTACTTATCTCTACGAAGCGAATGAACTAATGTCAGCACTAAATAGGATAAGAAGACGCCACACGGCCGAACATACACAGGCTCGATTACATGCCACTGACATTTGTGCTGATCGTTGCGACGAGTGCAGGGTCCGCATGGATGAGCCCTACAATGTCTCAACTGAACATGAATCGTGTGCGAAGAGTAAGACGATTGCCAACCTATCACACTTGATCTTACGTCTCTTGCACTCTGAAGGCGAAGCGATGGTCGAGCCAATGGAAACCGAGCCCGGTTGTGGATGATCGATGACAAGAGCGGAATGACAAGAGATAGAAATGGGAACGGTACGGAGAAGAGAAGGAGAGTAAGGTGCTGAACGAGGAACAAGATGTAAACGCCGCCACTAACCTGTACAGCTGAGCGCTTGGCGTCTTCGCTTCTGCTTCGGTCTACGCAGGGCGTCGTCGCCATCGCCATCCGAGTCGCCGATTTCAAGTTGCGCTTGCTCAGGTGAGAACGCGGAAGGAGGTTCGTCACGACTGGGTATCCAAGTGTTAGAGCTCTCCGCCACAGATGTTGAAGGAAACGATGGAAGTGGCGGAAATCGAGGATCTCCCGAGAACTGCGCATGGCGTGGACCCGGAGGTGGAAGGTCAGGCTGAAGCTCGTATATAGACGGAAGAGAGGTCTGAGAGGCCTGAGTCGTAAGGGTAACCCGAGCAAGGTGAGGGGACAACTCGGCCTCGTCCTCGACAAACTTCCGCTTGGTCGAATGAGTGGCGATGGGGGGTGGTCTAGGGGGATCCATGAGGCCCGCAAGGATCAGAACAGAATCGTAGGGAGTGGACAAGCAGAGGGGATCCCAGATGCCACCGAGAGCATGTGGGGCGAGCGGATATGGGCGAGGGGGTCCAAGTGGTACAAGAGATCCAAGCATAAGCCGTTATATTCTGTTTCAGACTGGCACGGAGATTGATCAAATCAACAGGTCGCCTCCAAGTCCGAGCCATCGACATGGCACCTTTTCGGCTGGCGGCTTGGACCTCTTGACCCGCTACTATCGTGTCCTGTCTCTTTTCCCTATGCAGAACATTGAAACGATACGCGCTGTCTTGTGACCGTACTGCAAGGGAAGTCTGAGAAGACGTTCGTGCGGCATACGTTAGCTCACGCAGGCCAACAAACAACCCCGACAACTCAGACACAGCTCCGAGCCGGCAAATGCCGGGGCCTTGGTAGACGCTAATACTTACCACAGCAGCCTACTTATCGTCTCCATCTGCGCACATCGCCGTGGGCGTTTCCCTGGCAGCGTCCCTCCACCCGTCTCCGGATCATAAATGTATCGGGAAGGTTGCAGGAACGCGCGTCATTCTAGTCATAAATTGTGGAGATGCTCGACGAACTTTTCCCTTTTCGTCGCTTTTTCTTCGATACTTTCATCCGGACAGGGAGGCTCCACCCTTCGAGTCGGCTCACGACGGTCAGTACTGGTCCCCGCCCCGTTGCTGTTTCATGAATGACTTCTCAGGATCAGATAGGGCTCGTATCCTCGTGCCCTCGCGCTTCGAGCCGCGGGTCCGATGATGCTCAGATCCACCGACCTTTCAAAGTTACCGCCGCTGATTTCCGACACATACACTTCGCTGGCGGCACCTGAGATCCTTCCCCTTTGGAACAAGCTTTCACTGACAGCGTTACTGTCAGGTGCCTGATATACCAATGCTGCAAATACTCTGTCTGTATTCCAAATCGCGTTCTCATGCTGCAATGATGTCTATCCGGGTTGTCATCTGAGCGATAATGCGATGAGAAGTAATGGGAAACCTAGTTTTTTTCTTCTTCCTTTGGCACGTCGATCGCTGGGTAGAGCATCCGTTAACCAATATTACCGCTTGAGTGGATGCTCCGGCGTTCGCCCGCAACTCGTCCTGAGTTTCACACCCTCGTGAACGTCGAAGTCTGCAACTGGTCTGTGTCTAATGTACGGAGAGATCGCACCATAGTTGTGAAGTAGCGATGGTGCTGACACTGTGGCCCTCGGGCATGCATGCCAAGTCGATGTCGCTGAAGCGCTACCTCCAATAATGCTATTCTAACATTCAAGCCCTGATCTGCCCCTTCATTTCATAAGGCTAATCCAACGGCGGTCACCGTATACGGCCGTGTACAAAGGCAACCCTCGCAGTTTACGCGAAGCGCAACGGAGAGGTCCAGTTTGATATCCTGACGAACGTTCAGACCTCCGTTGTATCCCCTTGAAGAGATGAGACAAACAACGGTGCAATCGATAGCTTGTGCACGGTATCGGCTCCTCATCTCTCCAACTCGCACGCAACCGCTCAGGATCATCGAAAATTTCTAGACGTATGCTGTGCGTGAGTACTCGAATTACGGTAACTGCACAGCATCGAGGTAAGACAACTCCTATCTCTGTCGACGATGGATCCGTGATAACACGAGGTCGCCGCCCACGAGCTCGCAACGGATGGAGTGACTGACACAGCCAAGCCTAATTTAGCACTGTCAGCGGTCAGGAATATGCTTCTACTGTTCTGTCTAAATGAGCCTCAGGAGGACCCTCGCCGCTAGGGCGTGTTTCGCAGTTTTTCTAGGGATCTGAGTAAGAGGAACCAATGATAGTCATTCCTATGTTCGCGACCATTTGAAGATCCCACCGATCAGCGGTGGTATTCTCCGCCTGCGGCTCTCTCTCTTCGGAAGACACGGTAAGGCTCAGTATAGGTACCGTCAAGCACCTCGCAGTTTTGCACGCGAATTACGCGTGTTGAGATCATCACGCAGAGACACCGCACCCTGATACCACCCGCATCGTTGGCAGAAAGCAAGAGCATACTCGTGATGATTAGATGTCCATACAGTTGGCATTGAGTGTGAGCTTAACTTGCTGTGCCTCGTTCAGAGTGATTTGTTCTGTGCAGACTCTAATGCTACCTCTATCTGATGTGACTATTCACGCGTCGCAGAGACAATAGAGGTCGACAATGCACCTGGAAACCAAATACCAGATTGAACTAGGAAGAGATGCTTCCGTCCGTCGCGGAAGTAGAATGTGTCGGCGGAAGTAAATAGCTTTCCGACAGGAGGTCGGCCTCAACCTCACGGGATGGCCAAGTGGCATCACCTTGCCAGTATTGTAGCAGTACATTGACTTGCTCAATCGGAACTGGCTGTGTCTCGTCCAAAGTCCTCTTCGTCAATTCAGTCAACATCGGATCCGCATCGATCGCAGCTTAAAAACACAGCGAGATTATGCTCAGCGGCAGGACTCCGATACAAATCAATCGCCACAATCGGATTCGCCGCATTCCTGGAGGTCGCTGTAAATTGGCATACACAGCTTGCCCTTGAGCTTGTGCACCTGTATAACCCGGTTGCCAATGTCGTCGATAAAGCCAAATAAGAGTATATGAGCGTGAATGTCGGGCAGGAAATATTACGAAACATCCTGTATCCGCATTCATCCTTAGCGCTTTAAAACAGTGCTTGAACCTCGTGTAGAGGTCTATCGTATATCACCCCTTTCAATCGGCTTTGAACCATGATCGTCAAGTATAAGGGACTTGTGATCGTCTGACTTCAACCACTGCAAACGCCCTAGTACCACAACGAATTCATCCTTGAGTACACAAAGTCCCACAAGGTCAAGCGGCTACGACTCGTTAGTTCGTCTAGCATATTACGTCCCGCAGTACACCTCGCACGATCTTCTACTGAAGTCCGAGGGACAGTAGACCAGAACACCATCTGTTCCCGAGAAAGCCTTATCGTCAATCGTCAGGATGGAGCATGCATGACTACAACATGCATAAGGCGGGGGGAAAGTCTCCGATACATTGAAGTCCACCGCACGCATGATGGAGTTTGTGTCCTTCGGATCAAAGCATAGACGAAGACCAAACCCGTCAGCTCGGCCGCTTCTCCATCGAACGCAATATAAGAAACTGCGAGAGCGTCCGCATCGATCTCGGGTGAACGCGCTGGCGCTAGGAATCTACGTATATTTCCCACGTCTCGGTGATAGAGGTGCAGCCCGAGCATTTGATCCTCGGCCCATGTACGTCCCGATCGAGAAGTGAGACACCAAGAAGCGGCGGCACGATCACATGAGACCAAGAGTACGTTTATCATGAAAACGTTAGGGAGGACGTACAGCTCACTTGCGCAGAAACCGCGTTCGGTATGGACACGGGTAGGAGACGCAGAATCAATTGTGTGGAGCAAAGAAGACGCATGACTCGACACCGGTCTATGACGAAAAACTGTAGACACGATATAGAAAGCAGGTCCCGCGAAAGCAAGTGCCCGCTAACGGCGTTTTGACATACCACTTCAGTCGCAGGACTCTCCTTGCCGCCAATATGGCCATAGTCTCCGAAGACAACATCTCGGCAAGAATCGCAGCTACACTCGATAGAGAAAGATGCTCGCGAACAACGGCTTGACTTGGAGTCGGCCCCTGAAAGGTCACGGGCGCACTCAGCAGGCGGGCAAGCCGAAGTTGGAAGGATACTCAAACCTTCATTGGTGGCAAAGCATTTGATCATCCTTAGTGATACCTGCGGGACCTGGTGCCCATAGCGCAATACATGTAAGAAGAGTGGCTAGATAGAGCTTGTGGCTTCCGAATCGAACACACAGCGCAGACTATTGACCTCGGAAAAGGTCCATGGACGAAGAAAGACTCGATATGCAAGGTAATTGTGCTTTATCGATGTAGATGGACACGAATATCCTGGGCTCAAGAAGGAGACGCACCTGTTGGTGATGAAAGGTGTACATGCTTATATGTCTCTATGGCAGAATTCCGACCGTTGGGCACGCATTGCTGAAAATTCGAGTCTGGGGTGTTCATCCAGGTTCATCCCGGGCCAGTGGGTAGATATCTTTCTTTCTCTTACTGTAAGGCCGCGGTGAGGCCACGATTCTTCTGAAAGAGAGATTTGCCGGGAGTGATGCGCGAGTGTGATGAACGTTCGGTGGGTATTGTTCCTGAGAAACTTCAAGTTGGCCGTTCATCGTCGAAAATCGAACAGGCCCGTGCGTGGGAATGTACGCATGTGGCACTGACACTGGTGCCACTGTGGCACTCCAGTTACTGGCGGGGTTCTCTCGGCCCATACGCATCAGTTACATGCTCATAGAATATGGCAGAACTTGATATTAACTTTCTCTTACATATAATCTAAAACCTCGGAGGCCACAGTACAGATAAAATGGCCAGAAGGTGCTCTCGTCGCGCATGTTACCGGTCTGCAGCGCTACATGAGGAACTCTGAAGAAAGCATTTTTTTCTTCAAAGTGTGAGCCAGATTTGAGACATCAGAGACCACTGCCACATTTGTCCGTGATGTCTGCATACGGGCTGAGGAATGGAAGTGAATGTTCGGCTGTGGTTGACGTCTTCCATAGCGGGTGTCCTCCATGTGTCGAGGAAAGAGAGCACTGGTGCATGGTCAAACCGTAAGGCCGGGAAGAGCAGGTCGAAAGCCGAGAGAAAGCGGGGTTGTCGGAGAGACTACTACAAGGTAGAAGCGACGAGACTGACAGCGATCGGGCACGGGTAGGCGCTCGTCTATAATTTGAAGAATCTCACCAAACAAGTTCTGAAATGGGGAAACGTGATGGCAGCTGCATATGGGAAATGGAAAGATGAACCGTACGAATATGCAGTTGCTTCCAGGGAAGCTGAGGTTAATGGCACCAGGATAGAACGCATAGAGCGAAATCTCTTGGATGCGTTCATTAGCTGGAAAACAACACACGGTTCCTCCGTAAGAGGTTAGAGAGATATGCATTGATGCGAAATGAAGGGAATGTGAGGCTCTTCAAAGGAATAGTGAAGCCATTCAGGCGAATCAAAGAACTGCCACATACGAAAACAGTGCGTTGAAAGGATCATTTAGCTCTCGGCGATCCAAAACACCATCGGAGACATACGAGAGTCAATTTGGGGACCAAATCGCCACTACGACAAGAATAATATAGGGCGCAGTCACAAGCCAAGACTGTATGTAGATGGATGGTATGGATGAGCTCCGAAGCGGGCTTCTGGGTCGTTACACCTTCAGTCCGTTATGAATGTATTTGACCGTGAATGATATGGAGGCTGCGAGTACCTTGACCAGCATCGTGATCGAGGAATTTTATTTCCCCGTACATACACCCCTGGTGATAGTTGGAACTAAGACAACCCGAAAGCCGGAAGAGGTCACGATAAGGCTGTCGTGCAAGTAGTCGCAGAACACCAGGAGCTATTGTGTTCAATCACGCAAAATCGCCTGACAGTCGACTGGCTAGCCTTAGCTTGGACAACAAGATGTGAGTCAAATCAAGCAGTGAAGACTTTGAGTACGTTCTTTTGAATCCTGACTGAAGCTGCTGGCTCCTAGGTCTAAAGCTAAAGCTTTGAAGGGAGGATCGCTTGTGACGGCATGAAAAAAGATTGATGTTGAAAAGAACGCTACCTTTTCCTCCTCGGGGAACTCCGGAGCTCCGAAACGAGAGGAGTGCCACAGTGACTCGTGTGGCTCTCCCGACATTCACCATCTCTTTCCTTCTCTTTCACTCGACTGCAAGGTAGCATAACGAGAAAGGCTCTATTCTTGTTTTGATTTTCGCACAATGCATATAACTCCTTGGACATCGAAACATCATGCCTCGTCTTCATCGTCGCTCACCTCCGACCGCATCCGTACACCCAATCGTTCCAACACATCATCTCCAAATCCATCGAAGTCCAAAGGAAAACCCAAGACCCCAGATATACCGAAGTCGAAGGAAGTGAAAAGATTGGAACACTTGATTGAGGGGTTGAAGGCATCCATAGATGGCAAGAAACCACCGGGCAGGGCGGAAGCTTGTTTCTGTCAAGGTGCGTTCAATTCTTGGTAGTTCGTACGGCGATGTGAGCCGGGATCATTTTTTGTTGCTTGGTGGTTATTACTTCACGAAGACCATCGTTCTGTATGGTCTTTTCCCGTAGTAAACCACTCAGGGGGTGATTGGGTGGAATTATCTATCTTGGCGAGGTTTTATCGCTTGTATCGGCCACCTTTGGCGGTTCGAGTGATTAGTATCTGTGACATCTGATTTGACTCTATCAAGGATCGAATTCTCTCATTTCCACTGTTGAATCTCATAAAACTTCTACAAACTGTTCTGTCCTCTTGCTCAGGCCGCCGATTCAACACCTAGACCCAATGACTATATGAATGTCTCCCCATACACTATCCTCGACTAACGATTAACCTTATATGTTTGTTTAGCTCGAAATCACAACCTGTCATCCCATACGCCCCTCTGCACTTCTTGTGGGCTTATCCTCTGCGCGCTACAACCGCCTTATTTTCCTTGCCCACACTGCTCTTCTCCCCTCCTCACGCCATCCCAGCAGCTGTCGCACCTCTCTTCCCTCGCACTCCAACTCTCCGAAACTCTCGAACGCGAAGAAAACCAACGATTGCAAGCCATTGAAAATGCAAAGAAAGCCGCAGGCGCATTCCCTGTGCTCGGTGCCACAATCGCTGGTGCCGGCGGTAATGGCGGCGGTGGAGGAGGTTTCAGAGAAGAGCGGGAAGGTCCACATAAAGTCCTTTCCCTCAACTCAAAAACGAAGAAAGTTACCCTCTCGTCATATCACACCCCTCAACCGACCCTCTCCCCACACCTTCTCCTCAAGTCCTCCGCGCCGGAGGTTGAAGATGTCGTCACGGATAGGGTACCTCCGCCATCGGCTGAGGTTCCCTTCTTTGAGACGAAGGGAGGTGCGGGGGGAAGGAACGATGCACAGAGGTGGGCTGATTTGAGTGGGAGTGGGGATACGCAGGCTGTTTATGTGGATCTACCAAGGGAGAAGGCAAGGGCGAGCGAGGGCAGCAGAAGGAGGAGGAAGGGGAGAGGAGATGGAGGCCATGGAAACGCGCATACGGTTCCGGGTGCATCGTAGTTGTGATGTTCTGTACGCTCTTCTATTATATTTACAGCCTTGACCATCTCGTGGAGAGAAGGGGTCATTTGGCTGTGGCCCCTCTCCCGTCGCTGTCCGTAGTCGTCCGCCGCCCCATTTTCGCTAACTTGTCCAGAGTAATAAATACGACAGGTCTTCAACAAGCTTTCCACTAATACTGTAGCATGCATCGTTTCGAAGGACAGCATAATCTCTCCTGACCCAACGGCTCTTGGCAGCGAGATATTCACCCTCGTAGCCCATTTTCTGTCCTCAAGGGCCGTTTCATCAACCTTTAGTCCTCGATATTCATTGCGCAATTAGTCTCTTTTTCTCTGTTTGCTGAATAGACGCCCCCGATTGAGAGATGGTCGACGGCAAGGGCGGGGTGGCGAGGCCCCGGTGCCAAAGGAGTTTCGGGTCGCAGTTGCCATTCCTATAAACAAAGAGCCTGGTTATTATATATATAGGGCTGCGTACTTGCCGTAAAGATCCAGCTCCCCAGTTGCAACACCCCTTGCAAAAAGGTTCCCACGCGACGGTTGCCTCTCGACGCAGGTCAATTCAAATTGGTGACACCCAGTCGCTTACCGCCACCAACCTCGAGCTCGAGATCTACCCAATCCTCGTTTCTCTCAACACGGTGGTGTACCGACCCGATCTTTGTGGAATCTGGCCAGCGTGGTGCTAGATCAGTACTGAAGCTGCTTCAACCTTCAGCTCCCTTGTATCTTATAACAGTATGTTTCAACGCCTGACGCTACTATTCGATGCGAAGCTGTGTCTGATTCATGTTGATCCCCCAGGCCATACTACGAGAAGCAAGCAGCAACGGTATGAGCTTCTAGGCCCTTTTATTGTTGAAAGTATTTTTTTACGATCGTTATCTCCTTAGGACGCTCTTCGAGCAATAACATCGAACATGTGTGGATTTCCCACGGAATTATGGACCGATATCCTCCGGATGTCATGCGATCCTTCTGTCCCAGTTATTCTCAACATCGCGCACGGTACCATCTCCTCAGCCGACCCTCTGCTAGCCATCCCTCTGGTGTGCCATAGATGGAGAGATATCGCGTCGTCTCTCCACCTCCAGCCATTCAAACTGCATATCACAGACTCGATTGATCTATGTCAGGAGCTAGCCGGGTTCCCTTCTGTGGATAGCACAGCGCGAACTATGGAGCGTTGGCTCGCCAAATTCCAAGGCAAACCTCTCGTTGTGGCATGCCGTTTCGCGGTTGACAACGGATCCATGTATCGGCCACAGCTGTGTGTGGTGCAATCACTCTTCTCACATCGGAACCAGTGGGACGATATGGATCTCGATATCCGTCCATTTATCAAAGACGAGATTGGTGATTTCCTGGAGGACGGTCTACCGCAACTGAGAAGACTGTCCCTGCGCTACCCGCCGGTCCACGATTACCGATCCGCTGAGCTCCCCGCGCTCGACAAGTGTCCTCTGCTGCAGGACGTAACGCTCATCAACATGCACCCTGACATTTGGGCCTTTCGAATTCCTTTCGAAAACCTGACGTCTTTGAGCCTGTTCGAAGAACTGTCAACGGAGGCGATTGACCTTTTGGGTCTCTGGGCGGGTCTTTCCGTAGCACATAATCTTCAGTCCCTCACTATAGGCGTACACCGCCGATATATCTGGGGCGAGCCAGTGGGTGTGCATTTTCCGAATGTTGACCTCCCGCATCTTCGTAATCTACAAATTACTTCGGTGTCAACCAACTTTTTCCACTTCACCTTTGGCCATCTGGTCGCTCCGAAGCTATCCGCCCTCACCATCATCTCACGTATCGACAGCACACCAACAAACCGGACGCAAGGCTTAGGTATCATGGCCTGGGGTAGCGACATCACCAGGCTGTTCCGTCAATTTCTCTCCCGGTCTCCATCGCTCCGAGAGTTCCACTTCAACTTCGACACTAGATCGCCGGACCTCTACTCGATCCTCTCTCTACTCCCGGACCTCACGTCCCTCTCTTGGCCATTGCCTCCTACAGCGAGCTGCTCCAGCCTCCATCTACGATTCGATGATGCTGGAGGCAAACGGAGACTCGTCTCTGGTTCATGTCCTAAATTGGAGTCGATCACCTTTTACCCTCAGCCTGATGGCCATGTAGCAATGCCTGCTCACGTGTTAGATGATTGGTTCAGTATGATAGAGTCGAGATGGAGAGTACCTGAAGACGGGGTAAATGTCGCGCGTCTTCGGGTGTTGAAGGCGCACTTTCTGGCGCATGATCCGTCACAGGCAGTGCATGAACGCTTGTGGAGATTGCAGGATGAAGGGTTGAGGTTCATCAATTCATTATTTGATTAGGTACGCTTGTTCAGCGCCATCTTTCATCTTATGAACTCTCAAGACGTGACTTTTTCAGAACTGGAATGTTACCTTGTATTATGAGTTTTGACGATACATGGACCGAGTTTGAATTAGTGGCTCGTTTGTATTCTTTCGCCTTGGGAGAATCATAAGATGCAGGCCAAGCTCGTGTTTTTTTACAGGAATTTAGGAGACAGTCCACCTTTCGTACCATCAAAGTAGGTAGCGAAATTTGACTTGAATTGTGACACCTCTCGGAACTGTAATCTGGATTGCTACCTTCGTGAGCATCGGTATAGTGAAATTATGATAAGGCGTTGGTATTATAACGCGCACGTATGAACGGTGCGGTTCCTTCTGGTGGACCGCCAGAATTTGCGCTTCAGCTCATATGGGCCACAGTCGAGGGAGATATCTCGCCACAGCCGAGTCGGTAGTATTCCCACGGAAGCTCTGTCGTCGAGGCCTGCCGCTTTTTCCTCGCTCCCCCATCTGACCTTTTCCATCTTTGCGACCACTCGCCCAACGCTCTACCCGTGCACTCCGCTACGAGTCCTCGGGAAAATGTGGGTCGCGACATTATTGACGGTCAACGAGCCCCACACCCTGCGAAACGCGCCCAAGACTCGGCTCTTGTCACCCTCTCGAACGGGGTAATGTGGATGGAGTGACAAATTCAACATGATGATCCAATTCGCGTGCCCTCGTTGTCGATTTCCTTCTTGGTAAGTCCGTCAGTCGAATGGATGTATACTCTGGGCGGGATGCGCATCGTCATAGACGTCTGAACCCACGGTAGGTCCATGCCGTCTGGCCTTGCCATGCTGGAGGTTGAGTAAGGCGTTGAAGTATAGCCCAGCTTCGGTGGCTAAAGTGCAATCCACATCGTTCGTATGTATGTCAGCCAGTATCGACTCGTAAGTATCTGGTGGCAATTACACCTACTGAGGCGACATTTGAGAGATATATAAGATGGTTAAATCGTCCACAAGGTTTTCAGCCACTGCCTCTCATATCTGGCACTCCTCTTTCTATCTAGACGAACAACTTAAACAAAGATTCACAATGTCGAAAGCTACTTTCACTCTCGGTGGACCGGCTGCTGGCACCAAGATCTCCAAGATCGGGGTAAGCTTACTGTGCTACTCTATATGGCTCTTGCGTCGCTCATAATGTTTTTGTTTTTTGCGGTGTGATAGCACGGCCTGATGTACATGACGTTCGTATTCGTCCCTCTGATATTGTATAGGCCCTTGAAGCCGTCAATCTTATGACCATCAGAGTTTGGTTCGCTGAGATGTGAATATTGACTTCACCGTCCAGATGGGTCCCAAACCCTGTTCCTGACGAGCAATGCTTCGAAGCCATGAAAGCCGGCATGGACACGCTGCCCCCCGGTACGAAGATGGTACTCAACAGCGGTAAGCACCTATCCCAACCCTTCCCTCCTTCGTCTATTTTTCTCTCCCTACTCTTCATGTCCACCCACATTCATTGATGCTGACTCAAAGTCGTATGTATCTGTATGATGTAGCCGATTTCTATGGTTTCAACCCGCCAGAGGCCAACCTCGAGCTCATCGCGCGTTTCTTCGAGAAGTATCCCGAATACTCTGAGAAGGCGTTCTTAGTCGTCAAGGTATGTTACGTTCCTTTAATTACCTACCAAACTTGTGTCAGAGTAATAACATTATATCCTTGGTACACAGGGCGGATTCAAGATGGGCACCGGGCCCGAGCTGTCGTAAGTATTCCCTTCTCTGCGGTTTCTGAGCATAATCGCTACCCTATCCTCGACCGACTCACTCACTCACTCCCTTCACAATTATCCTACCCACTACTCCCAGCCTCGAAGCCCTCCGCGCCTCCGCCCAAAACACCCTCTCCAAACTCCGTGGAACACACCCCATCGACGTCTTCGAGCCCGCACGCATGGACCAGGCAAATTACCCCCTCGAAGACGTGATGCGCAGCCTGAAAGCGCTGCAGGAGGAGGGTTTGATCAAAGGCGTCGGATTGTCGGAGGTGAGCGGGGAGACGGTTCGGAGGGCTGCGAAGGTGAGTTTCAAGTTGCGATTGAGTAAGTATTCGTGCGAGGGTGGTCGGACTGACTGAGAGTGTGTAGATTTTGCCGATTGTGACGTGCGAGATTGATATTAGTTTGTGGAGTTACGAGAAGGAAACGCAGAATGGTAGGTTCCTTCTACTCAACGATTTGTTGTTCGAGGCTGATGACTTTTGGTTTCTCGTTGGTCTACATAGTCATCGACGCGTGTAAAGAGAACAACGTAGCCGTGCTTGCTTATGCGCCTCTAAGTAGTGGAATCTTGTCGGGAAAGATCAAGAAGACCGAGGATGTCCCAGGTTAGTATATGCATAGTTCTCAATCACCACACGGGTCGTGTTACTGATATCGATCCTCTTCCTCGAATGAAACGCAGAGGGAGACCTCCGCCACCACTTCGGCCGTTTCACCGAGGACGTATGTTCTAACTTCTACATTCCCAAATTCCTCCCACTTTCGAACACTGTTCGTGTCATGACTAGTTCTGACTGACAAGGATACCACTTATAAACAGGCAATGACGAACAACGCGGCCATCGTCGAAGCTCTCAAAGTTCTCGCGGTCAAGAAAGGATGCACGCTCGCTCAGCTCTGTATAGCTTGGGTCGCCGCCCTTGGGGCCCACGTCATTCCCATCCCTGGATCTTCGTGCGTCCCCCTTGTTCTTCCACTCCGTCCGACTAGTATCTGTCACGGTCCACCTGGACTCATGGTTTGATGCATGGCCACAGCAAAGCAGAACGCACCGTCGAAAACGCCGCAGCCGGAGAGATCGCCCTCACCGCTGAAGACTTGAAAGAGATAGACGCGGTTTTGGAGAAGTATCCCGTGCATGGCGTCAGACACATCATTGGCGTGCCGAAGGAGGCGTTGCATCTCTGGGGTTGAACGTATGACGAAGTGCTTGGTGGGCGATGGTAGAGCGCTGCCATGTGTAAGACGAGTACGATGAATTGAATTGACCATGCGTGAACGGTTTATATTCATCCATCCTGACCAGAACCATGGTGACCATCAAGTTGCGAGCGACACTACGGATTATAATAAGTCCTCCTAACTTGAAAGTATCGTGAATTGCTGTTCCATCGCCATCGATAGTTTCGACCCAGCGGAAGGCGGTCGGAGTACATGAACTTGAAGCTGGGCAATGCAGACTTGCAGGCCTTCAGTTGTTCGATGAGCCCTAGCTAGTAGCAGCGTATCCTCCTCCAGCCGTCAAGCATGCGACATGGGCCAACAAACGAAACTTCAACTGGCAATCAAGACCGGTTGAGTACGTTCTCGTACCATGAGAGATGCTGAAGCGCTGAAAGAGGCGCCTTGTGTCACGGTTTACAGCTGTTTGCCCGCCGATGGTTGTCGGCACTTGCCGGCTCACAAAGGAAATCACAACCACCGGACGCGCTCGCTCTTGGCTGCACACGTACAATTGTAGTCGAGTCGACATTTCCATCAACGACCACGAGAACATCGCGGAAGGTTGAGACGTTCTCTGGTGTGTTACATGGACTTCGTTTCGATTCAGAGTGAGCGTCGACAAGGCTGGTTCGGTGCCACCTGGACCATACCGCACCAAATCATAGTGAACCCGGGGCCACAAAGTCCAAATCCAAATCATTCATGTCGATGCCGAAGCGCTGAACTCAAGCCTTCAGCAGAGCTCGTCGTTTGTGCGACGTACTCACTTCTAGATCAGGTTCAAGTAGGACGACGGCATGCGAACCTCCTGAGGAGACTACTTATCTAGGATCAAGTGCGCGAACGATGGACGGTCAACGTCGAACCGTCATTGTAGATGTACTCTACAACGCGTCCCGTTAATGTTGGACTCTTCGAGCGCTCCTCCGTGGTGAGACCTCGCTCAAAAAGTGGAAGTGGGTGCGCCCCTCGAAATTTGGTGTCGGGCCCAAGAGATGGTCATGTCAGGCTGTACATCCAGGGTTGCCTGTCCGAATGCTGAGGCCAATTGTGATGCCGTAAAAGTCCGGTAGACTGTACAGGTTTTGCATCGGAGGTAAGAATGTGAGAGGGCGATAAAAGCCCAGAGCATGAGACGATAGGTTGTGAGCCCATATAAACAGCCAGGCAGACGGTTTATTGGACAGAGCAAGAATATAGTGTATGTGGATGGGGATGAAGGACGAAAACTGAGCATTGAGATGTATCAGTGACCATGATACGTTAGAATAAACAGAAATAACGCACAGAAAAGCAGCTAAGCCTCGGCGGAGCGCACAGTCCCCTTCCTGCTCTCCTGCATTTTTGATTTGGTCTCTGCAATCAACTTTTCCCTGAGCGCCCGTCTGTCCGCGATCGTCTGCAGAATCGTGCTTCGTTTGACGGTGAGGTCGCCCCTCCACCTGCCGCCAGCACCAGCACTGGACCTCGTCATCAACAACAAATTCCGTTTCTCCGCATCCTTGCCCTCCTGCACGTGCAACGCCTGCTCCAACCACTCCTCCCTATTCTCCCTCTCCTCCGCCGACATATCCTCCTTCGCCTGCGGATAGTAGAACGGCTCGACCAAGCCCACCACCGCCCTCTTATACGTCTTCTCCGGCCTCGTCACCTGCTTCCTCGTCCACCTATCCGTATACAACGGCGACACATAATTCGCCGTCCGGATATACGTCGTCTTCACGCCATAAACCGAATGCAAATACGACCTAATATCCGTCTTCGTCACGCTCTGCGGCATCCTAAACGTCGCCTCGTACGGATTATAAGCCTGTCCCGCCGGCGTATGATTCCTCACCATCCTCAACACAATCTGCGGCAAATACACCTTCTGCGCAACCACGCTCGTCGCCTCCGTCCCATCCGTGTACTTCGAATGCTTCAACCCGCGCAAACGAGCCCGTCGAACGAGAGACGCGGCCCATTGTTCTTCGGTGGGTTCGGTGCCGTCGAGCCGGATGAGGTCGCCTTTGGCTTTGAGACGGGTGTAGCGCGCGAATTCGGAGGGTGTGAGGCCGGAAGGGCGCGCGTCGGTTTCGGTGGGGGAGGGGGTGGGTTGTTTGCGAGAGCGACGGAGACGGACGGCGAGGGGGGCGGAGGCGGTTCGGGCGGCGGCGGCGACGGGGTCGGGGATGATGGTCGCGTAGGAGCGACGGAGGGTGGCGAACATGGAGGGCGACGAGGAGGTGGTGGTGCTCACTGTTTCGTTTGTCGGCGCGAAAACAGAGTCGAGACGCGCTGGATTTGGTTCTGTTTGGGTGTGGCGAGGAAAGATGACAGGGGCCACGACGCAACAATATTTATGTTAACTTCCGAGAACTGGATCACATATGACTTCCTTTGCGACCCAAACTAGACAGAACTGTCGTTAACACTCCTCCCAAGGGAACTGTTGACAATGATTCTTGAGCAACAAATGAAAATCGTTGTGTGAAAGCTTGTTTAGCCGCTATCTTGGACCCGTCAAGACGCACTTTATGTCAAGACTCCGTAGCTCAGTGGTTAGAGCATGCGATTGCAGATCGCAGGGTCACGTGTTCAAATCACGTCGGGGTCTGTATGAATGGTGGACGATGTATCTCATCAAATTTTCGAATTTAGAATCTCATTGTGCGCTTCACGCGGGGCCTTATTTTGACATTCTTTTTCTCGATAGTGTTAGGGCGCGGTCGAATACGCCATTTGCAGTATGGAGTTTCACATAGAAGAAAAAAACAATGTTCAGGCCCCACCTGGGGTAGAGGCCGCTGGTTCGAACCATACGTGTGCCACTTAGTCTGTGCGGCCAAATGACCGTCTCTTTATTTTTCTCCAGTGAACTATGTAGCTTGTTCATAGACTCGAGACAGTAGTTTCTGATGCATGTCATAACAGCGCAGGGTCTTCGTTCCCAGAACGACTGCAGTTCGCGTGACGCGTCGACGGGACCCGGGTGACTATTGTGCAGTGGCGCAGAACCGAGGCTTATAAGTTCTCATCGTTCAACTCGAACATATATAGTTGTTGTCTACGATCTACTCATCAGACTAGCGGCGTGATTTTTTTTGGTAAGCTTACGGACACTTGTCTGTCTTTGATCCTGCCGAGAACCCAACGAGAACCCTCTGGTTGACCTGAAGTGCCAAACTTAGCTTACACGGTCAATCGAGCTCTGACTGAGTCATCCCTTGGGGTTTTGTCTTTTACTTGGTGAGGATGTAATGGTCTGTCCTAAATGTTATCCCCGCCGTACTGTATATCACAAAAGTTGCTCACAGTTTCGTTCGAAACATAGGCTGCAATCACGGTGGACGGTGAACGTCACATCCCCCCCGCGAGGTTCTGGCGCATATCTCTATCCATGCTTGTGACTTTTCCAGTCCAGTCACGCTAAACATTGTTCAAGGGGAGGCAACCGCTGAGGACCCACGCATTGCTCTGACCCAAGTATCCCGAATGTGGCGAGGGATTGCACTGTCCATAGTCCCGTTGTGGTGCAATCTGAAGCTATTGGACACCGACCTGGGTCCGTCCCAGCTCGAACCCTCGCTCGATCTCACCGCCTATGTTCTCACACGCTGGCTCCAGCGCTCGGGTGCGGCCCCATTGACTCTCCGCTTCAAGTTAATGTGTTGGGATGCGTACGAGCTCAAGCGACTTTCTCTTCGAGTATTCCTCAGAGAGTCCAAACGCTGGAAAGACGTTCGGATGTTGATCGACGGCCAGAAGACCCTTTACATAGATGACCTCCCGAACGACGCCTTGCCAGTTCTCCAACTCCTTCATTTTACCCAGACCGTACCAGGACTAAACCCCTTCACCACGTCGTCTCTCAATGTCCTCGCCTCCAAAACCTTCATCTCTGCAACGTCAATATCCCGCTTTCCCTATGGGGTCATCCATGTTGGATTCCATGGTCCGTGTTCGCCTTTGCTCTTTTTCTTTATTGTTCGCATCAGACTGACATTGTAGCCTAACGCTTCTCTAGATCACCCCGAACATCTCTTCCGAGTTCTCGAGGCGGTGAATATTTGCTTTCTCGAGGTTGATCAATGACGTCAGGTTGAAGTATTGTGGCACTGCTTAGTCGAAATCAAATACATCTCCCAATGCCACCCTAGTCGCGGCGCTTTTCTTCCTTCAATCATCTCTGTCTCTGGAATATCTCTACACCGTCAAACTAACATTGCACAAGTATGGTGCTACGAAATGCTATCGACTGGCACACCCACAGAGATCAGCATGATGTGGCCTTAGGGGCCACTACCGTCACGTTTAGTCGCCACCCGAGGCGATGCACACAAGCCTACGATCTCATATGCGATTCTTCAACCTTTCTCCACCAACTTCGCCTGACTATCAACCTCATATATCATTCCCTCAACCAATCTATCAATCCCCAATCGAGGGTGTCCCAACCATCAGCTAGCGACGCGAGTCGTCACCGCATTGACTACTAACTTCCACCGTTCGAAAGTTCAAGCTCCACCTCCACCCTGTTCTGTTGTTTCTCGCCATCACCCCAATGATGAACGTCGATGAACTCTAACTCTGGATCGATATTCGTGGAAGGACACCGTTTCAGCGCTAGCGACGATGCCTTCTCGGCGGTGCATACCAGTTCTACCACTCGTTTGAGGATGGGACGGGTATATAAGCAGCGTTGATTCTGTGAAGGAAAACATCGGCCACCGTCGTTTCTTCTCATTCTCACTTTCTCACTCTCCCATTCGTCCCTCCATCACTTCCGAATCGTCACCATGTTCGCTAAACTCGTCCTCGCCGCCCTCTCGCTCGTCGCTGCCACCTCAGCTGTCACTGTCGACCCGGCGAAGGTTCGTTCACCTCGCTCTCTTCTAGTTGTTCATGGGCTGACGATTCGAGGGTGCTGTTCAGTGGTATACACTCTCAACGGGCGGATCGACCTATCTTGATTCTACGGACAGCGTTCTGATGCCTCAGTCGCATACGGAGTAAGCACTCGCCGATGTTCTGGGCCCCCAGTGTGGGTCACTAACGATGAATTTCGTTGTCCTTCGATTTGTAGTCGCAATGCTCTCAATTCCGGAAACGACAAAGGCGTCCGATTCAGATTCCCCGATGGTCTCCCAGGTATACTGCCCCTTCTACCCCATCACCCCTTCGTCACATACTGACTCCACCCCTCTCATTATCAGGTCGTGTCGTTTGCGCAGCCCACAACGACCACTGGGTCGGGATTGCCCAGGGCGATAACGTCTACCTCAACCAATGGAGCACCAATCTCGACTCGGACGACTGGCTGGGCACCGCTGAGGCTGTGGGCGACGGTATTGAGCTGTATTATTCGGACGGATATGCAGGGACGAATACTATTGGGACGCCTGGTGAGTCATTGATTTCCTTAAATGTTCTATGGTCCAGGTGATGTCTTTCTGGTGCTTACCAGTGGCTGCCATTTGGTGGTGTGTTTTGTAGTTACACAGAGCGAGGCGGTGACGTGGGATGTCATTGAGATTAGTGCGCCTCAGCTTTGAGTTGAGCTGGTGTACGGTGGGGATAGGCATGAGGATGTTGTTATGGAGTGCAGCATATATCTAAATTATTAGCATATATTTCTTTCCTGCTCGTCAATGACTTATTACGATGACTTTTCTTCGCTATCGAAGCCCTTCACTGACCTTTCCCCGGCTCCTCTTCGTACGTTCAACAACATACATTGAAGAATATACCCAAAGTGAGGCGTCTGAGTATACCGACTTAGTTTAGAGGCGTTGACCGTGTGAGAAGGGAGGAATTAAATGCAGTAGTGTGGGTGAACGGTGCCACCGCCACTCGTGTTAACCGTCGGCGCTAACCTTGAATTCCGTCGTGTCGTCCTTTCTCCCGAACCACCATGTATCGTTCATGAAGTCACACTCGAAAGGGATCCGATGACTTGCCTGCGATTCTAAGATCAACTCTCTTGACACACTGTGATTCTCTGCGCGGTCAGACGCTCTTGTTGACTGGTCTTGTGGGCTTTGAGATGTGTCTGCTCTGAGTCCGAGTCGACCAGCCCGAGGGCTTATCGCTAATGCTCTCCTTGAAATGCATTTTGCCTGGCCTAAACCAACTACAATATCACAGTGACATGTCTCAAACAAAGCCAAGATAATGAGTCTTTGTCTCTACAATCCTAGAAGCTCGATCAAGTTCAACATAAAACTACTTCCGTCCACTGAATGTCTTCACGCCCAACTTCAACCCATTCTCATCTCATCTCTTCCTCTCTCCCCTTCGACCTCTTTCCTTCTTTCCTTCCCGCCCATCTCATGTTTCTCTTCAACTCGTTCCTTTCCCTGTTCACTCTTTGCTTGGCAGCGCAGGCCGCTACCATTCCCAGCCATGTCCGCACTCAGACAGAATCCTCGTCCGAAAAACACACCACAGGCATGACTGGCATGTCCATGACTGGAATGACCATGACCGCCCACACAAAGACCCACAATCTCCCCGCCGCCGCCAAACCTACCCACACTGGCAGCAAAGCGCCCTCCTCGCCTCCTGCCTACTACTCCCACTACTCCCGCTCCTCATGCACGCCCTTCAAATCGACCTTCGGCTCCGGCTCCGTCGGGTCCAAGGGCTCTTCCAGCTCCTCTGAACCCTTCGTGGCCGTGAGTCCGGACGGGTCGTGGGCGCTAGGTTCGGGTGGGTTGGAGCTGTATATGGAGAAGCCGAAGGGGGATGTGAAGACGGAGGGCGGGATCAATGATGTTGTGGCGGATGGGGCGACTGTGAATTCTACATTTACGATGCTGTGAGCTTTTCCTTTCAGTTTTTGCACACACTCTTTTGGTTGGTTGCATGGATGGATGGGTTCGCTAATTGGGTGTCGATTTTGTTCGGTATTCGTACATAGGTATGGGAAGGTCACGTTCGAGGTTCAGTCGCCTAAGGTCGCAGGCATGGTCACCGCCGTTATCCTCATCGGTACGTACCACAAATATCTTTTCTTCCCCCATTCCCCATTCCCTCTCCCTCTCCCTTACACACATCTTCACCCACTGACTTACTCACTTCCTCCAAACCAGCTGACGAACACGACGAGATCGACGTCGAACTCGTCGGCGGCGACGCCTCGCACTGGCAATCCAACATCTACGCCCCCGCGCCGACGGACACCGAACCGCTCTGGGGCGTCTTCGGCCAGGTCGAGGACTACACGGACGGGTCGGTGGGCGAGATGCACTCGTATACGATCGATTGGACGGAGGACAGGATCGTATGGAGTGTGGATGGGAAGGCGGTCAGGACGATCAAGCCGGGTGTGTAGCTGTTTATCTGTTTCTGCGATCTTGATCATTGAAGTGAGAGTGAGAGTGAGAGTGGTGAGCTGATATTCTGCTGTGTAGATGAGACGATGAAGAATGGCGGGATGCATTATCCCCAACATGCCGCGAAGATCCAGCTTGGGATTTGGGACGCGAGTAATCCGCTAGGGACGTCGCAGTGGGCGAAGGGACCTATCGATTGGAATAAGGCTCCTGCGAAGATGACGGCGGTTGTGAAAAGCATCACTGTCGAGTGTGCTTGAGGTTATTCAGCGAGGCTTGTTCCTTCTTGGGCTTTTGCCATTCGATTCGATTTCGGTCCTAGCTTTTCATCTCTATCGCACCGTTCGTTACCGCATCCACGCTACTCCTCTGTTACTTGATATCGATACCCCCGCACACTACTCCTTACCTATACCCAACCTATATAACATCTTACAATAATGTCCTGTCATCACACGACGTCCATAATGGTTCGAACAACAACTCAATTGAAAATTGATCGGGAGACTAAGACCAAGACTGGAACATGATATGGAAACATGGAAACATGGAAAACAATGGAGAATGCAACAGATCCGGAAAAACGAGTGGGTGAGTCAAATGGTACACAACACGACACGACACGACACGACATCATGAATGATCCTGGGAAGCACAGAAACGCAGTGGGCAGTGAGAGAAAAGTAAAAGTAACATCGAAAGGAGAAGGAGAGACGGGGTGGTTATGTGTGTATGTACGTTGGCAAATGGCAAATTGGCAATGTATCGTCCGAATCGGGTGGTAGCAGTAAACGTGAGAGTGAGAGTAAGGATCAGAGACGGGTCCACCGGAGAGGAAGGGATCATCAATCGTCCACGTCGGTCACTATTAATCAGCCTAGCAGAGGTATAGATAATGCACGGAGAAGAAGAAACGCAGAAGGAATTGAGAAGTGGAAAGGAATGATGAGACATTGAGAGAACACAGGGATACATGTGTGCGACACAAGCAAAGTCCTTGGGAGGACACCCATTGAGAACCGGGACAAAAATCAAAAAGCAAAGAGAGAGGGAGAAAAAGAAAACGAGCTAAACAAGGAGTGTTGGTTAATCATCATCAGGATACGTCTCCCCCGACGGCGAACTCGGCATACTCCCGCTCCCACTCCCACCACCACCGTCCCCTCTCGCACCCCCATTGAACATCGCTCTCAGCGTCATGTCGTTCCTCTTCTGCCTCACCCTCTCTGCCTCCTCTGCCCCACCCGTCATCTTCAACTTCTTCCCGCCCACAAATCCTTTCAACTCCTCCTCGAACTCGTCTGACCTCCCCGCCAGCTCCTTCTCTCTGGTCCTCTGATTCGCAGCGATCGCCTTCATCCTCTTCTCCGGATCCACCTGCGCATTCTGTAACTCCAGCATCACAGTACTCAACCCCCCATGGCCCTCCTCCGGGGGTGGCGGTGGCCTGTACGACTTCAGCTTGACCCCCTTCGCCGCCGCCTGCCCCTTCAACGAAATCACCTTCTCCACATGCCCAAAAATCTCCACCACGGCCTTATGGTCCTCCAGCAAATCGCCCAAGAACTCCTCCTGATGGTTCAAGAACTGCTGCTCCTCCACAATACTCTGCAACTCCTCACCCCACGTCTTCTTCCACATCGGCTTGATCGTCTTGATGTGCTCTTTCAGACTCTCCAGCTCCGCCGCCATCGCCTCCATGTCATCCTTCACGCTCCTCAGCACATTCGACTTCGGCGACACGTTCCGCTTCAGCACGTCGTCCTTTACGCTCTCCACAGTATCCTGCAGCTCCTCCATCTTCGTCAACACGTTCTGCGAGCGCAGGTCGAGCTTCTGTTTCCCTGTGTCGATGTAGGCCCGCGCTCCGCTAACCTGCGTCGTCGCCATCTGTCGCACCTTCTGCGTCTGGGTCTTCAACGCCCCGAGTGATTCCTTCGTTTGTTTCGAGAACTCGGTGTAGAGCTGTCTCATGATCCCGAGATCGCGCCTTAAGTTCTGGACCTCGTCGAATTGGGTGCGCAGATCGCTGACGACCCGGTTGGAGTACTCTGACATGATCGAGGCGCCTGTCATTTGTGGTTGGAGGGGCTGGGAGGATATGGACATGGTCATCGCGGACATGGGTGTGGATGTGTCGTCGCGCGTGTTCATGCGGGAGAGACGGCGTGCGACGGTTTGGAGTTGACGGTCTGTCGGTCGGTTCGCCGGGGCGGGTGTTGGGGGATCCGGGAGAGATTGGACAAGAGAGGGACGGGGTTGAGGGCGGGAGTCGGCGACGGCTTTGCGGAGGTCTCTGAGCTCTTGGGATAGGCCTGAGATCTGGATATCAATATGCTGCTTGATCTGGTCCAGAGCTAGCGAGACAAAACCGTCAGTCGGTCAGCTCATTTGAGGAAGGATAGTGAAAGACTCACGTTCGATATTGAGTGAAAGCAGCGAATTCTGCTTCACCTCGTCCATATCCTCCAACTCATACTGCACTCCGCTGGATGGATCACGGATATAGATCGCTGGAAAGTCTTCCTGGCCAGGGTTATAAGCGAACTTGTCCACAAACAACATCCTCAACGAGCCAAACGTGAGCCCAGGCTCGATCATCGCCTTTTTCACCTCTCTCCCTACTTGCAGGAAGGCTTTGATGGGACCTTGGTCTGGCGTTCCGTCGGGCGACGACGCAGGTGGGGGACGTTGCTCCGTGGATGTTGATTCAATTGGCACTGATGGGATTGGTGCTTGAGCGGCGGTTGAGGGAGCTGGAGCCAGAGAAGCTTTCGTGGGCGAGGGTGTCCGTGGCAGCGGAGGTACAGGCGGAACGAACTCTTCATCCTCCTCAATCGGCGACGGCTGCCTCGACCTCGTCGTGCTCCTCTCCCGTCCCCCCTCCCTCTCCCTGTCCCTCTCCCGGATACGCTCTCGATCGCGCTTCTTCGGCGTAGCTGCAGCATCACCCTCATCGTCGCCCTCACCTTCATCCATCTCCGTCAACACCGCCAACTCCCCCGGCGTCAATATCCCACTCCCATTCGCCACCAAACTCCTCCTATTTGATCCTCCATGTCTCTCACCCCCACCCCCACCTGCGCCGCCTCCTCCGCCTCCACCGCCACCTCCCCCCATGGACCGATCCCTCGGCCCACCCGCACCCGTCATCTTCGAGATATTATAAGTCGAGAACCGCTTCGACGCCCTGCGTTCCAACGCGTCCGATTTCTTGAGTGCAGCCAGGGAACTTGCCGCGTAGAGATTATTCGAATCGAACGCGGGTGGTGGGGGTGGCGACGTCGACATCGGACGGTCCGGAGGTGTAACGGTTGGTTCGGGGGAGACTGAGAGTACCACCTCCTCTCGCTCTCGCTGGGCATCTCGATCGCGATCCGGAAAGGAAGCGGTGGGAGGGGGTGTGCCCTCGTCTACCACGACTGCTGGGGCGGTGGCGGTGGAAGGGACGGGCCGATCGACGAGGGAGTATCGTTTGACGCTTGCGGGGACTTGGACTTGGGCCGTTCGAGGTGTTGTGGGGAGGGGTGTGTTCTCTGGATCATTGCCGTTGACGTAGGGAGCTGACGATTGACGCGTGGAGGTTGGTCGTTCGGGGGCGGTTGAGGCAGGAACTGAGGCAGGTGGAGGCGGTGGTGGGGGGGAGGTGACTCTGTTTGGATCGGGTGCAGGACCGGGTTGAGATTGTCCGAGACGTGGTGAGAAACCGCCGATGAATGCATCGTCTCCATTAGTAGAAGTCGGGGAGAACTCCTTCCGCCTTGTGGATGTCGAAGACGTATGCGTATGTGCGCTGCGCCTCGACGATGAAGAGACGACCTCTCCACCATTCGAAGTAACGGACGACGCATGACTTCTCGTCGTGTCTCTCCTCGACGACGACGAAGTCGAAGCGACCCTTTCCGCCCGCGATAATCGCCCACTATCTGTCCTGCTATGTCCCGAACTCTCTGACCGGTGTTTATGGCCCGACACGATCTCTCGAAATACCGATTGTTTGCCCCTCAGGCCCGTAAGCAGCGCAGTGATGATAGCTCGAACTTTGGGCAAGTACTTGTCCAGATTCTGAGTCGTTGCGTCTTCGGAGAGACAGTCCTCTAGGACGGCCCGGAGGTCATCTGGGACACCCATAAGTTCGCTAGATGAAACAAGGTCAAAGGCAGAGAAATCAAGGGGGATAGGAAGAAAGAGCGCGTGAGAAGGTGTGGTATGGATGGAGGCAGAGTGGGTCGTACGAACGACATGTCGATGTTGTAGGACGCGAAGGCAGACACGGCGCCATTGAAGTCGTTCCCCAGACGGACGTAGACGTCGCTCACTTGACCTTCCGTGGCTTCTTGGTTACTCCATTTCGTGAGCGCTTCGAGGAGCTGTTTGATGGATACGAGGAGGCGAGTGACGGCTGTTTCGACGGCGGGCTGGGCGGCAGGTGAACGCGAGTCAGTAGATGGGGATGACGCGTCATGATGTGATGAAGGGAATGCACAAAGCACAGAGGTGGAGATAATTCGGGTAGACCGGCCACATAGGCGCAGCATACAGCTCATGGGGGTCCAGTAAGGGATGACAACTACCCAAGCCCTACGCCCGTATGCCTCGCACTGTCAATATGTAGGTTTCACAGCACGCATATGCATGCTGTCTATTTCCATCTGAGGCGTCAGGTGCCACTCGGTGTGGCCGATAGTTGAGATGATGCTTTGCTTTGCGGCTTGCGCGACTGGCATACGCAACACTTGCGCATAGAGGAAGTACGAATGACTTGGTCTGGGACACGACTGGAATTCCACCAGGGCTCTCGCCCACAGGAATACGAAGCAAGTACTCAGATCGATAACTTCGCGCCGGGATTGGAGATATTCTGGGTGAGAGCAATCGTCTCGACCAAAGACAGTAGCATTTTGACGTTTCAGATCTATCCTCTCCAAAGATGGGTATGACGAAGAACGAAAACAAGACCTAGGATGGATTACGCAAAGACGAAGGAAATTCCCAGAGAAATAACGGGTACAAAGCCGTCAATTGCCACGGCGATTCTCGGCCTACCCGACCTACCTTCATGAACTCTTCCCAAGAAATCGAAACAAAAAAAAAACAGCATAAACCAACACTTACATGTTTCCCAGCTCTTGCGCGTTCCCTATCCCGCTCACTTCTCGAAGATGTAGACGATACAGACTGCTGAGTCTCATGGCGTGACGGATGACCATTGTTGTAGGAAGACGTCGAGCTCGGTGGAGGCGGTCGTACGGACATCGTGATGGACGTCGAGGACGAAGGAGAGGATGAGAGATATGCGAGGAATGATGCTCTCGAGGATGGTGATAGTCGAGACGCTCAATTGTGAGCGGAATGTTACGTAATTCATATCCCTTTGTTGTTCTTGTCTGGCCGCGTAGGGTTATCGATCTCGGCCGCAAAATTGAGACAAAACTCTTGTTCGACGACGACCATCTATCTGTTTCCGGAGCAGGCTTTGTTCTGCTCGTATCATTGAGACTTTCTATTTCCGTATAGTGTGGACCGTGGAATTGTCCATGGTCAGAGATGTCTCTTGAGGATGCCGAATATGTCTTTCAACTCGAAATCTTCTCGCCGCTGGTCAGCTAGGGCTTTTCTTCTGTTCTCTCATGACAAGGGTAACCGGTAATCGGTGACAGTCGTGAGTAATTACATCCCCCAGCCAGTTCTCTGAAGTTGCCTCATCCTAGACGTTACTACCCCTCTTCACGAATCTGTGGGACATGCTCACACACTCAGTTGAAGCCATTGACGGTTCTGGGCAAATTTTAGCAGAAAGGGGCATAAGTAGGTATCCCTCATGGATGGTACAAGCTGGAGATATCAACTCAAAAGGTGAATAAAAATCAAGGGGGATGTGCGTATCTCGCTCTCTACCCACAGAACGCCCTCGACACCGAGACCCCTATTCATGCATAGTCGACTCAAATGATAACGATGGGATGATGCATACAACGAAAAATTCCAATCCACGAAGTAGTCTCGAGTGCGCAACAAGTCAGAACGAAGACATCACCAGCCCCATCTATGATCGTAGACGTCAAGATCGTCGGAACGATCACTATAGTAACTTGAATTATAATCCTCGTCATATCCATCTTCGCTCAAATTTTGGGTCCTGTTATCCCACTCCACCTGCAACACGACCTCCCTCAGATTGCCCACCCAGTCTTTGTGAACAGTGCAATTAGTCAGCGAGAGCCTGTGTAGCGGTCTGCCTATGGCCTTCCGCTTCGATAGGAGGTCGACAAGGACTTCGTGGAATGGTTTAGAGTGACTAGGCGAGTACTCTCCGACGTTCACTCCGCAGAGGTCCAGAGACATGAGGTTTGGAAGAAACACCTGGGCGATGGATGGTCCAGCCATGGCTAAGTTTTCAACCTCGCTGTTACGAAGTGCAGGAAGTAACGCGCAACAAACTTGAATCGAAGAGCTGTTTTTTCCTTGAATCAGCACGTGCTGCAACTGTGTGCACGGCCAGAGCGCGTCAATCCATTCGTTTTCGAGAACTACACCATACACGTCCAGGTATAGCTCCTGAAGATCGCTCAGGTCGAAAAGTGCCATTAGGGCAGGCCCAGACACGCTGTGACAGTATGGACATTCGAGGTCCAGAGAAAGCGCCGCCGTTTCACGATCATGGGAGAAGACTGGAGTTCCCGTGTCGGGCTGTCTTCCGGAGAACTCCCAGGCCATGACCGCAACAGAGTCCCTGTCCTCTACGAATATTTGTAGAGTACGGACGCGCGGCGATGTTTCTACTCGTATGTGAGGTATCAAGGCGGCGAAGAGAATCAATGGGTGATTCATTGTCGTCGTGTACCTATCGCGGTCTCGTTCGGCGATCTGTGAGTTTATTTGTAGGCGTGTGGTGCACGGTAAACTGAGGTGTCGAAGAAGAAATGCGCAGTCGGCGGTGAAACCATGAACACGCAGCTTTGCGAGATGCGGTAGTGAGATTGACAGTGTGCTGGAGGTCACCGCAGATAGTTCCTCCGTAACATCGGGAAGGCAGTTCTCTAAGTCGAGGGACTCCAACCGGGGAGCGGCTTTCAGCATGGAGAAGAAATTATCACAAGAAGGTGGTTGCGTTAGGTGCTCGATGGACAGATGGACGACCGTGGAGAGCAGTGGGAACGCTGTCGATGAAAGGTGAAAGCCGCGTAGCTCGATCGTTCGAAGACGAGGAGCGCTTCCGTTGAAAAAGCTGGCAGAGCTCGTTTGAGGTGCATTCCGGTTTCGTGAAAGTATATCGTTCAACCTTAGAGCGAGAGTTTCCAGGACCGGTGCCGGCTCGGCGATATTCACGATGTCGGCCAGCGCCACTGCGGAGTTCTCCATGATGTCGAGTTCTCGTATGTGAGATATGTGGTTATGTACGACGTTCCGGATTGTTTCACTGTCTACATCAGTCCGAATTCCAATTTCAGGGTATTTAATGGATAGTGGTACCGCTTTTGCAAGAGAGGCCATCCGCTCAGCCCATTTAAGACCAAGAACGAATGAAACTTTCGTCCAGAGTGTCGGTTCCGCAAGCGCGACGTGACGGAAATGCGTAGAGACATGCAATATGCGTATCCATCCGAGCGACGACCGAGGACCCGGTGGATGAGCAGCGACGAGGAACCAGAAGCAGCGGGCCAGGACTTCGGATGGCAGTCGACACGGGAAGGAGAGAGCATTACGACGCGACCGGATCGAGGACATGGCTAGTGCCATGGCTTCGACTTCATCGTCCAGGATGCGACGAATCCCATCGCGGAGGGCTTGTGGGCTACTCTGCGTTGAAACAAGGTCGAGGGGAGCAAGCCGAGTATTGCTCGTAGTCACCCAAAAGCCCTGTGGATCAGAAAGTGTCTGAATTCGAAGAATCAACATTCAATAGTGAATGTAGCGGCGAGGAAGACGAAATCACTTCTTCCATGCGAGATAGAACAGAATACATGCTGGTGCTTTGTGTTCGACCAGATGCTCCCCGATACTGTAGCGGTCTAACCGGTCAAATGTGGGACTGCCTGCTGTTTAAATGATTCCCTACCATGTTGTTGATCTCTTCAAAACTCCTATCTAGGCAACGGTGGATTGTATGCCACAGGCGACGCGTATGAGGGTTGAAAGCAAGTACAATGGCCGACGTAAGCGCCGCCGCCGCCACATAAACTCTTCCTTCCTGGGAACCTCCGGCGAGTTCCCATGCCAGGCTGCCGATTCCTCCGAGATAAGCTTCTCACGGTGCGACCAAGGGAGAGACAAGAAAGGAACCCGGCATAGTAGAAGGCATCAGAGGCTACTTTATAACCTATGCAAACGAAGGAGGGGGAATGGATGGGTGTATATTGATCTATGAACGTGGCCCAGAATGCACGTATAAGTACTCGCCAGCAGCAAAGAACGCTAGCTGCTCTTTTCGTACAGAAACACCGTCCAGTCGTCGGGTCCATAGACATCGCCGTGCATGTATAAACCCCGCTGATTGATGGATATAATACGAGACATATTGGAGGTGGCAGCTTGTTGTACAAACAGTGAGGCTGGCAGTGGATACATTGGTGCGCTTTTGTTCTTCAAGAAATCATACACAATCAAGTCCTCTACGTGCTCGGTCAGAAAACATAACGCCCGTAGTATATAGAAGTGGAGCGCTCACCTCTCTTACAGTCGTACATAACAAGATATATTGCATACAGAACTCACGCAGGCGTCTGAGAAGACTTCTTGCACCATATTTTGTGTCTTGGCCAATGCTCTTTTTGGCTGATGGAAAAATACGTCGTCAGTCTATCACTTCCTCAGATATTCTACAAAGTGAAGCATGACTCACCATTCTTTGGAGCAATAATACACGAGCTTGCACCTACGACGCGAGATCAGCGTACGTCAGTTGAGATGCGCAATCCACTATGTACCCTTCCCGCACCACCGCCACCGCCACAGGATCACGACCCAAGAACAAAACTGACCTCGAACAAGTCGCCAAATCCTTCTCCTTAATCGCCTCACAAGCCGCACATTGTCTTGCGTTCTTCTGCTTCCAAGCCTGCCCATTGACATCCGGTCTGATCTCCTGCTTTGTCCCCTGCACCATTTTCTTCACATCCTCCGATATCTTCTTTGCGCGCGGCCCTTTCTGAGCCAACAGGTTCTCGACTTTCTCGACCTCGGAGGGGAGGATCGATGGAACGAAATTGCTGGAGTTGACTTCGATGATTTGGGGGAGGTTGTTCGGTGTGGTGGTAGGCGGGGAATCGGAACGAGTGAGCAGGGTTGGGTCAACTCTGTAGGCGTGGTCTGGAGTCGTGTACGTTGCCCGGACCCTGGTTGAAGGTACGTGTTGATTAGTAGTTAGCGGTCAGTAACATAAGTGTGGCGAAGGGAGGGGGCGTACCAGTTTGGCGGCTGGTCATTGTGCCAGAGAAGCGTGAGGAGAGAGAAGAACTTGTCGGCGTGATACTTCGTTACCGCGGCATAGTCGTGGTGTGAATAATTTCCGCAATCTATCGGTTTAGCATAAGTATGGTCGAGAATCGAGAGTTGATGTTCAGGACATACTGCAGGTCGAAGGGAAGATCATAACGAGGAAAAAACGCGTGGTGGTCATGTCGGTGAAGCACAGATGACCCCAGTCTCGCTGTTGATGCCCATTTCAGTGCTGAAGACCACATCAACAACGATGCTGGGTTACACTCACCTGACGTTTAGCCGAAGCTTTCACGATCTATTCACAAAACCATCATCAGGAAATATTATCATGCATATCACTCCACAGAGTCAGTTTACTTGCACGCAACCAAGGGACCATCATCAAAACAGAAGCGTCGAAACAAAGGGATCACAGTAAAACGCGGAATACATACCTCATACATATACAAAATTGGTGTCCACATCTGTCTTATCCCCTCCGTCTGCTTCAATACGATCTGCCTCGACACAAAATCGTCCCTCGACAAATCTGGCACATCCTCGGGGTCCTTGTCGAACTTGCGCGAGACGTCGTTCATCATGACTCCAAAGTCGCGGCATTGGACGAGGCGCGTGGTTGCGCAGGTGCCGGAGGTGTTAATCATCATGAAAGGGTTGAAGCTTTAGAAGGTTTTTACGGTGTCGATGCAGACATTGGTGGCGGACAGGAATTTGTGGTGCAATTGTGTGGTCAGTGAGTATTGTTCGTTAGGGGCAAGGGACGATAATGCGCACTATGGAAGACCGCTAAAGATTGAAGGATCCATGATTGACGCGCTCTTCAGACGGTTTGTATGAGACTATAGCTTAAGAGTGATTTGTATTCGTCTTTGTTGAGGTTAAAGGTCGGTGGTGGTGGTTCACGTTAAAGGGGTGCGCACGGCGAAAATTTGACATATTGGTATAGGGACCTGGCGCCACAGTGGCGACACTAGCGGAACAAGAACTACATATGTCTTACACGACAACACCTACGACAACAAAAAGCTACAAACACATTTTATACCTTACAGAAGAAGCCATTGAAGCCTTGTTTTAATTTTACGCCTCCGTGATTTCCTTCCAATTCTTCGCTTCATCCGGCATAGACACTGAGATCAACCCGAGTTAATACGCTAGTCCCACAGTGCAAGAGAACGGCGAACGAACCTATCTCCTGCGCATCAAACCTGTAAGACGCCATGACCCACTTCTGCATCTTCATAATCCTCATCCTCTTTCTGCTCATCCTCCACCTAATCACACCGTCCCTGACATCGAACCTCTCAACCACCGTCATGATAAACAACTCCCCCTTTCCCGTGTACTTCTTCTTCCCGTCCAAGATCTGCGGGATGTTCGTGATAAGATCTATCGCATTCAGGTTCTTGGAGTACTTGTAGAAGATGAGAGATATGACGGGGATGTGCGATGGGCGTCTCGGGGCTGACGACATAGGATTGAACGAGAAGAAGCTGAGTTTTGTCTCGAACAGAGCGATGTCGGAGTAGGATACGGAGAATCCTGGAGGTGGTGTGAGCGAGAATGGAAGCATTTCGTACGACGTCGCCAAAATAGTCTCCAAGTCGATGAGCCACGGTTCCAAACATACTTTTCTCTTCACCACTCGTCTATTCAGCTCAGAGGTCGGAATTGGGAAGTTTCCAGTGTACAGAGCTACGTCTGTGACCACCGAGTCCGAGAGGACACTCTGCAGAAAGTCGGAGAGCCAGTGGGCGGGGAATCCGACGGAAATGAGATGGATGAGGAGATGAACGAACGCTACGAGGTTGTTTGGGTAGCGGACAGACATCGGTGCGCCAAGGTCTCTAGCGGCAAGTAAAGTAGCGAAGAGGACGCGGATGAGCCAGGCAATGAGTTCGGTACGGGAAGCTAGTTCTGCGAGTGGGCGGGGGAGCGGTTGCGAGCCGAGATTGATGATGTCGAAGTTTGGTGACATTGAAATGACGTGACAGCCAAGGTATCGGGGTACATCATGGATCGTCAAGAGGGTGTAACTGAAACAGGAGAAAGAGTCAAAGGTGAAGACAGGACACAGGAGCTCGAATGGACCTACGTATAGCAGAACTCGTCATTATTCCGGAAGATGGGAGAGTTGAGGAGACAGTTTGCAGCAGCCGAACAATCTGGGTACGTTTGTAGAGCGGGCACGACATGTACTGCCGTATTCAATGGCCCATGTGTATAGTCCCTGATCACCAACTCAGTGAGCGAGGGCACAAAGCGATGAAAAAAGATCGTAGACGCACGGAACATTGCTTTGCCATATCCTCGTAAATGCCCTCGGGAAATGAGCTGGTCGGTGTTGATCGCCAGACGTCCGCATCTTCAGCACTTCCTGATTGAGTTCTCCACGGAGGATCTCGAACTGAATCTTGCCCTTCAGCGCTTTCAAACCTTCCAGAACAGCATCGAAGAAGATAGTCGTGACTGAGTAGGCGGGGCAGTCCTCGACGGCTTTGCTACCCAGCTCTGTCTGTAGGCCCATTCGGACGTTGAATCCTTCAAGAGCGGTGATCGGGTCGAAGCCGCTATAGTGAAAGGTAGGGTAGCCATCGCCTTCATCGTAGGATATGTCCTACCGGGCAAGGAAATGGAATGAGTGTTGTTCATGACGAGAAGGCGAATGAAACATACGAAGAGAGATGGATTAGGTTTCCAGTTATTTGAGATGTCGTCCCTTCGTGCCTTGGTGAGAGATCAGCATTAGTCAAGATATGCGCTGGAAATCACGAACCTCGATGAGAAGTTGGGCCATAGCTGACGATTGGGCTTTCGGCGCCACACGATGAGATTTTTGAATCTCCTGTAACGCTCGGATATCCTTCCACCCTTTCGCCATCGCCGAATGTCGCGAACGTAGCTCTGGTGGTGGCATGAACGCCCTCACGGCCTTATACAACAGTTTTTCGTTAATCAAAGCCGCCGAGTCCGTCCCCTTGCTGTCCATCCCTTGATCCTTCAGGAACTCGATCAAGTGATCTCTTGTCCGTCTAATGAACTTAGCCTTTCGAACGGGATCCGTAGGAACAGTCGGGTATTCCTCGTCCAACATGTTCATTCCGATCTTGACGATCTCCTCGTCCGGTATCTTTTTTATCTCGGCCGCGGGGCCTTCGTTGAAGCGGTCTTCTTGACCTTGATAGGCCGGATAGGCACCAGATGTGAGATTGGCATGATTCTGGTCTCTACTGGCCTTCCATTTCTCGTCATTGTGGTGCTCGAGCATCTCATCAGAAGTCTTCTTCGGGCAGTTGGCGATCCAGTAGTCTAGTGATTGAAACAGCTCTGGAATGGACGCGGAAATGACATGGATCCAGGAAGGAAGCAAGGGAGGGGAAGCGGAGAGCTGTTGGCGTAGGTCTTTGATGACCTGCATGCATCTTCGAAAAGTGTTAACGATAGTCCCGCAGAGGTTCAGAAAAGATGCATACCGGTCAAAACAGTACGAAGGCATAATCATAGCCGTATAGACATAGAAAAGTGCCGCCTTGATCTCTACTGTCTCGTTCGGAGTATGATTTCCGCTCAGCAGTTCATCTAAGAGCATAAGAGCCATTAAAATCACGAGACAAGGTTGTCGGGTGGATATCGAGTAGGGTTATGTGCACTTTAACCTTGACCTGCTTTGCTTTGGGAAGCTTGACGAAGGCTCTGTGAAGACCGATAATAGATGCAAATACATGTCGGGCTGTTGGCGCAACGAGAGATTTCTATGAGAAGGAAAATTGAAAGATGGAAACCGGGTCATACCATCGCCTACACCGCCAAATAAGAACGAGATATTCGACAGTCGCTCGGCTGAAAAAGTCTGGATCTTCAACGGAATAGGTATTTTCTCCTCCGTTCCGTAATCATGGATGATTGACATTGGATCGTCGTGGGATATCTATTTGCCCACGACGCTCACTACAGGTCGAGTGTGTTTGTCTCAAAGCTGGGAATACACATACCGAGCAATATTCGCGCACTCTCGCACTATGTTGTATGACCATAAGTATTGCGCGGGTAACTAAGCGCAGACACGTTACTCACGGTGAGATCTTGTACATTGGCAGCCGAGCCAGTCTCTCCCTCCCCATACCCTTATTCTCGGTACTCTGCTCGATCTGACTCTCATCCGCACCCCACTCATCCCAAACCCTGCTGACTTCTTCCTTATCGGACTCCGTGATCAATTTCTTCACCTCTGAGATGGTCGAAGCAGCGCTTTCAGACTGTACTAGTCGATAAGAAAGTCCTCCGGACCGAGTTCCATACCGAAGTGTCCTTGCGAGGCGTGTAGAAAGCCGGTCTATGAGTGCGGTGTTTCGCGGCTGAGTTTCTGCAAGGAGCAGTTTCAAGGAACGAAGGGTTGCGAGGAAGCAGGCAGTATAGTCCCCCGATTCGTACAGAGCTGCACTCAGATTGGAGGGGTATACAGGGTCATTAGGTGCGAGTTTTTCTGCCTGAATAGATATGAATTAGTAAAACTCGTCGTGTGGCACCAGGCCGCGAAGTGGAAGGGATGTAATTCTGGATTGCTAACAAAAACCATTCAAGAGGCATCACGGAGAAATTGCAGTCTTTATGAACATTACAGACAACAGCTTACCTGCGTATACAGCTTCGCAGCCCTAGGAAGATGCAACGGTTCAAAGTCAGTACATAGAGTCGGAACAAGGCTAGTTGCACGGCAGGATACTTACTCGCAAAATTTACCACGTTTGAACTGTAAATTACCCCTCTCCTTGAGCTCGGATGCGCTCATTAGTACACTTATAAGTAAATCTATGGCAGTCTTGGTGAGAACGAGTAAGGGATGGAGGACAGAAGGGACGCGTCGCGTCGCGTCAATTGACACGAAGATTTCGACCTCCGAGGCGGCATCTGCCGCGCACAAAGACTTGGGTGGCACTTGGACCCATGTGGCGTTCCTTCATGAGCAAGATAGCGCCAAGATAGTCTCGAAATCCAGACTCAAAGATCGAGGAAAACAATCGTTGCGCCAAGATAGCACATGTATGTTGGTTGTGCATGCACGGAATAATCATTCTCCATAACACAGTGCATCATCCTGTTCTCCTGCGCTCGTATCAGTGGACCTCGATAGGCTTCTTCCAGCATAGAACGCAAAACGCCTTTGTTCCGACTAATTTTGAGCGTGTGGAATACATGAGGAGTGTTTTTTTGAGGGAGGACAGAAAAACGGAACTTGTTCTGGGTAACATTCAGCATTAAGCAACCCGGAATTATCTGAGGGACTCGTCAACCTCCTTCCAATTCTGTGCACTATCAGGCTGTGAAACTAATAGACCAGCGTCACTACTAAGAAATGATCTGAAGTGGGAACCGAGGCGTACCGAATTCTCTGGCATCAGATCGATACGAAATCATAACCCAGCCCTCTATCCTCATCCTGCCTATTCTCTCCTTGCTCATCCTCCACCTCACTACACCGTCTTTGATACTGAACTTTTCCACGACCGTCAAAATATGCAACTTTCGTTTCGTCGTATCGATCTTCCCTTCCAGTAGATCCGCCATCCTTGAGATGAGCTGCGCAGGACGGTCATATTCTCCAGGTTCGAAGAACATGAGAGAGATTACCGGCGTATACGGATTCCAGCGCGGTAGACTTGTCATAGGATTGAAGCTCTCCGACTTGATGGTCGTCTCGAACAGGCCGATGTCCGAGAACGTCATCGAGAAGTCTTCTGGGGTGGAAAGAGGGAACGGGATCGCCTCGTAGGACATCGCGAGTATGGTTTCGAACTCCACAAGCCAAGGCGATAAATATATCTTCCTCCTCGCCACACGCCTGGTCGCCTCCGTGACAGGTATAGGAAGCGTCCCAAGATAGGGAGCTACATCTGTTTCAACCTTATTGTTGAGAACTTCTTGGAGGAGATCGGACAGCCAGTGGCTCGGGAAACCGACAAAGTGTAGGTGAATCAAGAGTTCGATGAACGCAACGAGATTGTTGGGACACCGTACGGAAGCGGTGCCCTTGGGGTCGTCCATAGTTCCTGGGATAAGAATGCAGAGAAGCATGCGCATCAACCAAGTTGTTAGCTCGGGACGGGACGCAAGGTCGTGGAGGTCCCTGGGGAGCGGCATAGGCGAAAGGTTGATAATGCCTCCATTTGGCGCCATCTGGAGGACGCGGCATCCAAGATAGCGTGGAACGTCATACGTCCTCAAGAGAGTGTAGCTGAAATACACGAAGACGATCAGTGTCATGAGGGCAATGAAATCTATAGTAAGACATACTTATGGCAAAATTCTTCGCCATCCTTCCATGTCGGCGTATTGAGGTAACAATTGGCTCCAGCAGAGGATATGGGCTCGGCTTCGAGGGCAGGGACGATATACATGGCTGTGCTCAGTGGGCCGTGGGTATAATCCCTGCGTTTTATAGATTTAGACTCTGAACGGAAGGAACGTAATATACCTAGGACTTACGGAACGTTACTCAACCAAGCTCTGGTGTAAGATCTAGGGAAGTGGGTCGGTCGGTCTTGGTACCCGACAGTCCGCATCCTCAACATCTCCTGGTTGAGCTCGCCACAGATGATTTCGATCTGTAGTGAGTGACCGAGCTTTCTGACGGCGGCAAGGAAGGCCCCGAAGAAGTTCCAGACGATGGAGTAGGACGGGGAGTCGGGGACGATGTTGTGGCCAAAGCCTCGTTGCAAGCTAGAACGCACATTGAATGTCTCAATTGATTGTATGGAGAGAAAGCCACTGCTGCTCAATCCCGGATATCCAAGATAGGACTCGTGAAAGATATCCTGTCGGAAATTTTACGGGGCGAACGTGATTGAAATAATGATACGGCTCACAAATAAAGATGGGTTCGGTCTCCATGTCTTCTTGGTTTCTGCGTGAGCCTGAATAATGGTACACCATCAGTGGTGGATCAACTGCCAGGCTTGAAAGCTCACGAACCTTGGTCTTCAGTGCTTCGAGGACAGATCTCCTTGCCTTGTATCCAGGCATCCTGGGTTTCAGTTCCCGATAAGCTTTCCATAAGTTAACGAACGTTTCGTGCTGTTCCCAGAGATCAGGTGGCGGCACGAATGCCCTCGATTCCTTATAGAACAGCTTCTCCTGCATCAGCGGTAACGAGTCTAGGTAGGAATTTTCTTGATACTTCAGATGGTCCACGAGACGCCCCTTTGCCTCCCTGATAAACCTAGCCCTCTTCGACGGCTCATTGGGAACTGCGGAATAAACTTTCTCGACCCCTTCTTCCTGGAGCATCAAGCTTTCCATCCCCAATATATCTTCGTCGGTTTGAGAGTCGAGCATCACCCGTACTGACTGACGAATTCGATGCAACCGTCCTTGATAGATAGGTGATTGATCTTGGGAGCGTAGGCGGGCCATGGAGGCCTCGTAACTGCCCATGTCGGCATCATGTTGGTGGAGCATGAAGTCGATATCCTTCGTAGGAGAACAGGCAAGCCAATGGTCGAGGGAGAGAAGGATGGCCGGAATGGACTCGGAGCTCACATAGATCCAGGGAGGTAGGGATGGAGGTATGATGGATAAGTTTTGTCGAAGACGTGTGACGGTGGCCATGAGCCTGTTTGATGCGGTCAATCTCGATGAAGCAAGCATATGACGGGCAATCGTACACACCTGGCATAGCAGTACTGTGGCACTATTACCCCGGTGTAGATGTAGAAGATCGTTGCTTTGATCTCCAACCTGTCCTGAGCCTCGCAGTCGTCCGAGATCAAGTCGTTCAACAGTATCAGGATGCACAGATCACGGGCGAGCGCGGTCGATTTTATATCGAGAAGGGTGAAGTGCGCTTTCAAGCTCGCTTGTTTAGCCTTTGGCAACCTGACATAGGCTTGGTTGAGACCAATGACAGATCCGAAGACATGTCGAGCTATACCGCAAGTCGGTAAGTTTCTCGTCGGGTATGAGTTCGATGAAGATAAACACACCATCGCCTACCCCTCCTAAAAGGAAAGCTAACTTTGATAGACGCTCCTCGGAGAGAGACTCGAGTCTCAATGGGGTCGGAGACGCAGGATGATCATGAGCGTAATAGTCAATGATAGACATAGGATCATCGTGAGAGAACTGGCCACGATCGGAGATCAGCCTGAGCATCGCGAAGGTGAAGTACGGCTACGCACAGTGTAGTATTCCAAAGCTGAATCACTAGCGAAGAACCAAAAGTGAGACGGTATACAGGCTATAATGAGCTTCGAACGAAGACTCACGCAGCTAGTTTGAATCGAGGTAGGCGAATAAGCCTTTCTTGTGCATCGTGGGATCCTTCAACCGTCTTCGCTGCGTCAGCTCTGGCCAGCTCCCATTCTTTACACGCCATCGCTATATCCACATTTCCAGCTTCACTACCAATCTCCTCTAGATCCTTCAAACTAACTTCAATAGCTGAGCTTTCGTTGGAAGTGGTCTGATGCGGAATGCGCCCCGACCGAAATCCATAACGTAGAGACCTAGACAAACGCGCACAAAGGCGCTTGATGAGCGTGTCGTTCCTCTCCTCCACCTGGGTCTTCGTGAGCAGTCGGAGAACTTGAATTATGCAAGACACGCATGCTTCATATTGGCCAAGTTCGTACAGAGCGGCGCTGAGATTAGAAGCGTATGTCGGATCGTTTGGGTCGAGTCTTTCCGCCTGCCATCCAAAACAGCGTATCGATCAGCATCTGATGAGGCATTCTCCGCATAACACTCGTTGCTACAACTCATTTCGTATGAACGGCATGGATTTTGCGCTCGAAGATGATATATTATCGCAAGGAAGAACCTACAGCTGTATAGGATTGAGCAGCTCTGAAGGAGAGAGGTCGCGGTGGGAGCGGATTCAGTCAGCAGAGAGCGCGAGAGACTTCACCAGGCGGACATAAATAATATGCTCACTCACTTCTTGAACCGACCCGCTTTGAAGTGACCATTGCCGAGTTCCTTCAACTTCAATGCGTCTTCAGCCATACGTTCGTCTAGGACTTGCTCGTATATCCTGCTAGTCGGAAGGTGATGAGCAAGAAGAGAAAAGGTGAAGTTTTACGCTCTCACAGTTCACCACGTTATAAGTGCTCATGTGTTCAGATATACGTCGCACGACCAGCAGTTCGAATTCTATTGTAAACTCTGGTGAAGGACGCAATGAAGTCGGTAAATCCGAGTTGTCGGCGCGTCACAGCTTGAGTCAAGCCCGGTGGCATCATCTCGATGTGGCGCGCACTCAGCGGCATGAGGCACGAAGGCAGCTCAAATCTATCCATTGAAAGCGAGAACATACAAGCACGTTACAGAACGGAGTATGGGTGGTAGAATGAGCGCCAGATGCAACAGGATGCCTAAGTGCCAGCAGACATGCGGGAGGCGCCTTGAGGACTCCAATGAAGAATATTCGCCTGCAACAGAAACTTTGACATAATCGGTGGAATGAAGTCCAGATAAGTCTTAGAACCGGCACATCTTGAAGCTTGAAGATTGAAGCCAAAGAATCCAGCTACTATGAGCACATGCCTGAGCACTTTCGAAGGAAGCTGAGAGGAGAGCTAAATCCATAAAAGGGAATCAAGGCGCGCCGGCGGGAGATCGACGGAACGGAGCACGCGCTCGGCGAAATTTCCACGTGGGTTGGGGAAATATAAGCCGCATCCCACGGAGAAGGTTGCCTTGTTCCCTGCCAACGCTTTGCTGATTTCTTACAGCTCTATCGTCATTTTCGACGGTACTGGACGCTACCTTTGACATTTCGGACATAACGACTTTACGATGGACCATTACTCTACCATATTTACAGCAGGGCTCGTCCCATCTCGTCCTTCTTCCCCGTATCACCCCCCTGCATCTCCCCGCCGAAAGCAATCCCTGCCAACGTCTATGCTCACCGTAGACTCGACGACCAACTCTTTTCATTCCTCAATCGATGGTGCTCGATTTAATGGGTCGCTCGACCTAAGTCCTATACAGCATGGGTTCACAGAGAGGCACGACGAACTCTACTTTACTCTCCAACCGATTGCACGCGACCGGCGCGACCTTCGCTCTTTCTTGTCTCTGGACTTGGCGGAATCGCGCGTACTTCGTGACTCGATGTCTTCGATGTCTTCTGTGTCTTCCCGACGTGATCCTGATCCCATCGCTGTCGCAGCACCACCGTCACCGCATCTTCTATCTTCATCGTGAGTGCGTTTTCTCTTGTGCTTTTCCCATCAATGGGTGCGCCCACTATCAGCCATCTTTTCGCCACGAACGACAGCAATAATTGTTGTCGTGTGCATTCTCGGTTTTTGTGTGGCTTTGATGAGTCGCGAAGTCACGAACAATGTCGGGAGATGATCTTTCCTTTCTTGGTTCCCCGCGTTCTGATGGCATTCCTACTCTTACATACACACAGGATGAATACCCTCTATCCCCAAGGGTCCAACTCACCTCATTACCTCTCACCGCTCCCATCCCCTTTGTCCCACTCATCGTCACCCTCTCGCCGGGCGGTTTCTAGGGACACCGTTCGAAGACTTCCTTCGCCAAAACCCGCCCCTTCTACGCACCTCCCCGACACGCCACCTACCCCATCGCAATTTCTCTCCCCATCCCGTACTTATCCCACCTCAGCTTCATCTACCCCTCGAAGACTTCACCTGAACCTCCCGTTTGCATCATCTTCGACGACATCTCTCCCTAATACCCGTGTACCTACCCCAGTACCCAATTCAAGACCTTCATCGCCCTTCGCACGCCCGAATGCCCCTGTTCCGTCGCGCTCTAATGCTCGGGTCAATCTGTCGCCTCTGATCACGAGTACACCCACGTCTTCTTCCTTCTCTTCGACTTACACAGTCGAGCCTGCACCCTCGGATAGTTCACCTAAAACCGCTCACTCCTTCGCCACGTTTGGACCTCTTTCCCCCACGTCATCTCAACATAGACCGACCAATTCCTCTTCTTCGGTCATGTCACCCGTTTCCTCGACTCAGTCCTTAGGGTACGAGCCCGTACAAGAACGTGGTCGGGCACGGAGACGATCGTCGAGCCTCTCATTATCGCTTTCCATGGCACTAGCATTCGGAACGGCATCATACCAGCATGTCGTTACAGCCGCCACAGACAATATTACCGGAGTGCAGTCTGCGATGGACCACAGCCAGCCTTTTTGGACGACGAACTCCTTCGTTTCGTTCGGATCTGGCGCGACATTGGAGTCGCCCACGACCGGCTCATCATTGGCGTTCGATAAAGTGTTATCGCACTCTCTTATGCAAATCTCATCTGCCCCGCCACATAAATCACGACAACACGAGTTGCGACAAACGACCGTTCCTACGGCTACGCCGCATCACAGGCCTCCCTATGTCCATCCCTCGCTCCAGTCTTTCTTCACCGACTCTGACATGCCCAAGTCGCGTACCAGGACCGCCACTTCCGCGTTCGCTTCCACCACCTCCGCATTCACGTCCACCGATTCCGCTTTCGCCTCAACAACGCCCTCGTTGACTTCGCAGATGACCATGATTTCTCACGAACCGATACCCTCAGCCCTCACTTCTCAGATGACGATGACCTCGCATATCCCGCTACCGTCAGAATCGCACACTTCGGAGATGACCATGACTTCTCATGAGCCGTTACCCTCAGAGTCCTTCCCGGGGCCACCTCTACCACCGATTCCTGCCAGCGAAGGAGATGCAACGTCGTTGGACAAGGCGGCACAGCGGGCCTCGAGGGTCTCGACGGCGACAACGGTCAGGACACCGTCGAAGAGGAGAAATAATAGGAATGACGCATTGGCAAGGCTGGAGGGGAGGGTCAGAGAGGCGAAAAAGGTTGCGGATCGTGAGCGGGAGAGTGGCAGGGTTCGGGAGCAAAACAAAGCGGTCGGTGACATATTTCTGGAGGTGGACGATGACGACGACTATGACAGGGATTTCATGTTTATGAGTGACGACGAGTCAGAAGAGACGCACATGCACTCCCTTGCTCCCCCACCTACTCCGATTCCCACTGTGCCGATCTCTTCACCTGTCTCCGATCCCAATGCCGGTCCTGGGAGAGCAGTGCAGGGGAGGCGCAGACGAAGTACGATGGAGAGTTGGTTCCCTCCTCTATCGAATTTTATGGACCTCCGGGATGATCGGGATGGGTGTGAGTCTGGCAGCAGTGGGGGTAGAGGGAGTGCGGGATGGAGGAGTGTGGTAGGCGTGGTGACTACAGGAGGTTAGGGCATGGAAGGGCGCCGTCGTCTTTGGGTGGCGTGGCGTGGCGTGAAGGTCAGTTTTCGGTACATGTCTCCCCCTAGCCTGATTGAGCATTTCCCCAGTTATGGACTCGCACTTCTGTGGTTATTTGATTTCTTTATGCGTTCTTTGCTCTCGTACATCTTCTCTCGCACATGACACTGTCCATAAAACATTGCACTCTTTACTTCTGTCGTGTACCTTATATTGCGACTTTCCACTCTCTTTATCGCCCTTTCCTTTCTTTGTGTTTTTATCTCTGAAGAATATTATACTGCGCTCCGTCTATTAATTCACTCTACACGCACTGTCTCATAGTTAAAACTCCCCACACATGATTAGTTTATTGCCATATGTCTAAAATTCGTGGAACAACACACGCCGCTCTTTGTTCGCCTACTCGATACATGGTCCCTGTCTATAATCCATTGCTCTCGTCGTAATTATGAACATTATATTCGTCACTACACACGACACCGTGACTCGACCTCGCCTTCAACTTATTTACTTACCACCTCCTGATGTGTCCGAAAAGACTACGAAGTCTATCGCTGATGTAGTAGTCACTAGGAATATACCTTCTGTTTGTTGGAAAATTGACCATCTGAATCGTCTTTGCAGAGTGTCCACGGCACATTTTCTCGAACGATCAGAAGTTGGATTCCGGACCTGGATCATGCAACAAAGGAGAGACCATACAACAATCAATGCTGCAGAGTGTGCTGTGGCGGTGCACAAGGGCCGCAAAGCCAATGCGCACAAGGGGTATCCCTGTGGAAAGGTGGAGCGCCTTTATACAACTTATCGGTGTATGACACCTTTCCGTCAAACGTCACATACAGTAATGGCACTTGAATTTACTCTACTTGAACTTCCCTCCAATGTTTTGCGAGATTGGGTGGTGAGACTGATATTGCGCGAGATCAGTACTTGGTCCCATTGCCAATCATGAAAACTGGGAACGTACGGAGTTCATCATGGTCACACCGGTACGAGATCATCACCCACTTATCCTTCTTCATCTCCTGTACCGTTCTCTTGTTCATCCGCCATCGTATGATGCCGTCCTTAACGCTATACCTCTCCACACATGTCAAGATATACAGGTCACCGGGTGCCGCCACCCTCTCGCCATCTAGGATATCGCCGATCTTGAATGGGAGAGCCGTGGCTGAAGGAGGGTATTGACCTAGCTTATAAAATATAAGGGAGACGACAGGTAAGTTTGGGGCGTGTTGTATATCTGGCAGTACGGATGTCTTCTTGTTGAACTCGTCAAGACGGATCGTAGTTTCGAACAGACCAATGTCGGCATGCGAGATTGCGAAGCCGGCTGGTAACGATAATGGGAACGGGAAGGCAGCGTACGAGGTCGCGATGATGCTCTCGAAATCAAGGTGCCAAGACTTGAGGTGAACCTTTCGTGCTCGTGTTCGCTTCGTAAATTCAGAGGGTGGGATAGGGAAGGTACCGCGATAAAGCGGTGTCTCGGTCATCAGCGTGTCCGTCAAGATTTTCTGAATATACTCCGACAGCCAATGAGTCGGAAATCCTACGGAGTGAAGATGGATGACGATGTCGACGAAAGCTACGAGGTTGCTGGGATAGGAAACTGCTTGGCTACTGTGCGGCTTGGGAGGGACGAGGATGGCGAGAAGAATGCGGGTAAGCCAAGCGAAGAGTTCGCCCTTAGTAGCGAGCTCCTTCAGCGACAGAGGAAGTTTATTTGACGAGAGGATGATGTTCTCGAATCCAGGCGACATCTGGATGACTCGACATCCAAGATGGCGAGAGAGGTCCTGTGGTAAGAGGAGAGTATACCTTAAGCAGGAGGGTAAGTGCAAAGGTAGGAGGGTGAGTGCAGAGAACACGAGTTACAACGAAGACGGCTGACGTGTAGCAGAATTCATCTCCATCCCTCCAGGCCCCAGTGTTACGCAGACAATTCGCGGCGACAAAACATCCTGGTTCAGATTGAACACTCGGTACAACGTATACAGCCGTATTGAGTGGACCATGGGTGTAATCCCTAAATACATGCGTTGAGGATGAGAATCGATTGGAGACAAAGGAAACTGAATGGCACGTACGGAACGTTACTCAGCCACATCCTCGTGAATGTCGAGGGGAAATGCGAGAGTCGAGATGAATTGGTGAGCCTTTGCATTTTTGAGAGTTCGTGCCCCAATTCGCCGCATATAATCTCAAGCTGAACGCGGTCTTTGAAGCCATTGATACTCTCCATGACAGCGTCGAAGAATAATCCAACAACAGAGTAACTCGGACTATCCTCTCTTTCGCTATTTCGGCCCACACCTTGCAGCTTCATGCGAACGTTGAAGTCTTCCAGCTGCTGTACCATGAAAAAAGCGTCAAAGTCGAAGACAGGATATCCGTCGCCTGCGTCGGAGTCGAGAGAGACGTCCTGTTCGAAACCCGAGAGAATGAGAAACGACAGGATGTCCGAATTATTAAAGGAGCATACAAAAAGAGACAGGTTCGGTCTCCAGGAGTCGCTGACTTCTTTGACGACCTGTGATCAGGTTCAGTTGGAGGTCATGGAAGGTGACAGACGAATGAGCATACCTCGGTCACGAGAGAATCTTTTGGCACATAATCCTGAGCTTTTGAGCGGGAACGTCTTCGGATCTCCCCCCATAGGCTTGCAATCGCGTCATGCCTCTTCATGAGAACGGACGGCGGAGCAAACGCTCTCGCAGTCTCGTAGAACTCTTTCTCCTGCCGAAGGACAGCAGAGATCTTTCCGTCCTTCTGCTGCTTCACTTCGGCGTCCCGCTCCTGCAGAGTCTTCAACAACCACTCCTTCGCCTTCGCCAGAAACAAAGCTCGCTGGGTTGCGCCCGGAGGAATCGGAGGTTGCTTGCCGCCAGACATCAAAGCCATCCATTCGACTACTTGCTCTACACTGGCCCTTCCGACCCTCACCTTCCTCTCTTCGTGAGTACATGCGAATATCTTGTAGGGCGAACTGTCGTCTATGTTTGCCAGCGCCTGAGCCGTTTCCTCGTCTTGTTTTTCTGGGTGATGATGCGCGAGCATGCCTTTCAAAGTCTTCTCGCCCGCATGAGCGAGCCAATAGTCCAAGGAACGCACAATTCCTGGCATGGACTCGGGGCTAACGTAGAGCCAACTGGGGAGGATTGGCTGAGGGGAAGATAAGACATCACGCAATCGACGAGCCGTCTTCTGAAATCTGTGACTAGTCAGATCCGGCGACTATAATATTCCATCCAACTTACCGCTGATCGCAATAGGAAGGCATAATGGGCGCAACGTAGACATAGAAAAGTGTCGCTCGAATTTCTGCCGTTTCTTCTGCATCATGATCGCCTGTCATAAGGTCGTCCAGGAGAAGCAAGATGCATAGGTCTCGAGCGAGAGCTGTCGGCTGTATATCGAGTAGAGTAAAGTGGGCTCGGAATTTCGACTGTTTTGCCTGTGATAGTTGCTTGTAAGTTTGGTGAAGTCCCACCATGGACCCGAAGACGTGTCGTGCTACAAGTAGATCTAAGTCAGAAGAAAATACATGTTGGAGGACTACTGGCCATACCATCGGCCACACCCCCGAAGAGAAATGCTATCTTCGAGAGGCGCTCTGCCGAGAAAGACTCGACTTTAAGTGGTGACTCGCTCTCCTTTCGCGGCCCAAGATCGTGACTAAGAGCCATTACGTCGTCATGCGAGATCTGCAGCCAGACAACTTATCAGTGATTCGCCTCTGACTCCACAATGAAACAGACTGATACCGAAAAATATTCAAGTGCCGGGTCACTACGAGAGTATTTAGTTGCAACAACCAGAAGAACCATGGGCTGGAACTCACGCGGATGCTTTGAAGGAGGGCAACCGAACCAGTCTTTCTCGTGCAGAGGCCGACTCTTCCGCAACTTTGTCCATAGTATTCTCCACCCAGTGTTCCCACTCCTCCCAAGCCTTCTTCAAGTCTGCATTCTCAGAGGTTTCCTGTATCCTCTTCAACTCCGCGATAATGCCCTTTGCGCTGTCGGAAGTGACAAAGCGGTACGATAGTCGCCCAGAACGAATTCCATAGCGGAGAGTCTTCGCCAACCGGGTAGACACGCGATCTATCAAGCTATTATTTCTATCGGTCTCAGCAAGAAGCAGTTTCGAGGATCGGATTATGGCGAGGAAACATGCGGTATAATCGCCAGCTTCGTAGAGGGCAGCACTCAGGTTGGAGCTATACACGGGATCCTTGGGCGAAAGTTTCTCTGCCTAGAAGAAGTGTGGGTATCAGCATCACAATCGATGCAATAGCAGATGTCAGATGGAATGGAGAGAGAGGGGCTCCTGCATAGCGTGTCCGCGTAATTTGAACGGTTCAAGAACCTCATCGCCGCGTCGACGACGTCCCAGCTCATGAAATACTACACATGCTATTCAGGCTCACCTTTGCATATTCTCCCGCCGCTCTATGGGCGTTAAACCATGAGAAAAGCAGAGAAGTACCGAAGTGGTAGCGGTGAGTTCAAGTTGAACAGGGCAGGTTCAGGTAAAAGGTTCAAGCCATGAGGGTGAGCGGGAGTCTTACTGAACAAAGCGACCGGCCTTGAAGTGTGCATTTCCTCTTTCTTTAAAATCTACTGCACTCATGGCTACTGTTCTCGAAGTGAAATCGATGCACTGGTAGTACAATGGTGGATTGGTAGTGGACGTTCAGAGAACGGTCGCTTCATTGAGTAAACGACCTCCAGGGAATCCACGGTAGAAGCCGGCGGGCGAAATCGCCACAGTGTCGGCACCCTTGTGGCGTCTCACGTCCAGTCGCACTGGTCTCCCAAAGGCAGAGTAAACAGGATTTCGACTGGGATGGCAGGGCTCACCTATCCGACACTTGCACGACAGCTCAGGTAACATGGTCACAGTGTGCCTCCAAACAAACTTGTGCAAAAGATACCGCGGATCTAATTGCAAGATCGAGCAGATGTAAGAAAGAGCAAGGAAACAGAAGACACGAGTCTCAAGACGGAGCTAGCGCTGAGAAGGGAAACAGTCCATACCAGACGGAACAGTCGAGTATCTACGGATAGTGTATGTATGCAGGCAGGGAGGAGAAACAAAAAGAAAACGGGACTATGTAAGTGAGCAATAGCTAGGGAGCGACGGGTGCACTAGCAGTAAGATAGAATAAAGGGAAGACCGTCAGAGGTCCGAGTCGTAGATTGTATGGAAGCATGGAGAAGGGGGAAGAGGATGGGGTGTACTGCTAGTGGAAATGCTATGAGTACAGGTCTAAATAAATGCGAGTAAAGTGGGACAGGACAGGGACAGTGGTGGTGGTGACGCGAGGAAGTCTATATCTACTGCGTGATTGAGAACCGAGAACAAGAACAGAGATCCATGAAGACGAATATATGCGACAAGAACAGGAAACGTGAGGAAAGAAAAGAAATCGAGAAACATCTGGAGAAAACAATGATGAAAGCAAAGTCCTACAAACACCTCCTACACCCAAAGACACCCAAGCACAAGCAAGTATCGCGCGCCAAGGACTCAGACGATACCGTGCGCACGCTGATAGTTGTCGCCATACATCGTCGTCTCGCTGGACTCAGATGGCCTTCTCCGTTCCGACTCCCACATCTTGTCCTTGGCGACATCCTCATCCTTGGCCAAGAAGATCTCACCTTTCCAGAACGCGACGGCGGTGAACACGGCGAGGACGAGCCATGTGGCGCACATGATGCAAACGAAGATGAGATGCAGCGTGTAGAAGGCTTCGATGTTCAGCGCATCGCCAAGAGCGCGCAGGGTGGAGATCCAACCAACTACGGAAAATTTTGTGAGAAAGCGGTGAATACACGAGGGGAGAACGTATACGCACCATTGGGGAAAGTGAGAGCCCAGCATCCGAGGATTTCGCAGAGATGCTTGTGGACCTTCACCCACCACGGAAGGACGCCCAACACGAACAAGAATATTGCCAGGCCGAATAGCAGTAAACCTGCGAGGACGGAGGCTGAGTACCAGATCTCTCCGGAAAGTGGAGAAACGAGGTCGTGTGCGGGTAGGCTGAAAGGCAGATGAGATGGTAAGTTATGCGTTTTGAACGATAACGGTCACGACGTACATCGCTCGAGCATGAACACCCAAGTTGATCAAAGCGAGAGCAGTGAATCCTGGAGGGCCAGCAGCGACGAAGGCGCCGTTAGCCTGATGTCCATCGAGGAAGCCCGTCTAGAGAAACCGAAACGGTCAGTAGAAGATCATTCTCAAGTACAAATATCGACACCCACGGTCATGATGCTGCGTGAGTGAATCCAGGCCGACGTAAGGATAACCCAAATGTTCACAGCGAGGATCTGAGGACGTACCGAAGAATGTAAATGCCAATATAGAACATTGTGACGAAGAAACCCAGGCCTTGGAAGAAGTATCCAACAAAGAGAACTCCAACGGCGCGGTCGTCGGCGGGATCCATGACCTTGAGAACGTTGAACGCAACAACGCCCACTAGCATCTACGGAATAATAAGTATTACTATTGAACGGAAATCGATGGGAACTCATCATGTACCATGGGGAAGACCAAGAAAGCCCATGCGGGTGTGAAGGTGTTAATGTCGTGCGGCTTGTTAAACCATATCAACAGCATCGGAAAGCAGATGAGAACCGCAGCCGCTACGTAGACCCTGTGCATTACAGATTTGTAAGGAGGAGACGGGACGTTGGAGACAAAGATCTGACCAGAAGAGAGCATAGACGAAGGGTGGTTCGATGCTTATTGGCGGCTTCAAGAGATAGTTGATGGTTCCGATGATGATCGTAGCGAAAGAGAGTACGACGAGCGGGACGAAGACCCCCTTCACAGGGTCAGTGATCAAACGCCATGCCTGTCGAGGATACACTGTGGCAGGGGTGCACTGCTTCAGTGAGTAGCTAAACACTGAAGTTATGATTAAACTCACGGATGGCTTGGAGCAGGAGAGTCGACGTGTTGAGGAGGAATAACGCGATGTTCATGAAGAAAAAAACCGTCTCTACATGTGTGAGTACGGGAGTATGTTCTTTGATTCCAGACATGGTCACATAAACCGCTCCTGTACCCATTCCAATCGGAAACTAGTGTATGGCTAAATTGGTTTGTGTGCAGGGAAAGACTTGCAGAATAGTGCTCACCGCCTGCCAACTCCATCCATGAATTCGTCTCGCTAATCTCGTAACCTTGGGTGCTGCTGCTCTCGCCTGAGAGAACCTCGATGTGTAAGTGTCAGAGCGAGGAAGGTGAGGATTTGGAGGTGCAAGTGTATCCATGGATGAGACGCGGGACAGTGTTGCAAGAGGGATATGCTCCCGATGATTTTGACAAACGCTGCTTGGTCGTGACATAACGGGCAAGAAATGGAGAAAATTCTAAGGGAGAAAAGACTGTGGGGGAAGAGGAGGAGGCACAGAGTGAGTGGATTGTCGTGGAGAACGACGATGATAAAGAATCGGAGTGTTCGAGGCGGTGAAAGAAGCAGGCGGCGGCGTCCGCTGAGATGATGTCGTTCCAGTCATTCATTACAGGTTTATTGGGGTGGTCACTTACGCACTTCGGTAAATGACCCTCGATCCGAATGGAAAGAGCGCGAGCCAAGGACAACGAGCTTCTACAAGCTTCTACTCCACCCCTTGCTAGCGGCGCAGCGCCAAGAACGGGCGATTCGACGTGTCGCAAGATCTTGCACTGATGCACATTGTACAACGAGGCCGCTTGTCATGGTCAAAGTCATGGTAGACTCATTCTTCACCATCGTGCACCCCTCCAATGCGGATATGTGTCCCGAATGAGGACAGATCTTCACGACTCGTGTCTGTTCTCGAGAAGTCTTGTCAGGTGCTTTCGGAAGATAATCAAGGGATCGTCGATCAAATTTTCGATCTCCGGAAGCTTTGCGGAAGCTGCCATTGGCCAAGAGAACACGTGGCAAGCCATCAATCCGAGACTCCGGGAACTTCGTCCCCGTAATAGCTTCCCCAACTTGAACTCATCCCCAGGTCTTCCCTCTTCATCTCTGCTGTTGCTATTCGCTTCCACATAGATTCCTCTAAAGATCTACGAGCTGTGCACGGTAGTATTGTACCGACATCGCCCTTGGGGAAACGATCGTATGTGGAGGTTTTGGGTTGTGTTTCATGATTCCATTCTTCTAGATTCTTCTCGTGACGATCTCCGTCCAATCGCAGTGCTTTCAAATAATTGACTGAGCAGTGGGTGCTTTGAGCACCTGTAATGGGAGCCAAATGGGAGCCGCTGACGCTTGCCACAGTTTGTCTACGAAGGTCATTATGTGCATTGTTTTTACTCACCGGGCTGTTCATCGGATCAGGGTGGACCGGCCCAGTTCGCATGTTTGACCAGAACAGTAACTGAAGATAAAAGAGGCTTACCGCGCTGGAAACGGCCAGAACCTTGGCGCTACTCAAGTTCAGTCCTATTGGCTCCCCGAGGACAAAGGCCACACAGTCCGACCTCGAGTGCTGAGTTAATTGCACTCTGACTCATTCTGACTTATGAGCTTTGGTCCACCTATTCTTCGGAACAGCGTTACCTGCATACACTGGCGTTCAATCCCGTAATCATGCATCATCAACGAAGAACTTTCGTGAATCGACTGCCGCTCTGCAGCCTCGCGATAAGGTGTCATCGCCCTCAGTGCCAAGGTTCGAAGTCCCGCCAACTGCGGACTGCTCATCGCAGATAACCTCTGCAGCACGGCTCTAGATGTCTGCACTAGGCTGGGCACTGGTACATGACGCTTGTGTGAGAGAATGACAAGGCTGCCTGTCTAAGCTTAGCCTCCGCTAACGCCCATTGCGGAGTAATACTCATTGTCTCGTCGTTCTGGGCCAGTTGGGACGCCTCGGTCGACGAGGACACACCGGTCGAAAAATACCTCACCTTTCACTTGGCCAGTCGCTCCACAACACGTTGCCGCCACGATGAGTGCCTCTTGCCCAAGCCATCCCGCAGCCACCCGCCAAGGATGGCGGACGTGTCTCCACGCACAAGAAACGCCACTTGAGGCCGTTGTACGAATAATGCCACAAAGGCCCGGCGTTCATCCAATCATCTTGACTCGCCAAGACTCTTGTTGTTCTTTCACTGTTTTGATCTTCCTGCGACAATGATATGGGGTACGTCTCAGTAAGTTCTCCAATCACAACCGATCGTCCTCCAGAAGTGGAAGTTGTCAAGCCGTAGCGATGTCGGTAGGCGACCGCGTCTGCAATTAACGAAGTACTATAAAAGACTTTCGGATGCATCATCTACCTCCTTTCCTTCTCCCCAGCCGGCGCTGAAGAGCACGCAGTGCGTCTCGTTACTTTCTTTCTTTGGTCCTTCTCTTTCTTTCTTGCTTCCCCTTCTTCCGCCTTTGTCTGTCGACCTTTCAGCCTTTTGTGTTTCTCTTTCTTTTGTGGTCTCGCTCGCTCGTCTATCTCGCTCTCGATTCCTGGTCCATGTCACACTCCGCTACTTCTCCACCACAAGCAGATTCCCACCAAACTGCCGGCCGGTCTTTCTTTACTGTGACCCCTTCAGACCCCTTCAAAACCCAAATGCACGAAGTCAATAACTTGCCGGCCCCGGTCTCTCAGGAACTCTCCATGACGAGAGGCGCCAAGGCTTCCAGGTTAGCGAAGAGAATCCACGGATGGTCATGGCAGGCTGTGAGTTTTCTTTCTCTCAGCACTCTATTCTTCGAGGTCCAGTCGTTCGCTCATTCCATATCCAGTTCCCCATCGGCATGGGCACAGGCGCGGTCTATGTCACACTTTCAGGGCTGAAGGATCATTCGCCTGGAATAACCACGCTGGAGACCATTTTCTTCTTCATCAATATCGCATTGTTTCTACTCAACTCTACGACACTCGCTCTACAAGCCTGTTGTGAGTTTCCGGCCAACTCATTAGAAAGAGCTTCGTTACGAGCTGATATGTGTCTGGGTAGTATATCCTCGGCAGTCCCTCCGACTCATTCAAGATCCCGTGAAGGGGGTCTTTGTCCCTCTCATCGTGAGTTATCCCACGCTGCTGCACTGTCTGGCGCTCAAACGACGAACGTTTGTGTCTCAGGTTCTCTCGTTCGCCACGATCATGATCGGTACCATCAACTACGCTGTTCCATCCGGACATGTTCATCCAGACTTTATCTACGAGCTCTTTTGGTAAGTATCGTCTCCGTTCTTGTCCTCGAAGATACATATTTGATGACTTTTGGTTCGGAATACGCAGGGTCTATATCGGTTTCGCCTTGATTGTCTGCATACCCATGCTGATGATATGGTTTAACAAACCGCATGATTTGAACACGTTCACTCCTGCTTGGGCCTTCTTGGTATGTCAACACGAACCCATGCTGTTTCCATCGATTACTAACAGTTCTTTTACCGTCGACTATAGGTCTTCCCCATGGTAAGATTGTTTGTTCCGTATTTCAATGCATATTTGGCCTGACATTGTCACGTTGATTTAGATGCTCGTCGGAGTAATTGCGTTCAACGTTCTGAAAGTAATGGATCCCGCCGACGACCGCGCCGTTGGAGTGCTCTTCGTCGGATACTTCTTCCAAGGTCTTGGTTTCTTCGTCACGATGTTCTATATCTGCATCTATATGATTCGGTGCGTTCCTTCTCTAGCTCACCCTCTCTGCTGATATTCACACTAATATATTTGCTCAGGATCATGACGGTAATTACGAATTCAAGCTCTCTATAAGTTACGCAGCTTACGTTCCTACTAGACCGGCTTTCTCGATGGACATCAAGCCAATGGCGCCTTCGTCGCCGCCGGTCCTCCTGGATTTACAGCGTTAGCTCTCATCAACCTTGGTGCTCGTGCGCAGGAGATGTACGCCTCACTCCTCTGATACTGAAGTTTACTTCCTAACGACGAATAAACGTTTCAGCTTGCCGGCTCATGGACTTATCTCACCGAATGCTGGAGAGATCTTTTACGCATCGAGCGTTCTGTCGGCGTTGATGCTGTATGGATTGGCCATATTCCTGTTCGTGGTCGGCGTACTTCCTTATTGGTTCAAGCTGCATAAGCATCTCCATGAGATTCTCGGATGTGAGTGACACTGTCCATTTCGTGGGGTTTGAAAATCTCGCTGATGGTGTTTTCGATTGATCCTGCCCCGCAGGCTGGGCCTTGACGTTCCCCAATGGTACGTTTCCCTGCTTCTTCCATGTAGCTATCTTGCCTTACTCTCCGATCTTCAACTAACAGTTGGCTGGATCTCGACAACGCGCGCCCTCGGAGACACATTGAACATCCAAGGCTTCTACGCCATCCACGCCGTCATGACCACCATCATCTGTATCGTCTGGCTCATCCTCATCATCCTCACAGGCATGGCGTTCTGGAAGGGCAAAATCTTCTTGGCGAAGGATGAGGAAGTGCTCAAAGATGAGATGGAAACTCTTCAGGTTTCGAGTGAGAAAGGAAAGGATATGGTCTGAGCGTCAAAAGTGGTCGTCTGAAGGTTCCGTCATGTCGGGACTTTTCGGTGGGAGTTATGTGTGGTGCCAATGGACTGTAGCAAGCGGACTTTGGCTCTGGACTTTGACCTATGGATAGATCTTCGTATAATTTAGAGCTGTGCTCTTACTTAGATGTGTCAGTTAGATTGCATTGCCATTCACGGTCGCCCCTTCTCTTCATTCTTCATTTTGGACTTTGTGTTCCGTGATGTACATAGAGCATAGACTAGAACGTCGACCACCATTCCTTTCCCGGATCTACGTACTAGACTGACTGCATTTGGATCAATACAATCACTACCTAGTGCGCTCCAGCGTGACCGGACGAGGTAGAATGATGGTGTACATCACCACATCTGGGGAACGTCCAAGAAAGTACTCTCTCGATCTCTGATCTTTTCTTTCTTCTGATTTCAGGGGCCAACATGATCAACGATCCTTTTTCGACACATGCTCCGACTCTTGGCCGGCGGGCTGGGCGGCCATCGAAAAGTACGAGAATGTCTTTGGAATATCAACGTCGAAGTATACGTAGGTGGGACATACAAATCATGAGCAAGCAAATAAATTACCAAGTCACTATAATCATAGAGTCCTATATCCTATCAGGCTCATTCCATGGATAGTTATGCTACGAGTCCAATGATCATCAATTAGCGATAGCAAAGCAAGCAACCCTCAGCGACTTAGAGGGGAAACTATCGTCACAGCCAGTCAGTGTTGCGAACGAAACATAGAACGTCTGCTGCGACATACCGTGATTCACGCCTCGATGGTTCTCTCAACCAATTCATATGCCGACGAGCCTGTTTGTACCTTCGTGGACGCAATGTCAGAACCATTGCTCGACTGCGGGTATATCTCTGTCGAGCGAGATATATTGATGCCCATCGCGGGCCCTGTCGGCGCGAACGACAATGCTGTCTTCCCGTACGGTGATGGTCTCTGGATCGACTGGAAAGGATCGGACGCTAGCTGCGTTGCTGTGTGGTATGATTCGGACGGAGTCTGACTCAGATGATCCTTCTTCCACCGCCCTTCCGCGACCCAGAGAGTAGCGAACACGACGCCCATGATGGTGAAGTAGAAGTTGACTTGAGCGACATATAAGGCTATGAGATAGTTGTCGGGCCTTGCGAAGTAGACCACCAACTGCACAACGCTGAGCATTACCGGGAAGACGAAATTCGTAGCGGATATCCAGAAAAGGGCTCGGACGGTTTGTGACACCGTGCCTATATATGCAGAGCGTCAGCCAGACAATCCGAACGATGCTGTGGGGGGTGGGTACTGACGGTCTCTTCTGTAAGCACCCCGTTTATATATGTGCCCTAAGAATATTACTGAGGACCATCTGATATAACCGGACCCGCTTAATATCCACACGAGTTGAATACGGACTACCCACGTACACATCATCAAATATCTGCAGTGACCATTCGATCTTGATAGACGGAAACGTTAGGGTGACCAGGATGGAACCAGCCCCACTAATAGTTGTTGTTTCGTGAATCGTACGGGCGTAATTGCTGAGAAAGAAAGCTGCATTGATAATGCGACCGATCTTGACTATGACTGGGACGCCCAGGATGATCAAGAACTTGAGCCGGGGAGTGCGATTGTAAGGATAAACAGCGTATAGTCGCAGAAGAAGAATGGCGTCGATGGGCGTTGGCGTCAAACCGTCGATAGTCCCTATGGCGATGGAGGCCTTTGGATCCAAGGGTACTGTGGACTGAAGAAGGGCGTGGAACTAGCTCACGCAAAGAAGTGAGATTATAAAAGCTGAGACGAATATTTTAGTCTCACCTGTTCGTAAATATTGAGGCCTGCGTACGTCAGCCCAATAAGAAGCGATAGGATGTTTAGGATAAATATAGGTTTCCTTCGTAGAGCAGGCGTTGAAAAGAAGAACAGGGCCATAAACATCGTCACTAGCGCTGCGCCCATAGTAGACGCAATCATGAGAAAGTTTAGAGGTGGGCCAACTGCTGCGACCCATATTGTGCCAGCAGGGGCTGTAGGAATGACCGGAGGGTTAGACGACTCGGACATGAGAAGGAGGCGGCGGCGGCGGCATGCCAGCACTCCGAATCGTGGCCTTGAGGCTTATGAATGCTTGGGGAATGCTCTAGATCAAGGACTGTAGGTGGGCCCGATGTCCGACCTAGGGCACCAATTTAGATCATGTTGTCAGCCAGATGTCTACGAGACAGGGTAGGCGCAAGGGGGATCCGAGGATCCCACAGACGTATCATGTCTTTCCCCTTTGATGTCAGGTCGCAGTAGAAGCAAGGCTGAGCATGCACATACCTCGTGAACGACTGCCTCAAACATGGAGCTATTTCAGGCTCGATGTGGCGCATTCCTTCCATCTGTGTTGTGCAAATATATTGTACTTCGCCATCAACGATCTTTGATACCAGTGTACTGTAGCCAGATGTTTCGAAAGAGTTGTACTGTGTCTATCTTGAATCGCGGCTGGCAAGGATGAGAGAGTAAGAACGTGAGCATTTCGCCGCAAGAATGGGACATACATTTCGTCAGTGCCTTTCGAAAAGACACAGAACGTGGGGCGAGCCAAGAGCCATTGAACTGTCCTTAATGGAGTCTGCAGCACTGGTCATCCAGAGCGCTTGGAAACTTCGATTTTAGACTTGCGGGTGCAATCTTTTCATCACGCCCATCAACCCCACTTGGAACGGTGAGCGCTCGACAAAGCACTCGTGGAGAGTCGACTGTGACGAGGGCAGTGGTAAGACGCAGTCCAACCCTTGATGTTGTGTGAGTTGATCTGAACAATATTTGAGTATGTTCTTAGTTTGACAAAGACCCGTTCCGTGACTGAGAGATCATAAAGGCGAAGAAAGATCACGACGGCGAAACGCTGCGCAAACGGAATCTGGTCGCGATAAAGACGGTACCCGCCCAAAAACTGATGGACCGGTGCGGATCACCCCTGATTTCAATGTGGTGGTGCATAGCGATGCAGACCCTACTTGGCTGAAATGTATCAGATCACCGTATACGCCGATATCCGCAATAACTACGGTGCTCCAAGCGCATCAAAAAGACATGGTATATTCATCATACGTCGTTGTGATCTGGTGTCTTCGTCCGAACATGTTGTTCAAGGAGGGCCCACCAACAAACTAAACATTCAACAACCGACTCACCGTTGTGAGACAGTCAAGGCCAGAGCAGCCTGGTAGTGTCGCTACCCAAACTTCTGACTCGTCGAGGGTACGTTCCAGAGAGAGGTCGCATGCCAGTGACAAGAAGTTATAGCAAGAAAGATAGTGGAGAGGTTCTTCGAACTCTCCGTTACGGTTGATTCGTGATCAAAGCTTAGAGTGCTCTATCCGCAGTAAGTACATTGTCAAGAAGTACTATTCACGCAAAGCAGGTATGTACGCAATCTGAGCGCTAGCAGATCTAGTAGTAGAGAGGATGCGGCGACTGGGACGACTCGTCATGGTGGCAAAAAAGGACTGGCTCGGAGGTGGCCCGTTGGTGAAGGCCAGAACGATGTTGATTGGACGCCACAGTCGGCGGACTTTCAATTTTCAACCTTTGCCGGGATGCTGGCGGCCCGATCCCAAGCGCCAGGAATCCTCCTTCGAGTTACTATCTCATGATCAGTCGCCGTATCCCCCCCTCTAAGTCTGCCAGCTCTGGTTCATACTTTCTTCGCGTGGATAGCCATTATTGGTAACGGGCCGCGCATAAAGTACACAAAAGTTTGGTCAAGAAGCATAAAGCTATAGACCGCTTCATCTTGTCTTCTTGTCACTGGCTTCTTGTCTTCTTGGAGGTACAATTGAAGACTCGGGAAGTAGAGGTGACGAGGTAGCTCCAGCTTTGGCAGTCTTCACTCTGTGAGTTGGTTGTTAACTCCTTTATTTGTGCTCTCCGTCGAAGCTGAAGTTTGAAAAATGCAATCTTTTCCACCAAAGCAAACAAGCAGATGTTCGTCTTCGCAAGATACAAATCATCTTTACAGTTCGATAACGGCGATCCCTATGCACGCGGACAATCTGTAGGCATCAAATTGTTGATCATCACTTATAATGTAAGTCTATCATAATAAAATTCCCAGGGTGCTTCTCTTCTTGCCATCGCCTACTCGTCGATTCGGTTATAGGATGTGTACCCCGACCTGTTGTGTATCTTCTGTCCATCCAGCGACTTATACACACAGAGCTTCGCTTGAACGATAACTCGGACAGAAAGACCATATCACACGTGCACGAACATATGATGAATGGAGTGTCCACACATATTTAGCGTCTCCGAAACAGACAACATGTCTTTGTGATGCGCTCGAATAGGTTATCGCGGAGATTTGTTGCGCTTCAGCAAAGAAGGGTCTGCATGGGCTTGAGGTACCGTTATACCAACATCGAGATCAGGGGTGATTCGCACTACTGCATCAGTTTGGGCGGGTACTGTCTATATCGCGACCAAAGTGACGAAATTCCGTCTCCGCAGGGTTTCGCCTTACCCCGACCCTTCCACCTTCATGATCTCTCATTCATGGAACGGATGCTCCTCGAGCCCAATACTGGTGATAATCAGCACGCATAACATTACAGTTGGACTACCTCTTGAGACTGCCCTCATCGTATTGCGACTGTACACGAGTGCTCTGTGAAGCGCTCACCCGTGTATTCGTCGAAATGCTCACGTTCATACTATTTTATCCTTGCTAGCTGCGATTCGAGGTTACACAGAGCGCAACTCTTTCGGACCATCTGGCCAGAGTGCACGGATATCAAAGATTGATGTCTGAGTACGGTATTCCTTCACAGCACACGGAAATAATGCGCAGAATTGAGCCCGAAATAGCTCGATGTTTGAGGCTGTCGTCCACGAGGTAAGTTATACCCATGCCCGGCCTTGCCAGGCTCTACTGCTACCTGAAATCAAAGGGGATAGACATGATACGTCTGTGTGTTCCTCTGATCTTCGTTGTGCCTATCCGTCTCGCAGACATCTTTCTGACAAATTGTTCTAAATTGGTGACCGAAGTCGGTCATCGAGCTCACCTACAAACTTTGATCCAGAGTCATCCCCCAAACATTCATAAGCCTAAGACCACGATGCAGAGTGCTGCCGTGCTCCCGCTATCTCCTCCTCCTGTCGTCTAACACTCCGGTCATTCCTACAGCCCCTGCTGGCACAATATGGGTCGCAGCAGTGGGCCCATCTCTAAACTTTCTCATGATTGCGTCTACTATGGGCTCAGCGCTAGTGACGATGTTTATGGCCCTCTTCTTCTTTTCGACGCCTGCACTACGAAGAAAACCTATATTTATCCTGAACGTCCTTTCGCTCCTTGTCGGGATGACGTTCGCAGGCCTCAATGTTTACGAACAGGCGAGAAACTGAAATGTCCATCTTAGCTCCGTTAATCTCATTCCTTCGCGTGTGTTAGTTCCACGCACTTCTTCAGCCCACAGTACCATTGGGTTCAAAGGCCTCGATAGCGATAGGGACTATCGACGGTTTGACGCCAACGCTCATCGACGCCATTCTTCTTCTGCGACTATACGCTGTTTATCCTTACAACCGCACTCCCCGTCTCAAGTTTTTGATCACCTTGGGCGTCCCGGTCATAGTCAAGATCGGCCGCATCATCAATGCAGCCTTTTTTCTCAGCAATTATGCACATACAATTCACGCCACGACAAGTGTCAGTGGTGCTGCTTCCATCCTGGTCACCATAACGTTTCCGTCTATCAAGATCGAATGGTCGCTGCAGATCTTCGATGATGTGTACGTGGACGGCCCGTGCTCGAATCATCTGAATATTAAGCAAGACTTTGATTGATTATACCAGATGGTCCTCAATGATCTTCCTAGGCCACATATATAAACGAAGTGCCTACAGGAGAGACCGTGAGGGATCTTCCTGCCACAGCGCGACTCGAATTTTTGGCTGACGCTCTGCCGGTGCATATTGTAGGCACAGTGTCACAAACCATCCGAACCCTTTTCTGGATATCCGCTACGAACTTTGTCTTCCCGGTGATGCTCAGCGTTGCGCAATTGGTAGTCTACTTCGCAAGGCCCGACAACTATCTCATTGCCATATACGTCGCTCAAGTTAACTTCTACTTCACCATCATGGGCGTCGTGTTCGCTACACTATGGGTCGCGAAAGGGCGGTGGAAGAAGGACCATCTGAATCAAACACCGTCCGAATCATATCACACAGCGACGCAGCTAGCGTCCGATCCTTTCCAGTCGATCCAGAGACCATCACCATACGGAAAGACGGCATTGTCCTTCGCGCCGACGGGGCCCGCGGTGGACATCAATATAGCTCGCTCGACAGAGATATATGCGCAGTCGAGCAATGGTTCTGACATTGTGTCCACGAAGGTACAAATAGGCTCGTCGGCATATGAATTGGTTGAGAGAACCATCGAGGCGTGAATCACGGTATGTCGTAAGCAGACGTTCTGTGTCTCGTTCGTGGCACTGACTGGCTGTCAATTATAGCTTCACTTCCGAGTCGCTGGGGGTTGCTTGCTTTGTTGTCGTTAATTAATGTTCATCGGACTCGCAGGATCAGCATTCATAGCATCCATGGAAGGAGCCCGATGGGATATTACTGCGGATATCGTCGACTTCAAGTTCAAGTCGCAGTTCAAACTCACAAGGTCCGCCACAAAGCGGCGCTCACCGCTCGTGGCACTGGGACATCCTTCATCGGGTCGCCAATTAATTGGCTGCCGCTGCGACCTCTACCGCGACTAGTTGCGACATGTTGCGACCAAAGTATAAACCATTTAAACCTGATTGTCAAGCCCTCGTACTCAGTCATATCATATAGTATAAGTACTGTGATTTTGAGCAAGACCCTCCAGATGCGTTGAGCCTGACATTCAGCCTACTGAACGAAATATAACGGTAAGAGCGATGAGACGACTACTTAGTAGATTCGATAGAGCTAAGACCTTGAAATCGATTTGGTCGGTCCATAAAACCGGTTCCTGCACACAAGGGGAGGGAAATTTGAAGTGGCGTCTGACCTGAATTTCCCACGTTCCACTCGATGGATCCTTGGCTGTGGCTCGCTCACACTGACGGCGAAGTAGAGGAAACCATACTGTAAGCAGAAAGATATTATAAATTGTGAGCTGGTAATGATATGATTCTACGCTCCAAGGTCCCGAAAGTCTATAGATGAACAGGCGAAAACCCAGATATGCGAGATAAATACGAAGTTCCTTATGCCCAGTTCACGCCACGTCGCTCAAGCCTCTTGCTTATTTTCGTCCTCTGGGGCCTCTTCCCAAGCCTCTTCCTCCTCTTCCTTCGTCTCCTCTTTCTTCGTCTCCTCTTTCTCCACTTCCTCTTTCTCCACTTCCTCCTTCTCCACGGGCGCCACCTCCTCCTTCGCCACCACCTCCTCCTTCTCCTTCTCCTCAACCTTCACTTCTTCCTCGTTCCCGGCCTTCGGCTCCACTTCATCCTTCGGCTCCACTTCCTCCTTCGGCTCGGCTTGCTCCTTCGGATCCTCTTCCTGCTCTACGACCTTTATCTCCTCCGCCCTCGGCTGCGGCTTCATACTCCTCCTCTTCCCCGCATTCTTCCCCTCCTTCTTCCCACTCTTCGCCCTCTCCTCCCTCTCCTTCCTCTCCCTCCACTCCACCAACATCTGTATACTAATCATCTTAACCCCCCACCGATCCGCAAACGCACGACACTCATCCCTCCTCGCCATCGTCCCCTCCTCGTCATCATTCACGATCTCGCAGAGCAGCCCCGCGGGCTCGTGTCCCGTCAGTTCGCAGAGATCGAGGCCGGCTTCGGTGTGGCCACGCCGGGAGAGGACGCCGTTGGGGTGGGCGCGGAGGGGGACGAGGTGCCCCGGGCGGGAGAAGTCGGTGGGGATGGTGGCGGGGTGGGCGAGGGCGCGGGCGGTTAGGGCGCGGTCGTGGGCGGAAATGCCGGTTGTTGTGCCTGTGGGGTGGGGTGGCGAAGAGGTCAGTGAGAGGAGAGGAGAGGAGAGGGCAGGGCAGGAGACGTACCGTGCTTGTAGTCGACTGTGACAGTATATGCTGTTCGATTCCTGTCTTCGTTATGTTCGACCATCATCGGGATCTCGAGGTCTTCGAGCGTTTCTTCTGGCAGCGCTATGCAGATGTACCCGCTACAACATACCAATGAAACGAACAAATAAACAAACAAACAAACAAACAAACAAACAAAGGAGTTAGTACGCATATATTGGGCTTTCGACCGTGAGAGGAAAAGAAATTAGACAGGAGAAGGGAAGAAGTGGCTCCCGAGAGAAGTCCGACAGATTGATCCGTCGAGTATTCCGAGCTCTTCTCTGTGTGTATACTCGCATTTGGCTTGAGGAAGTCCAAAAGAAGACAGGAACGGGTCCGCTTTGACTACCTGCGACGTCTCATTTGGCGGATCCATGGTTGAGATGTTACTGGGACTACCCAGCTGGCTCAGAAAGACTGTACTACGGTCGTGCTACCGAGTATAAAGCTGCGTTCGTACCACACGATCTGGACCGTGCTCTTTCTCTCCCCTCCCTCGCCGAAGCCACCTATCTCTGTCCCTCACCCCTTCAAGGAGCATCCGTGCAACACGTCCACCGCCAAACTCCCAAGGATAAACACGCTTCAACACCACGCTCCCTCTCGATGCTGGGGCTACAGGCCACTGGTGTATTACCAGATGAGAATGGAGCATATACTCCCTCCGACGACATCGGAGCATCGACGTAGCCTGCCACACAAGCCGTGGTCGAATGTAGCCCAACACAAGAGGCACATACACTTTGAGGAGCCGTCTGCACAACGCCAAAGACATCGAAGATAGGGAACTTTGTATGCCACAGCTCGAGCCTGGTGCTCTCGGTGGTTCAGCTCTGCATGACTATCTCCTACGTGGAGTAGTCTGGAGGCAGCTACACCCACGTTGGCCGAAAAGGAGACACTGTCTGTCCAATTCACCAGCACCCCACAACCACTTCGAACCCACAAACCCACCCAACCCAACCGTACCGTACCAAGTGAAAACGAAAGCGCACACCTTGTATGTTTGATCATCCACGCCATCTGTTCCGTCGTGACCCCATCCGCCGCGACGATCAAATCACCCTCATTCTCCCTATTCTCGTCGTCCATAACCACCAAGAACTCGCCCATGGCGAACGCGGCCATCGCGTCCTTGATGTCATCGAACTCGAACTTCGTGCGTTGCGGGATGTCGGAGTCTTTGAGCTGATGGGGTCGAGAGCGGCCGGAGGGGGGTGGGAGTTTGGGTTCGGGGCGGGGGGGTTGGGGGAGGGAGGCTATGGAGCCTACTGTGAGGGTTGTCTATAGGATTTAGCAATGGGAGAGGTTGGGGATGGGACGACGAGTCGAGTCAGGAGGCCGCTTCAGGACTCTAAAGATGTGAAGAGACGTACGACCATGGGGGTACCAACTGCGGTGAGCATTTTTGGCGTCCTATTAGCAAAGAGGTAGGTATATGTTTAGGGAATAATGCTGTGGTGTAAGTAGGGAGAAAGGAGAGGATGCGATGATGACTAGAACTCTCAAGTTCTGTACACAACGCTGACCGCTGGCCGCTGACGGGCATTGGTCAGTGCTCGCCGCGGAACACGTGCCGGTTCGGTAAAGATGAAGCACTCAGCGGTGCTGAAACACCAGCCAAAACAAAACCATAAAAATTCATCATAGGATCATCACGGTCAAGGTCTCATAGCTTCCTGAATGCATCTCTCGGCGCGACGTGGACGATGGGCTTAGAGGGCATGATACTTCCCATCAACGGAGGACCGCCGCTCGAATGTACACAAATGTAAACAAACTGCTCCCGAAGAGGTTGATGCCAAACGCGTCGGTCGTTGTTCGGACGAACGGAGGTCCAAAGTCCAAGAATGCCCGTTGTTGTGCATTGCATAGTGTATAGTACGGAAAGATATGCGATGAATACAACCCACTTTTCCGCCCGCGTTGACCACAAGGAGGAAGCTCGGACGAACGAGCTCTGAAGTCGCGGACGGACGATGTGGGTTGCAATTGGCTTAAGGGCTCCCGCCACCGCGTGCGTCGGTTCAAACCGGGGTCGCGGGACAGTTTTTAGCGGACGCAAGCCCTCGGCTTCCTTCGCTGTCACCAACCACCACCACCACTCAGTCTCCCCTCTCCATCGCCCTCGTCGTAAAGACCAGGTCTCGCTTGCATCTGGACAGGTTATCCAGTCAGGTCGTTCTTCGTCGCACCAGATAGAGTCTTCTTCGCCAGTTAATCTATTCACGATATGTCCCACCTCGCGCCTGTTGGCAAATGGGATGCTAGGTATTAGTCTAATCTCCTCTCTTTTCTTCAAGTCCGCACGGACGAGATAATGGTGGCGAGCACGGTGCTGATGGATGCGCGTTTTGTTGTCGTGCTACAGGTATCTCGGCCCCGTGCCCCACGATACCAGCTACTATGCAAAGTGCATGCTCGGTGGTGCACTCGCTTGCGGTTTCACCCACGCCGGGATCACCCCTCTGGATGTGACCAAATGTAACATGCAGGTACGCGTTCTTTATTCTTATCTGTTTTTTTTTTTTGCGCGGAAAGCTTTCCATGTCGTCGCGTATGGTGGAGGATATCCCGACGGTTGCGATTTCGGAGTGGGGTGGATCGCGTCGCGTGAATAGATAGGTGAAAGACGTCGCGGCGTAGATCGATATCCGCTACGATGCCCGCAAAATCATCTGCTCTGCGTCGAACGGAGTGCGTCGAAAGTCGCTCTGACGTAGACGGCTCACCGGGCCGGTGCCCCGAGCGCGGGCGGCCCTGTCGTATCTCTTCCGACTTGCATTTTCAACATCTCCTCTGCAGGTAGTGTAACTCCATGCTGACCACTTCCGTCAAATCTAAAAGGTTGCCCCCGAGAAGTACAAGGGTCTCGTTTCCGGTCTCTCCACCATCTCGAAAGAGGAAGGTTCAAGAGGTCTCTGGAAGGGCTTCGGCCCCACCTTCGTCGGCTACTCCCTCCAAGGAATGTTCAAGTACGGTCTCTACGAAGTCTTCAAGGACTTCTACATGAACCTCGCCGGCGAAGAGAACACGGAGAAATACAAGGGCGCGATCTGGCTTGCCGGTTCCGCCTCCGCCGAAGTCTTCGCCGATATCGCCCTCTGCCCGCTCGAAATGACCAAAGTCCGCATCCAGACCTCCCCCGCCGGAACGTTCCCCGTCCCCTTCGGAGCCGCGCTCTCACAGATGAACCTCATGAAAGCCGAGACCGGATTCCCCTTCGGTTCGCTCCTCCCGCTTTGGTCCCGCCAGATCCCGTACACGATGGCCAAATTCTTCTTCTTCGAATACATTGTCAACCTGTTCTACAAGCACGTCTTCACCGAGCCGAAGAGCAGCTACTCGAAACCGACGCAGTTGGGTGTTACGTTCGCGTCGGGTTACCTCGCTGGTGTCGTCTGTGCCGTCGTCTCCCATCCCGCGGATTCGTTGGTCTCGCAGATGGGCAAGCAGGCGAACAAGGGCAAGTCGGTTGGTCAGATCGCGTCGGAGGTCGGGTGGAGCAACCTTGCCACGAAGGGTCTCGGTGCTCGTGTGATCATGATCGGTACTCTCACTGGTGCGTCGCTTTTCATCTTTTTTTTGACACCGGGAATAGCTTGTTGATGCGTTCAATTGCGAATTATATAGGCTTCCAATGGTGGATCTACGACTCGTTCAAGACCACCATGGGTATGGGTACCACCGGTGGCAAGTAAAAGTTGAAATGAACCTCGACGAACGATCGCGTCCGCAAAATGTCTATATAGTGAGTACTTTCTCTCTGCTCGACAACTCCCCTCCCATCCCCGTTCGCTCGCGATTTGCTGACATCCCTCCCCATCCCGCAGGATCTCACGGACTCGTCTCACCTTCGTTGTCGCTTCTCATTTCCTCTTGACTTCGCTCCTACCCCATTATCCGTCTCTGTCCCGTCTTGAACACCCCCTACCGTACCAATACCATCTCCCCTCTTATCGCTATCTATCTATTACTCTAGTAGTTGACGATTACTCTCCTCTCCTCCATCCATCCCTCCCTACTACATTGAGTCGAACGGTAGAAAGGCCCACTTGTGTGTGCACACACTTTTTGTGCGGATTGAACTGCATGAATTGGATAGACGAATATACACTTTTTTCTCTCTCTTTTCTCTCTCACTCTCTGACACTCGATCGCTGTTGGGGATCGCGAAACAAACGAGAGGGGCTGTGTGGTTTCGGATGAGAGAATCGTGCGGTTCCATTGAATACTGGAACGGTAAGTATGTGAGGTCGAGTGGGAATTTGGACGTGAAGGCCACATCGATGTTGATTGGACGCCACAGTCAGCGGACTCTGAATTTGTTCCGAGCCGGGGCTGCGGCCTGCCACGAACGGCGAGCGCTTTGTGGAGGACCTTGAAAGTTGAACTTGATCATGTCCACGACATCGTGACTCGGATCTCTCCTCCTGCTTTGCTTTTGATCCCCATTTCTCTGATAAACCAATCCACAAATATTATTGGTACTCGTGATTCTCGCTGACTCCAGGGTGGGTTCACGTTGGTCCACATGTGGTGCCGGTACAAGCGTGAAAACTCACAACGCGTTCGTTTGTAGCTCTTCAAGAACATCACTGGTCACAACATTGCTTCTACTCGCTTTCCTCGTGAAAATCATGTCTACTCTGGCTTTGGGAGACTAACCCATACGCATGCGCTGCGAGCACAGGCTCATAAGTCTAACCTAAGACTCTTTTTCAAGTGTTCTCATCTCCTTCGCGTTCACATCTCGGATCTACTTCAAGGTGAGATCCACTTACGGAGCCTTTTATGCCACGACTGTCCCGTTCATAGCTGTGGGCGTGTTCAGGGGCGTATACGCCTTCAGTTCTCTTGCTCCTCGGATTTTTTGGATAGTACATATCTGGTCATCCTCAAGCGATAAGTTGGCGTAAGTCGATCTGGGGATAGTAATACTCCTCTTGGAGTACGAAACAGATGTCATGCTTCAGTGTTCCAGCGTCCAGGTCAGTCATCAGCATGGAAATGCACACACATCTATACGCCTTCCGGACTTGACACCATATTACCCCGTTCGGGCGACATCTGGACGTGTCTTCATCGCAGTGATGTACTGTTGTATTCTCGACACCCAGTCAAGATGCTCAAACGTTGCGCATCATATCAGAATCATGATGGCAGAGTAAACTGCGGGGAGGGGCGTATAGAACCCCATCACAGTTATGTATTGTTTCATCGTCACATTTAGACGTCCGGATCCGGGACGCTGCAGTTCAGCAGGATATTCGACATTCTCGCTATCTTCATTTTATCGCGTTCCGGAATATCAACTATCAGCGAACCATGTCAGTCTTCTGGGTCATGACTTGCCATGTCGAAGAGTGTTTTCCGCGTACTGTCGGAAAAAGCTACATAATTCCGTCTGATCTACATAGACTCAGCCCATCATCCGAGATCGATAGACGGGTCTTTCGCTGGATGCCGGTCCATATCAAATACGGTATTCCAAAAACAGCATACACGGCGAAACAGCCTTGCAGTGATGAAGAGCTCTAGTAAGTATACCTACCGTCTGAATTTGCTTGTCTCTACATAGCTCTTTCGGTGAAACGAAGACGCGGACCGATGATGCAATCATCCAAGGGATTCTTAGTAGGTATCACATTCTCAGCCATCATGATATTCCAGTATGTGGCCTCCCACTCGTCTATAAAGGTTGGAAGGTTACTATGGTATACTCTTCAAGCTCGTGAAGCTCGCCGCGATGTCTTTGAATACCTCGGCCCCTCTCATACCTTTAGCCCCACCGGGGACAATATGGGTTGCAGCCGTCGGACCAGCCCTTGGTTTTCTGATGATTGCGGCCACCATGGGTTCAGCACTGGTAGTCATGCTCGCGGCCCTGTTTTTCTTCTCAACGCCCAATCTATGGAAGAAGCCTGTCTTCATCTTGAACGTATTCTCGCTCCTAGTCGGGATCGCCTACGCCTGCATCGACATTTACGAAGAGGTCAGAAATTCAACGATTCACCCCCACACTTATTAATATGACCTCCGACTATGCATTACTTAGTTTCATGCCCTCCTCCACCCCACTGCGCTTCTCAACCCAAAGCTCTCCCTGGCGATAGGGGGGTTTGATGGGTTTACACCAACACTCATCGACTCCATTCTTCTCTTCCGACTCTACGCCGTGTATCCATACGATCGCACTCCTCGGCTCAAATTCTTGTTCATCATGAGTATCCCCGTCATGATCAAGATAGGACGGATCATCAATGCATCTTTGTTTCTCAACGACTACGCCAACACAATCGCGGCTACCAATAATATTGGTGGTTCTGCTGCGGTCTTGCTCACTATACGCTCTCCCTTCATAAAAGTTGAATGGTCTCTGCAGATTCTCGATGATGTGTGCGTCTTTAACTCCTACTCGTTTTAAACCGTCGATTAACAATTTCAATACACCATTTCTTGCAGATGGTCCTCATTGATCTTCTTGATACACATATATAGGCGGAGTGTTTTTAGACGAGACCGTAAGTAATACGCCCTTTTTGCAGATCTTTTCTATTCCCTTAACGACAGCCGTTGTCATTCAGGCTCAGTATCGCAAACCGTTCGCTCCCTCTTCTGGATCGCAGCCACAAACTTCGTCTTCCCAGTAGTTCTCAGCGTCGTTCAATTAACGTTATACTTCGCGAGACCCGACAACTATCTCATCGCGGTCTACATCGACAACATCAACATTTACTCGACCATCATAGGCGTCGTGTTCGCTACCCTTTGGGTCGCGGAAGGACGCTGGGAGAAAGATCATCATCTATATTCAGTCTCTGACCTCACGACCACAGGGCCTGACCCGTCATCGAACCCTCCCATTTCTGCTGTCAAGAGGTCCTCTAACTACGCAAAGGGCCAAATGACGTTCGCGCCGACCCGGGCGGTCGGTATTACCGTTGAACACTCTACGGAGGTCCATTCCTCCCCGAATTCGAGCAATGTGTCTAATGACCTCACGAAGATTCCGACGAGCTCCTCGGTGTATGAGCTAGGTGACAGGGATGCGCCTACAGTGGGCGTTTGAAACGGTATATTGTACTGTTTCTCTATACATCGCATGAACACTGCTGACATATGGATTTAATAATTAAATTAGCTTCACGAAATGCACATTGCTCTCGTTCTTGGTTGGGTGGCACTTTTATCTTACCAAAGATCGTTGCCGCATTGCTACTTATGCATCTCTCTGATTTGCCTAGTTGAGCTCACTGTACGCATTACTTGCATGTGGAGATGGAAGTAACTATGTTGATCCGACTGCGAGTCTGTAACCGATGACAAGACCAGAAGAGAGAAGAGACTATAATACACGGAAGTTGAAGAGCAACGACTAGTAAAGTGACCAGGTGTATCAGAACGGAACACCTTGAGGATGTAAGTACTATAGTTTTCGGGCATGATCCAAAATTGCCCCACACATGGGATTGTGACTTGATACAGACCACACATAGATCAAGTCTTCTTCTTTGGGCCACTGAGATCTCCTTCGCGATAGGGCCGGAACGTCTCCGGTACGCTGAGAATCCCAAGTTCGTCAAATCCCAAGGAATCGTCCGTAAAATCGATCGACAGACCGCACGCTAGGCGGTGTTCTTTCCAGTCCCTGTATCGTAAATAGATGATGATAGTGCGATTAGCCAGGTACGACATCGCACATCTCAGTGTCGAATGAAGGAGAGGAGACGATAGATACGTACATCTTCTGGCATACCGCGCCACAATACCCAACGCCCATACAAGCCTTGCACTTCTTCCCGCCCTTCTCAGTACAGCCTCTCCTCCCGCACTGTTTCTCGTCCGCACAAGTGTGTTGTAACACGGCGATCCACCACCACCCTCTGGTGTCATCGATTCCGGGTCGACTGGGGCCAGTGGGTAGGACAACGTCGCGAGTGAGAAGTCGAGGAGGCAGGGATCCAGTGACTTTGTATGCGTCGTCGAAAAGCAAGCGGTAGGTTCGGGGACGAGGGAGCTGTGAGCGAAGGACGGAGATGATGGGCGGGTGAGTTTGGGCGAGTCGGAGCAAAGTGGAGAAAATCTTGCAGATCTCGGCTGGAAGACGGTGTAGAGGTGAAAATGTGTTCAGTATCTGGAACTAATGCGTGGCAGAGATGATGGATTAAAACTGTAGGTGAACGTACCATGAACTCCAGATACAGGGAGACAAAGAGGTAATACGGCTTCTAGTGTACCGAAAAAGTCTACCTCCCCGAATACTCGTAGGAGGGTTGGGAGTTCATCCCTATCGCACTGAGCGCAGGTGAACAGGATAAAGCTCAAAAAGTTTAGCACTGGAAGGTAGAGCATCCCTCTACAATCCGTCCTACGCAATAGGTCGAACACCGTCTGCCAGAACGGTCGCGATTTGATGAAAGCCGTAATGACTGGTGGCGAGATAGGTGGCGGAAAAGCGGCCGTATCGCCTGGATCAGTTACGCGCCAGGTCTGCTCTCCATATGCGGACATCCAAAGACGCCTTTTGAGCCAATCTAGAGCGGGAGGGACGTCGATGGCTGTAAAAACTTTGAGCTGTTTGCCCCACGCGGCGAAGAACCGAGACGGCACATCGTTCGTTGCTTTCAAGATCGAAGAGAGGAAAAGGGCTTGGTTTTGCTGTGTGCCGGTGTCCGTTTTGGACTCCGTGTCGGTAGGGAAGTATACAGTTTCGATGATATGGTAGAAGCATTGGGTTTCGAAATATTGTGTGGCGTGCATCCAGTAGCGAACAGCGACGGCCACAGTGAGGTCAGACTCAGTACAAAGAGTCTAGGATACCGTTTGTGAGTTGACTCAGTAGGGTCTGAAATGATTAGCGAGAACAGGCTAACCTGACGAAAGCTTGAATCCAGGTCTGCTAACGCCATTACGAGTCGAGACAGAAGTGTACGTTCCACTGAGTGATGATTATGCTCCCTGGAAGTCATAGATGGATCCCGCCACAGCTGCAGGTTGTCAAATGTCCGTCCAAAAGTCAGCAGTTGACAGGCTTGTAGACAAATGAATAAACAAGATGAACGAACCCGTGCCACCATTGCACCCCAATGCTTCTCCAGAGTGGATACAATGATTTTGTCGACGTCATCCTTCACACCTCCAAGGCGCTGCATCCTTTCAAGTGTCTGCGCGAAGACCGCTAGGGCAATATGATACGGAGATTTTAACTATGCACGCGTGAGTATGAGCACGGATTAAGTGGCCTCTTCAACGCCTAGAGAGATTCAAACCCACTTGCTCCTGACCTATTATCTTGTCCTTAAGTGCCTTTGGAGTTCCAGGTGGGTAATCTATCGTTTTCAGGGTTCCAGATACGCACTTGCATAGCTTCTCAACGACTCCAGCGCGTACGAGGCCTTCCCAAGCGCTCCTGTCAGTCCACTGCACGGCAGAGTTGACGATGGCGCGGATAGCAGGACATATGTCCTGACGACGAGATGATATATTGGTTATTGATCGACGGTGCATGGAACAAGAGATAGAATGGGCTCTGGGGGTTATAACTCACCGCTCTCGTGTCCCCCTTCTCGTGGTTTGAGGTACCAATGTGCACACCACTCTTTGCGCTCGATCCAAGGGGTATGTCGAAGATAGCCACGGTCCGTTTTGGGTCGGACTTGACGATAGCAATCCATTTTTTGTCCATAGAGGGTCCACATCCGAACATATTAAAAGGGTCAAGCACTTCTATCTCTTCAGCTGACTCAGAGCTGAAATATTTCGCCGCCAGAGTGGCCACGGCTGGGTCGTTCATCTTCAGAGTCTAAGGAAGTGGTCAATTGACACGAATTTCAGTACGACAAGTGATAATCTCGAAAGAGTAAAGCAGTAACTAGAAGACTTCGAGGTCGTCGTCAACGGTCAAGGCCCTGCATTTGCTTCCGTTAAGCGCCTGAGCCGGAGAACCCCGTCCGTGGCGTGTCATCAACGCGACTTTTGCGCGACTGTGTTCCTCAGCACAGCGTCCGAGTCCGGCAGTGCTATGTACCCCCATCCTAACCACCACCTACGTCCCACCAACCAAAGTTCAAGGTCGTTGCAGACTCTAGATTTTTTTTGGCTCGGACGTGTATGTACTCGGCTGCCGTTGGTCACAAAATAGTAGTCGCTGACTAGTATGATTGTTTCCCTTTTGCTCGCATACTAGTACTAGATGACTCTTCAGTAATACTTATCTATAGATGTAGGAGTACTTTCGTTCCAAATCGTCTGAACGACGAGTCTCAGCTGCGTGGAGAAAACTGATATTTCAGGCGCCCTGTCTCGAACAGTGTTTAGGCAGTTGCATTTTCGAATACTGTGACGAACTTTGTCTTTCCAGTTATCCGAGTCGGTGTTAATACGCAACTGACGGCATATCTTGCGAGCAAGCTGGGAGTGGACGTAAGAGATGCGAGCAGAATGACCATCATGTGATGGAGACAGTAATGAAGGTGAATAGCCATTTATGGAGACAATAAGTATGAAAAGGTGACGACGAAGTCGACGCAGCAATTTCAGACCGTCATGGCGAGACACTCCGTTCAGCTGTACGTGGAACGGGGATCTGGAATGACTGCTTCAGCAGCTCGGTGGTCCAGGGACCGCACGGTTCTGAGAACGATCCACCAAGGTCCACCACCATCGCGTCCTGTCAACTTCTCGGTTCGGATGCCAGATACAAGCTCAAGCATACAGCTTGATGCTTTTGCGTTCATTCTGTTACCTCGTGGAAGGACCTGCTTCCATTCGTTCCCACCCAGCGGACATTTATGATGGACGTGGGTGTTTTCCAATCTGAAAGGGTTATATAAAGCAAGTGGTTGTGATGAGCTCCGAATGTCGTCGAAAGTCCCTCGTCTCTGTGTCAGACATCTCCCGTCACTATGTTCACCATTCGTTCTCTCTGGGAAGTACTGTCGATAGTCTTATCGTCTCTTCTTCTTCTACTTGTAGCGGATATAACTCAGTACATCTTGTCAAAACAACGCCTTCTCTTGACAAAGAAAGCTTCCTCGTCAGGCGTTTTATCTCTCCCAGCGCTATGGTCAATTGGTTCTCCTGAGATTTTCATTCGTCATCATTATTTTTTGCGCGACATGTACCATCGCCTAGCTGGGGCTTGGTTCAAGTTCAAAGTTCACAACGTATGTCTGTCAAGTATTTCTTCTTCTGAATCGTTCAATTTCTGACCTTTTATGTCTCTATTACAGGAAAGCGTGACCGTTATGTTTGGAGCGGAGGCAAGGAAGAAGTTCTTCTCTGAGAAGATGTTTAGCGGCCATGATGGATACGGACTTCTAGTAAGTACACCACATTATCAGTTACACTCAACAATTGATGTCTCTGAAGTTTCCAATGATGAAATATATACCGTCGAACAAGCACGGTCCTCATGGAACAAATACATTTTCTTGGCTGCTTTCCAGTTTCAAGCGGACAGAGTTCTTGGAGCCGTGTATGCTCCTTCACAGGCTGTTGTGCTTTTATATGATGCTAACTCTTGAGTATCGTAGGTTTGCTTCCCATACAACTGGAGGCAATGGCGGAGTGCTCTAAGCTCGGAGATAACGGAATATTTGATCCTTTCGTCACCCTAGACCAAGTACGACTTTTCTCCTTGGGTATATTACCGACCGTGATCGCTGATGAGACTAACGTAGCTCATGCTTCGCATATCACTGCGCGTCCATCTTGGTCCTGAGGTCACTTCCAATCCTACTGTCTGTTCCAAAGCCATTCGCGCATATCGTTGGATATGCTCTGGGAATAATCCGAGCTCTCTTCTCTTTCCTCTCTTCCCAACGCCCGCTCGAGTATTTCGCATAATTGGAGGGGTACAATTATTCCAGATCGTCGCCGAGGTTTATAATCGGCGCAAGGAATCACTTTCTTCGCGTCGCGATATTATACAGACCTTGCTTGATACCAACACCGATGTCAAGGAGGCTGCGTCGGTTCGTACTTCTCATACTATCGATTGCCATCATCCCTGACTTTGATCATTGTCTAGCTTCTCATTGGGACTGTCTTTGCGGATCACAGCAACACTGGCATTGTTCTCTGCTGGTTTATGCTCCACATCTGTCACCATACGGCCTGGAGAGATCGTATACAAGCCGAGGTTGACGCATTTATAGCGGCTCATAAAGTAGAGGGCACGACCGTTTCGGAGTCACTGGCCGCACTTCCCTTCGAAACATGGGAGAGATCTCTTTCCACAATCGACCTCTGCCTCCAGGAGACTCTTCGTCTCGTCGGAAATGCCGCCATCATCCGCCGCAACATGGGTGAGGACGTCATCATCGCAGGCAGGACTATTCATCGCGGCGAGTACGCAATGTACATGACCGCGGATGCACATCACAATGAGACCATCTTCCCTGACCCGAGCGTTTTCAATCCACAACGTGACTTCGGCAAGCCCTCTGACGGATTTTTTCTCGCTTGGGGTGCTGGTGAGAACATCTATTCATCTCCAACATAGACAGTATAGAGAATTGTTTACACAGGCTCTCATCCGTGCCTCGGACGTCGTATGGGACAAGTCAGCATCAAGATTATGACCACTATGATCCTTTCGATGTTCACCGTGGATGTTGTAGGTTCTGATGGAAAGCGCCTGGCAGAGGTTCCGGAGGCCCGTCTGAATTTGTTTGGTGTTGGCTATCCTAACACACCAGCGTTCCTGCGTTATGCGAAGAGGAAGGGCACGGCTTGGGTCTGAATGTAGCATGACGATTGCACATAAGTATGTTCGGTGATACGTAGACATCTTATCATCAATGCAACATGCCCTTCGTATGGATGTCTGTCCACGGCAAAGCCTCGAAACTATACAATTTCCACATCGATGGTCTCCTGGATCCGAGCACAGCCCGCACCGCCTTTGGTTTTGACTATATTTGTGGGTGGGTGAGACGGCAAATGTCAAGGGTATAAAGACGCATGACAAAACAAGAAAAAGAGATTAATCAGTAACCATCGCCATACTCATCCCATGTCGTGTCACGTCCACATCGAGAAACAAAGCCGCAAGCGAAATGATGCAAAAAATAAAGGAGTAAAAGCAGAAGAAGCATGATAGATAGTAAGAGAAGAGTGATAGGTGGAACGATGGCGGTTACGCGCGGTACGTGGCGAGCACAAGCGCAAGTGCGTGGCACCCAGACTTAGCGCGAAACACAAAGGACAGAGGAAGGGTTTTTTTGATGGAATGATGCGGTGACGGTGATGGGTACGGGTGATGCGGATGGTGAGGCGACAGCGCAAGCCGCGAGACCTCAAATGGAGAAACTAGGACCAAGAGCAAATAAAACAAGTCACTCACGATGTCGATTCAACGCATCCAGCCTCGCAAACGGCTTCTTACACCCTTCGCACGTAACCGGCCGATGGTTCGAATGCAGCTGCTGGTGTCTCTTGCAGTCATGCTGCCTCGCGAAGCGTTTCCCGCACCCAGGCCATTTGCACTGGAAGGGCTTCTCGTCCACGTGTGAGCGTTTGTGGCCTGTTGGACAATAGAAGATGGGCAAAGCACACACATCAGATCAGGTTCATGTGGAACGGATATCAAAGACAGATGTAGATGGTAACACGTCGGCAAGGGTGGATGGGACGGTCGCGGAATGCGAAGAGGGAAAAGGAAGGGAGAACGAACGGCCATATCGAACTCAAATAATATCGTCACCTTCCGTAATCAGCTCTCGTGGCTCTGGTGGTGGGTTCAGCGCAGAGATCCTCAGCGTTTCCCCTACAAACGACAGACTGATCCCTTCCCCGATGAGACCGTCCAATGTTGACCCTTCTAGATCATGCAGAGCAAGGTTTGCATCGAAGACCCCCGCGAACTCAACGCTACATTGAGGTCCTTCGCGCTTCTGTCGGAAGGTAAGTTTGCGGAAACCGCGTCTAGACTGGAACAGCTGATGAAGGGCGTTTTCTAAGATATCTGGCGATTTATTTGGTGGGAGAGGGTATCTCGGGAGATTCCCAACGTAGAGGGTCCTATCCGCGATTGGGGTATGAGAGGGCACGTCAGGGTTGTCGTCATTCTCATCGACAATGCCCGGCTCTCCATTGGAAGGCTTGGTACGGTCAGCAAAGACCCTGATGCGACGTAGAAAGCGAATGCCATCGAGTATCGACGTCGTTTCTGACGAGGTCGATGTCAGCCCTACCTCCTCAGAGGCGCTGTCGGGAGCCTCTTCGCCGTGTGCTCTTGGTCTAGGCGTCACAGGAGCAACCTCGTCAATATGGGCACTAGAAGTGATAAACCACGTTTGACAGTAGGTGCTAAGCATGTGGATTTAGTTAGCAGGCAACCATGTCATATTGGATGCGCTCAGAAAAGCCTACCACGTTGTGCCTGTGGCACCGCTTCGATAATTCTTCTGGTTGCAAGAGGGGCAGACCGCTTCCTCCTCACTCGCCTCGGAGGGCAATCGGAAGCGAAGATGAGCGTTCATATTGATAGCTGATCCTGGAACGACCATCCACTCCACAGGTCGTATGAGCGTTCCGTTTTGAGCGGAGATGTCGTAGTCGCCTCGCTCGACAAGCCGTCGACCAGCTCTCTTTCGGAAATAAAATCGGAGAAACTCGTCGAGGTCCTAAATTAGTACGGGATGAATAAGATCTTGAGTAATAGGAGCGCAGACAACTGAGCGTACCTCCCAGGTAGAGCATAGCTCTAGAGGAAGACGGATGCTATGTCCAAGCATGTCTAAAAGTGATATGGGACGGCTGTCGGGATTCAGGCCACCTTCCCACGAATACCCCAGGACCTGGGGGATTCCTTGGACGCAACGGCTGATCTCAAGGATCGCTGCATGAGATGTGCGAACCTGGTGGTCCACCCGTGTGATAGTGATGCTAAAGGCAGCGGATTGATCAACGGATGAGAGCGAGACAAACCGACCAAAGGGCAGACGTACGAGTTAGAAAGACCTAACAGAGACCTGATAATATCTGTCTGCTCTGATAGCCTCCTTCGACTCTCAACGAGCTCATCCTGCTTGAAGAGACCCCACCCAATCTTCCTCCATGAGTCCCGCATCATACTTCCCGAGCCTCCTTTCTGCAGACTATCTCGGAAACGAGCTATCTTGGCGTACAAATCAAGTATAAGCGTCCGAGAGTTGCTAACGGACTGTTGAATTGCCATTTGGACATCAGGTGGGAGCGATGCCGCATCTTTGGCCAGAAATACGCCTTGGACGAGATGAAGTGTGCGTAGAGACGTGTCTAGTTCTGCGAGCAACTGTTGATACTCCTCTGAGGCACCCTTGCTCTCGCTGAGAAGAGCACGGACGTCGTAAGCTATCTTCAGGATAGACAAAACGTCTCCGAAAGAGCCAAAAGTAAAGCCAATGACCGACATGAAGAGGAGGATGAGGATGAAATCTATGGAAGTAGTATGGCAGTGCCAATATTAGTATCGGGCGCTTGGAAGATACACATCGATCACTGGGTTCCGTGGCCAGGAACTTTACAGCTGATGACCACCTCTGTGTTGTGAGATCAATGTTGTGAATCTGGTTTATGAGTTGACGAAAATCCGTACATCATGAGTGCAAAAACCAGGAACTTAGTAGCACTGGCCCAATCCCCAAAAGCCTTGGCCCTTGGGCCACACCAATCATGGCACGTGAGCCATTCGAACACGCGTTTTCGAGACGCGACGCCGACCAAAACAGATACTTGTATTGTGGTATCGATCTTCCCATCCTCCTTCGACCTCTCCACTTTGCTTTGTTGCTACTCTTCTCAGTTTGTTTGTTTATCTTAATTTGTATCGCAACGTTTGCATGGGCAACTCGCCTTCAAGATATCCTGTTGGCTATCTCAACCCAACGCCTGGTGCAGGTGGCTACACTCCATATCCTTTCCCACAACCGCAAGTAGAGAAGAAATCGAAGGGATGGGGTTTGTTCAAGAGCGAGAAGAGGAGGAGGCAAGAGGCACTTGATTTGGCCAGGCAATATATGCAATACACAATGCCCGCTGTGGTTCAATACCCCGCCACATACTATTGTGAGTGTTCTATCTTAGTTTGTCAGTTAGACTCCAGGTGAGTTCGTTCTTGCATCGGAAGTCAAATGATTCAGTGAAGCTTCAAGCTCGTTTCCCCATTGTCAATGTTGCGTCAATATACTATCGTTTTTCAATGCCTAGTAGTGTCGCGGTGCCAACAGAGTCTCAATACGACGTCCGAAGCTCTCTGAATGGCTTGATATTAAATCTTTGGATCTCCTTGGAGAACTATCTATTGGACGGACGTAGCACTTGGATAGCGATAACGACCAGATGGCAGGCTAGGCGTTTATCTAATATGCTACTCGATCGCTCGTTCATTGTGATAGACTGGAGTAGTGAATCTCATATTTATATGGCGAGCATGTGTTCCCCTGCTGGCGAAGGAACTATTTTAAGACGCTGTCGACGGATTATCTCACTGAATTCTTCCCTGGGCTGTGGCCCATCATTTCATGCACTGACCAACTCAACTTTGACTACCCTGCTCACAGATCCTCAAGCCGACCAAAATGCTCAGTCTGTCTACCCCCAAACCCTCCTCGCCCAATCCCAACCATCGAGCGCCGCGCAACAACCCGTCATCCCCACTGTACTTCCAGACCCGAATGCTCAAATGCAATCCATGCCCAACCCGATACCCTTTCCTCAACAGCAACAACAACCGCAAATGAGTCAGAATGGACCCGTCATACCTGATCTCGGCGACTTCGACCTCGGCCGTGATCGTGACCATGACCATCGTCAGCGATACCGTTCGTCGATAACATCCGACTCGGACTCAGACGATTCATATACCGACTCCTACTCGCCGACGGAGAGTTCTCCGTCGACTACGACGTATGAGCGAAGGAGACGAAGACGGCGGCGTAGAGAACGTGAACGTGAGAGAGACAGGGACAGGGACAGGGACAGAGGTCGATACCGGTCGCATCGCTCCCACAGAACAAGCACCCGCCCTCATCTATCTTCGCAGACCGCACATTCATCGCGCCACAGACATACGGTCAATCCCCTACCTCCGCCACCGAAAGACATCCTCGCCACGACACCCTATCGAGCCCTTCTACCAGAACTACCATCGAACCGCGGCGAGTACTGGCGCTCCTTCCCGGCCTCCATCGATCCCTACTCTCACTCCCATCCTCTACACGACCAAGGAACTCTTGGAACCTACGCCGAAGCTCGGGAACGAGAATTTGAACGGCAGGAACGTGAACGCGAGCGTGAGCAGCGAAAAAATGGCAGGGGTGGCGGGTTTTTCAGCGCGCTGAGAAGGAGAAGGAGGAGAGATAACGACGCCCAGGAGACGTTGGCGCAAGCCGCGACGATGATGGCACAGCAGTTTGTTCCACTTGGTGGCGTGCCACAGCCGACAAGGATGGGTATGGGAATGCCAATTCCTGAACATCATCCCCCCGCCCCGGACGGCGGACTCGATCCTTCTATGTCGAGTAATCAGATGCCACCAGGTGGATTCGTCGCTCCTCCCGAAGGTATGGACTATCGTCAGCACAGCGACATGGACCACGGGGATGGACCTATGCGTATGCCGTCTCCCCGACCTGGAGGAAGCGCAGAAGGACCCCCCGTCATCCCTCCTGTCGGAATGAGCATGATGAATAGCTTGGGGATGGACGGTCCACCGCCCGGATTCGTCCCTCAACCGCAAGGTTCTCAGATGCCTATGAGTCCAGGACCCAGGATGTTCAGGCCTAATGCTACGCCCGGTCCATCCAACGCAAGGATGCCTTCTCCTGCGATAAACCCAGGTGGTGGATCGTCTCAGCGCGGGACGCCGTATCAACATATCTCCACTCTGATGGGTATGCCCTCGCCTGGCGCACCTAACGGCGTACCCATGCCTTCGCCCTCGGTTATGCCGATGCAGATGCCGACACCCGGACCAGGAGGACAGCAGCAGATTCGTTTCACCGGCGATCCGAACAGCCCCTACTATGGGTTCTTGCAGCATAGTAACCATACGATTCTGTACGAGGAGGACCTGTACCCGACGGGGCTGCATCTATATGAGGCGATGAAGTTCTTGAGGGGCAGGTTCGATATTGCGGAGATGATTAGGACGGCGGAGACGCCACAGGACGTGTTCAGGATTAGTTTTGAGAATTCGGATGCGCAGAGGGAGGATTGGAGGGAGATCGCGTTGAGAAAGGTGCGTTCCATTCTTGGCCCTCGTGCATTCTTCCCGCTTTGCTCCCCTCTCTTTTTCCCTCGCTGGTATAATGGCGGCTAACGGATGCCTTTGTGGCACAGGTTGACGAAGTGCTGTACCAGAAGTTCAGACAGCACGAAGATCTCAGGCTGTTGCTCATCGGTACCGGGACTGCTGAGCTCATATACGCCGATAGTAACGACGGTTTCTGGGATACGGGTCCTGGCGGTGACGGGTCGAACGAGCTGGGCAAGGCGCTTATGCGCGTGAGAGAGAGGTTGATGAGGGAGGCGGGTATGGCGTAGTCTCCGCGAAGACGATATTATGATTGGGCGTCCTGTCAAGCTCTTAAGGACGACAACGACGGCTGATGACTGATGATGCTCACGATCTCCAAAATGATAATGGTCTCTGAATTTTTCTCTTCTTTTGCTTCGTGTTCATTTGGTTTCCCATGTGCTTTACTTTCTAACCTGTGTTGTTTCATGCCGTTCGATGCCGGTTGCTTGCGGTCTTTTTTACTTCTTGACTTATTCTATCCGTATACGCGCCACCTCCCCTTTGCTCCATGTTGTACCCTTGTCTAAACTCTGCGATACGATATGCCCTATTCTTCGTCTCATTGTTGCTCATTCACCTCCCGTTCTATTTATCTTTGAACTGCGAGACCTCTCCATCGATAGCCTATCCGAAACGCCTCCTACTTTCTTTCGAGCCTACCAGTTACTTATGTTGCAGTGCATCAAGTGTCTATACACGGTACAAATCCCGGAAGGTCACATATATACTGCACTATACTATTTTCCCGTCGCGCTCTTAATTTTCATTCAGTGAATGGACGGAGACGTCGCGGCTTGTCGCCACGCTATACATAACCGTTGTTTATGAATGTTCGGCTCGTTTGTCGCTATATCTTTGTTCGGGTAACTGATGTATACAAGAATCAGACGACGTCGACAGTGTACCACTCAAACTCTTTTATTGGGGGTAAGAAGTTGCAACAACAAACACTACGCCAATGCCCTCCCGCCACTATTCGTGAGACCTCATCACCATATCAGCACACTTCTCCGCAATGGCGTAGATCAGTGCCTGAGGGTGCGTCGCCGGAGCACAAGGCAGAACACTGGCATCCGCAATCCTCAAATTCTCGATCCCATGTACCCGCAACTCATCATCCACGACCCCCGGCATCGGGTCATCTAAGGCCGCCATCCTACAAGTACTCGAATAATGGTACATCGTGTCCACTTTTTCCTTGATGTACTCGTCCAAAGTCGCATCGTCGAGGGAGTTGGGGACGCTGACTTCACTGAGAGGATACCCGTCCGCACGTATTTGTCGGGCGAGCTCCGCTGACACGCGAAGGGCGGCACGTAGAGCGGACCAATCTTCGGGACAGGAGAGGTAATTCATGTCGCAGATCGGGTGGTCTTGAGGGTTGAGGGAGCGTAGGCGGATGTGCCCCTGAGATTTGGTTCTGAGAAGTCCGCAGTTAAGACCGAAGAATCCTTTCGATTTGTCTGCGTCAGGACCTCTAGGATCAGCAATGGCGCACTAGATTCCAGAAGGGTCCGATCAGTGATTCAGCGTGAACGGTGATTAGACACGGGACTCCATACTCACAGTCATGACGGAAAAGTCAGGCAGGTTTTGAGGGTCAATTGGATCCCTTTGTTGGTCTGAAAGAGCAACGAGTTTGCCGTCCTTGCGGATACCAGAAGATACCCCGAAAATTTCCATCTCGACCAGTGTACACAAGAACCATCCGGTGCCGTGTCGAACGTACTTGTATAACTGATTAATCAGCGTCGTCGGGCGTATGATCATGGCCCATGCCGAGTCACCCAGAGGGCAATTGTAAGCGGTTGGAACGAAAAGATGGTCCTGCTGAGTGGCAAAAACAGAGGCTTGGGTTCAGGGTCAATGGGAGATAGCATGGGCGTCGAGATACCAGATGCTTTCCAACACCCGCTAAGTTTTGGACGACTTCGACACCCATATCTCGGAGATGATCATGAGGCCCAACGCCACTGTTAACAACCGTAAGTGCAAGGAAAACAACATTTAAGGCATAAATAAGGGTGAATTAGATGACCACGAACCTCAACAGCAGGACATGAGGTGTTTCCAATGTGCCACACGTCAGGATCACCTCCTGCTTAGCCTTGATTGTCCGAACACTACCTAGGCTATCTGCGGCATGTATCTCAACAGATTCCGCACGCAAGTCATTGTCGTTTCGAGAAAACCCTAGCTTTCCTACTACCGCTCGGGTGCAGATGTGCAGGTTCTGAATTCGAGATTGGGCCACTTCCTTCGGTAGATAGGCGCGGAAGGCTGATTGACGCGTCCCATCGGCGCCAACGGTAAACTGCATCTTGTTAAATCCGACGCTTGGTTCAAGTGGAGAATGCATATCTAGAATGGGATCGAAGCCGATGGTCTCCGCAGCCTCAGCAGCCCTGGCAATATTAACATAAGAGCGTCAGACGAAATGAGCGCAAGGCCAAATAAAGGGTAACGCACTTCTGAGAAGACCCGTAATAGTAGCCGTCGTATGAGAAAACATTCAATGGGCCTAGTTCCCGCATGAGCATCGAGTTTAACTTCGCGAGCAGGGCTAAACGGACGAGATACATACCATTCGAGCCATGCCACTCCTTCGGAACTGGACCCGTCCATCTTTCTGACTTTAAGAAATATGGCTTTAAATCCTGATAGCTCCAGCCCTCCCTTCCAGCCTGGTTCCATGCATTGAACTCGCCGGGTACCCCACACGTATACTGCCCACCGTTGATACGCGTGCTTCCACCCAGTCCCATTCCAGATACAAGCGAAAACGAGCGGCCAATCTCACGATGTGGCGCGCTGTCGAACACGGTGCTGTGCTTTCCATCCGACCAGTGATGGAGAGAGGGAAGAGGAGTGCGGTGTAGAATTCTGCGCAAATGCGATCAATAAGATCCGCGGGAATAAGACTAGATAGTGAATGCCATACTCACGAATCACCAGTATCTCCTCTCTCAACAAGCAATACAGTGTACTTTCCACCTTCGCTCAGACGACGAGCGAGAACGCATCCTGCGGTACCACCTACAGTGAAAGGTGCAGAATATGAGCAAGAGAAACATCCTAAACCGACGACTGACCACACGTACCTCCTGCTATAATAAAGTCGTATTCCTGCTCCAATTGTCCAACGGAACGCGTAGGATAAGAGCTGTCAAATGGCCACATATTCGGCGTCACTTGAGAGAGAATTCCAGGACGTTGGAGAGGAAGGAAAGCGTGGGAGCAATGCGAACGATCGTGTATCCATCAAAATATGCCGCATCCCCGGGCAGTCCGGCCGAACTTTTAAAATACCTGCCCATCAATCTGCGTCTAACCGCTTCACCGGCGCCTGCGACAACTCTGTCAGGATCTGAAGCTGCCGTGAACTGAGTCCAAGATGTTATGAGATGCATATAAGTTGTCAAGACATTCAGAACAGTGGCGAGTAATATGTAAGCCACAAAAGAGTCACATACCGGAGATTGATTGTAAATACGAACCAGGTACGAACCTCAGCGTGCGTAAACTCGACAAATAGAGATGTTGAAATTTGGGCAAGCTGAAAGCTGAGACCGTATGCCTCATCGACACCGCGTCTGACGTCTCACGGCCCTCTTCTCTCTAATCGTACGTCTGCTTTCCTTTGCCTTTACTTTTCTCATTCTCTCTCTTCTTTCTCTCTTCCCACTCCTTCTTTACCAAACCCACACTGATCATCTTCAACCCCCACTTGTCAGCAAATGCTCTGCAGTCCTCCTTCGTCATCAAGCCTCCCTTCTTATTCCTCTCCCTCTTCATTTCCCTCTCTGCCCTCACTTCCTCGTCTTCCTGGCTCTGATCTCCCTCCTTTCTCTCAAAGGTCTTGTCATCTTCGTTACCGTGCACCAAGGTAGCCATGAGCGCCGCAGCCTCATGACCCGTCATATCGCAGAGAGTGACCGAGGCTGAAGCGAAGGAATGTGAAGGGTGTGGTGGTGGTGGAGCGGGTGACCGTTTGGACTTAGGAGGTCGACGACGGTTCTTTTCAGTCGAAGAGGAAGCGGAGATAGGACGAGCGAGAACGGGGATGAGGTGACCAGGGCGAATGAAGTCTGTTGGTTCAGTGTCGGGACTGGCGAGTGCACGTGCGGTAAGGGCTCGGTCGCGAGCTGAAATGCCAGTCGTCGTGCCTAATCATGGTCGCAGTTGATGCATCAGCAAGCGACAGGTATTTCATGAGGTAAATGTGGAGGAGAATATTGAGACTGTATACCACTCACCATGCTTATAGTCAACACCGACGGCGTACTCAGGCTCGCCTTCATTTTTCTTCTTCTCTGGCGTTCGCACCTTTCCTTTGCCTTTGCCCTTGCCGCGTCTGTCGATGTTCATAGCCGCATCCGACATCATCAATATTTCGAGGTCTTCGAGAGTCTCTTGAGGAACAGCGATGGTTACGAATCCGCTGTTTGAGTCACGAAGGATTGCGTGGTTGTGAATGGTGTTGGTTAACAGAAAGATACATTCATACCAAACGAACAACATGTGAGAAACAAGACAGGAATAAGATAAGGCGTAGAGAGGCAGGGTAGCCCTATGAATAAGCAGGACATCCCGAAACTGGGGCACACTTGGTGAAAGAGTTCCATGTTCGTGACACAGTGTCGCCGTACTCAGTGATAACGAGCAACTTGATAGCGGGAGGATGAAGTATGGTCGTTCCAAAACTGATTTCTAATCAGCCTCCTTCTGTGGTCTCGTCGCAATCAGTGGTGTGTACGTGGTATATCAGCCATCGACCACCTTCCAAAGCCGCAGTGTAGAGCCAGCGCTGGAGATACAACCTACGTCATTTGACGAGGATACCAACATAAACCCTCGGACCCTTCATGTCTTCCCTCACGTTTTGGAAGAATGCCGCCTTGCGCCTGGGTCTAGAGAGAGAAGAAAACAGATCTCACCTTGTCCATTTGATCATCCATGCAAGCTGCTCCGTCCACACTTCATCCGCCGAAACCACCAAGACACCCTCCACTGCTCCTGCTTCACTGTCCTCTATCGCTTCATCCTCACTGACAAGAACCAACATCTGACCTCTTCCGAACGCCTCCAAGGCATCCCCAATATCATCGTAAGCAAATACTTCCCTCTTCGGTAGAAGCAACGGGTCGACGTCGGGGAGTTTGGGACGGGAGCGTGGCGGTTGAGCTGCTCGTGCTTGGGCGACAGCTGCCGCGACTTGTTGTTGGACTTCTGGTGGTGGTGGGTTCTTCTTTTGTGAGAGTTTGATTACAATTCCAAGAGATAAATTGGTCTGACGAAGGAGTAAGAGATAATCCAGTCAGTACCACTCGTATTTCTGATATTGGAAAGAAGAACTGACGAGTGATGGCGCGCCGAGCGCTGTGAGCACACCGAACATGCTGATATCCCAGCAGTCGTCTAACCAGTAAGAGATTCGGAGTGTATCCTTATGTTGCTTCTTCAATTTCAACGGTATCACGGATAGACGGTGACGGTGAGACTGTCCTTCAGTAGAGAAGAGTATCCAGACGGTTCCTCGATGGTTCCAGCTGTTCACAAGAGTACTGATATTGTGCCCGGTAACGGATTACACTCTATTCGCAATAATTTCGGTATACTGTAGTGGATTAGAGAATAAAGAGAATAAAGAGACTCAAGTAAATGCAGAGGATGTGGTCGTCGAGAGGAATGAAGAGCCTGAGCAGTGACGACACTTGGCTGTGGGCCTGTGGCACCTCAGTATTCGCACGCCGCCACAGGCCGCCACACGAGGGCCCGGGGGTTGCAGCGGTCGGGTTGTTATTTCAACTGAAATGTTTTCGCCTTCGGTTTCGCAACTAGTAACACAAAGGACCAGCATCCTATTGTTGGTACGGTCGCCATCGAACGTTCGCCTGGTTTCGTCGAAGTATCCGTCCGGCATGTATCAGGTATACGAAAGTAGGCAAACCGCATTACAATGGAAATCACGCTATCCTGCCATCTCCAACAGCTTATGCAAGGCTTGTGCTCAAAATTGGTACATCGACGAGAAACAAGATTGAAATGAGTTTATTCCCGCACCTGTCGACAGCGACAGGGCATTGTATATTAAAAGACAGTCATAACCGCACCCCGTCAAAGTAACTCCTCAACGGGCCTCTTCGTATCCGGCACTGCATTCGGATCGACGACGAACCTGTATTCCGGAGGGAACAACGTTCCTTTGCTCGCCAACTCAGGCTTCACCCAGTCGAAACTCCCATCATTCTCCCACCCGTTTGCCGCCAACTCATCTTCGAGCAGAGCGAGAAGGTAGCGATAATCGGGCTTCTGCTCGAACTCCAATCCATGGGCGTGGGCCATCCACTTTTCAAGCGCGCGAGGGGACTGAGCGAGGAGATCCGAAAAGGCTGGGTACCCAGGTGTCTTCATAAGGCCCATTCTCTCAAGCTTGGCTTCGACGCTGGGAGCAGAGATGCCTTTCCAGGGCAGCTGTCCGTGCAGCAGCTCGAGGAGAGTGTGCCCGAGAACAACAATGTCATCGCGGCGACTGTTCTCTGTGGTCGCACATGAGTGTTCGTGATGAGATTTGACAGAGAAAGGGGAGAAAATTGATCATACCAAGGCCTTTGTGCGTCCAATGGCTACAGTATCTCCATGTTCCGTAGAGCTTACGCCCTGTGCGAAGAGGTATGTGTTTTCCGCTCATTGGATTGACATACATAGTGGCCAAGCCAAAGTCGAATGCGTAGATGCGGGATGCTTCCTCCGGAACGCCACCTACCGCAAAATTATGTGGCTTGATATCGCGTAGGATGACACCGCGCGAATGGGCGAATTCGACGAAGTGCAACTAATAGTAGTCACACAATGAGTTTGAATGTAGCTCACGCGGATGACACTATATTGAAGATGGACGTACAATTGAGATACCGGCCATGAGCACAGACCGAAGAGACAACTTTCCCCGGCATGCACGGCGGAGATCGTCAAGATTCGGTCCAAGCCAGTCCATAACAAGAACGTCGGCGTTCCCCATCTTCCCGCTCCAGCGGACGGGAACAACGTTTGGACAGCTCGAGAGTTGCTTGTATACCACCGCCTCGTAAGGTACAATACTCTTCACTGTCTCGTACGATATGGAGGCCTTCACCACGACATCTTCACCTGTGAGCCAGTTAATGCAACGAGCGGTCACCACTGGGTTCCGATGCAACAAGAGAGCGAGTGAGTTGATGGCGTTCAAGACGGAGTGTGACTAAGAAGAAGACGAAAGGGAGGACTCACCAATATCACTATCTTTGTAAATCCGGAACAATTGATATATACCAGCCACCCTTAGATTTGGGACCGTGACTCCGCGGTCCGGAACACTGCGTCTCCAGAGCGCTGGAGCGGAGACAGTGGTCGCTAGATCCGTCAGGGATGTCACCATTGTCGACCTCGCTGTATACGTTCTCTTGAGCGCCTGCACTTCGAGTTCATCGGCCTCGGCGAGCAGCGCCGTCGCCATGCCCACGGCGGTGGCTGGCTCTAAGCTGCGCACGGACGACGAGGAGACGACAAGAATTTGATCGGGACTAAGAGGAGAGGGTCGAGCTGACGCGTAGTCCAAAACGCTCCGAAGTTGCTCCACACACGGTGCGAATAGACCTCGTGCATCGCCGGGTAGAGGGGACACCACGGGCAAACGAAGGTCATGTATGGCAGGCTCCAGGTATGCTTGAAATGTCGTAGCGTCCATGGCAGAATACCCGATAACATGGAAGCCCGAATGGAGGAGCTGCTGTACTGACTCGCGCACCGCGGATCTGAGTGGCGGACGAAGCACCGCCATCGCAAGAGCTTCCACTTTCAGATGGGGACGCTTCATTTCTGTTGCAAAGATACGAAGAGCGCGCCTAACAACGTCCTGGTATGTGCCACCTCCCGCAGCATACTCGAGAGCCTCCAGCTCGCGAAGCCGCCGGATAGCCTTGTTCCTCTGGGGTGTATCAAGGCGAAATTCGGCGAGGGCAGCGATAACGGCAGCATGATGGTCCTGAGGACATGTCAGTGAGATTATAATGCGGGTGGCGAGTGGTGATAACTTACGAAGAAAATACTGCACATATCAAGTACGATCATCTTGGGTGGGGATTTAGGGATAATAGTCTCGGCAGCATGCACGGGTACAAATGAATCAAATGGGGACGGGTCGTCATCTTCGTCGTCATCCTCGTTCGAAGACGGCTCCGTTATTGTCTTAGGAGGTTCCGATTCTTCGTCCATGGCAATTGTCATGCGGAACAGTACGGAGGAGTGCTCGTCGGGGAGAATGGGAACAATGCTGTCGTAGTTCCCCACTGGGAATTGCAGAACCCTAGTCTCGACGTGCGTGTTACGAAGCCTTTTGAGCCAAGTGACAGTTTTGGTGACTCCAAACCAGGAATAATCCTTGATGAGCTGGTCACAAAGCAGCAACTCGTTCCAGACGGTATCTGTCTGCGTGAAGGTGTCGGTAGATATAGGGGTTATCTCGAAAATGTAGCCTCTACGAGGTCTCGAAATCTCAGCTTGAGGCGGGCCGCTGAAGGATGACCACCCCGACTGAACTACGTCTGAGCCGCCAGAACGAGGCGGCGACATGACACGAGGCGGTCTCGCGTGGCGGAAGAATGAGATGAAACGTTCGATGCTAGCAGGATCGAGCTGATGAAAACTTTGGTCCATAGGACCTGAGGCGCGCATCTCGAATCGCTCCGATATCGCGGGGAACATGTGTAGGTAAAGAGGACCTTGAATTGGTAATGGGACATTGAGATGCAAGGGCGGCCTCTCATCGCCAGCGGTAAGCGGAATATAAAAGTCACGAAACGGAGGACGAGGCTTCTCTTGCGAGATGATGAAGAGTCCTTTGCCTCCATAAGGTGGGCTCGCCTCGTAAAAGCCCATGTCGGGCAGCCAATGGACACGAAGAGCAGCAAACGGGCGCGTTTGGAATAGATCCGCGACTACGTTACCGTAGTAAGAAGTTCCAGCCATGGAGAGGTGAGGAAGAAGCCGGGCTTGGACGAAGGCGTGAGGGAACATGGAGCTTAACGCGCGGGGACAATGCTGGACGCTGAACGCTGGAACGTAAGATATTTATACCATCTTCGGCAAATGCCTGCCTTCCCACAGTGGGCTGTCGCGGGAACACCCGTCGGAGATTGAAGCCAACCAAAGGATAGAGAAGGATAGGACTGGCCCTCTCCACAAGCATGATCAGACAATCTTCGTCTGATATACGAAAGGAAACATATCGGAGTTTAAGTTTACCGTTCCGTTTGTAGCTTGGTGGGCGAAAATCGATACGCATGCAGTGGATTTCTTCCTAATTTCTTCTCGACTTGTCTGGGACTTGCAATTGTTCAGGGCCAATGGTCGGCGAGGTGCGACTTTCACTGGGCGTACAATTCTCGAAGCAAGAGCAGGATGCAGGATGCAGGACGCGCTTGAACAGCGGCAATCACGCACAGGCACGAGCGCCGAAGCGCATCCTGCTCCTGCATCAAGAATCGACTCGGAGCACGCCCTGTTTCCGATCCACAAGGCGCGGAAGCATGTATCCCCCTGAACAAGCGTTGGTATTCGAATCCGTTGTTCTTCTGTGCGGCTGTAGCAATGACGATCATCGCAACTAGTTGTTACACACCTTCGCGAGCTCAACAGACGAGCCTTCTCCAGCGTGCTGTCAAAGTCACGGAGTTCTCATTACATTCAGGCCAGCTTCTTCAATACGCATTGATTCAGATGCATAGTTGTTGGGGATGGGAAGACTGGAGGTCATCCCCTAAATAGGAATCAGACTAATTATTATACTCTACAGAAGGAACGATCTTCTGATTCTCGGATGCTTCGCCATCCGATTTCACATACGACAGTCACGCTGGCATTCATAGCTTGTTTCGGCTACAAAAGGTTATTGTTATCGCCTTGAGCCTGGGATTCAGGTCGCATCACATCACACGAGTTCATGTTGTCACTTCTTGCACAACGCGGTTTACAGCTGGTAAAGAAACTGTAGTCCAGCGCCATTCTGCACTCACTCAGAGTCGTCATTGTGAAGTGGCGCGAGACGGAATAGATTTATATACTCTGCGTCCCCTTTTGGACGTCGTGATACTGTTTCGGTGGCATGCAGCTTTATGAATGCAGCTTTGGGAGGTTCACTCCACACTCTCACCGGCGTCAATCGACGTCAATCAGCCAAAACCCCACCTTGACGCGACAGCTCTGAGTGTGTGCGGAACAAAGCTGGACTACGGTTTCTTTACCAGCTGTACCACCATTCCGGATGCACAGTGACGGCCATGTGCCGATGCTTGTTCTTGCATCTGTGTTTGAAGTAACGATCTTTCGGCTCCTGAGAGGCGCTATCCGATGGCCCTGGACTCGGAGCTCGCTCACCAATTGTGCCACGTTTGCGTTGAGTCATCCGGACAAGACTCTAGGGATCCTTGTGATATATGTCGTACGATATTCTCAGTTCTCGTTTGACAAGACTAATGACGTTCTTTAGCTCGATGATCCGGATTTACTGCGGAGCATCAAGGGGCAGAGCTTCCTCTCCGGATTTGCTAGCGCTTTCTCGAGAGGTTGATAGGCCGTGCAAGAAGTCTTGAGGCACACGTGAGCAGAGAGAGATAATCATTATAATGATTGAGCAGGGATTGAGATACATTTAAGTGAGCACTGAATATGTATGTGGGTTTGGGCGAAAGCCCGCAGGGTTTTCCGATCCATGGAAACGGTGACCTGCAGAAGAAACATCCGGGGTGAGCAGCGATTGGGCTGGGCGGTCTATCGAGGTGCGGCGGGTGGGACAGATCGTCGAAAGCAATCGCTGATCTATGGAGACATCTCTGTGGACAAAGTGAGGTCAATACCGAAGTCTACGGGTCCATGTTAGTGGATGCACCAGCTGAACAGTAATAAATTGGTAAAAACAGTAGATCTATCACCAATAATCAGGAGGTACCGAGACGGGTCCAGTTAGGGCCATTGCTCGCCACCAAGCTGAGATTCAGTCAGTGCAACTCAAACGAAATCAAGGGAGAGGAGGGTGGGTGAGAATATTCAGAGACGACGCCGAGAAATCGCTGAGGCTGGCTAGGACGCGAGGTGGGGACGGCGGTGGTGGTCGCGGAAAGGAAAACTTTCCGGCTACCGCTCCCGCCGCATCCGGAGACAAACCTCTGTGACTCCACTCGTTCCTCCCTGCGTCACAGAGTCACAAAATATGTTACCGAGTGGTATGGTGGTTTACACACAAGCATCACATTCCTGTTTTTTGAAGCCTGGTAAGTCTGGATTGGGGTCTAGTCGAGTACATTCTCCGCCAACACACGATAATCTCATCCAATAGATTAGATTCCATCTCATTCTCGTAGATTGGACTCGGCTGGACTCCGATCGCGTCGATTCGCGTCGAATCGAGTCCTTTCACATCCAATATAAGTAACTCTCGTTTTGTAGTTTATCGGACTTGAATGTAGTATAATGAAATAGAATGGACTGCATTCTATCCCATCGGCGTCCATTCTGCTTCGTTGGACTCTTTTATGAGGGTCCCTTTTTAAAACTTCATTAAATAAGAAAATAATGGACTGAACTCCGAAAAACAGAAGCTCGATAGAACGCGATCACGCTCGGAAATTATATCTAGAGCTAGATATCAGCCCACGCACAGTTTTCGGGCGCGATGATGCGTCACGAACGCCCCGAGATCGCCGTCCTTTCGAGTCCGTTGGATTCTATTCGGATATACGCGAATAGATTGGAACAGATTCGCGTCGAACGGAGTCGAATCGCATCCGTTCGTGCCCGTTCGCGTAGATTCTGATACAATCGAGTACGTTGGACTCCGATGAAGCCGAACAGAGTTTAATTGTCTCCGGATAACCTAACACTGTGATTAAAGTCCAGAAAAAACCTTCATACTTCCAACATATGGTTCCTGTGAGCCAATTTTCGCCAGAAACAACCAAGGTAAGGTGAGTTTATTATGAATCCTTGGGCTACTGTTGAATAAGGCGTTCTATCTTTGACCCTGATGAGCGTAGGGATGATTCGATGGTGATATTGCCTGAAAGCTCCAATAATAGGTATGGATTGAGTCGGACAACTACGCTAGTGCCTGACATCGCTGACGTATCGACATTGTGACATTTTGCAGCGCTCTCAAGTCTCAGATTGTGAGCAACAAGAGTTCAATGCCGTACACCTTCAATGCAATATAGAAGTTATTGTTCTCTGTGGATCTTTTCATCAAGTACACTAGAAGTCTTGGGTGAGTGTTACAGAGTGTGGTCCGTGCAGCCGGAGAGGTTTCATGAGTACTGGCGCTACCAGAACACTATCAGTCGAGAAGTCCTCTTCTCTTCTTGATGAATGAGTATTGCTGTACTATGCCAGCATATCCTTCCATTCCCAGTGGCCTGGCTATCCGGTGTTATGGGGTGGTCCTGTTGTGTAGAAGTCGAATTCTCTCACACGCCACCGACTCGTTCTCTCAAACTCAGGAGATATCTGTCGAACCTGTGTATAGACCCACTCAGACGGAGTCTCATTCATCACTTCCAGAAAGGGCGCTGCGAAAGGTCTCATACTCCCACGACTCTGTGAGGATATAAATGCAAGCCTTCAGTAAGCTCCCTCATCATCATCTACCCGAAATCCAGCGTACTTCTCCGTCTCTACACGCTACGTGCTCCTCCTCCCAGCATGCCTCCTAAATTCAAATTTCAGCCCGGGCAGATTATCAACTACATGACCACCCACCCCAAGTTCGCTATCTCTTCTGCTTCGACGACGGGACGGCCAGCCCTCAAGGCCAGACCTTGCGTCGTTGTCACCGCCTCAGAGGATGGCTCAGAGATTACCGTCTTCCCTTTCTGTGGCGCACAAAAGGATAACAACGGCCAGTGGATTCCCCGCCCAAAGGCCTGTTGATTAACTTCATTGGCTACAGATTCCTCGCTGATCATATCGCTCTACAGATGAAAGTTGCAGATTGGAATCGGCTCGAATTCGTCAACGTCCAGTCAGGACAGAAGTATCCTGTACCCAGTGACTCTCTTAACCGGACGCCCATCCAGATACGGAACGACACTAGCAATGCACAGCCCACTGCCTTCAAGGGTATAAAACCCTCTTTTGTCTGGGTTGGCGACGAGGAAGGCGAGAAGATCAACTTGAACCAGAAACCTATCGGCATCAGTGATCTTCTGTCGCCTTATATCCAGGCAGAAGCAAAGGTCGTGGACGAGATCTTATCGAGGGCTGAGAAGATTACGCAACCTGCACAGCAGAGTACGCGCTGTCATATTTTATCTCGTCTTAAGCACGTCGTATTAACCGGCATACAGGCGGAACGAAGTCGCAGCCGGAGCAGGAGGAAGAAACCGATGACCCTGCTCATTAGTATCAGGTAATCTTGCGGTCCTATTCTTAACACGCTCGTTTCGATTCATCACGATTCTACTCTGCTAGGTGCTTGGATGTATTGGCTCTTGACGACAATTCCGCAAGAGGAACTTCTGTATTCTCAGAAATGTGGGGCGATGAATGTGACGCAGGAAGAATACGATTGTGATCTGATTCTTGTTAAAGTGTTTCGCTTCTATGTCATAAATTTAAAGAGAGGGGAGTTTACGCAAGGTGTTGTGAACGTGAGGTTTTTGGGTCTGGAAAGAGGTGAATTTAGGTAGACATGACACGGTGTCTCCGATCCACATCATACTTATATTTGAAGTCGCGTGAAACATCTTAATTCTTTATCTTTTGTTTGTTGTGCGTTTAAGGCTAGCCATTGCGGGTAAATTTTTTGTTGCATTACTTCAGCATGTTCCTCGGTGCAGTTATATTTCTGGAAAGTAGACTGGTATATAGAGCTGGGTCTCCTATGTCCCGATGATCATGGTCAAAAGTCGCCGTCACGTTGAACATAAATAGTAGCAGAACCCCTCGGATGATGACCTGGGCTACCGTTCTCTGATATTGGGCCGGTACGATGTATGATTGCCTCTCCGGAGTAAACGCAGAGTTAGTTTGACGTCTTACTCACCAGTATGAGGATTTATCTGCTATTGAAAACTGTCTCTAACTGAAAACCAGCGACGGGGTCCACACCTAATTTCGCCTTCGACGCATCATAGATGTCATGAATATCTGTGCGCTCTGCAAATTGCGGTCAGGAAGCTGCTATATAAGATGATTTTCTTGGGGGTGTGCCGTAGACTCGCATGGAAGGATGTTGGTAGGTACGTTACGTAGATTCAGTGTTACTTTGTTCATGTTGAAGGCAAACTCGAGCTGCTCGATTTGTGTCTGCAGATTTGTCGGTCATATATTAAAGAATCGTGCGGCAAAATGCTAACAGTACTGACACTCCTGCAGTGTTCCATACTTGGGGAGTTTGTGAGGGGTGTTCAGCAATAGCTCGCAGAGCAGCCAATACACACTCGGTTCTCTTCAATTTATTTTTTAAGTCATTTATGGAGCTTCATAGAGGCCAAAATTCTAGAAGCTGCAACGGGCACAAGAGGAAACCAGTTTGAGGAATACAGTCGATACACTCATACGGAATACGCCGATACGGAATAAATTTCCTTATATGGAAGGAGCTCGATTTCAGAGAATCACATACGGAGACTTCTTCTGTGCTTGTTTCATCGACTTGACCACCCAGATATATGCGCACATGCTATACAAATACATAAGAATACCTGTGCATTTAGAGCGAAAATTGGAAACGTTAGACTGATTATTCTGATAAGGAATATCCTCCGCGACTGTATTCCTTATGAGGTTATCTACTGTACCACTTCAGACCTTGATAAATTCGGAGATTTTGATCTGATTCTCCTCTTGTGTTGTTTGATTGTGTCCGATTTATGTGCATAAATCATGATCAGGAGGAATGGATCATGTCTACCGCATACCAATTTCCCCGGGGCACAGATCCATCGCCGTTGTTGAACGGCAGAACGTCGTCCTCGTCAAGCGAAATATCGAAGTCTCGCTTGCCAAAATGGGCTGATATTTCGATCTGCGCACACTCCGAACACCGTGGCAGAGCGCCACGTTTAGCACCGCTTTCAGCGGGGTTGGAAATGCCGCAGCCCCGGGATGGGGACCTCGTCGTGACCAATGTGCGGAGAAATTACCGAACACCCCACAAACCCACCGGAAACGTTCCGCACAAGGGTCCCCTCACTTTTTGATCTGTATAATCGCATAGTAGGAGGATAGCCTGAGTGAAAGTTTGCCAGCGTCCGTAGGAAGTTTTCAAGCTCTCAGGATCTTGGCATCAGTGAATATTTTTTGCGGTTTCTCTAATCCGAACAGTGGAGGAGTGATAGTAGGTTGTCGAGGCGATTGTGAAATAGCGTGAGCCAGTTCAAACCCGGGTGTGGGGACATTGCTGATGCCGCGAGAGTGACAGGACATCGCCTTTATGTTGCCGCAAATGCCTCTCTACCAAGCCTTTGCATGTACTTAGATCTAGTACTTGTCTTGGCAAATTGACGAGTGCTATCGAACAGGGTGAACGGCTTTCGAATTGGCTACTTGTAAATTTAGCGCTTGATTCTCTAGGTACTCTCAAGACTTACCTAGGCTGAACTTTCTGTTCCTTTCTCAGGCCATTCCTGACGCTCACAAGGAGTAAGTATAGCACACTTAGTTCCATTGGACGATGTTCAAGTTGAACGATGGTCTTATAGCCCGACTTTGCCATTGAGACCCCAATGGTCCACAAGTTGATTTCCACTTCGATACCTTTATCCATCAGTTCAAGGACCTCAAGATCAATACCTATGTCCACCCCTTTTTCTTCGTTTGGAAAACAGTGCTATAGTAATGAATGTGCTTGACAAACCTAATCCTCGTTACACGATAAGATATGCCCGGGGTAAATGGGGTCGCTTCCTTACTCACTTAGCAGACTGGAGACTCGTAAATTATGTACCCCTGACGATTTCATACAGCTTCCTATTCTTTTTTATACTTCTTGTATGCCGGTGAACTCCTGTAGTTTCAGACAAGTACGTACACCCTCGAAACGCTGCCACAAAATTTCAACCGTCGTCCTCATCGACCCACTTTCGCTTCCTCGTCCAAAACGGCGACTTCTCTCGCTCACTCGAAAGCTTCGCGACAGCTTCCGCCCGCCTCTTCAATGCCCACTTCGGCCACCTGGACAACCCCGCAGGCCGCCACATCCAAGGCTCCATATCTGCCACAGGCATCGCCGGCTCACTCTGGTACTCTCTCAAACATGGATCGTTGGTCTGCGAGTTCGAACCGGATGGATGATCCAATTTCCTACGTTTGAGTGATTGACGCCACTTCTCTGGACTAAGTTTCTCGACGGGTACGATCTTGGAGTAAACTTCAGTTGGATCACTCGGAGGTGGATGTTGGTCGTCAGGTTCGTAGACGGGTCCTCGTCGCTTCGCCTCTTCTTCCTTCTTGCGACGAGCTTCCGCTTTCTCGATTGCGTTCCCAAAACTGGGGATCGGAGACCTGTACAAAGGATCATCAAGAGGACAGTACGACCGGTGCGAGCCATCGAAACTTGGCAGTATCTTCTTGAAGGGTAGAAAATCCCGTTCCCATCCCGCTCGTACCAGATACCGGAGGCCGTAGACTCAACGCAGGACGGAGTGATGTGCTCATCTGGCCACCACTGACGGCGATCAGGCGGCGGCGTCCCGATTCTACTATGCTTCGACGAAGGGTGGGTCCAAACGGTCTCGACGAGGAGGCATCAGTTGCTCATTGGTTATGGGAGGGTCTCGGCGGGGTTTCGTGTAGTCAGGGTATAATTCTCGTTCATGGCAGTATAGTTTTCGGTCACGGCCGACGGAGGAGCAAATGGAGACAGAAGTTAGGGAGGATGCGTGGCTTTGTGATGAAGACCCGGAAATCGATGACGAAGAAGATTCCGATGGGGCCCTTCGACGAACTTTTCGGGCAGCTTGTCAACGGTGACCGGAATTGAGAGGAGGTCCGGGTACCTCTTCGCTCATCCAGCAGTCTCAAATCTGACGCGCGACGTTAATGGATTCGCTAAAACATTGTGGAATGAGCTCAGTCGGGTATTCGTCGAGTTAGGCGATGGTATTATAGATAGCAAGATACGGGTGGACGTGGCGTCGAAGCGGAGGGACATGTGTATAGGTTTTTCGATATTGGATGTGATTCTGTACACGCGAATGATGGGCTCGAATAAGACGAAATGGCTGCGAAAGGCACTGGATAGGAATAAATTGAAACTCCACGATGGAAGGCTTGTACTAGGTCTATAAACAATAGAATAAGCCGGCGACAACGATACCACAGGCTCATTTCCTTACTTCAGTCCACTTGGGTCTGCGGGAGTAGCGTAGAGCAGGGTGATAGAGTACTTATTTGCGGATTTGTTTTGATAGTTCGAGATTGGGAAGGATACCCCAGTATCCTTGGTCAAAATGTAACAGGACATCGTGCTGCACTGTTCATGATGTGCCAATTTTTGTACGTCCAATACTACGAAGAAACTCACGAAAGAAGACATTAGCAGGACTACTCAGGCAGAGGCTTTTGCCTCGCTGTCCCCAAACGTGAGCGAGACGGCACTGGATACTGCTGTGGTTACGTCAAAAATTGCAAGCAAAGTACAAGCTGAGGATTCACGTACCAAATCCTTAGGGCAGTGAACAGGATCCATCAACGGAACCTGAAATTTGAAATGGAGTAGGCACAGGTTCAGTATCCCATGTCAACAAAGACCAAGACTTGAATGGCTTGTTGCCGTGTGGTACATCAGTCGATGAGCGTGACTCCATGATGATAGTAGTAGGGTAAGACATGTCGAGAGCGCAACCGACAAAGTGCTGTGAAAGTTGGCCGAGTCTTGCGCGGGAGACTTGTTCTTATACCGTCTGCTTGGGCCAGTGCTTCATGGTTCTGGAGTCGTCAATCTTGAGCCAGCGCAAATTAGCGTGTGGCGCTAGCTTTTGGCTTAGCTTGGGCGCCACACTACGGCTGACTTAATGGTTCTTAGCGTGCATGGTTTGGCTGAGCTACCTTGCGTCTAGCTTAACCTCTCTGTCGCGATCGTCTGCTCTGTATCTGGTTTCTTCTCATCGGCTTAGGTCATATCACCACCTGCGGCCTTGTTACTGGGTACTTCTGTTCTGCATCTTGACTGTCCAGGTCACCGTCACAGCGACGACGGCTTAGAGTATTCCCTGGTCAAGCGTGTCCTTCTGGTCTACAACATAAAGTTTGATTGCTGATGCTGTCTATTATAGCATCATCGTTCTTTACACACTGGTGGCCCACTAGTTGGATTGACCGCCAGTGACATCTTCGACTTAATGGTTTTCAGCGTGCGTTATTTACTAGCTAAGCTAGCTTGTGGCTAGCTTAGGAGTCAGCGCGAATTAGCTTGTGACTTCGCTTGCACGCCACACACGCTAGACTTAGTGACTGACTAGCTTGTGTGGGTTGACTCATGATAGCTTGCACTTGCTTCTGACGATGTGTCCCAACCAATCCTTTATATAATGTGTAAACCGTTGGCTCCCCCCATCGGTGTGCTGGAGAACGTCGGTTGGTATGGCCTGATGGCACTTCCAAGACATTGTGAGTATTTACCTACGGCTTCGGAGTATTCATTGCTGCTCCTGATTATATGTTCCAAGACTTATCCATCCCATCGATTGATACACAATATACATTGGTATGTATGCGTTGACAATGCTCTGGCGCTGGCGGTAAATTTTCGAAGACTTGTCTCGAGAACTTTCCCCTCGAGAGATGATCATTCTGCCCTTTGGTCTCACATTATGTGCATTCAACACTGTAACTTGCTCTACCGGCACGGCAAAGCATCGAACATTAAGTAGTTCACCATCGGTAAGAAGACTTACTTGTACTATAATCCACTCCAAGCTCGAACCTACTTTGCGTGTGTCGACGCTGACATCAGGCCCAGGAACGATACTTATGACGATACAGTAGGCGACCTGAGAACGAAGTACAAACACACACTTTTTGGGGCACAAAAGCAAGGTGAGCCTTTTTTATCTACTCATGATAGTCTTGTTGAGCGGAGACGTACAAACGGTGACCAAGATTGATTCTCTGTACGACCGATGTAAGGAATAAGTGATATACTTAATATAAGGAGGTCCAATTGACGGGTTGTTCAGGGCACTGAGACGTTAGATACACAATAAAACTGGTCGACAGCGTACACGCGAGCGCACGCTAAAATGACCAAGCTACACAAGCTACACACTTATTTCTGTTAGTTAGCGTGCAAGCTAGCTTGGACAATTTAGCTTGTCCAGCCAAAAGGTAACGCAAGCTAGCACTTGGCTGGTACAAGCTAGCATTTCACGCTAAATTGTTAACCGTCGTCAATCTTCACACAAAGGATGCGGGAACAATGAGCCCGGCAGTTGCCGGGCAACTAAAAAATGTAGGACACGGGGTGGCGAGGTGGCGTCGTTGATCATGAACACCTTTATAAGTATCTCAGCAGCATAGGAGATAGATGTCAATAAGCACATCAGAGCTTTACAGACGGATGGGAACCCGAGATGTGGGTGATGGACCACTTGGGCAGAGCCCTGTGTGAGGGCATCAAATCTGCAGTCGAAAACAAAGGGATGTTACAACCGACAGCGAGCTCTGAGCAGCGGAAGGGAATGTACACAATCGACGAGAATGCGGTTGATATTTTCCTTCAAGGAATGCTGGGTGGTGGTTCCTGAACTAACAGATCAGTACAACTGGAGATTCTCAACGTAACTGAACGCACTTTATTCACTGCCTCCGTCACCATCTTCATCAGTTTGGCATAAAATGGCTCAAGACTCATTGGTCCAGATGCTGCACAATTGTCATAATCAGAGCAAGCGGCTCCTTCCCAGCGAGGATGCGCTTGGATCTCGTCGTAGGACAGGATGACTTGAGGATCTGGATGATCCTTCGCCGCTGCTGCTGCGTATTGTAGAAAGTCCCAAACTGAAGGCAAGGCCCAGCTTCCCGAGTCATCATCTCCCAGCATTGTCATGTCAAGCCTCCTGAAGCAACTACAAGGTTTCGAGTCTGTAAACATGTAATAGAATCTGTCCTCCTCATCCACATTTCGTGCGAAGTGATTGATAGCATCATGAGCCGCCTCACCGCACCTACGGTGATACTGTAGAAGGTCATAGAGCTGGACAGGCGTCATGTAATTCATCGCCTCAGCAGACCTATGGGTCATGAATTTAGACTTTAGAGTCTGCTTGGCGGCAGCGGCGGCGACGGATTTGAGGGAAAAGCGAGCCGCGGTGGCGTAGACGGCGATTGGATCGCCTTCGATGAAGCCGTGAAGGAGAGCAGAGGCCGTGCTATCGAATGCAGCGATATCGTATTTACGAGCTGCCTCAAGGATCTCACGGATGAGGTCGTGATTTGGCTTGCCAGATGCCGTTTGACCACCAGGATGTGCGGTGTCAGTAGCATCCAGCTCGTGCTCGCGGCGTGCGGGGTAGCACGCACGAATGAGTGGAATAAGGACACTCGACGGCTCGGTCATTCCAATGACTGGGTTTGTAGGTGTAGACGTGTTGTCGGATGGCGGTTGAGGGAGGGTGAGCATCGTTTGGAAAACCGGGGACGAGAGGGACAGAATAAGCTTGTAGACGCGTAAGTCTACACCATCGCTTGTGCGCAAAATGACATCTGCTGAAGGATCTTCGAAAAGTGCGGGAATTTTGATTTCTGTGGTCGCAGCAGTTTCACCAGTAGCTGGAGCAGAAGTTGCTGACTCGGAGTCCATGTCGATTGAACCTGAGCCGTAGGTGGACGTAAACTTCACGAAGTCCGTGTAAAATCGAGGAGAATCTACTGGTCCACATTAAACCGTTTCCTAGAGTATCATAAATTTAAAGCGCGAGATGAAGAGTCACTGACCTGTCGCGTCCTGGTTCTCCCGTGTGTCACGGTTCTGGACAAGAACTTGAACTCGAGATGCACGCCACAACAACTTCCCAGAAAGGCAAGCCAGTGCTATCCCGATTTCGCAAGCCACGCGTGGCGTTCGGCAGCCATGCTCTACTTTTCTTCTCTACGTCCACCACTTCGTTTCCGGCCGCCTTCATCTTGCTATCGTCCCTTTTCCTTTACCCCCAACACACGGTTCATAAAACCGACAAGATATCTTCGCAATGTTCCGCCACAATCCCAGCTCAGGCCTCAAGCAATTCCATCGTTCAGAGAGCAAGTCGCACGCGTTACACCCATCAAGTCGTTCGCAGACTCAATTAAACGGCCGAAGATCCTCAAACATATAATAGTGCGCCGATTAATCGTCTACATATCATAAAGAATAGAGGCTGAGCATAAAAATATCAATAGACGAGCATTCTTGCATCGGGTGCCGTCTATATTGTAGCGGCAGGACAGACGAACATCGACACTGCTTTCTGGGCCCAATTTCTTCCTTCTTTTAATCCAATATGGTCCATGCGATCACCCACATCGGAGGACATGCATAGAATGCGAGATGGAATTCTTTTGAAGGTGCGTTACTCTGCTTCGAAGACTCGGGCTGTGCGTTCGGAGTATCTCGCAGTCATGGGTAGTGGCCACACGGGCTCGTCATCCTTGTAATTCAACCTGGCGAATGAGATGATGCAGAACTCGCGAAGACGGATGATGAATTTCTTTGGCCACTGCTGGGAGTTGGAGTGTGGCACCTGCGAGCCACAGTTGAATGAGGATCGTCTCGTCTGGAGGAAGCCGGGCTCTTCCCCCATCCTGAGTACCCTGAGCATCAAACATTATGTGTGTCTGTTCAATCTAGATGCTGACATCTCTCCTTGCAAATCTCTCAGAAAATCCAAAACCAAGTCGATAGTCTCGCCGCCTATATGGCCTCCTACCCCGTAATCATTAAACAATTTGTCGTACACTGCTACGCCGCTATCGGCGAGAACTACATCAACTCTTCCGAGGGGCGAAGATTAGCGTGGGGCGTCGGGGCTGCCAGTTTCGGGATCTGGTTGGCGTGGCAGGTGCCGAGGTTCAATCCGTGGTTGATGAGAAACTTCGCGCATAGTCCATTGAGCGGAAGGACGTATACATTGATGACAAGTGTAATCAGCCATCGAGGGTTTTTACATTGGTTCTTCAATATCACGGCGTTGAGCGGTTTTGGTGAGTCTACATGATTGTGGCACAACGTTTGTTGCATATTGATGGGACTTTGAAATGCTCGAAGGTTCTGCCACATCCAATTGGATGAGACGAGAGCAATCACACGCGCCCTCCGGGATGCAAGAAGCGACTACGAGCAATCATTTCTTCGCTTTCCTGGTCACAGGTCTGTTTTTTCATCCACCTTCGTCATCTTATCAGCTAACCTACCTTCGTTCTCGCAGCCGGCCTCTTCTCATCCCTTTGCTCTCACATCTACTCCGCACGGTTCAAATTCTCGCGCATAATATCTCAACTATCTCGTCCCCCGCCCTCAATCACTCCTTCCACGTCCCGCCCCTCTCTCCTTCGTCGTCTCTTCTCATCCTCTCCACCGCCCTCGACGCCACCAGCCTCGGACGCCTCCAAAATCGCAGATGCCCTCCGTCCATCGCTAGGTATCTCAGGAGCTGTATGGAGTTGTGTCATGATCACCGGACTCGCATTCCCGGATGCACAAGTCCGGATGTTCTTTGACGGAGCACCGCCGTTCTCGATCAAGTGGGCTATATATGGAGGTTTGGGCTTTGATATTCTCGGCCTGATTTACGGTTGGAGGTGAGTTCTTTTCTATCCTCGTTTTACCGTGGATTTTTCTTGTCGGTTTGTGCATTTCTGACCTTTGGTCGTGAATGTGCATAGACGCTTTGACCATGTGGCCCATCTCGGCGGCGCGCTCTTCGGTGCGTTGTACTTCAGGTATGGGATAGAGTTTTGGGATTGGTTGAGGGCGGCGTTATGGGATTCGGGGATGGAAGAAGGATTCAGGGAGGCAAGTAAGGATATTGATTGGTCGGATGATGAGTCGAAGAAGTAAGTCGTTGGCAAAAACGAGGAGATACACTTGCGGGAGGGAAGCAGGTGGCGGGCGGTTTGTCGGCCGTGGTGGCAGAGTGGGATGTTTGTGGGCCATGGACTGATCAGGACGATATATTATGCTCAAGCAATCTCTGCTCATTATCTGTCATTCCAGATGTACGTGCCATTCGCTTCGATGAGAAGAGAATAGGATGACACGAAACTCGTCTGTCCTTTCTCGCCGCCACCGGCAAAAGCCGGTTTCGCCAACTGCCCTTTGTTCTAGTTAAGCGAGTGTCAACTTGAAGGTCAAAGCACGATTCCAACTTCCCGCCTCCACCATTCTTCGTTCACAGAATGTCATACCCAACTAGCTTTCCGACTCTCTCTCGCTCATCTAGTCAGATACGAAATGACCTTCTGCATGACTACAAACCATTCGAACCTTGGTGTCTCTTACTCAACGAGTCACAACCCGACGTCTCGATGGTCCAAGTTCCTTTAATGAATCCAGAAACGTGCTCGAAGGAACTGGTATGTTTATTATTCCGTGATTACTCCTCGATCGCGATGCTGACGATATCGATGCATATCTGGGAAGCAATACCGTCTTGCTCATGTATGGGGCCAGAGAGGCCAAAACCTATGTCTCAATACCCCTTCGAATGTATTCTATCGTGTGTTGAGTTCCTCGTAATTCCTGATTTCCTGACTGACCGTGGTGTAATAGTGCGCTGTGATTTTCAACGTGTCTTTGACACCGGATACTTTGCCCTCCTACCCAATTTTGAGCTTCTCAAGGCAATACACAACGACGTCGTTGTGCACCGCCGTCTCCTATATGCTCGTCGTCCGAAATGGACTGAAGTAAGACCACAACGTTCTCCTTACTTTCTTTGCATTACTAACTTCAAAACTACAGCTTTACAAAGATCAAATTCTCGATTTTCAATTCATCCCCATGCGGTGTTTCACTCAGCCTGGCCTTCCTTTCGTTCGCCGCCATCATCCTCGTTTCTGGAACTACGTCGAATATTTCCAGCCATACACAGACGTGCCTCCCCTTCGCTGTCATATCCACCCCTACCTCGTCATCTACAACACCATCACCAAACTAGATCGATACCCAACCGGAACACTTCCCGGATGCTTCCAGCGATCCATTGACCTCGCTTGCAACATTTGGAATCTCTGGATGACGGAAAAGGTCCCTGGACCACCCCTCAACGCCGACCACAGACGCTCTGCTGCTCTCAAAGATCGACAGAGAGACTCACCATCGCCTTCGGCTACCTCGCCACCTTCGACGTTCGCATTGTATCTGGATAGCTCTGATAATCGAATATACTGCCGCGAAGAGGACATGTATCCATTCTACAAGAAACCTCGACGCGATCCTCCCGTTCCGAAGGAGAGGATGAATCTGCCGCACGGTGTCGTCGAGACCGAACCTTCGACTGTATGGACACATCCGTCATCGTCCAGCAGTCGTGTCGGTACACCTTCGTCAGATCGTTCTCAGTGGTGGCCTGACGAGCATATCACGCTATCTTGTGTCGATAGCGCGTCAACCGGTGTCTGGTATCAGCGTGACGGCAAACAAGATTTCATAGCGTTCCGAAACTTACCGTCTAGTTTTGATGGTTCGAATCAGTCGTATTATCCATTCGATCACCCGGCGAATCTATCTTCATTACCTGAGTCTGGATTTGGTCCCCAGGACGAAACGGTACTCGCTAAACAAAGGGAGAAAAAGCGCCGCATCCACGTCGCCGTTACTGAGGATGACGACGAACGCCCACCCCCGAGGGACCCCTCGGCCTTCTACTCCAAAATCGTCCCCGTTGAGGAACCCAGCGTTGTCGAATGGGTGCGATGCCTGAAGCGCCACAAACCTTCCTCCGGGCGAAAGTATGATCCCCTTTTGGAAGAATACAGAGCGGAACCATCGATGCCTGAGCCTCCTCCACTCGCATCGACTTGGAAGCCGGACAATCTTTCATTATGGCCAAAGCGGACATTGAAGAGGCGATCGGAGGCCGTCGTCAAATTGTCTACGAAGAAGCGCAAACGGGACAGCGACACTGGTTAATGGACTTGGGAAGGTGTCTTATTAGCTCGCCTCGGTCCATCCTGTTCCACCTCGATCACATATATCTGCCTGCACTGGACGCTCATCCTTCGATGTTATACGATCTACGAGTGTCGACGTCCTCGCCAGAATGTGTTTGCTTCGGACGATCGTTCTCCAACAATATCCGGAGATAAATCGGAATAGCTATTCCTCCTCGGGGCATCATATATTTGAAGTAGCCCGTACGTGTGGACCGGAATCATAGCTCTGAATCATGGTAGCCGTCTTACGGCTTGATGTCATTGGCCTTGTATTATCCTTGTCATTTGGCCGTTGACAATCCGACCCGCTTTCAACGAGGTTTCGACACCCTCGGGGTCGATTTGTAGCATGTAGGACTTTCCATCGCTATTAGCGTATGTACACTTTGTGATTTTATCGATAGTGTAAACAGTATCCTGTCATAGTACTATTATGCTGTAGGCCTTTGAGCTCGTGCAGTTGCCATCAGTGAGCGGGCCACAGTTACTTTCTAGCGCCACGAGGGTGCGTGTGAAAGGAAGGTGGCACAGCTTTGAGAATTTGATGGTCCAGTCCCTTGCTCTTCTGCACTCTCCATCGACTTGCCTCCTTGCGTTCGTGAACATCTGAAATCTCGTATGGATAACGATATTTCTAGTAGCTTAGCTGCTGGCGAAAACGACACTTCTTCGATACCCAAAGTTGCACTCGCACCCTTCGATGATTCATCAGCGGATGTAATCCTACGTTCAAGCGATGGCGTCGACTTCCACGTCTACAAAATCATCTTATCCCTCTCCTCATCCGTCTTTCAGTCTATGTTCACCCTCCCTCAGCCATCGTCTCCCTCTACGCCTGTGTCGATGGTCCCCGTCGTCGAAATGGCAGAACACTCGTCGGTTCTCACACCGCTTCTTCGTGCCTGTTATCCAGCGCGTTACGCCGATGCTCAAGCAGAGAGCGACGCTCAGACTGCAGATGCAGTTCCCCGTTCACCTCACCCGACTGGTATATTGGGCCACGATCTCATTCGGCAGGTTCTCGAAGCAGCTCGGAAATTCGACATCGCGTCCTTCGACGCTCCTGCCACCAATCTCCTCCTCGACCTCGTACCGAAGGAACCTATAGCTGTCTACGCCACAGCGGTTCGGTTCTCCCTGAAGGTCGTAGCCGCTGCTGCCGCTAAACAAACTCTCAAGTTCAAACATATGGAGTTTCCGACTTCCGACTCCATGAACTACATGACTGCAGTCCAGCTTTACGACCTCCTTCGTTATCATCGTAATTGTGGCCAAGCAGCACATGACGCCATCGAGCACGATTTCTACTATGACTGGCTGGGAGACTTGCCTGACGAAGATGAGCTGGATTATTGTATTATGCGGGACCAGCGATGCGATTGCTATCAGCCGCGTGCAAAATATGAGGAGGACGCGGATTGGTACGCTTTACCCTCTGTGTGGGAGTTCCTGACGCGTGCGGCAGAGGCGGTGAAAAATCACCCAGATCCTCTTGTTATTATCTCTCCTGTGGAGGTTGTGGATCATCCAAGAGCTGAGCCGAGAATTTCTGAGAGTTGCCAATACTGTGTGGCCACTAAGCCTATGTACACGGTGGAGAGATTATATACGGTGTTGATGAAGCTGGTGGAGGAGGCTATCGACCAGGTTTGCACCAGCTGAGCCTTTCCTCGCTATTATTTGAACACTGACGTATAATGCTTTAGGTACCACTTCCTAAGATCTCTTGATTGTCGTCCGGCTACGTCGTTCCGTCCTCGATGACCAGTATTTTCATATGTACCTGGACATTTCGTACTTCTTGTACAGTTTCTTGGAGATATTTTGGGCTTCCTGTGTTTGAGATCCAACTCGAAGTGAGAGATCTCGATATGTGGAAAAATGACCATAGGCAGAAGCAACTCTGGAAATGTACTGGCCAGCCTGTACGTAGGTGCCTATAGCTGCAATGCTCGTAGGAGAAGATATGTAGGATTTTGTCGACCGTTCGTCATGGCTAGCAATCAACAGCTCCTCGATCATACCCCAAAACTTTCAAAAGGGTTAGGTAGGACTAGCAATCATGTCGTTCCGAGGCTCTATGATCATCTTCGCATGAGATCAGGCACCGATGTGGACGAAAGTACTCCATCTTTCCGCAGGCACCCCTGCCTCCCTTAGACCCTGTACGGCGACATGAAGTGCCCTCGCTGACAAACCTACATCCGCCCTATGTTCTCGCCTGTCGTTCATCATACATTCGTAGAACCTACGCGCGAGCTCCGGTCCATCCACATCAGCCATCGTCCAAAGTGTCCCTACGACCGACCGAAACCCACAAAACTGCACGGCAGTTGCAAGACTAAGCACCTCATCCGGAGCCTCATTCGACAATATCGACGAGGGCTCCGAGGCCGCTTGCGACTCTCCCGCTGTTGCAGAGACGGCTGTGTGACACTGTGCACGCCGTTCGGATTGAAAGTCAACCTGAGGAACACCAGTAAATGTAATTTTATTCGCTCACCCGCCGGTATAAAGTTCACTTGTGTGCGGTGACTTTCAACCATCTCACGGTATAAAGGAGGGGGATTGAAGATCACCCCTTATATTGCCGAATTCACTCACTTCAACTGGGAAGGGAATTCAACCTGTTCACCAGAGAGATATCACTCGTTGTTTTCTGCGGTGCACGGCACCTTCAATTGAAAATGTATGGCCCGTAGATTGACTTTTGTATTGGTGAACTGTAACTACAAGTACATACATGGAACTACACAAGGTCTGTATCTACCCCGAACCTCGAGTATCATAAGGAATGCGAAAGAAGTGACTTACCAAGTAAGAGTGAGACCCGCTCACAATAATTCATGATTCCATATACTCATCAATGGTGGTGGACTCGCGGCGCGTTATACTAGTCGAACACAGCACCCGAATGGTCACAAGAGAATACGCACCGGCGGGACCGCCCTTCACAACGAGTATAGCAAGCACCCAATGCCGGGACGAAACGATGCTGCACTTTTCTGTATGCTAGCTGGCAACCGGTTAGCCCTACGATCCAGCTAACATGATAGAAGACCGCCTCATCCGAAACCTAGAAGCAAAGAAACAAGACGTACTGTTGTCATACGACACAACATAGATATCCTGATCCCCTTCAAGATTGACCCTCCCGAGTAGAGCAAGACCTAGAAAGCATTATTTTGCAAGCGTCAGACAGGCAATGAGAGCGCACGATAACGAGCGAGGCAATGGGAAAAACGAGACGGCCGATCTCGCGGTTACGGGTGGCGAGTGATAGCAAAGAGAAGCCCAACCGGAAGAGGTTGATAAGTTGATCTTGAATAGATCACATTAAGGACACAGGGAGCATACCAAAGATGTCGACGATGACGAAATGTCGATGCGCAGGTGTTGCAGAACGTTTCTCGACGTCGTGGTCTGACTGCATCAGCAAAACCGCAGCCATCTATCTTATCTATCACGATCTAGGCAGTCTTGGCGCTCTGATTGCTTAGGCACATTGCTTGCTCTCGACTTCGTAGACCTCTTAGAGTACTTATGCACTTATGTGCGAGTAGGTTTTATGAGCCGGTCAGATTGCGAGGCCCACATCTTTGCAGAACAACAGATATCAAGGATCTGAATTTGGCTGTATTACAATGACATAACATGCAGTACAACATAACTAGGATATGGACAAGCTCAATGATGAATGGTACTACTTGGGCATGAAGCTTCCAAAATCTGGTAAAACATCAAAGGGAGGAGGGAGCCAAAGTGGCATAGCGAGTATTGCATAACCTAAAGAAAGGTGGTCTGAGGGCGGGTGCCGCTATCACAACCATGTAAAGTCCTGACTCGAAATTTGAAAAGAGGCTGAGAAGAATGAAGAACGCCTGCGACAAACCAAAATGAAACAAACAAATTTACGAAACATACGAAAACTCAGAGGCAACGAGCGCTCTGTCCCGAGCGCTCTCCCCGAGGATCACTCATATCCCTCCAGTCCCATTTCGAACAGCGAAGAAGACGAAGATGACGAGACGATGCGCAAGTCGGTGAAGGGCACCGCGATGGGCGCGCGATGCGGAGGTGTCGTCAATGGCATGCGATGCAGACATGTCGTCGATGAGCGCGCGATACAGACGTGTCGTCGTCGCGCTAAGCGTCGGTGTTGTCATGGTCGTTCACCAGTAATGCAACTGTTAACAGTCTCTTGAGAAGGGATAGGGTATAAGAGAGGACAAGGACTGCATACGACGAACTGACCTGCGCACTGAAAGCTCGACTCTTGCTTACTCCCCGAACCCAATCCAATTCAGCACCGGTCCTATCTTGCCAGAGATCCTGACATACAGATCAAAGGTTTCTCGAGGCAGATAGTCTCGGAGTCAGTTAATAGGCAGGAAGGGAGCGACGGTTGAGCGATGCGGCGCGAGAGGACAAGAGAGCCGGGCGAAAGTTTCGGGGTGACGCGTCGCGCTTACGCCTGCCCTAAATCCGCACGTGATCTCGTTGATCCTGAATGGCGTCAGACTCAGTGGCGGCACGGCGCAGTCCCCTTTCTTCCCTTCCCTCATCCCCACTCACTACTCGTCTCGTCCTCCTCACCCGCCACAGCCACGTTTGTCCGATGCTTAAGGACCTACAATGACGGCGCCTTTGGGCTTTGGTAAGATCATACATTGTCACTCCTACATAAATACCTTCAACGCTCTCCTGCGTAAGTCCCGTTTGCCGTGCGTATCGATCTGACACCCTCAGGCTAACAACATAACCTTGTAGTACCCTAAGCATGCATACATATGACGGTTCGTACTATGCATTTACTAGTAATACCCAAAGACGTGTCTGATAGTTTGGCCCTTATACTCGTAGGTACTCGATATCAACGGCAGGTGTGCGTCACCTTCGAGATTCGCCACGGATCCACCGGTGGTGACAAGGCAAAAGGCAGATGAACGTATCTCTGGTACGTATCTCCCGTCTTCATCCCCTCGTTCCGCAGTTCTTTTTCGAGTGCGTATGTTGACGAACGTCTGCGGTTTACAGAGGGTGGAAAGACCGATATCACGGCGTCACCAACGTGTTCATGTTCTTCGCCTCCGTCTTCTTCGCCCCCATCTTCGTTTCCATCCTCGCTTGGGGTCACCGTTGGTGCTCTGGTCATCGTCGGCACGTCCATGATCCGTAACGTGCACGATATCAACTGGGATTACATCAGTGACGCCGTACCCGCGTTCTTGACGATCATCGTCATCTCATTGACCTACAAGTATGCCTATATCTTCGCCCTCTGTTTGATGAAGTCGATACACGGTACGTTCATGGTCATGTTCATTTATTCCGAAACCTATTGATCCAAGCTGACTTCGCATCGCACAGGGACGAGCCATTGCCGTCGACCCTTGACTTTGCCACGTAACATGGTTGAGGCATGGACCCAGTCTGGATTCATTGATCTGTAGATGGTGTCCATCTAGTGCAGGCGCCGATGTACGATGCGGACCACCGTGCTACCGATATGATGTCCGCCATACAACCTGACGATATGTACGTATTCGACTGTGATACATTAGTGACTTTGTTGGCTGAAGCACTCGGTTTCAGGCATATTTGAGAGCATCATGGAGCAGGCTAGCGGTGCACACGGGCTGTGACGATGACAGGGTGTACGTGTGTTTCCATCTTCCTTATTCACAAATCCCATTTCTACCCTCAGGAGCAGTGCCAGCTCCTTAGTGTCAGTACTGGTTGACTAGTGATGTGAGTAGCGAAGCTCGGGCCTTGCAGGTATGCAAGTAGTGCCATGTCTCCTCAAAATCTGTTGTTTTAGCATTCCGCTTTAGTGTTGAGCGCGAATGTGCTCCTGGCTTTCGTGAATCGCGCCTTTTTTATTTCGTTCCAGCCCTTTTCATATGATCCCTTCTCCGTTCCTGCACGATATTATCAGTGTTTACCGATGTCTGTCCCGTTGCTATTGGAGAGCATGTATGTATTCCGCTGTCATACAGAAGTAGACAGTAATGATAAATTGCTCTATGTACTCTATGGTGGGTCTATGGTGCGAAAGGCGCGTACTGCTATACGGCCTAAATAGCCTATGGGGTGTCTAGCGATATGGAAGTCCGTTAGGAGTACAGGGTTTTGCATATGAAACCGGAATGTCGCGCTGAGAAAAATCCTGGGCGCTCGAGCCAAACAAAGCCGTAAATGGTAATCACTCTCGGCGATGTTTCGGCAGTGGCGCTCCTGAGAGGCCCTTCTCATCTCTGCGACCCACACCGTTGTTCATAGAGCTCTTGTTATGCTTTGTAGTGCTCGAACTCACCTCATACGGGACCCACACTACCACCTTCAATGTATTCTCATGACATTGTTTTCGCGATCATCGACCCGTTCGGTATCCCATCCCAACAACATTGCACCAACATCAACCTCGACAATTCAACTCTTTGCTCAGACAATCTCAAGCACAATCAGTCTCCAGCTCGCGCCCCCGGCTACGCTATCTATGCGACGAGGAGAATGAGTTCCTCAATGTAGCCATCGGCATCACTGGAGTGAGGTTCTTGTTTGTAGGAAGGTAGTTTTGGAAGCTTGATCGTCTGCGTATGTCGAAAGGGTGCGTGTTTTCTCGCATGCAAAGTCATCGGACTCGTTGCAATCTGCTCTGCTCGTTGTCTCTCTCCTCCTCCTTACAATCGACACATTACCTTGTCCGTGATACCGAACTGCTCTGCAAACGAAAGAGCACCAAATTCCGTGGGCAAAGTGTCAGGACTGAGTAACCGGTGCGTATCCGCTTGGTTTTCGATTGTGTCAGGTTTTTGCTTCAGTGGAATCAGCTCGAAAAGCTGCCGCTCCAGGCCATTATATTCGCAATGTCCTCCCCTCTCGCTTTGTCTCCGAGACATATATCCCCCCCGTCCCAGCCTTTGTAACGTCTCTCAGTATATTTACCCGGCATCCAGTTCATGCTTTCACGGATTTCGAGACCGCAGGCACACATGAACTGGTCGAGTGCGTCCTGCGATAACGGTAGAAGTTGAGACTCAAGTCGTGTAGAACGACAGCTCAGGCTGCACCTCTGCGTCTCTCTGCGCCCTTGATGTCGAGGGTTGAGGCAGTATCTAGTTGGCTATGGTTTTTTTACCCGGTATATTGGACTTGACCCATCATATACTTCAGTAGTAACAAGTACTATAATAAATTCAAAACTTCTGAGTACTTGTCAGTGTGATGAAGGGTATGCAATGTCAGTATGCTCGAGTATAGGGGCATGCAGAGTCCCTGGTGCCACACGAATCCTGCCGAGGAATGCCGAGCAAGGCTGCCGTTTACGGCTTTGTTTGGTTCAGGCACACAGGATTTTTCTACGCGCGACATTCCGGTTTCTTATGCAAAACCCTGTAGAGATTGATCTATCGATCTATTGATCTAGGAACATGGCTGGATAGATGTCATAGACGGGATATTCCGTTGCGGTTTTGCTGATGACTGGAAGGAGCGATGGGCAGAGCACCCGGCTTTGCTGGCATGCGATGCAAGCGATGATATCATCCGGTAAGGTGCCGGTCTTTAGGGCAGGCTAACAATGACTCCCGCAAAGGGGCACTTCTGCATGATTTCCGCCTCACCCGCATTCACTCCATCGCCGGCTTCACCCTGAGCGACTCGTTTAACGAGTGAAAAGTGGAAGTCAACCTCCCTTGGAGGTGACATTCAGCCCCTTTCACGTGCACAGTGTGACATGCAGCTAGGAAAGCAAGCTCGGCGTTCGGGAGATTAGCGTCCATGATTTCCAGCAGGGTGAGGTTACCGCTGTGAAGGGCGAAAGAGGACAGGAATGGCTTGTCGAATTCTACGGATCCGTGGCATGCGAAGTGGACCCATGGGTGGTTTTTGAGTTGGCGAACAACAGATTTCGGTGTCGCCTGGACGTCGTCCTGGATATGTACGCTGTCCCCGAGTATGTTATGAATTTCCTTGAACTCTTGGTTGACCTACCGAACCGCAAGACAGGAATGAATGTACGTTCGACGAGTCTGAAAACGATTTGACTTACTTGTGGGAGAGCTTTGGATTGTCCAACAGCTAGTAGCTGGGCCACGGAAGGCTCGGGTATTGGATCAGTACGCCGAGCTCGTCTTGAAGCAATGAGAGAAGATAAAGTGGGGGTGTATGAGGATATGAAGTAGTCCGATAGATTCTTCTGTCCTTCGACGTATGGCCCCGCAGCGTGAATGGGCAAAGAACCTAGCATGCTGGTTAGACACCACCATATACGGGGCAATTCGTTCTGTCGTGGTTCTAGGCCGCCGTCTCCCTTGAACCGAATGAGCTCTTTGACGACAGGTTCACAGACATACTGCCACAATATGCGTAAGATAGAGATCAGCCCACTGGTGGATCTAGTCTCTGGATTGGTTGTCTGGCCGGCGTCAAACCCGGGCCCGGTCCAGAGCTCTGCGCTTGATAGGTATCATCTGACGCGAGAGGCGAGTAACAACTGTCGGAAGATCTGAGGAGGGCGGCACGACGGTCGGCGGACCAGTGTTGCGCAAGATAAATGCGTCACAGCGGAGAGAGTTCATGTTGACAATGATGACAGGCCCGCCCACCGCAGCAGCTTGGAGAGAGCTGTATGGTTTGATCCGGAGAAAATCAGAAAACCCATCAATCTCTCTAATTTTCTGGACTGTTTCATCCCACTTCTCTGACAATAGACGCTGTTGTGTGGCCTTCTTGTCAAAACCCGACTGTGGTTCCGCCGATACCCCAGAAATTGGCTCCGAGGCACTGGACCTAGCCAGCTTGTCGAGTTCGGAGCTCGTGTCATTGAATATCTGTGCGAGTTCGGGATCCACTCCGCGAAGGTCATCTAAAGGATGTCTGTAGTCTCGCATCTTGGACCAGAGTTGTCCTCGACCCTGCTCTAGCATCTCAACCGCACGCTCCAGCTGACCGACTTGAGTGGCGTATGCCGCTGCTTCGGACGCCAGTAACCAAGGGGGCGGCAGCCCCCCGAGCCAAGACCTGATGTTGGGTCCTGCCTAATCCGGTAATTATTTCCTTATATGGTAGGAGTTTGGGGGGGAGGGGGGGTGTCTGGCCGAGGTCAAAATTTTTGGAAAATGCTCCAATGAGTGCGAGCATTCCAGAAAAATACTCAGAAAATATTCGAAAATCGGCATATTTCCCCCCTTCCTGACTTAATCCGGAAGGCTTTCGACCCCACAAAAATGCTTAGAATTCTCTTCTCCAGTGAATAAAGCCTATGGGAAGATAAGGTCTTTTTCTTGGGGGCTGCCGCCCCCTTGCCAGTAACTTGACGTCTGATCGTGCGAGGAACCGGTGTTGTATTTCGATGGTGGCTCGCGTGACGATGCACTCTTTTTGGAGCACCAACGCGCATTCGTAAGCCTTGAGTGTGCTCGAGTGGGTACACTTGTACGCCGATGTGGCCCATAAGTATGTTGCTCGATAGCGATCCTCTAGTGTCGCATTGGCGTACGATGCAGCCTTCTCAAACATTTGACAGGCGGCGTCGACGTTGTCCTGCAAGAGGTACGACTCTGCCAAGCTGACTTTTATGTTTGTGAGCGTATGATGACTAGTGCGCCTGACTATAGCTTCGGCTTCGGTACTTAAGCTGACTGCTTCTTCTATGTCTTGTGGACGATGTTCAAGAGAGAAGCGTGCATTTAGAGCATCCACGAGATTGTTGAGGGACCAAGAACGATCTGGATGCCCTACAGGACGTAGATGAAGAGCTGAACGATGGAGAGAGATGGACTCGTCAATAATTTCTCGTTTTCCCTGCTTCTTGAATAGGGCGTAAAGCCCTGTTCCAAGATTGTTCAGATATAGGGAAAGCCTCGGATGACCGTGATCACACAGTGCGACGCATTCACGACCATAACAGACGGCCTGCTCCAAATCGTCCAGCCGCCCTTCCAAATCGAACCGCGCGTGTAAGGCATCTGCCAGATTGGTTAGACACACCGGACGTTCAGAATGCCCTGTCGGGCGTAAGGGGAGGGCCTGATAGTAGAGTGCCACTACTTCGTCGATGTCCTCTTTCCGTCCCTGCTGCTCAAATCGATCCAGGACGGCATTGCCTAGATTCACTAATGGATGAAACCTCTGTTGGTTCCCATCAGAGAAGAGCGTCAATGCCTCTCGATAGATGTTAATCACTTCTTCAAGATCGGTGATATTTCCATGTCTATCGAAGCGTTCGTGGATTGCTGTCGCATAATTGACCAGAGCACTAAAGCGGCCTGTGTGACCTGGAGGACAGAGCACAACAGCATCGCGGAAAAGCTCCGTCGCTTCTTCCAAGTTCTCGTTCGGTCTACTCAACCGAGACAGGTCCAGGATAGAATTTCCAAGGTTCGTTAGGAACAGATGGCGGTCGTCATGATCCAGGGAGAGTACGGACAAAGCATCTCGAAAGCATTGGATTGCCTCCATCAAGCTCTCATGTTTTCCAGAAGAGTCGTACTCCACCGTAAGACTGTTTCCAAGGGCCATAAGCAACATCGCGTCGTCCGCATCCTTGGGAGGACGGACGATCGCTGCACGGCCGTACTTCAAGGCCTCCTGTAGGTCTTCTTCACGGCCATGCAAAATGAATGAGGTGCGCAATGCGTCGGAAAGCTTCCGGAGTGTGTTGGTACGCTCAGGAGCCTCGGAGGGCCAGAGAGCTTGGGCATCGCGGTAACATCGCACCGAGTCCTCCAAGTCTTGGTCTACGCCATTGTCGTCGTATCGGCTTTCAAGGAGGACACCTAAGTTTTGTAGCATCAAGGGGCGCTCCGGATTGGTGTCCGACATAGTAGCAAGAGCTATGCGGCGAAGCGATATACACTCGTCTCGGTCTGCGTCGTTTTTTTGACCATCGTAACGTTCGTGAAGAGCAGTGAGCAGATCGAATGAGGTTGAAAAATATTCCAGAGAGTCTGAAGAGCATCTGCAAATCATCTCGCGAAGGTAGTAGATAGCGTCGTCCAAGTCCTCCCGCCTTGCCCAGCTATCGAAACGAGAAAGCAACACCTTTGTCAAATACCTCAGGGAAGATACACGAGTCGCGTCAACGGCTTCCCGCTCATCATCTTTGTCCGTATCAATGGTAGAGATAGACGGTTCCGTGAACTCATCTCGTTCGGATAGCAATGAATTACGCAAATCATCGACTGTTGCGTCGAGATCTGCGACTAGATTGTGCTGTTTGAACATGGCACATAGCGTGTTGGTAAGGTTACCCGACATGATGGAACAATTTGGATCGTCTGAGGGACATGTCTTCCAGGCTTCACAATTCAAGCGATATGCCTCCTCAAGGTCGTCCAAGCGGTGGTGGCATTCAAAGCGGGAGTGAAGGCCAGCTGCCAACCCGCTCAGATACAAATAGCGATTTCTCTGCTCGAACGGAACAAGTGCAAGTGCAGTTCGAAAGAGCTGGACGGATTCGTCGATTTCCTCGGTATCCGTTGCTCGATTGAGCTTGAAATGTTCCATGAGGGCATATGCAAAGTTTCGTACCGCGGGTGCGTGGTGACGGTCATCTGGAGGCAACAATGCGAAGGCCTGCCGCCAGTCATTTATCGCTTTCTCGACGTCCTCTACTTCACCTTCCTCCTCGAATTGTTCGTAGGAAGCATCTGCAGAATTTCGCAGTGAAATGTAAAGGTCCAGTCTGTCCGCGTCCTGTGACCCTTCTGTGCTCGACAGTTCCGGTAAGAGCTCAGAATGATCATGATGGCCGTGACGACTTTATAAGAACATACCTGATGCAGATGAGCCTTCGGTCATCAAGAACGAGTTTACCGTTCAAAGAAGAGTATTTCGATCGGGTTGGCTAAAGTAAGAAGATGGGGTCGCCGTTGTGGCCAGTAAAAAGAAGGGGCGGTTTGATGTGGCGCAAAGAGGAAGAGGGCGTGCGAAAAAGCCGCACAGCCTGGTACCAGTGGCACTGTGCACTGGACACCCACCATGGCCGACAACGACAGCTTCACCGCTCTCAATCCGCACTTTCATCAGCGAACGGTCCATCATCGCCGTTTCGCGAAATTGTCTGTATCATTCCGCCGCTTTATAATATCGACCCCCGAGCCCATCATAGACGCGTCCACACAAGAGTTACTCGTCGCTCTCATCATCTGGATTCTCAGTCTCTTCGTTTTCTACTCGCATATCATCCATCAGCTACCAGATCCTTCGCCCTTTTTGCTGGCTAGTGCTACGACTTAGGTTCTCGGAGTTTAGACACCAATTTGAAGGGAAACAGGCTTGGACAATTGAAGCTTGAGGCATGAGTCTGGACCAGAACCTCTTCACGCTCAATGTCGTGCCGAACAAGGATAATGCGCTCGTTGTAGACTTGGTGGATCCGCAAGGGACGGTACATTATAGGAAACAGAGGGAACCGGGCTCGGTATATACCATACATGTATTCGGTGCGTTGTCTCTTCATACCGTTTGGACATTATACTTATTCCTAATTTCTGTACACTCTTGCGTTTTGTGTCGACGATGCTGCGGGAATGGACGTGACCGATTTTTCTCGTGGGTACGATGACATGGCACGCACGCTACAGAGCCACAGAGCGAAGCACTGTTGGCGACTGCGACATCACCCGCAGCTTCGAGCAGGCACAAGACGCTAGAGCTTCACAATCCGAACTCAATAGTAGAGCTCAAGTCTATCGGAACGTTAACGTTCAAATGGGGATTTAAGTGGGAAGAGTGCGTGCCATCAGTCTTTATTCTTCTATCTTTCAGCCCCTATTCTTGTGTTCTGCATATGGAAGTCGTATTACCAGTACTGATGCGGAATGGACTCGTTCGCATTGGGGAATGTCTTTGTATCTGTTCCTTCATGTAGACATGAATTCGAATGGAAACGCCAGGAATGCTTCATTATCCGCAAACCCGACCCTCCCGTCCTCGTCGCCGTAACCAAAGAACCGCCCGGGAAACTGAAGACGACCGCCATCCAGATCCTGGACTACAATATCAACCGATTCGACATCGAAGACCGCAAGGGGCTCGAGATCGTCATCCTCACTTCGCTCCTCACGTTCCATGACTTAAACGACGCCTATCATGCCACGCCCACGGAAGTTTCGCCTCAGTCTTCTTCTTCTGCTGTGCCGACTGTTGCTGGGGCTGGGAGTGGAGATGGACCTCCCCCACCTTATCGAAGTTTCACGGCCGACTCGAATACTGGTGATGCCCAAGTGCTGAGTAACATCGGGGGCGGTCAGGCACCGCCACTACCGCTCAAACCACCCATTCCAGAGACGACCGGGATCGATAAGGTGGCCGAGGCGCATGCGATGAGAGGAGATGTGAACGAGATCACGATAGAGGAGGACGGGAGCGTGGAGGATTACGCGCAGTACGCTCTTGGGCTGCTTGAGGACGATGCGATGCTCTTCATTACGATCCAGTCGTTCGATGCGAAGACGGTGCCGAAGGTGTTGCAGGTTGTGGAGGAGACGAAGAGAATTAGACATAAACGGAGTCCGTTTTCCTCCATCGCACGTCCGTCGTTTTCTAAATGACATTTTCGTTTCGCTACTACAGGCATGGCAACAAACAAACCCGACACAGAGCTCCACCAATACGTGATCTACGACTCTCCGAACGCGAAACGCAGGCGGATCGTCCTCGACGATTATGCACCACCGCAGAGCCTGAGCGTACATTTGAGTAAAATCGACATGCCGGAGCTAAGGCCGAAGCCGTCGCCTTCTGTGGCGCATCATGGGAAGGCAGGGAGCGGAAGTGGGAGCCCAACAGGGAAGGGTGGAGATAAGGACAAGGATAAAAAGGGGAAAGGAAAGGAAAAGGAAGATAAGAAAGGGAAGGGGAAGGATAAGGATAAAAGTCGAGGTAAAAACTTGAGCGACACCGATCTTTCCCGTTTTCGTAGCTGACTTTTTTATGACTTCATCAGACCCATCCCGCTCACCACCAACATCGCAGCCTAAACAATCCCCCTCTCGCCTCGCGAAAGGTCCTTCCCCTAATCCCCAATCCCATCCACCACATCCTCCCTACCCTCCCAAGCCCCAATCTTACCGCCCCACGCCTTCACCAGCACAACTGAATAACCCAATGATGTTCGTCGCGCCGCCGCCGCCACCTCCCTCTTCTTCAAGGTCACGGCCTCATTCTTCAGTCCCTCCACCTTTGTCTTCTTCGTCGCCACAACCACAACCACATAGTGGTTTCCAGCCTCGACCATCGCCACAGCCATTCGGGACGGGCCAAGGACATGGGTCACAAGGGTCGTTCAGCGGTGGGCTGAGGCAAAGTTTGTATTCGGTGCAGAGTTCGCCGCTTGTAGCGGGTTTACTAGAGAGGATTGGAGGCGGAAGTGGTGGGAATAGTAGTGGGAATAGTGGGAGTAGTCCGGCGCATACGGGTGGTGGAAGTGGTAATGTGGGTAGCGTGTCGAGACGGTGAGGTTTGGCTGTTGACCTGAGGAGGACGAGGACTCGTGAAGAGTGGAATGGGGGGTGAACCGATGAAGGTGAGATGTTTCGGACTTCGAACGACAGGGGAAGTGCTTGTACGGTACTTATCATGGACAGGGCTTGTTGTATTTATTGCATCCTACAATAAAAGGTTAAAAATGACAAGAGAAGGACTCGTTGTTCCTGGTCCCTACAGGGATCAGGTCTTGCAATGATTTAAATGACCACATTAGGACAGTGCCTCCCACGCTCTGGGATACCTGACGAGCTCAAGACCCCCCTCCTGCCCCATTGGGACATACCACCACGCGAGCGAAAGACCTAACGACGTCTGCACCCCCCTCCTACCCCATTAGGACATACTTCCCACGCATCGAATGTCCCAAACGATGATATTCCAGTCGACCTGCCCCATTGGGACGGACTCTTACACTAGCAGTGCCTCTCTGCGCCGTATTCTGAATGTCGAGATTCTTTCATGTAAAGGACACGATGGCAATGCGCACAAAAGTGGGCACTGTGCTCTCGCCTCGTGGCCTGCAGCTGTGGCGAGATTCAGGGAGTGTTACAGTACTCAAGTGCATTAGCACTGAAGTTCAAGCCGAGCGCAAGCTCGCCACTGTAACAACACTGAAAGATGGTCGAGGCATCCACCACTTGTTCGAAGAGTGGGTCGTTAGTACTAGCGGCTAGTAAGTTTTATCACGCTCTTCAAAGAAGATCGCAGACCATCGCGCGGGGCGGAGCCCCCGCGCGTAGAGGCGGGCCACAAAGCGGCTGGGCGAAGCCCTGGCGCGAGAGTGGCCCGCCGCCTTCATTCCGTGAAGCCAAATTGGCCAGAAGATACAACTTCAATACAATGGACAGCTCTGGACAGCTGAAGGCAGTGGTCGCTAATCGACCCATAGGAGGGACCAGGTGGCGCCCGGAGGGCAAGTGTATAGAGTACTCGTATCTGGTTCACTGCCGCATGGAAAATCTGAACGGAAGCACAATATCTCCACTGGCCGGATCGTCTTCGCTCCGAGAGGGACGATAACCGCATATGAGTCTGTGTTCGGCCCAGTCTCTAGTGTAACATATGTGTCAGAAACATGGGAGCCGAAGTGTTCAAAAAATAAGATCAGATACGCACTGCTTCTGACACAATAATCCACAGTATTGTGTCGAGCGGCAAGCCTTGCAGCTTTTCGTCCGCTTTCGTCTGCACCCTCGCCTCATGCATGTGCCGTCTACATGACAGATGGACTGCAGACGGTCCACGAACGACCACGCCATAGAGAGCTCCTGAGATAAATCTACCCGTGCTTGACGTGCGGAATAGACTTGTGATGCTTCAAGATCGTGCCCCAATCGGAGGCAAGCGTGCATTATGCGTGAGCGAGGCAGATCATGGCGAAGGATGGGTATGAGCTCTGGACAAGCCAAAAGCAGTGTGCACAGGTCCTTTAAAATGCAAATGATTGCCCCTATTCAAAGAGGAAATCAATGTGATCATGATTTTGGACAAGAGTGAGACTCAACTCACCAAGTGCAAGGGGTTTACAGGAGGCTTGAGAAAGAATGCTCTCAATACCATCGAAGAGTCTACCTTTCCGGCAAATTCTGATGAACGAATCGCGGTGCCCTGTCCATCCTTCAACCAGTTTCCGAACAATGGTGTACACGAGCATTGTGATCGGTACCGTGAAAGCGTTATTCTCACATGTTTCTGATGATGCCACCTTGTCGGGCTCTCTAAGGGCAAGGAATAGACCGTCAAAAAGCTCTTGACTTCGGCATATCGCTCGAATGAATGCATCATCAGCATCAGATCTGCCCCACTGTGACTCTCCGCAAAGACTTGCGAGGATTACACTGACATCACAAAGACCCTGCGCGTCCAGTGTCGGCATGCGCCTCTCGAACTCTTGTATGAATCTTCGTGGAGAGCCACCCGGAAATCCACGAGTGAACGAGATGATGAGGTGTTGTGGGGTGAGATGGATCTCCCTGTACTGTACTTTTTCGCGCACAAGTTCGTGTCCCGTGTCCCATGGGTGCCGCGAACGAACTTGTGCCACGGGACAGTCCCACCCCATTGACGTGCACTGAACTTGTAAATGGGACATACCAAAATTTGACGAAAACTTGACAAATATTTGAGAATATATTTTAGGGTCCTAAATTGACCTCAGGAAGGCCCCCAAGACACAATTTGGGCCAGATTTTGCTACTAGGTGAGCTCCCCCATCCAAATGCAGAGCATAAGTGGCTGTTGAGCGGTCATGAAAGGTCGTATCCCTGAAAAAGCGTCCATGTTCACGAACATCGTCCCTTATCCCGATCTGCGTGCGAACCGGGACACGAATGGATTATGTCAGCTCGGCAACGGCCGAGGGGCGGTGGCGCGAACTTGTGCGCGAAAAAGTACAGTACTCCACAAGCCCGTGTTCTGAACCGGCCATAAAAATAGTACGAGGCCAAAAAGATGCGGATATGGCAGTCGAGCATGTGAGGAAATCCTTCGACTCGGTTGAGTGCAGCCACATACGTGTCAGGACTGACACAGTGAAATCCTTTGGCGAGTCCAGGATGCTATGGAAGGTCATAGTAAGAATAGTGGTGTCTCTGCCGTTGAGAATATAGTACCCACGCAAGTATGGATGGGTCTAAGTAAAGCATATATATGAGGAATGTCCCTGTGCAGTATCGTTCGTCGACATGGTGACTCCCAGCGTTTAAACTGTTCCCAGGGTTCAACCACAACTAATAGCCCCGAAGGATCAGATCGAGTGATGAATTGGCAGTACGAAAAGAACCACAAGGACTTACCACTGACATCATCTTGCTCCAATTCTCCTTAACCTCTAGCAAGAACCGTTGTCGGGCAGGACCTACGAGGTGACCGGATTGGGCATAGAAAGCTGCCGTTCGTAGCAGTGAGATACTAGCGAACCACGACGCAGGTGACTACAGATTGGATCGTTACATATTGGCGACAGTTCAGGGGAGCCTCCGGAGCTGAACACTCACCTCTGCCTCCAGTCCTGCACGCTTCTCCTCTTCTGAGAAGATTTTGACATGCAATAGCGTAAAGTCACATATCGCCTTCACTATCCCTTCATTTATCAGGCCTTCCCAGACAATGGAGTCCCACTCGTCCATGAGGTCAAATAACGCATCAATAACTGTATCGAGGTCCTGGAAAAATATAATCTTTAGTGCAAGCACATTCATATGAACACATGGAAAATGAAATTACTCTAAAGGCATCATCTCCCCATCGGTTCGGTGTTTCTGCGGTGAGCAGGCTAACGACACGCCTGGGGTTGGTCCTCGCAATTCTTTGCCATTTTAAACTGTTCAATGGTATCTCTTCTGTAAACATCCTCGATCGGAGGCAATCTGTTTGCAAGTCATAAGCTTCAATCTACGAACGCGACAGGTGAATGATAGTGTCAAACAACAATAGAGGTGTGGCTCGAATTTCGGATCATGGACTTCGAGGAGTATCGGCGCTCACTGCCAGCCTGGTTCCACATCGGCCCAGACAGGAAAATGAAGCACCACACAAACACAAAGGTTGCGAAGTGCCTGCGGGAGAACCACGGGGTAAATACAGTAGGAGACCTCGAGGACTTCGGAATCAGCAGAGAAAACGAAGAGCACAAGACCAAGCGATACCCGAACTCGACCAAAATAAGACCGTGCGGTTGTGCGGACTGCGAAGCAGATAGACGCCGAGGCTGTACCGACCCACACAAGTGCTTACGACGCGCTAAAATAATCCTGGCCCACATCCTACCAAAGTGGCACCCGCAGACACAAGGGAATGACGATACCCTAGACCTGTCTAAGGAGGATGTCGAAGCAAACGAGACGGCTAGAGCGAACAAGCAACCGGTCACGTTCAACCCTGACGTACACTGCCAGGGAAACCTATCACAAGGAGTCCGAGTCTTTGGAGACCCAAACGCGAAGATCAACTACCCACCTTTCAGACAGCGAGGAAACCTGGACGAACAGGACGAAATCACCGTATACACGGACGGATCCTGCCTGAACAACGGCGACGACAACGCCAGAGCCGGAAGCGGAATATGGTTCGGACCTGATGATGAACGCAACAAGTCGCTCCGCGTACCCTCGGCGATGCCGCAGACAAATCAAACCGGAGAGGTCCTAGCTATATGGTACATAGCGACCACCGCACCCCTATCGGCCCCGCTGCATATAAAGTCGGACTCACTCTACGCCATTGACGGACTCACGAAGCACTTGTCAGCCTGGGAGGACAAGGGATGGATCGGAGTCTCCAACTCTGAGCTTTTCAGGGCAACGGCTGCAGCCCTCAGACGTCGGGGCGGCAAAACCACCTTCCAATGGGTGAAAGGGCATAGCGGGATTGCTGGCAATGAAGGCGCTGACCGCCTCGCCAGGGCGGGCGCCGAGTCTGAAGTAGACCCGAATCTAAAAATCCGCATCCCGCCACGCTTCAACCTGACGGGAGCAAAGCTGACCACCGCGACCCAAGCAATCTTGACCGAGGAAGTTAAACGTCGATACAAGAAACCCCAGAGGACGGCCACGACCGTAAACCTCGATATCGGGAGGTGGGCTGCACACGACCACCTACATGCTGGCCTCCCAACAGATGCCAGAATATTCAAATCCATTAGAAGCAAGAACCTGACAAAGAAGGAAAGGATATTTTTGTACCGTACCTTGCACAACGGTTATAAAATCGGGAAATACTGGGACAACATCCCCGAATATGAACAGCGTGGGCGCTGCTCCATATGCGACGGCGAAGAGGAGTCCATGCGCCATATCCTGGAGGAATGCCAAGCCCCAGAACGAGAAAGAATATGGAGCCTAGCGAGGGAGCTCTGCGAGCAGAAAGGGATAGCTTGGCCCCAGATGACGATCGGCACAATCCTGACTAGCGGCCTAGCAAACTTCAAGACTGAACGAGGTAAACGCCGTCCCGGGGCAAACCGTTTCTTCCAGATCCTAGTAACGAGCTCGGCGCACCTGATATGGGTGCTGCGATGCGAACGGAGGATCACCAGAGAGGACGGCGACAACTTCTCCGAGCAAGAAGTCCACGACAGATGGGTAGCACGTATAAACGCTCGTCTGGACTTAGATAGAGTAGCTACGAACAAGACACGCTTCGGGAAGAAAGCGCTACGACCAAGTGTCGTCCTCCAGACATGGGGCGGCACACTCTTGAACGAGGAAAATCTGCCGGAGGACTGGCTCCGGCAGTCTGGGGTTTTAGTGGGTATACCTTCCTGGCGACCAGGGAGGAACCGTTGATGACGGGCAAGTCCCACACTGCCTGCGACTAGCAGGCGTGCAATTAGCATTTCCTCAGGGTGATATTAGGTAAGTCAGCAGGGTGCGAACCCCTGCCTAACAGCATATGAAGCCTCGTCGGGCTGGCTTAGGCGGCTGCGCGAGGTGGAGCTTCAAACCAAAAAAAAAAAAAAACAAACCTGATCTCACGCCGACAATTCTTCAAGACCGTCCAATGACCCAATAATGGAAGCTGAATGAACGGCGGCCTACTCGATCGGTTGTGCTAGTAGACGATGGGCAGTATCGCTCAGCTATAGCGGCTGCCAAGCTGAAGAGCGCTCAAACTTCAGCTTCACGTGACGGTGGCTCGGGTGAGCCGACGCAATTGTTTGGCCTTGTTAGGATCATAAGTCTCGTCGTCTTCCTTTGTCCTTCGAGCTGCCTCTTTTCCACGCCGCCACTGAGCCACTTCCTGCCACTTCTCTCTCTCGATTTTGCCTTGGTATCCGCCACTCTAGTGTTGAAGACGTGTAAAATTATTTTTTTCGGCTTCATCGCAGGCAGACTGATACTTGTCTGGGACTCTGCTAGCAAGTGCCAAGGCAGTCACGTTGACACAAATTGGCAGCATGTTCTCCGGGACGGTTGAACAAGACAGGAGTGAAGCTTCGAGGTCGTCGGCATGGAAGGCTATGCATTGATTGACCTTGACGGGAACACCATATCGGGATCATTAGTATTTCTCTGGTCAGGTTGTTGCAGTTGTGGGGTTCCCATCATACGGCGATTACGGTTTATCATCTGGCACCGTCACGTCAACGGCACTCTTTGCGTATATAAATGCGTACAATCATCTATACAGTACAGAGATAAATCATATTGGGGTGAAAATAAACGACTGGACGGTTGTATCAGGCCGTACACCGCATTCGTTGCGAAGAAACCGACGGTAACCCTGTGCCCTCCTCCATTATCAGAGCAAATACCAGGGTCGTCTCAGCCTCAGGCTCGACATCGGTCACATCATATGCCCACACTTCCTCTCCTCTGCCATCCTTGTTCGCACGAGTTCTATAATCCTCGGAGATCGCCTCGCTGAGCACTTCCAACTTAACCTTTTTTCAAGTCGTCCGAAGTGGCATCCGAGCTCCGTTCTCCCAATCCAAGAGACACCCTGGTACTCCCCTCCGCTCCATGTCCGACGCTTCCCTCCACGCGACGAGCGATGAGAAGGACACCAAGAATCTTCCTCATTGACACAGGGGGCAACTCTTGTTCGGGGCCTAACCACTCTGGAGCTCTCCTCCTACCGTCCGTATCTGTGGGGTTCAATACACATCGGAAGGGCCTGTATCTCTGTGCGTCGCCCTCCGGTGTAGGAAGCAGAATGAAGATGTCGCTTTCGATGTTCTTGCGCATGAATGCGGGAGTGCTGAGGTATTCTTCTTCGGATACGGTGGGAGGCATGCCTTGAATTACGATGGCGTAAACGAGAAGTACAGTACCGCCGGTTGTCATTCCAGCGGATTGAGGCTCGGTCAAAATGAAGATACCAATGTCGGTTCTCTCTTCGGGGTGCAATGCTGATGGGCATACTGGTCAGTGCTCAGGAAAAGAAAGAGGTTTCAGTGGCGCGTACATGTTCTATTCATCGAGGGCTCTGAGTGATGGTCAGTTAAGATCAATGCGGAGATAGATGGAAGACAGTTGAGGATCAGGATGCTCCGACACGGGGGCCTTTTGGGCCTTGATAGTCTCCGGAACGGAAATGAGTGGCGCGCTGACCTGTGGTCAATGCATCGCATAAATATCAACCGGTGGAACTGGGCACGTTGAACAATCAGTCACGATTGTTCAGTTCCGAGACTGGAACAAAAGAGAACAAGAGCAGATTGCCATCCTGGCGATGGCAATGGAGGGCCTTTGAACCTGGCTATGTGACGCCGTCCGTTTTATGAGCGCTGGTCACTTCCAGTTTTCAAGCTCAAGTGCCGATGTACGCCGATTGTGAGAATGGATATTGTGAAGCGGATCGTTAGGTTTTTCTGCGCATCGCAGGATATAACGTAGCAATTTCACTCGAACGAGAGACAAGGTAGGAACTAATGTCGAACGGGAGGTAATGTGAGCATCTAGGTGGTAGGACTGATGAAAAGCGGAGAGAAGAGGAAAAAACGAATACGGTCAAACAACCACGTATTGTGCGAGCAGCCTATGTAGACTGGAGATGAAAGGGCACGTGGGTATAAGCCTCAAGCTTCAAGTATGACCAGGTGGCTCAATAGCGGTGTCCTATATACAGCGCAGCGTCACGTTGGCCCCTCACACCACTGGTCGTGCTGGACCTACCACTGGCCAAGAACTACGGCCGCCCGAGTCCGATTCCCAAGGAAAGCTGGTGTCCTCAGCAAAGCACCAAGTAATTGAAGGGACGTCGCGAAGAGAACGAAGATGATCAAGAGGTTGATACGCAGTGCAACGCCGAGGAACTTGGGATCGCAGGCGCTGGCGAGCAAGTCCACGTCCGGAAACAGCGCGAGCGCGACGAAGACATGGTAGCGATCAAGTTGAGGTGCAGTACATGCATACTGCGGGCTCCTCACCATTATATGAGCAAATCAAGATGAAGCAGCGAGCAGTCAAAACGCAATACGCAAAAACGCCTCGCTCGTCATCGTGTCTAGCACATCCCCTTGGAGGAACCCATCTACCTTCCTTCCACAGCAGAGTCCCACAAAGACTGAGCAAAGCTGTCCAGCGTTCAGCTTTCGTGAGATGGATGACAAGAGATGGGGCCAAGCGCCGTTGCATGACCCACATAGCACTTTTAGGCGTGCACGGGTCAGGAGGGAACAGGAAGTCCAAGAGACTTGGAAGGCGAAGGCGGGTGGAAGCCGGCTCGGAAGTGACGCGTTTGAACCGCGCCGAGGAGAACAATGATGTCCAAGACGGCGTACGCGACAATATCAAGAGTTTCTGATATTGACCATGACAGAAGTATCGGCTCCACAAGATATAGATGGTTTGCCATGTATGGTTCCGAAGCCGAAGATAGGTCGGGGGTCGCCCGTGAGTAGCGAAAGCGAGACAAACGCACCAATGAGTACGTTCTCGCGCCTAGATCAAGACATAGCCAAAATTTCGATCAACATAGTTCACGGAATGAGGTATTTGTTGAGTCGTCGATACGTAGTGCTCGTCCTTCATGCATCATGGTCCAAACATGAGAGTTGAGACTGAGGGAGAGACCGAGGCCGTGGCCCCTAACTCAGGTTCAATCTCCGCCTGAAGCGATCAACCTTCGCCCTCCTTCATGTTCGCCACACTCTTTCACGCCCCTTTCCCCTGGTCCCTCATCTCTTTCTTCCTCCTTGCCTTCTAGTGAGGATTATTAGGACGTTATAAAGTTATAACGAAAATTTACTTGAACGAGCTCTTTGGACCTTGTGATGGCGCCCAGATGAGAAGCGCCTCATCAACCGTTTGAGTCAAACGGTCAGTGTGAGTCGCCACCGCCACTTCCCCCGCTTTTTATTCTCAGGTATGAGGTAGCACAACAAGGCACCGTCAGATTTTCAACAGAGATATAAGCTGATGACAATCCAACCTATTCCAAACCGGTGGTGGAAGTCATATCAGGTCGTGCTGTCTTTTTCCGCGCACCGAGGTTCAAACGTCCAAGCTTTTTTTGACGTTTAACGTGCATCTAGCACTACTGTATGGTGAAAGGTCAGTTCTCACGACATTTGTTCTTCATTTCTATGACAGATTACAGCAGGTCATCCATGGTACACGATATATGCGCGTGTATTTGGCTGCATTGGTATATATGCATATATGCACTTGGAAGACCTCCGCCCAGGGCGTAATTATCCATCCTATCAAGTTTCCCGGAACACACCATTTATACAACCTCCATGAATCATTTCGTTCAAACATGGCGTCTTCCCACTGACTCTATATAGGTGAATAATTCAGGCCTATACTCATTTGGGAATTAACCAGAGAGGACGTCCCCGAGCCCATGGACCGGACCCTTCGATGCTTTTATTTACCCAGAAACAACTTTTGGGCCCTCGTGGTAGATGCTTCACTTTATTCAGACACCCGTCTCCAGGACTGCCGTCCCTTGGTAGCATCCCCTACGCGATCCCAAGCTCTCTTTCTTGAAATCGTTCCACTCTCCGATGAATTGTGCTAGCTCCTGCTGGCTCCCAAGTGCAGGTCTCTGAGCCTCTTGTTCTTGGCAGTCTGCCACGAGTTCTCTCCTCCGACATACTGGGAGAAGCTTGGAATCGGGAAGCATCCTCCAATTGTTTCTTCCGAGAGCAACCTCACCAGGACGACAAAGTTCCCCGAGACATACTCGCGTCTGCTTATTAACCGATCCCGCTTTTATTTTTCTTTCTTCTCTTTTTTTTCATGGTCGGGCTCTGAGATGTCGACAACATCTCAACGGTCAACTTTCTTTGATTTTCCCCACAGCGGGAGCAAAACATCAGATGTTTGTTCCGGTTTCGGATGTCGATTGTCTCGGGGCCGGCGGTAGACCGGCGGATGCTTACGCTCGTTTGGTGTTGTTTCGGTTTGGGTGAAACTGCAGCCTGGACCCCGAGTCTCCGACGAGCGTGTGTGCAGGCCGGAGGAAAGTCTTGGAGCCCGGTGGTGCCAAGGATTTTGCAATGGTTTGCTCGGCGTCAGACTTTTTTGCAGCAGGAGTTGACCGGAGGCTCTGTCCTTGGGTGGCTCATTATTTTTATTGAACGTCAACGTTGTCGAAGGTCAGCTCGCATAGCCTGGGAATGATCAACGCGGTAGTCATCCGTGCCGCGTCATGGCATGCTTGTTTCGGTGTGCCTCATCTAGCCGGCGTCGGTGGCTGTACGGCGCAGTCTGCCGGCCGGGGCCGGGTGAGACTTGGCGGAACTGACAGGTGTGGCGCCTGTCTCGCTCATCGTTGCATCGCACTCATCGTCTCATAAGCCATCGCTGCGCCCTCCGCAGTTCTCTTCCTCTCCTTTTCTTCCCCTCCCTTGCTCTCTCCTGTCCTCTCATCTTGTCCCCAATCAACTTCTTTGTACTTCACTCTTCAGCTTAGGATATATACTTCAATAGTCACCAGTTTACTGCGACCTAATCGACACAGACTCGACTCCACACACATCATCATCATCACCGCCGATGAGGTTCTACCACTCCATACCCCTCGGCCTCGCCCTCTCCCTCACCGCAAGCGACGTAGCCCTCGCCCGTCCATCGACGTCAAACTCACAGGCCCGCAATGCACCAGAGCTCTCGAAGAAGTCGGTAGCAGGACATCGGAGGACGGCGGACCCGATACATATGCCACTCCGGCGTCGTGCTGCTGTGCAGCGGAACGCAACGGAGTGGGGAGATTGGGTCAAGGCGCAGAAGGCAAATTTGGAGGCGAAGTATTCGCCCCCGGGGAGTGCGCAACGGAAGAGAGCTAATGGGCAGAACTTGTGAGTTTACTTCACTTGGCGACTTGGCATGGAGGAGCGATATTTCCGCGTTCGTAACAAACCTTTCGATGTTTGATCATCATGGCCATACATCAAACGATGCTCGTCTCGCGGTCTCGATGAGCCGTTGCACATCGAGCCGAGCGTCATTCGACCATACTCCGCGTCCATCTTTTATATATCATGATACTGATTCATACCTGTCTTCGCTCGCTCCAGGCTAGTCAACCAGAACGCCGACTCATCATACATCGGCTCAATAGCCATCGGTACTCCCGCTGTCGCCTACGACGTCATTCTCGATACTGGTTCCGCTGACCTCTGGCTCGCCGGCTCAACATGTTCAACCGGCTGCTCACAGATTCAGACTTTCGACACTTCCTCGTCTTCGACGTTCAACAACCTTTCAACTTCGTTCAGCATCACGTACGGAAGCGGTGCCGCAGCCGGCGCACTGGGAAGTGATGTAGTTCAGATGGCAGGCTTTGAGGTATCAAGTCAGACGTTCGGTGCGTTCGATACCTCCTTCATGATTCATTCATATGGGCAATTGCTGACCATGCTACACCAATAGCTGTCTGCGACGAAATCTCTTCCGGCTTGCTTTCCTCACCCGCATCCGGTCTGTTCGGCCTCGCCTGGCAATCCATCGCCTCCTCCGGCGCCACCCCCTTCTGGGAAGCTCTCTACGAATCCTCCGTCCTCGACTCCCCCCTCTTCGCCTTCCAACTGACCCGATACCAAAACGACACCTCCGCAGAGGCCCTCGAACCCGGTGGAACCTTCACCCTCGGCGCGACGAACTCGTCGCTGTACACCGGCGATATCGAATACCAGAGCATCCCGAGCAACGAGGTCGCGTATTGGACGCTTGCGATGACGGGCCTGAGCGTCGGGAGCACGAGTGTGGATCTTGGGAGTGGGAGCGAGACGTACGCGGCGATTGATACGGGGACGACGCTTGTGGGAGGTCCGACGGAGCAGATCGCGGCGTTGTTTGCTGGGATTGAGGGCAGTCAGGCCGGGACGGGGAGTTATGAGGGATATTATCTCTATCGTGCGTTTTTTCTCCGCTTCTCTGTGTCAGGCAGGGTACGGTTTTGCTGACTTTAGCTTTGTGCAGCTTGCGAGACGGAAGTGTCGGTGTCGCTCACGTTTGGCGGGTCATCGTGGAGCATCTCCCCGGCGGACTTCTTGCTCGCACAGGTCAGCGAATCGCAGTGCATCGGTGCCTTCTTCGAGTTCTCCAGTTCGAGCTCAGCTCCGAGCTGGATCGTCGGCGATACCTTCCTCGTAAGTCTTATCCCACCGCCCTCCAATACAACGACTCTCACTCAACGCTAATTGTTCCGTTTTCCTTTCCACGCACGCGCACAGAAAAACGTATACTCCGTCTTCCGCGCAAATCCCGCGTCCATCGGCTTCGCAAACCTTTCCTCAACAGCCCTCGCAGCGAACGGCGACAACGACGCCTCCGCGCCCTCACCCACGATCGGCTCCGTGTCCGCGAGCATCACGGGCGGCACGTCGACGAATAGCAATAACGGCAGTAGTAGCAATGCTGCGAGGGGACGGTTCGAGGCTGGGATGGGTATGGGTGTGGTGGGTGTTGTGGGGGCGGTCGTGTTGGGGGCGGTGGGGACCGTTATGTTGTGAGATGTTTTTGAGGTTTAGTGTTTAGTGCTTTGAGGGCTGTGAGGGTAGTTTCGATTGAGATTGAGGAGAGGAAGGAGGGGGAGATGTCGGACTCCCGCCCGTACGCTCGTTCGTTTTTGCTGGATCGTTGGTGCTTACTTTTGGTCTGTTCGTTTGAATTCCTTTGTGGTATAGTCCGTCTCGCCCGTACATAGTCTGTTTAGCTTTTCATTTATTTTCGAACCGTGCGCTTTTGCTTGTTCACACCTACATACATACAGTATCTGCATTTCTGACCTGACTGTTCAAACGTTCATGTACCTGCACTTGACTTGACTTGACTTGACTTGCCTTGCACTCGTCGCATCTGCATCTGCATCTGCATTTTATCATCATCACTATCACACATCACACACCACACATCATGGACCTGCCAGTCGTTTTCGTTTTTCAGTTTTCGGTTTGGACGGAGGTTTGCTTGCTTTTTCCTTCTTCCTTCATCTCCTCCCTGCTTCTGCTTCTTCGCCTGCTTCCGCTTCGTAGTAGTAATCGAAAAGGGTCGAATATATTCAAACGATGGCTGTACCATACGCTAATGCGACGTAGTAGTACATAACACGCACCACACACCACCCAGGTACTTATACTCTGAATGACATCCGACGTACTCAGACATATTCATAGATTCGGGATTGCGTAAGAGGCAAGGAGGACAATCTTTTTGTGCCGTCTATCGGGTGCTGCCTTTATCGTTCAATCCAATGGACTCATACGACGGCTTTGTAATTCCGTGGACAACTCGAAGTTCATCGAGCAACGAAACGCCACAACCATCTCAGATGATACACAAAGCACAAGCGAGAGTATATCAATGTACGATTGGCAAAACCGAATCGAATGTATGTGTATCAAAAGATGACAAAAGAGAAGACCAGAGACAAAACAAACAATAAAATTACGATAATACAGTCTCATACAATCCCCCACCCCACCACTCCGTCACCGTGTGCCCCATCCAGAGAAGTATGAGTAAAAAGGACAAGACAAGACAAGACAAGACGCTTATGAGCGCTCGCCACGGAGCCTGCGGGCGAGAGCGAGATCCTTGGGCTGGATGGTGACGCGCTTGGCGTGGATAGCGGCGAGGTTGGTGTCTTCGAAGAGGGAGACGAGGTAGGCCTCTGCGGCTTCTTGGAGGGCCATGACGGCGGAGGATTGGAAGCGGAGGTCGGTCTACGTGACGATGCACACGAGTCAACACCGACACACGACAAGGGAAAGAGGGAGAGGTAACGAATAGGAAAGATGTAAAAGAGACACACCTTAAAGTCCTGCGCGATCTCACGAACAAGACGCTGGAAAGGCAACTTGCGGATGAGGAGCTCAGTCGACTTTTGGTACCGACGAATTTCACGGAGCGCGACCGTTCCGGGGCGGAAACGATGGGGCTTCTTGACACCACCAGTCGCGGTCTACAGCAACAACACACAGCACAACGTTAGTCCAACTCAAAGGTGGAGTGAGGGAAGCGAAGAGAAGCGTACGGCGGCAGAGGTCTTACGAGCGGCGGACTTGGCGGCGAGTTGCTTACGGGGGGCTTTGCCTATACACGAAAATAGATACGCGATCAGACGACTCCCCCCAAGAATCAAAAGGTAAAGCCACGAAGCAACACGTACCACCAGTGGACTTGCGGGCGGTTTGCTTGGTACGGGCCATTGTAGATGAGAAGGTAGTAGTTGGTAGGGTTGAGTGTTGTGTGTTGTGTGAGGGTTAGTGCTTGAAGGTGGGTGGTAAGGAGGAAGGGGCGTCCGTCCCGCGGCGGGGTTTATATATGCCCAGCTCGCGCCCCACGATCGAGGCGCGTCGCGTCCCGCGTGCCGATCAACGAGTCGCGTCCACCACATCACGTGCGTCACGAAGCGCGATCAACAAACAAACGGACGCGTCGCGCCACAGCTCGCCACACGAAGACGCGTCGAACGGATCAACAAAGGTCATGTGATTTGGAGGCGGCGGGGATACATAAAGGGGCTGCGAGCGGCGGGGACTTGGTTTCCTTCCATCACCCCCTCCTACTTCAAGCTCGCGTTTAGTCGCACAAACACACAAACAACCTCTCTATCACCCACCCCCCACTCTCAATCTTCTAAACAATGTCTGGCCGTGGAAAAGGTGGAAAGGTGAGCCTTCCTCTTCCACGTCTCCGAGTTCGGCGGGCATCGACGACACCGACGACCCACCGCTGCCTTGTGCACTTATTCGATCTTCTTTGCTGACTTGCACTCCGTGTTGTGTTGTCGTATATCAGGGTCTTGGAAAGGGCGGAGCCAAGCGTCATCGCAAGATTCTTCGTGACAACATTCAGGGCATCACCAAGCCCGCCATCCGCCGTCTCGCCCGCCGTGGCGGTGTGAAGCGTATCTCGGGTCTCATCTATGAGGAGACGCGTGGGGTGCTTAAGATCTTCCTCGAGAACGTGCGTCTCTTTCTGGCTTTCCGCCTTCTCTTCCTCTCTTCTCCTTCCTCCCTCCTTCTCTCTTCCCTCCATTCCTGTCCTTCCCTTCCCTTCCCTTCAAGTCGCTCTCGTTCTTGTTGGTGTGTGTTGAGTGAGGTGCTGACTGTACTATGTTGACACGAACAGGTCATCCGCGACTCGGTTACCTACACCGAACACGCCAAGCGGAAAACCGTCACCGCGCTCGACGTCGTCTACGCCCTTAAGCGCTCCGGAAGGACGCTCTACGGTTTCGGCGCATAATCGTCTCCTACCCACACCATCTGTTTATCATACCCTCGTCTTTTTTTCGATTTGTTGATTTGTGACTCGTGGTCGCGCGCGGCTGGGATGTACACGTTGTATCGTTATTGTAGTTTTATCTTATTCTCAGTCTCTATCTCAGACTTAGTTGGCCCTTTGGGCTATCCTTGTCCTTTAAATGTGTGATGTGGCGAAGGTTCTAAGTTCTTTATCGACGGTGTGAGGTTATCGTTGCTCGACATACTTCAAGATTCAAGTTGCGAGTGCTCGTACATGTTTTCCTGCATTATAGCACGACGATCTTGAATCTGAACGGATGGAGGGTTTTCCGTGTGTATGGATACGATACGCATGGCCAGGGTTTCCCTCATGGGATTGTGAACGTCATATTCACTCGCAGTCTTCCTCAGAGTCAGAAGAAGTCCACCAGAACAATTAATTCCTACACTCTGCACCCGGTGCACCCCCGCGACGAAACAGATAAGCATAAGCATAATCGAAAACCAGTCTCATCGCCAGTAGTGTGTATGCCAAGCGCAAAGTGCAGGTTTCGTGAGAAAGAGTCTGCAAGCGCAGGTTTTCGTGAGGAAGAGCCTGCAAGTCCAGTATTTCGTGGGGAAGAGGCAAAGGGAGGAACCCAGTCGTGTGGCACCAACGCACGCCACGTGGGACGCCAGGGAACGCTCACGACTGATCGCTTACGTGACCGCCACAGCGCTCGCTCGCAGTAGCAGTCTCCATACCAGGACAGCGACAAACGCCCGTTCCGTTCACCTTTCCCTTCCGTACCTCCTCCTCCTTGCTCCTACATAACGCCAGAAACACGAAAGAGAAGAAAGCAAGAACATTGACAAGAACAAGGAAGAAGACGAAGAGGAGAGAATGACGACGCTGATGTCCCCCGTCGACAGTTCCGACGGATACGCCTCTACCTCTATCGACGGCGTTTCTGATATCGGCGAGAATATGAGCAACAGCATCTCGGGTCAGCATCAGCATCCGCTTTATAATCATCCGGCGTCGCAGGTCCAGGTGCCCGCGTCGTCGAGTAATGCGTCGAGCGTATCTCCCACTGGCGTGAATACGGGGATGCCATCGCTAGCCTCGAGACGGTCTTCTTCGCCGCCGCGGAGCAGTACGGACGGGCATAGAGAGAGCAAGGAACGTGAGAGGGAGAGGGAGAGAGAAGGGAGGGACACAGAGTCAGTCACGAGCGGACACGGGCGGTCGTCGACGTCGCGGTGGAGGGAGAGCAGCGAGGAGCGGGACCGTGTGCTGGGGCCACCAGAAGTGCCGCTGGAGAGAAGTAATACGGCGGTGTCGAGCGTGTTGAGTACGGGTGGAGGCGCAGAGTTTACGGTGGTGGAGCCGAGTTTTGATGAGAGTGTGTTGAGGGCTTTGTGTGATTTGGATGTGAGTCCTTCTTTCTTTGATTTTCGTTTTGTTTTGGTGTATTGGTCGGTTAGGTATGTCGATATGTGGGTAAGGCTTGATTATGTTCGACAAGAGCATACGTTCCGACGCGTTTGCCGTTGCGATCCAAGTCGAACTCGAGCTTCACCGCAATGCAAAGTAGCATCACCATATACTGATCCAATCCTCATTTCCCTTTTTAATATCAAACAGTGCGGCGTCCCCCTCCTCCTCGACCGAATAAAACAAAGCATGGTCTCCTGCCGCGAAGCCTCCGTCTTCTTCAAGAAACGCGCCGTGCTCGAGGAAGAGTACGGACGGGGGATGCACAAGCTCGCGAAAGTGACGGCGGAAGTGTACGCCATGAATGACGGCAAGGCAGGGTACGTCCGCGCATCAATCATCGTTCCCGCCTCGGCGTATATAATGGAGATTTGTCTTTGTGTGTGTATTTGTGTCCCTCGATTAGTTCTTTCGTCGGCTCGTGGCAGGCGACGATGAAGATCCATGAGGTCATGGCGGATAATAGGATACGCTTCGCGCAGAGGCTAAACGAAATGAGCGAGGAGTTGGCCAATCTCGCGAAGGAGGTCGACAAGAACCGCAAATCGGTACGTCCACCCATCCCCATCCCACCCCTTTCCCTTTCCCTCTCTTCCCACTCCCTTCTCACATCCCCTCCAGACGAAAGAGCTCGCCACCCGCTACGAGCGCAGCCTCCAAGAATCCGAACTCCTGACCGAGAAGAGCAAGGCCCGGTTCGACGTGAGCATCGAGGAGCTGGAACGGATATTGCTCCAGAAGGAGGGAGAGTCGCCGAAGGATAATATCCAGGGACGGTCGCCGGGCGGGAAACGAGCGATCGGGAAGGCGGCGGCGAAGGGGGCTTTATTGCTCAAGGGGAAGAATCCGGGGAATGTGCGTGTTTCTTTTTATTCCGTTTTGACCTTTTATATTAGTGCACCGTGTGGCGAGAGCGAGAGGCTGATTTGGTTTGGGTCCGTTTTCGTGCCACAGTTGCAGAGACAGGAGGATGAGTGTAGGCAGAGGGTGTCGACGGCTTCGGACGTTTATAAGCGGACGGTGCAGGAGACGCAGAAGTTGAGGCAAGAGTATTTTAATTTTCAGTTGCCTAGGATCTTGAGGGTGAGCCTCCTTGTTTTAGCCCCTGCGGCCCACCCAAAACGAATTAGACGCTGACCATACCATGCCGTCCAATATCTCACGTCTCACGTCTGGTATGATCCGTCGCGGTGGATACAGGCTCTGAAAGAATGCGCAGACGAGATCGATCTGGGGACGCAGTATCATCTTACGCGGTATGCGTTCTTGTTCGAGAGTATAATGTTGAGCGATGGGTCGACGTTGGCGCCTGGGGCGGCGGACGAGGGTATGCCTTTTTTCCTTTTCCTTTTCCTTTTCGTTTTCGTTTTCTTTCTTTCTTCCTTTTTTATCATTACTCAAGGTTTATCGTATCCGACTTTTCATATGAACTGACTTGCGCTCTAGGTATGGGATTGAAGGCGACGATCGAGTCGATCGATAATCGGTCGGATTTCAAGGTGTACATGCAGAACTATAGTTTTGCGCATGCGAATACGTATAGGGGCCCGAGGAGGACGGGGCCTGAGCATGAGGGATTCGTATGTGCCGTTTCACTTTTACTCTCACTCGCACTTTCAACTTCGCATGCCGTAGTTTTACATCCACTCACTCACTCACTCATTCACCCACTCACTCACCCACTTACCCGCTCGCTCGCTCACTCACTCCTTACGCCGCGTTCGTTTCGTTTCGTTCCGTCTTAGCTCCCGCCACTGCCGCACCATGTCGACCGGACACAAGCACAACCCCCACCGCTGCTCATCCCGCCTAGCACTTCAACGTCCACCTCGCCTAATAACACGAATAACCCGTATCCGAACGGACTCAACGCGTCTACGTCGTATGGGAATCCTAACTCTAATCCTTCCTTCAACGCCACGAACCCCACCACCTCCTCCACCACCACCACCACCAACGCCACCAGCCTCACCAACAACAACAACACCAACAACAACAACACCAACACCAACAACAACAACAACAACAACGTCCCACCCCCCCGCAACGGCTCCGATCGCGGCCGGCCGACATTCGGCGTCGACCTCGCGGAACAGATGATGCGGGATAATGTGGAGGTGCCGTTGATTGTGGAGAAATGCTGTGGGGCGATCGAGAAGTGGGGGTTGGGGAGTCAGGGGATATATAGGCTTAGTGGGACGACGAGTAAGGTTGCGAAGTTGAAGGAGAGGTTGGATCGGGGTGGGTTTTTTCTTTGCTTTGCGCTTTTCACTCCTTTTTGTGAGAGAAGAGGGGTGGGGTGTTTGTGCTGATGAGTGTTTTTGGTGGGATGTGTAGATTTGGACGCGGTGAACCTCGATGCGGACGAGTGGTCCTCGGATATCAATAATGTGACGAGCGTGTTGAAGCTTTGGTTGAGGGAGCTTCCGGAGCCGGTGATGACGACGGTGCTGCATCAGCATTTCATTGATGCCGCCAGTGAGTTTCTGTCTACTTCATCCCCAGCCCTCATCCCTCCTCTTGTCAATCGGTGTAGCTCATGCATACGGCGTGATGGTACTCCAGGAATCGAGAACCCGAGGCTGCGACATATTCGGCTGCATGAGCATGTCAATGACTTGCCGGATCCGAATTATGCGACGTTGAAGTACTTTTTGGGACATTTGCAGCGGTTAGTTTGCGTTTATCTAGTCTCTTTGGTGGGGTTACGTTGACTGACTTTCGTTCTGGATGCCCTGCGTACAGGATATCGCAGTTCTCAGAGCAAAACTCTATGACGATCTCCAACCTTTCGATCGTGTTCGGCCCGACACTGTTCAGTCAGGGTATATCGAATGGTGCCCAGAACGGGATCACGTTGGACCCGACGATGCAGAATAAGGTGCGTGGCCGCCTTCCTCGTTTCTATCCTGTTTCCCATATTCATTCACCTTCTGCGATCGCGAATAGGCCATTGAGACGATCTTGGAGCACTACACCGATATCTTCATAGACGAGTCAGAAGCTTAAGGCGCTGCTTGAGCTGAGCTGTAGATCGTGCCTCTGGCCTGTTGTCCCATTCCCATGCATGGACCGTTTCCTTTCTCTTACGTTTTCGCTGGGATTTCAGGCTTGCCTTTTTCTTTTTCTTCCTCTTCTAACGATAACGATTGTTATACCCTTCACACGCCCCTGCGGAGCCCGGAGCCCTTTGGATCACCTACTTTCATGTTTTCACTTATTTTATTTCCTCGCTCTGCCGGATTTTGCGGACAAACCCTTGGATCTCATCGATGATTCGGAACTCTCTTCTTCCTATGCATCCGACCGGTTTCTGTTCTCATTATACGATTATCTTATCATCTGCGTCCCTTCAATTCGTGACTTAAACTTTCTGGCCTTCGTCTTCCTCGTCCTATGGCTGCTTCGCCTTTTCACTTTCCTTTCGCTGTTCATAATGTTCATAATCCCTGTGGTTGTGGTCGAGGCTTGGACCCTCACCCTGTCGAAATGTATCGTATCGTCAATCCGTGTACTAGCCTGTTCGTGTCCAGTGTTCGTGTTCGTTCGGTAGCTCGGTTTCTTTTGTCTTTTGTTCTCTGACTTATTTGTCTGGTCTCGTCCGACTCCTCATATATTTATAGTCTGTCTCTTCCCTTCAATTCCTCTTTCGCGTTTTCTTCCGTGGCCTTATTCCGTTCTGAGACTGTAACTGAATGGGTCCCGAGCGTCGCGGGTTTCAACGTCTGCTGAGAGAGTTAGGTCTATCTTCAGCGCTGTTGTTATGTCTACGTGTGGGAGACTTTCGTGTCTGTTCTCTCGCGTCGAGACCAGTCTCAGGCGACGCGTGTGGCCTCAAACCACACCTCCAATACAGTATACAATTAACTACAGCAGCCGCCTCTCTCCTCACGGGGGACGCACCCCATCCTGAGAGCGGTTCCGTGCTGTGTGACCCCCTTCTGCGAGCCCTCTGATCCATTTATACGGCGAAACTGAGTTGAGCGTAACCTGGACCGAGAAACCTCGTCAAAACCTCGCCCTAGTCACCAGTGGCGCGGACTATCCATGGTAAAAATCTGCGCCCGGTGACCTTCTTTTGCCGGCTGAATGAAATCGCCGCGCATCCTTCTTTCAGTTTGAACTGCACCGTAACCGTGATCAACTTCAGCCGCTGCTAGCCTGCTCGGATTTTTCTGTTATTTCGGTGAGTCTGGTAATTTAATATATCAGAAAGGGAGTTCTGTTGTTCGTGGGTGTCTGACGCTAGAAAACCTATCTTCCAGTCAGGCCACTACTTACACCGTTATCGTCGGGATCCACACCTTGCTCCAATCTGGCGCACGCTCCCCCGACTGCTGGCCAGTGGCACGATTCGGATATGTATGCCTACGAATCACCGTCATTTTACCGCCCGTCGCGTTGCGGCCGCGGTGGATCAGCCGTGGTCGAACCGAAGTAGTAGACGATTGCCCGTGCAGGTGGGTCGCATCTCTCGTAGCCTTTTGACATTTTGGACCGCATCGCGACAGTCAGCCTTTTCTTCGCTCCCGGGAAGGGAGGGAATATGCAATTGTAGTTGGGTCAAATCGGCTGCTTCTGTTTCTTACATACTCTTTTTCGTCTTTCTTCTTCGGTGTTGTGATGTGCTGAGCGGAGCTGACTGATTCCTTCTTCGTCTGTTTCTGCCCAGGACTCCATCGACGAGTCTCTTTCGTCCCTTCTTCCTTTTGCGATCTTGTCACAGTGCCAGCACAGCTAGCTCCACCCATCGCCACATCTCGAACCTACGAACCCACCCTTGAAACGGTTTCAAACCTCACGGTCTTTTAACATCGTTCGGTGGTTCCTTCTCTCGTGCGTTTTGGGCTGGATTGGAAGTTTGAAGAAGAAGTGGTTCCCCACCCCAAGCGATGTCTTCTTCGTTCGTGAATCCAGAGCGCGAGGAGCGCGATCCAGCTGCAGATGACTATGTCTCCGATGATGAAGAAGGAACAGAGTACTCAGGCTACACGGCGGACTCTTTGTCTTCATCCCAATTCTTGACGACTTCTCCCGGGCTTCTGAGTGGCCATAACCCCTATACTACCACGTCCGCCGCCACCAACACCGGTGATGGCGCTAGTAGTAGTCCCAATCACCGACATCACCGTCATGATTCCGGCGGTGGCGACGAAGACGACGGTGGCGAAGAAACACGGAGCGCTGCGAGTTCGCTGCCCAACGAGTCACTTACCGCGATATTCGAGCACCTCTCGCCACACTCGCTCACTCGCGTAATCCTCGTCTCCCACCGCTGTCGGGCCCTAGCCGAGCGTATCCTCTATTCTTCCATCATCATCTCAGAAACCACGACCTTAGTGTCCCTGCCCCCCGCACCTGAATCTTCCCGAGATAATCCCCCCCAGCAGCCCCAGTCACAGACCGCAACGCCCTCCGTGCCCCGGCGTACGCTTCGCGTCTGCGAGACCCTGTCCACGTACGGACATCTCGCGGAAATAGTTCGGAGATTCCACATACGGTGGAACACAGACGCCGTCAAGAACCCGCAATACCTCCTCGTCATCGCGCAGAACATCATCAAGACGCTCCTCCCCACCTTCGTCCACCTCGAATCGCTCGAGCTCTCCCTCGGCCTGTCGGAGATCCTACCGCTGGCGTCAGTAGCCCATATCTTTCCAGATCCGAGTACCGGTGCTGGGTTATTCACGCTCCCGTTTCTTCGCCATCTCTTCCTTAGTGGTCTCGGCGCTCCGCCTATCAGCCTTCTGACGAACCACCCGTCGCTGCAGCATTTCAGGCTCTTGTCCTATCCTCACCCTCTTCCAGCTCTTCCTTCTACGTGCCTCAGCAACCTGCAGTCATTCCGGGGCCACCCGTCCACGGCGGCATCGCTCCTTCCTGGTCGGTCGGTGGAGATACTCAGTCTTGTTGGGTACGATGTTATAGCGGAGGATGTGCTGAAGGCGATGACGGGCGGGCTGAGGCCGGTGAGGACGCTGGATGTGTCGAGTGTGCCGGTGACGCCGAAGTCGTTGGTCGAGTTGGCGAGGTGGTTTAGTGGGGTGAGGAGTTTGAAGGTGAAGTTGGCGTTGAGGCATACGTTGCATTTCGCGTTATCGGGCATAGTAAGTCTTCACTTTCCTTTCAAACTTGCACTCTCAATCTCTGTGGTTGTCATTGAGGTCATACGTTTACTGACGGATGTCTTTTCGTTTTGTTGAATGAATTTACGATACAGCGTCTCCTCACAGCCCTGACCACGGTGCTCTCGTTCTTCCCCGAACTAGCCAAACTAGACCTCTCACCCACCGCCTCCGTCCCGGGCTCCTCCTCACAAAGCAACACCTCCTCCTCCTCTCGTAGCTCAAGTCCCGGACCCTCCACCTCCACCTCCTCATCCTTCTCCGCATACTCTGCGTACACTGGTCCCATATCTTCCGGTTCTGGTTCTGCGGCTACTTCGAGGAGCGGGAGCAGCACGAATGCGAACAATATATCGGAGGAGGAAAGGTTGTGTAGGGATTGGGCGAGGGTGTGTCCCGGGTTGAGAGAGGTTGTGTTTCCGTCGAAGAATGAGTGGAGGTTGAGAATGGACGACGATGATGCAGGGGGCCTGGCCCTGGCTGGGGCTTGGGATGTTAGGACGCCGAGAGAGCCTGTTGGTGGGGGGTCGTGAGAGCTGGCAACGGATACTTGGGTCAGGAGTGCTCGGACCCGGTGTATTGTCGTCAAGTCGCACAGTCACAGTTGTATACCGTGGAGTCGCCGCTACCCTTGTCCTTCGTATATCATGACGCCGCGGCTCCGAGCTACTTACACAGGCTCTGAGGCCCAGAGTTTTCTTTTAGATCCATCCAAACCTCCAAAGGTCACTCTAATCGTCGAATTTGTAATTCTAACTGTAACCGCAATCATGTCTGTGAGTCTGAGTCGTTTGTTCGTTCTCACTGTTGTCATGTCAAGCAACGTTCGGATACGATTGTATTCTTGCTTCATCGTACTACGTTCACAGCTGTTAATGTTAATGATCTCCCTACTAAGTATTTATTTCGTTTTCTTTGGGCTTTTGGAGTGTTTACTTCTGCTGCTTACTAGTATGTTACTTGTATTGCCTACTAGCCTTTTTTTCTTTCTTCGTAGCTCTGTGTATATGCTCTTTACGACATCTGAAACGACTCTACATACGCATTATCAGCGCTACCTCCAATGTATATACCGCTATCTCCAATATCCTTGTGGCTCAAATGAATGCAAGCTATGATTTCTGGATTCGCTGTCTCCTGGATTTCGTGTGGCGGTGGCGAAATAGTGTCCGTCACAGGCTCGTCATGTAGTCACAGACGCGTTACGAAAGATTAGGCGCCGTGACAAGCGCGCTTGGGCCGACGTTCTGCGTGTCACGTACGCGTTGACTTCAACACCCATCACCTCTGGGCCACATTTTCTCGATTCTAGGCTGCCAGACCTCGGAAACTCGTGGACGTATTGAAATATCTAGCCACGGCTTTTGTTCTTGCTTATACCATCGGTCCATTGACTCTAGCTTGATCTCTGAGCAAAAGTATAACTGTCTCTAACCCCTGGCTTGATCATACGGCTTTACGACTACACGGCCTTCTCCCCTTACGAACAATCACTGATATGGCAGGGCCTTCGACGGTCAATCTCTACCCACACCTCGTGAACAATGGAGAGAGCCACAAACTCGCGGAATCAGGACGAAGATTATCGGCGACGTTTTCGCCCAAGGATAATCAACTAGCAGCGTTCCTCAGTCCTGCGGTGCGTCCTGTTCTTTTCATTTTGATAGTATGTGTGCTGAGAGTGAGGGGATGCTGGTGCGTAGGTGGATCCCGAGGCACTGAAAGGGATGTCTGATAATGAGTTGATGTCGACGGAGAAGGACGTTTATATGGCGGCGGGGAATAAAATTCCGGATGCGGCTCGTCGAACGGTACGTGTTTTCAACTTTCTTGTTGTGGAATGTACAGGTCGGATGCAATGAGAACTATGGTAGTACTCTGGTACAATGGAGATTCGGAAAGGCCGAACCAGCGGCGGAGGGGGACTCTAGTGCTCGGCAGTGTGGTTACCAGTATGAGGGCATATGCGCAATTGTCAGAACACATGTTTATGTTTGCGATGCATTGCACACTGGCCTGCGTCAGAGAGTACCCACACCACAGTCCGCGTGTCTTTGTGGCGCCTCATATGTTCACTGTGCCACATTATCAGTGTCGCCCCTTGCATAGACCATCACTGTGGATTGCTAAGTGTCGCAGCGTATTTTTTGTACACTGCTTCAAGAACATATCATCGTCTCTTTAGAGATGTGTCCACTTCGGACGGACTATCGTGATGTCCGACCTGCTGTATTGACCCGCGCTGACATCTTGTCGGTCAGTTTCTCACAGATGCATCAGTTATCTTCTCATCACTGCAATCGTACATGGCGCAATCCAAGGAGAAAAAACAGACCGTGTGCGTATCCCCATAGTACGCGTATTCATACATCGTCTGACTTATTCGCTTAGCCTTACAGACCTAGAGAACCAGGAAGTCATCACTAAATTGACAATGGATTACATGTGTCACGCACGGGATGCATGGCTATACTCCACAGTGAGCCTTCTGCTTACCAATGTCTTAGAAGATATAGACACGGACGACTAACATTTATGCAGCATTTGGAAGCCAACGGTGTTAAACCCCAGTACGACGCCGAGCATTACCGCGTGCTATACACAACAATATCCCTGTTCATCGTTCTGTACCTTCCAGGAGTTGGAGAAGATCGCGCACCTGTGGGTGATGAACTTATGGAATGGCTGAACATGCATTTCATTGAACCCTCGAGCGATGAGGGCGACGAACTGAGTTCTCAAGAGAAGCCCTGGGAGGACGAGAACTTCTGGTCCTACCTTACCAGGTAAAAAAAAACAATCCGGTCTCATTTCTCTCTCGGACACTTATATCTGATGTCCTTTCCAGAGCTGTAATACGCGGCCTCGCCAAGTCATCCGTCTTCTTCCTGGATGTTCTCTCCAAGCGCCATCCCTCCGAAGATCTGCAATCTCTATCCGTACACCTCAGTGAAGTCCTCACTACACGACCATCCCTACTTATGTCCAAAAATCAGCGCGAATACGTGATCGCGGCACGACGTTGGGGTGACAATGTCAAAGCGCTGCGATTCACACTCGATCGCGTACCTGAGGATGCTCGACACGACGGATTCGATAACTGGTGGGAACAGTTGAGCGACATTGTTGGGCTGTTGGAGGGGAGAGAGGATGTTCTGTCACGCGTTTGTACTGAATTGGGAGCGGACTGGAAGGAGGTCTGTGTGGCGTGGGGGATTTTCGTCAATGCTAGCTTGCAACGCGTTGATATGGCGTATGTCTTTCTTTTTCCGGTTGTCGTTACTGACTGGCAGTCACCTTCACATCCATCTCAACTCACCTTGTCGACTTTTCTGATGAATCACTCTTTGCTTGTTCTTTTTCTTTGACGATCAGAGACGTCGCGGAGATGGTAATGGGAAAAATGCCTTTTGATCCAACCGACCTCGAAGATGCGATGCACGCAGCCCTATTCCGCGGAAAACCTATCGATTCATTGCCTTTGGCTGCTCAACACGATCCTTGGCTCGCTGCCCACCTAGCAGACGTCCTCGAAAAGCTAGGTCTCATCGACGCCGACATTGACGACGAGTACGTTGTCTTCCTCTTGGTCTTTCTTTCCATCTTCCTCTTGCGCTTCCCCGTTAGTCTAATTTTGATTCTGATGTATCGTCAACCATCACCTATCAAGATCGGAGCTGACCCCTCGGCAACACTATATCCTTCAATTCGCGGACTACCTTCACAGCGATCCCTCGCTATGGAGGATTACGGTCGACTATATGTGTTCCTGTGGCGACATCGGCAAAAAACGCGCAGATCAGGTTCTATTTCGGGTACCCATCAGTCTTTCTGCTGCTCGTCCGCCACATCAAGGTGGAGACGGGCAGCAGACGGCAATGATCGTCGACGGAGACGGTGGGGAAGTCTCGGCAAGGATGGAGGGCGTACTCAAGGAGGTCATCAAGGCTTGTTATGAGTACGAGAGGGACGAGGCACGGAGGATGGTTTGCTCCGTGAGTTCTCTCTCGCCTGCCGTACTTTCTGTTTCGGAATGCGCTTGCGTGCTCACTTGAGGTGACAACATGTCGTAGCTTGCAGCCAAGGTGTTCCTCAAAGATAGAGAGTATGGACTAGCGATTGAATACATCGCCGCCGCAGAGGATTGGGCGGGATTAGGACACATCGTCGACTCTGTTCTCGAAGAATATGTTCTTCACGGTACGTCCTCTCTTCACAAGGTCCTATGCGGTCGTTATTGGTGCAAAAGGCGAGATACACAATCAACTTCATCAACCTCACCATCAATATTGGCACAGGTCCAGAACACTTTGCGCGCTCAGTGGCAACAGTCGCACCCTCGCTTCAGGACCTTCGTAGCGCCTACCCAACGGTCAACGGCGTCTTCATCCATCGACTGACGTTCGCCGTCCGATACGCCGAATTCCATCGACAGAGGCTGGGCGGGGATCTGCAAGACGCCGCCCTCGACCTCGTGGCGTTGTTTCAAGAGGAGATCGCACCGAGGGGCTGGTGGGGTGTTTTGTTGCTTGATGCGACAGAGCTGTTGAAGGCAGGTGAGTACAGACTTTCTTTTTTCATGTTGGTTTCTAGCATGTCTATTGTCGAGTACCAGGACCAGATGAATCGCTGTCTGTTCTTTGATCCTGCTGAGCACCGTCTCTGATGTCTTCGGGCTTGTCTTGTTCGTTCTAGATGACTCGATGCTCTTCTCATCCTCCGGCGCTACCGAGCTGCTCAAACGTCTTGAAGAGCTCCACACCAGAGTAACGCAAGGAGGTGGCGAGGATTACCTATCAGCACTGCTGAAGACCATGAAAGGCAACGGTGGAGAAAGGGAAGCTTTACAAAAGCTGATGAGTACGAGGTTCGCGTTGGCTAATTATTATGCGCGGTGTACGACGGTGGGTGTGGGTGTGGGGGGCGTTGGGGGCGGGATACAGGTGGGTGAAGGTAGTGGTACAAGCTACGGTGCTGGAGCTGTCCAGGTATTTTCTATGTGAATCAGGGCACGAAGTTGGAATGGAGTATCTCTCGTTTTGATGACTGAGGTGGTACGTAGTAACGTCGTCGGCACCCACTGATGATCTCCGTGCATGTCATTGATCTTGTCAGTCTGAGATGACGTCTGTGTCTCACAAGAGGGCATGGAGGCGATGGCTCCATATAATCCCCGACGTTGGCACGACCAGTCCTGAGACTGCATGAGATTGCTAGTCTGGTCTAGTTGTGATACCACCGAGCTGATGGTCTCCATCTCCCTGTTCCGCACCAGTGGTGATCTACCCTACGCTGTATGTCAGTCATGACCGATGAGACGGTGTAACTGTCCGGTCTGATGGCTGCAGCCATCGCCGACGTTTACGCCATGTCATAATGTGTTGACCTACTGTATGTAGGTGGACTAGGTGAGTCGATTTACGTTCTCTTGGGCATTAGGTCTTTTTCCTCTCGCCGCTCCTTCACTACCCTTTAGGGCGTCCTGGCTTCAGTTAGCTGGCTCTCTGGATTCAATGGCGCCCGGTCTTTTGCTTCGTATGTAACGGGAACTTGAACGGGCGCTCGAAGGCGAGATAGTGTGGCGCACCGTGTGGTATTTACCCTACACCTCTCTGGTTTGCCTATGTTTCAAGTTTCGGTGTCTTAGCATGGACTACTCGGGATATAATCTATAGTGTGCCGGCATTCTACTGGGGTGAAATTAAGCGCTCTTTGGCAGTATCAAAATCAACTACATTACTGACATGTGTCAATTTCGTGACTCGAGCCTCATGAGTGGCTTCGGGGCTATACTCGCGGCGCAGGTGTGGCGAAGATTTTAGAGAGAACTCTACAAGCCTGAAACCTATACACAATTCTGAACACAGTCAAAGATCTGCGTAGGATCCGAAACTCATTCTGCCAACCAGTGAGTTTTGAGCAAGAACAGGATTAGAGGGATTTCGCGCCACAGTGGCACCATGATGGTTGTTCCTTGATTCAAGCGCCGAAAGCGGGGGTCGAAGTGACCAATTGCCGCGTGGTTCGCCTTCCTGGGCTGCTCTTGCACATCAATCGCTTCCACCAAGGCTACATACACTGCCTACGAGACTCCTGTGTTGATCATCGATGGCACAGATATCTGACATGCTGTTTACACGACGTTGGACGAGAACCGGGCTTCTTGTTTCGAAAATCTTTTGGAAGGACGGTGACAGTTCTGTCGACACCGAGGACTTTCTCTGACATATTCAAGGACCGGGGCAATCTGCGAACCTTATGAGGTTGAAGGTGAATCACTCTCGCTCGTCATGATGGAACATCATTTGACGCGGATTTTCAATGCACTGATACGCCTGGTTGAAAGGATACGTCGGGCACAGTGTCCCCCGCCCCCGTCATCACCCATCGCCACTCAAAAAGCTCTGCCCGAGACACTCCTGAGGAATGTACACCCGCCACCGCCGACTGATACCTTGAGTATGAGCTGAACCTTGGCATTCTCTGCTACTGCTACATTGATGCTCGAGAGTTTGTCACGAAACTCTTCATACGCGGGGCTGAGAGACAACACATCCATCGGAACTTGCTCTTCACCTACTCCGCCTGAATCTGACTTCCGTAACACATGGTTGGTCTCAGTGTCTCGCGATCCTCTTAGGTGTCTATATGGATGGTTGTCATCAGCAACAGACTAGGATAACGTATCCTATTCTTACTTACGGTCGTGGTGGCTCGTATCGAGACGCTCAGGGACTGGATTTGTGAAGGATGTGGACATTCTGCTGTTTTCTTCGCTCCGTTTCACGAGCGCTTAAGTATCGTCCATCCAGCCGCTCTCCTAGATCTGATAGCAACTGTATGTCCTCCGGTCGCCTTGACTCGAGTTGCACCCAGATACCTCGGCTGCCAGTGTTTCTCCTCGCGGACCAGTACCCGGCTCTGACGCCCCTCTCTGTGGCATGTCTGGCGGCGACGTCTCCGGACGCTGGCGCTCCCTGCTTCTTGATCTCTTACTCCCCACTGGGATTTCAGAGGCTTGTACTAACAAGCGGTAGTATGGTCGCGTTCGTATAAAAACCTCTGACAACAGACATGTTTTCACCATCCCCCCGGTCACAGGCCATTCACCTCTCATCCAATCTTCACTATATCCCCCTCACTTTGAATCTACTCGAAATGTGCATGCTCGTGCAGACCATCCACCTCTTCCGCTGCGGCCACCAGACCCTGGTTGGTCCCGCGAGAGTACGTTCACCTCCTCATATTCTCTCATTAAAGTTCTCTCATAAGCACATTCGATCAGCGCGTCGACTGTGCAACAACAGGATGCCGTCACAGCAGCGTGCATCCCGAAGGACCCCATGCCTGTTTGCAGCTCTGCAAGCAAGAGTGAGCCACCCTCTTGATACCTTCAGCTCACAATAATCCTAATTCTCGCTTCAGGCCAATCAAGAGGGACGTAGTTGAGAAGAGCCCCGGCCGCTGCCCCAAGGGATGCGCTTAGACGAAGGGCTCCATCGTCCGCGTTCGCCTCTACTTTCTCCGAATGAGGCCCGGAATGACCTCTCACCGTTAACCACATCTTTCAATTCTCTACTGTTCTGCAATGCGCCTTCCATTGATATATCGGACCTTCTCGCCACCGAATACTCTACCTAGTCTAACGCCCTGATAGTCCGGCCATTCCGCCACCCACCCCCACTCACTCCGATACTATCCATATTCTCTCACCTAATTCTTCTTGCATTCTGCACATCTTATTTCTTGAAATGTATTGGCACTGGCATCGGCATCTGACCCTGGCGATTCTTGTTCGTTCATTATTGTAGCAAGTACGCACGCATCCGTCCATGATTGGCTCGTTTGTTCATAGTATTACGGCCCCGCATTGACACTATCCCTCCATACGTATGCATATGTACGCACTCCACCGCATAATCAATACCAGCACAGCCTCCGCCACTCGATGTTGTCTCCAGTGGGATGTTCATGATAGAGATCAATCCGCGATGCGCGTGAGGCTGAGGACCCGGCGGGAGCGTAGGGGCGAAAATTTATAATGGGTCGGACGGAGTTGGCGGGGAGAGGGTGACGCGTTTCTCGCTCGAGAGAGGGAGGAACGAACCTCGAACCTAATTCAAGGAGCCAACGACTCCGGTCGAAGTCGAGGTCAGTTTAACTCTCCATCTAGCGAGAAGATGAACGACGCACCGACGTAATTCTCCATGGGTCTGTGTCTGCTCGCTTCGGGCGATCTGTTGCGGCTGCGAAGGTCGATTAAGTTGTTAGACGACGTCGAGGAAGGTACCACGTCCTAATACAGACGAGACTCGGCTTCGAGACATTTGGGTGGCGAAAGTAGCTTCGAGGTTACGATTGATTGGCGCGCCCTCGCTTAGCCGAGGCCGAAGAATGAGGGAGCTCGAAGCATTCTATTACTCGTCTGACACAAGGGGACACACAACATGTTGATGTCGCCTCTTCTTCAAGTTCGAACTGATTGGCGATCCCAAACCCATGCTAATAATGAACTTGACCCACATCCGTCGTCCCGTCTACGGGTCGATCAACTTCTCCCGCTCTGAGACTGATTCAGACATGCAACATGTTCAAAGCTGACTGGATGAGCGACTGCGACGTCGACGATCATCGCATCCACGGACAACAAGTTGAGATAGTGGCTGCTCTTGACTCTGAAGATCCGAGAGGAACGAACATGCTATGCATGAGCGCGCCCCCGTAGCCCTTCGGTGAGCTCGCTCGAGGCGGGCCTCACTTAGATGGTCGACACGGAGATGCCCCGACTGATTAGCGAACCTCCCACACATCTATTGAATTATCGACAAATTAAATACACGAGTAGACGCGCTCCGCCCCGGGACGCGGGCACTCCAGGTGGTTTGGGATATAAGCGTGGAGGACACCGAACAGGGAACGGTTCGTCCGAAGGGTGAAGATCACGGAATGGGCGCTTATAGCACTGCAGTCTGATACCACGGTCCGAGGACGAGGATGGGTTGTATTTTGGCGCTGTGCCAGCGCTTAAAGCCTCAAGGCGAGCCACCGTTTCCCGCCATAGCAGGTTCAGAGAGCCGGCCTTGAGCACCAGGTCGCAGAGCAAGCTGTACCAACTTGGTGAATGACTCTTGGGTGTGACGAGAACAGCCGGTACATGCAGAGAGACAGCCTCGATGGGACACAGGAGTTCCTTTTGTTCCTTGAAAGAGAATTTTAGGAATGCAAGGACCGACGTATGTATATCGAGATCTGTCATGTCGAACCGGCGAAAAAAAATACCAAGAAAGGTGTCAGAGTCGACAGACCAGTAGGTAGTTTCGAGCCGTGCGTGAGGAGTCATGCAACCGTTAGAGCTCGCATTGAGGACACAGACCTATGGGCCATCGATTTGTGGCTGAATATGTGTTTGCGACAACATCTGAAAGCGGCAGCGACTACGTCACGATGTGGAGAGAATGGGCTGATCAAATTCGTAGTCAATGGCTTCAGATAAATAAATGAATCATCCACGTAGCTCATTCTGCAACACAGATGCGCGTAAAAGTACCGTGACTGTCACTATGTTCAGCACGGTGAACAGAGCGAGCTAGGACATAGAAGTACAAATAGCTCTGGGCTCACTGGCCTGCCAATCGCAATGAGGTCAATTACATAGAAAGAAGTCGAACAGAGACTTGCCAGATGGTTGATTGTTGAGCTTGACGCCGGGGAGCGACGCCCAGATTCAAGGTTACTTATAAGCCTGACTCCGAGCCCCTCTGGACATCTTTGAAATTAGAATAGCGGTCACAAGAAAAGCGAGTATTTCAGAGCGACCGAATGTCTGATGCCCTACCCATTATACTTAGACTAAAGCCTCAAAGCCATGAGCTAGATTCGAGAGAGTCCGAGAGAGAGGCTGCCGGGGTTTGCCGAAGCAGTCGACGCGTCTTCTGAATCTTCGCTTGAGACTCAACTTGCAATTGTCAAAAAGGTCGGTCTTGATGTCAGTACCGATAGTCCTCCGAGTGGGAGTCGAGCCCACGACCTCAAGATAACATGATTTCCATTACAGTCTCGCGCTCTTCCAGCTGAGCTATCAGAGGGTTGTGCGGATGACAAAGGATGAGAATCGCCTCCATCATATGCTGAATAGTGTCCGGCAGAGGCCATGAGCAAGGCTGACATGAAAAAGAGAGACACTATTGTACGAATGCTAGAGATATGCGCGGGGGTTGGCGGGAAAAACCCAGTCCATCATAATCACCATCTAAAGGAAGGAATGAAGGGATGTTCGTAGCAGAAATTGACATCGGAGCAACATCGGAGTTCCACAAAATCTGAGGCCACAATCCCGCGCCACAATCCTGTTCACGCCACACTTTTGTCATGTCGGGATCGAACCAGCGCTTTGAAACTTCCACCTTCCTTGCTTCCGTCTCCTTCGGAGTCTCTCTCGGAAATCGTATTCTTAGTGTCCGAACAGCAAGGGCTATCATTCATATCAAACTCTGTGACTGGTTTACTTGTTGTCGATATATTCGAGACTTCTGAATTCCGCTGAGCGAATTTGAACACAAGTTGATCTACCCACATCCTTTGTCACTTACAACAAATGCCAGTTGGTTCCAGAACTAGTCACTACAACTCTGGGGATGATGATTATATCGAAACAGACCATACGGTAAGTATGATATCTGTACATCCTAATCTCCATCGTCAAGTTGTCAACGTCTTCTATTTTACAGAGTTCAACAAGAAGAAGCAAGCGTCTTCGTACAGAGTCGAAAGTTAAAAGGAAGACTGAAGTAGTCCGCGTCAAGAAGGAGGAATCTTCTGACCCTGGTCCATTCGAGACGCATCGCACCTTTTCCCTTCACTCTCTACACGATGTTCTCGCTAGAACATATGCTTCGGAGGATGCAGAAGACGGCGACTTCGAAGAAATCGTAGACGCTATCTTACCGGATTGGAAGAGACTGAAGGACGAACTGGAGAAGGATAGCGAAAGGGACGAGCTCGTGCGTACCTTTCATTTACACTTTGTTATCATTTTGTTTGACACCGTACATATCTCAATAGGGTCGACCTCTACTACTGCTCACGCCCGACGACGAAGACAGACTCACGCGTCGATTGGAAAAGAAACGAGACACCACAGGCTCTCAGACGACCGTCGAATATCTTATTCTTCGCAAACTGAAGGTACAAAAGGTGTGCATCTGGGGCTCTCCTCCAATTTCAAATCCTCATCCTCCAACTTCCTGAATTATGGAATTGTTCGCAGCTTCGTCGCAGTCATTCCTCAACATGTCCTGCCCTTCGGCCTTCCCTCTCCGCCAAAAACGCCACCACCACACCCACACCCCTTGCGCGCCCAAACCTTCCACCACCACCGAACCAAGCTACTCTCGACGGTCTCTACGCCATCCAGTCGACGCCTTACGAAAGTTCATTCCTGTCTCGTTTACGTGGTGTCAATTACGCACCTGGACGCGAAGGATCTGAACATGCCTTCAGCGCGACCAGCACTACCAACACCGGAATGGACCTGTTCGGGAATGAGATATCAGTGTCGAACATGGTCGTATCTGTGGACTGGGAGACCAGGTCACCATGGATGGAGTTGATGGAGGATATAAGAGCGCATCATGTTCTCAAATCGTGCGTTTCTTCGACTTCTCCGTCCACCGACCTAGCGACCGCTGTTCTAGCCCACTTTCAATCCATTCCATGCTCATACCACATTTCGACAGTGCCGAAAGTATAGATCTAGAAAATTACGAGCCAGAACCTCTCAAGCCCATAACTTATGTCCCACTTCGTCCCTCGCACCTCCCTCAAATCCACGACATACTCCGACGGTCCTTCTGGACTGGGGTTGACGGTACGTCTACTTTCTTCCCTCTTTCATTCACCACAGCTCCCTCTCGTATCTTTCTCGATACACCGGCTGAAATCAACATCTCCATATCTAGTATCAGACTCGCTCATATATGCTCCAACAAAAAGCACCATCGTGGCAACATATGGGCACCTTGTCGTCGGATGCGCGTTCTTGAGCTCGCCAGTGGAGACGTATATCACTTATCTCGCGGTGAGAGCGGGCTGGGAGAGGGCTCAGATTGCTACGTGAGTGGTTTTCCTTAAATTTTAGCCCTCCAGTGGAGTCAATGCAATGTGTGACACCCGGCCTTTGAGCCATCGTGGTCTCGAAGACTGCAAAGAGAAGCGGGATCATGTCTTCGAGGGTCAGGCCACGAATATCAATCTTAAGCAGATTTAATATTACAGGTGCAGAGCGGTGAATTATAATACCAGAGACAAATATGCACGAGAAATGCAGAACAGATACCCTCTATCTTATCCGTGACCTAACCGTCCAATCTACTGACCATCGAAACCTCTCAACATATCTACAAACAGGTCCATGCTCTACCACCTCATCACCCGTAACCCTTCGCGCGACATCACCCTCCACGTCTCCGCTAACAATCCTGCTATGGTGCGTCCCACATCTTGTGCCCACTCCCGCTCCTATCCCAGGTCCCGCCCTGCCGTCCTCCTAATCTCAAAGTGCCAAAAGCATCTTCTGACCTGATGCACAAACATATCCGCAGCTTCTATACAACCGCTTCGGCTTCAAAGCCGAGGAGTTCGTCGTCGGCTTCTATGAAGACTACCTCGACCCACAATCTCGAGCGTCCAAAAATGCCTTCCGGCTGCGACTGCGTCGATGAGCATATACTCGTCCAACTATTTCGATCTCCCTTCCATCCGGACCTCAACTGCTCAAGACCTAATTACTAGACGCCACTACGACATCCTCCGGCCAAAAGCCGTCCTTCGACGCGAGGCTCATACACACCGTGAATATACCATAGCTGGGACCAATCCGACCTCAAGAGAAGCGCATCGGGGGTGGTCGACTCCGTCATCAACCCACACGCCAGTCCAGAAACTCAGGCTACCTTCGTCCTCTTCGCACCCCTCACCATACCCTCATCAACCGTCGTGGAGCTCGCAACTCCTGACGCCACAGTGCTTGATCCTGGCTTCCTCGATGTTGGAGGTTTCGACGTGGATGCGCGTGCCGCTGTAACGGAAGAAGCGGTAGAGCGCCTCTTCACACCGAAGTCTGCCAATGTAGTAGGCATTTTGTGAGGGCGATCCGAGCTTGCTGGCACCGGTATTACCTTGGGGGCCAGTTTCCAATGCGAATCCGAGGAGGTTGGGGTACGTGCGGTGGGTTGTGCATGAATGGCTGGCGACGAAGACGAAGACGACTGCGACTTAGATCCATTCTTTGCTGTGGCTGGAAGCTTAGCTGGCCGTGTGGAGGAAGGCCTCGCATTCCCCGAAGACGAAAGGGTGCCCTTGTCTTGACTTTCTCCGGACTTTTGACTGGTAGGAGCTGGGAAAGTTGGCGAGGGCTGTGTCCGCGGGTGCCGACCAGTAGGTGATGCCGATACAGGAGGCAGAAGTAGAGGACGCGGTTTAATGTATCCATTGGTGACTGGTTGTGCAGTATTGCGTGATGAGAGTTCTCGGATCGGGCTAACGTTGTCGACGAGCAGTGGGCGTGGTTTGATGTACACTGACGAAGGGTTTTGCGACACAATAACGTCAGGTTGATCGTGGGAATTTCCGGATTGAGACGTTGTCAAGGTTTGTGGCGGTCTCGATGACGAGGGGGTAGATTTCGTCGAAGGTTGTGGTGGTGCAGCGGTTACTTTCCGTGGCGTTGAGACTATCGCCGTCTTCGTCTGAAAGTTCGAAGAGTTAGACATATGTGGCTGCGATATCGATTTGCTCGTGGCGTTGACGGTGGTCGTCGCTGCCGACCTTGATGTAGTCGACTTGGTGACTTCGGCAGAGGAAACCGACATGGACGAACGACTGGAGGTCGGCATAGACATAGCCTTCTCCTTGTCGTATCGGACTTGGACCTCTTGCAACCACTGGTCGCTGTCGCCTTCGTAGCCCTCATACAGCCAGACATGTCTATGAATAGTGAAGCGAGTCAGCGGATCATAGTGACGGCAGGTATGCGTAAGTGACAAGAATAAATGGTTGAACGTACCGTCCAACGACTCGTTTCGGGTTGATGAACTTGTTATACCCAACACGCCAACCCAGCTGCGAGGTTAGGCACTGTATAATCTCGTCCGCGTTGCCGAGAAGCACGATCTAAAAGGATTGAAGTTGTCAGTCATCTTCGCGACCATGGAGAATAAGCAGCAGGATGCAATGGTCATCGTACTTACATCAGGGTTGATGTGGCGCACAGGAGTCTTATTGATGAGAATCTTTGTACGCAAGATATCCGTCTGGTGTCAGCTAACTGCTCCGCAGAACAGGCACTCATCAAGACATACCTGAGGGATGGAGTGTGGCATGTGCGCTGAAGAGATATGAATACGACGGTCGAATGAACTATCGCTGGAGGAACGTACCGAGTATCTCAGAGACGGGAGCGACCTTGAGAGATGTACCGATGACGATGATCAGATCGACCTGATCCCGGTCAGCCGCAAGAGCGTGGTCGAAATCGTCCGTCAATTTCTCCCCAAAGAATGTTATGTCCGGCTGTGCACAACATAAAAATAATCGGTTCTCACGCGAAGACTATATAAATGGTGTTTTCTTACCTTCATAATATAAGGGGGATACACAACGTCTTCTTCCTCGGTATCAACCTCTTCGAAAGGATTCTTCTTCTTCCCTTTGCTCTTTCTCTTACCTTTCTTGCGCTTCTGTGGAAGTTGAGAGGACTTCGCATTCTCAGCGCAGGCTTTGCAGATCGGAACCTCGCCTTTGAGAATGTCGGCCTCAATAGCGTTCCCGGGAAGACGAACGTGGCAACTTAGACAAGAGGCTGTGGCGAATGAGCCGTGACATTGGAGGACGGAACGGACGCCGGCAAGGGTCTCGAGTGTGTCAATATTTTGAGTGTAATTCTAAATCATCGATGAGGACGCGACACGGGTCGCGGATGAGTGAAGAAGAAGACTGACCCGTAGGAGCTGAGCACGCAATGAGGATGGAAGCCGATATTAGTCCCAGTTTATGACCTATAAACAGAAGGGGGTGTTACCTTGCCTCTGTCTTCAACTTCCTTGATGAAGCGATGGCATAAAGACGGCTTGAAGTTTGAAGGGTATATTTGTTTAGCGAAAGAACTGAGACTTGGAAGTCAGTATCACGAGTGGTCACGGGAAGCATGTTTCGGCTCACTAAAATACTGAGTCGCATTGACGTCGAGCTGCGGTATGAGCAACCGCGCACAAGAGAGCTTGAGGAAGATAGACTTACCAGCAGGATTCTGCTTGAAATAAGATATGTCGAACCTAGAAAGGGTATTTCGTCAACACTTTCAGAAACGAGTAGCAAGGTTCGGGCCTACATCTGTTGCGGGTCATCTAGATCATACTCTCCACTATCCTTGAGCGTGGCATAGAGTCCATTCCGTGAGCGGAAGTCAGGAATACCACATGAGACACCTACAGAGGCAGGTCAGTCACGTTTAAGCGACAATCCGAAATGAATCAACTTACTGATGCCCGCACCAGTGAGGATTAGGATCTTCTTAGAAGATTTGATGAGCTCTACGGCGTCATTAACAGTATTGTATTGTGATAGCTTGTCGCGCTGCTGAAGCCTGCCACGTGAAGGGTTAGTGAATGGACGGATTAATCACAGTGAATGAAGATAGTATTGGGAGTAAAACAGTCTATTATGCCATGATATCGGGCCTCCGAGGCCTCAGTGATAGCAACGCTATCTTCGTTCGGATGATCGCGAAAGCCATCAAGTTTCACGCACTGGCGATACCTCGCACCACTGGGATGCTTCAGTGAGGCAGTAATAGCATTCATGATCACAGTATCTATTCGATCAAATCGGGGCCGGATCGAAAGATGGGCATGACAATGCCGACAATGCCGGAAGAATACTTCTTGGACGACAGGCAGGCTTTCAAAGCGAAATCCGAGCGATAACTGTTGTCCTTGCCGGACGTTCATGTTTGCACATCACGTTCCAAGACTGTCGAATGGTAGACTGGAGACCACGGATATCGAATAGAGACTCACTCTTGTGAGCAAGCGACCTTGAGAAAATAGAGGAGAGTGTTGGTCTTCTTTTGTCGAAGCTCTGCGCACTGTGGTCCAAGTATTAACGAGTAAGTCATGCTTGACGAACACATATTCTTACGAGACATATCCCAAAAGCGAGCAAAAGCTCGTGTATTGGGACAGCACGATTTATGACATATTCCTGGATAAACGAGGACATGCCTACAGAAAGCGTGTCAGCAACATGTCAGTCATCGGACGCTTGCAACGCGCCTCGCTCTTTCAGATGGTGCTGAATCTGCTTGATATCTTGTTTCGTCCATCGTTCAGGAACACTATCTGAGAACCGAATCCGTCACTTTCCGATATATCACCACAGTGACAACTCGTATGACTTACCTTCCCCACCTTTCCAAGGGTCAAAGCCCTCATCCTCGTCGAGGGTCACAGAACCTGGTCCGGCGATAATTCGCGTGCCGTCCTCGTCTAACATGTCAACATCCCCGGCTCCGTCAGTCAGATCTACAACAGAGTGATAGTCCAAGTCATCGAGGATATCCTCCAACGCGTCCTGGTCAATATCCACTACTTCGGCCGCATCGACGAAAGCAGTAATCTGGGCCTCGTAGATAGCTCGGCGTCTGCGCGTACTCGTCGCGTCGTCGTCATTAGCAATCTTTACATGACCCGGAGTAGCTAGAGGCCCGTTCTGAGGAACCAGTGAGGGCATGGTGGTGGTAGAGAAAGAAGGAACGAGATCCGCGTCCCGTTGCGGAGAGTGCAGCACCGTCTAGAAGAGGCATGTCGTTCCCACACTTTGACTGTGCAGCCCTCTCCTCACATTTTTTTTTCGCTCTTTCCCGTCCAGCATGCCCCTTCTCGATCCTTCGTGTGGTGCTCTAATCCTACTCGTAAAACAACCCGTTTTCCGTAACTGACAATTGTATGACTTGCAGTGACCGACGCAGCCTCTTCATGCGCTGCTAGTTTTACGGCAATCGACGTTTCTTTTTGAGCTGATGGGCGGGGCTCAGTGGGGTCCGTAAGGGTATGCATCACCTATGCTTGGAGTACTCTCAAGTATAGGGTATGTTCATCTCATTTTCTACTCTAGTATGCCTTTTGCTGGACATTTCTGGGACTCATTTCGATATTTCCAGTGCCGACAGATCCCGTATTCCACGGTAAGGCATCAGACTCATCGAATCTGATACGATGCCGCGTTGTTGGCCCTTCTAGGGCTTCGTTTTGTCGGTACCTCAGGACTTCATGCAAGCTTGTCAGATCGGTTGCAATCTATGTTCATCTAAAACATGCCCTTGTCGAGTTCGTGGAAGCCTTGTTCTACCGTTTCGCAGGATCATAACATGTCTCGTGCGAAGGAAGCAGAGCAGTCTGACTCGTGGTCTGCTCAGTGTTCACACCATTTGTCGCAGATGTCTCTGCTCTTATAAGGGGCCTCAGCAGCCGAGTCCCTCTCGGTGAGCCCCCCTCTCTTGGGACCGCAAGGGAGCTCATCGGCTCATCATGGACGTCGTCTCGCTGTGTCTTTCTGCTGTTCCCCTTCCCGGCTTATCCGCAGCGTTCGAGATCTTCGTCTACATCGTCGAGAATATCGAGCAGGTCAAAGAGAGCGAAAAGCAGCTCAAATCCCTCGAACGTTCCATAGCCGAGCTCTTACTAGTCCTTCATCAAGAGGAGAAGGCTGGAAGACTATCGAAAAGCCGTCATGTGGAGCCTCTTCGGAAACTTCTCAAGTATATTTATATATATATTATATTTCCAGCCTCTCGAACCATCGGTTTGACCAGAGCGCACATAGACTTTTGCAGGAAATACGAGAATTTGTGGCTCATGAGCACGAGCGACCATTTCTGAAGTCGTTGTTCACGAAGTCCGACCGTATCTCCAAGATCGCAGGATATCACCATGAGATATGTGCACTGGTCAATGTGTTCCAGGTAAATGATATATGGCACACCACCTTATCTGCCTCATAGCTCACCTTGACACCTACTTAGATCACATCCCTCATTGATCTGCAAGCGTGGGCTGCCAGCTTCAAGGAAGTCCAACGCGAAGACCATGACGAACTACTTCGCCGACTCGATGTTCTTCAACGACAAACGGATAAACTCATGGACGTCATCGAGGAAGCTCTCAGTAAGGTTCACCTTTGTGGTTCGTAACCGAGATGCTCAATGCACGATGATTTAGATGGCCAGCATGATGGTGTCTCACCGAACCGCTGGACTCAGCCTTCTTACGCTCCCATAATGGCATCCCTCCAATCGAAGCTTCGCGACCGGACCCTTGAGCGACATGAGAGGCAGTTTTACTCTCGAGCTCTGGAGGAAGTGTCTGCGCTAAGTGGCCCTGTCGAGTTCAAGCCCGAGAGTTGGATGATCACGGCGCTAGACGTAGACTTTGGACGGAGGATTGGTCGAGGAGCCTTGTGAGCCATATCAACTTCGATGTCAATTGGTTTGTATTGATGCTCCCCAAGCGGCAACGTTTACCAAGGGACATGGAAGCACACTAAGGTAGCTATCAAGGTTCTGAAGAATGGGCAGGGAGCGGTGCCGAGTAAATATGTACGATCATTGTTTTGCCATCCGTTAATCTTGGCTCATTGGTTTGTCGTCGTCTAGAGCATCCGAAAGGAAGCCGAGGTCAGTAGTCGCTCCATATATGTTGAAGTGATGTTTATAGTATCTAGTAGCTCTGGTCCAAGCTACGACACCCTCATATCCTTCGTGAGCCCATCATCTACACAGTTCCATGCCGTTTGCTCAAGAGTCTCTAGAATTCCTCGGTGCGAACGTGCTGGATGAGCAGCTGTTCATTGTGACGCCGTACCTGAAGAATGGGAATGCTCGTGCTTATATTGCATCTAATCCAGGCTGTGACCGCATTCTCATGGTAAGCATGGCCTAATTATAGGCGTGAGTGGTCATGATGTTCATAGACGGGGTTTCACACAGACTCAACAAATTATCCTTGGCCTCGGTTACCTCCACTCGGTCAAGGTCGTACACGGGGATCTGAAAGCTGTACGTGCATACTCATCATAGCAAGACGACAGTTTCGTTCATAGTTTGCTGCTTTAGGTCAACGTTCTCATCGACGATGCCAGCAACGCCGTTTTGTGCGACTTCGGCCTAGCCCGTATCAAGGCAGATGCTGACAGTCAGACGAACGCGATGAGTTTGCCCTCAGTTGCTGGCAGTCGGAACTGGATGGCTCCTGAACGACTACGAGGCGAAAGCCCCAGAGCGCCATCGGATGTGTACGCATTTGGCCTGACCATGTATGAGGTATGTTCTCTTCGTCTACTATCGAAGCTCGACCTTAAATTTTATGCTCAGATCTACACCGGGGAGATCCCTTTGAGCGAGGTCGCTGCACAGGACTTTCTTCTGCTCGTGGGCGACCAGAACGTACGGCCGAAGCGTCCGACAAAGGAGGAAGCGTCACAGCTGACGGATAGTATCTGGAAGTTAGCGGATATGTGCTGGCAGGGACAAGCGAGCAAGAGGCCTGACGCTACCTACATTGGCAGAGTCTTGGAAGGTATCAAGCAAACTCTGGTCTGTGTCTTTCTTTTTATATTCGCCTAGCAAAAGATTGATTACACCGTAGTCCATCACTAATCATCCGCACAATCAGACCCTTTCATCCATTGTGGTCAAGCCATTCACCCAGACACTCAACCCTCCTCATAGGCCTCCCTTAACCACCAACAGACGCACTTCAAATCAGACATCCCCGCCCCGTAGCCGGAAGCCGTCCTCTTCCTCCACTACCCCCTCTTCACCTTCCACCCCAGAAGAAAGCAGGTGGCTTTCTCGAGGTCTCGCGCTGACGGGCCACAAACGCGCCGTCCACTGCGTCCGACTCTCCCACGATTACAAATGGATCGCTTCCGGCTCCGATGACCATCGACTTTGCCTCTGGAATACCTATACGGAGCAGGTGGTGACGCTCAAGGGCGAGAACCTCTCTGGCTCCATCTCTGCCCTTGACTTTTCCTCCGATAGCAAGCGCCTTCTGTCATGCCATGAAGACGTCCAGGCCGTCTGCGTATGGGACGTTAAGACTGGATGCCTTACATCAGGTCCATATCGCCTCGACACCGACTCACATACCACCACTTGTGGGCGACAGACCCCGACGCCCATCGCAGTCTTCTCACCAGACGCAACACAGATCGCCGTAGGTGGAACAGACGGCCTCATACACTTGCTCGACTCTAGTACGGGGACTTATCTTCGCACGTACCACCACACAAAACGGAGCGTCTTCTCGCGAGCAACAAAGAGATGGGCGGTTGGAGTAACATGTTTAGCGTTCTCTCCTGATGGACGCAAGATTGCCTCGGGCTCCGCATTCGACACCGTCTGCATATGGGACAAGGCCAACGGCTATCTTCTGACTTCCCTCACCCATCATCATACCGTCAACTCTGTCGTTTTCGCTCCCAGTGGACGGAGTATAGCGACTGCCTCAGTTGATCAGAAATCCCGAGTGTGGGACGTCGACACAGGCGTAATGTTATGTAGCTTCGTCATTCCTTCTCGGAAGAAGGGTATCGGAGAAGCGTGGCCTGGGGCGGTCTGTGTCGACTTCTCTCCTGATGGCCAGAAGATTGCTACCGGATCCAGTGATGGAATGATCTACATTCATGATGTTCACTCTCGTTCGTTGCTCGCATCACTAGATTGGCACGTAGAAAGAGTGAAGGACAAGCCTCAACTTCGTGTTGCTCGCGTAGTTTTTTCTGTTCAGTTTTCAATGGACGGTAAGAGGATCATATCGGGGGGCGCAGATAAATGTATTCATATTGGGTATTGGAGAAAGTCTCAGCGGGCGTAAAGAAAGTGTTGGGAGCGTTATCTTCTTATTTGTTATCTTTTCTAGCATTACGATTACCTGGACGATTGTATCCTTATACCGTTATGCTCATATGCCCTGCCTGCCATTTTTACGTTCTCTTGTATCAGCCTACGCAATTGCTCTCGTCGAACCTATCACACCGAATTTCACCACGTATTTACATCGTGCACAACCGAAAACAGACATATTCCTGATTATGGCGTCATTCAATGCTTCTCCAGTAAAAACCTCTCCAAGAAATGGATCTTCGCTCCATTCACGTACTCGATGACCGGCTTCTGTTTGAAGCCTTGATATTCGCCGCCACAGCCACAGAGTTAGTGACGGAACAAGATCAGAAAAAAGAAAAACAACGCTTACCGTGTCCCTCTTTCTCGCAGACGATCAACTCCACATACCCTCCCTGCTCCACAATCTTGCCTCTCATCGCCAGTGCTTCATGAACAGTCACTCTCGTATCGTTCTCTCCATGGGCAATAACCAAAGGCACCGTAATCTTGTCCGTATGGTTGATGGGCGAGATCTTCTCGAGGAATTCGCGAACGACCGGGTCAGACTCGTCTCCGTACTCTATGCGGCGGCGAGCACGACGGTGCGAGGCAGTGTTCTCAAGAAACGATGGCCAGTGAGAGATACCGTAGTCGGCGAGACCGCACGTGAGCTTGTGAGAGAAGTGAACCAGGCAGGCCTAATAGGGAGACCACACAGTGTCCGATAATCAGAGACTTGGGAGGGGTGCAGACGAAAAGCGACCGACTCACGTATACCATATATCCTCCATCTACGCAGGAGAAGTGGTTAGCAACAATGAAATTCGTAACTCGAAGAGGTCAGCTGGCCCACGCACAGGAGCCACCCATAACAGCTATCTTATTCGCATCGAGCTCGGTTTTCATATTGTTAGAGATGTAGTCCAACAAAGCTCCAATATCTCTACCAGATAGGACTGTGCGTTAGTTTCCCCTAAGGAGGAAGAAAATAATGAAAACAAACTTGACAGCATCCTCTCGTTTGTAGACGTCATCTGCGGCGAGATACTTCTTTCCGTACCCTATACTCCCCCTAACATTGGGATAGATCACGGCGCATCCCATCTCGTTGAGCAGATACCAGTGGATGGGCCTGGAATGCCATGAGCAACGACGAGGATTACAAGGACTAAGACGTACGATCGGGGCTGAGAGGTACTCTGCCCCTCCGGCCCTCCGTGTATATATATGACCACAGGAACGACCGACTTTCCGTCATCGGGGTGATAATACATCGCCGGTACCTTCAGCCCATCGAAACTGTCATAACTCAACAACTTCGGCCCCTTAGTCCTGAACGCCGGTCTCTGTGCCGCAGCCTTCACGTAAGGAGAGACTGAAACGGTGATGTACGGGTTGCCGTTCCCGTCAGTTTGAACCTCGGATTCCAAAGCGGAAGCAAGGTCAAGATGGACGATAGAGCCTTTGGTACGGTGAGAAACGAGCTGCAAGGCCAGTTCCCAGGGCTTCCCGTTTCTCTCGTTGGTCTGTTCTGCGAGAATGCCGCCTTCCCATCCCTCTATACGCACCTCCACAACCTTGCCCCTGTTAACGCCATGGACCACTAGAGCATAGAGAACTTGCCATCCTGCCTCGTTAGAGCGGAAGAACACACCCTCAGACGTGACTCTGGGAGGCATGAAATCCCATGGAATAGCACGGAGGCCATGTAGTCCGGGATCGGGAGTCGTAACGTGTGTCACTGTCTCGGTCTTCAGGTCGTAAGCTACGACAGAGTAGAAGTCGCCGAAAGCGGACGTAAGGTCGTAGAGGAGATCGGGAGTGCTTGGGTCGCGCGAGAACCTAGGAGAGCGATGGACTATCTCGGACTCTGGTTCGGTTGCGCCTGGAAACCGAATCTCTCTGGGCGAAGAGAGTGAAGGGGCCAAGGTGTCTATGAGGTAAAGGGGTCGATAGTTCGAGCTCTCCATCAAAGTGACAAGGATATATCGATCGTCCAGAGAGATATCTTGAGCAACCCAGTGAACCGTGGGTCCATCGAGGCTGGGGATCGGAGTGACTAGCTCTGACTGCAGCTCCAGTTCTCCAACGCTATCGGCAGATATTGTGGTATGCGAGTCGATGAGTTTCGCGGTGTAGATCAGGGTATCTCTACCGTTCTCTTTCGTGGAGCTGAAAGTGAGGATACTAGATAGAGGCACATGAGATAAAATTGAGAATGTCGTTGCCGTCGAGACAAGGTCAGAACTCACCGCCCAGACTTTGAGACGATGACGCTAGCATATTTGAAGTCGTCGTGTGTCAGTCGCTCGATTCGACCTTTTCCGGGTCGGTTGTCCAATTCGCCTTCGATAGGAGGAAAAGTTCCAGCGGGAGAATCTTCCCAGTACCGCCTTCAGGCAAGTCAGTCTCTGTGGGCACCGTTGTGAGTATACGCCAACATACCACAACTGACTCATTTCCCGTCCGTCGATATCCATTACCATGATTGCACCACCAGCTCTCCACGTCCCTCGCCAGTCCTCTCCTGGGATGGGCTTGAACTCTGTGATTGTCCGACCAGTACCGATGTCGAAATGGGTGATACGCTCGAGATCGTGCTTGGAAGTGTCTTTGGGGATGCGATAGATCTGTTCGACGGTGGCATCCTGAGGACGATGACCTATGAATATGCCTGCTTCCTCGGCCTCCCCATCGAGCCCCTGCTCAAACCCGAAGAGAGAGAATCCTAGAGAGAACAGAGCGTAAGCGGACAAAACGACAGCTGAAGGGACTGCAAACCTCGGGCTGCGTCTTCGTATTGCTTCATACCGTCGAAGAGACGCTGGGGAACGGGTTCGACGCCGAGAGTCTTGACTTTCCGGGCGGGGCGCTCATAGGCAGGGCCGTCCTGGCTTGTCTGCACTGTATCGATGGATGGAATCAACATGATGGTGGACTGCGGGTCACATTCGAGCGTTACCCGTGGTGTTTATAGAGGTCCCTATCTCTGTGGCCAGCGATAGCGAATGACTCGGCCTGCGATGTTGGACACGATGCTGGATGCAGCCTAGACGACGGCAGGCACGATCATGGGGTATCCGAGCTCAACAAGCTAATATGTATATTTAGCATGGCGTTCCGTACGTTTGAACGACTAATCCACTCACTAAATTGCTATCGCGATGCTTACAAAGTTACATGGCAAGGAGGAAGGGCCTCCAGCGCCCGAAGAGCGATGACGAGCGATGTATATATCGTCAAGCACAATATGGCGCAGAGAATACGTGCTACGACGTAGAAGCCGTCCGTTCAAAAGATTACCAACCTTCCCATGAGTCTCGTGAGAATCACGATCCTTCGAGGGTTACAGTGGTTAGGAGACATATTAGTGGTACGCATAACTTGAACATTTATTGGCTGGCACAGCTATTTGGGCGATCATGAGCTCAACCATTACTAGTCAAAGAGAAGATCTGTCGCTCATATGCAAAGCAAAGAAACGATATTATAGGTGAATAATCAGGATGAGTAGGGGTGGAACTTATGGGAAAATCTGTGCCGCTTTGCCCACGCTGTGGATGGAAATTGCCGATAAATTTCATGGGGCGCTGGGGCACCAGTGGCACCTTCCGACTTATGTAAAATTTGCCACAACTACCACCGTCTCAAGCTCCCAGCGCTCTATGATCCAAACATATGGCCAAACTACCGATTGCCGAGCACTGGAATGTCTTAGAGACTGGAACCATACAAGTCTAGTCAGCATCGGAACTATGTCACAATTCTGTCCGATTGAGAGTTCTTGGCAAGAATCCCAACCTCTCAGGCTCCTCTTACTTGGGTTGTATTTGGTTTTGAGGCTTTAATCATGACCGCCTACGTCTGTTCACGGTCTTTCATTTGTCTGTGCTTGTTTTCTTCTGTCTTCTATTTCTCCGTCTCGACCATGGATACTACTTATGCCCGCTGCCTTCAGGTGGCGATTGGTAGGGACAAACGTACCCTCGTGTCTTCTCCCATGTTCATTCGCAAAGGTCAACCTCATCGGAAGACTACAGTGTGCCGTGGATAACTCGAAACACCGGTAAGTCTATACAGCTTCCAAACGACTCGAGCATTTCTGATGGTCTTTTGGAATACTGACCGTCTATTCTTGTGGTCGAATTATGCTCAGTGCTCCTCAGAATTTTTGATGTGGCCGAAGATACATGTTCGATTTTACATTTTCCGTAAACATTCTCTGTGTTTGAAGTGGTGTCTGGCTCTTTTTTCTCACAGACGGCGAGTCATTCATGATGTGTGATTGACAGCTTGCACGGAGACGACAGAGACCGTCCATTGAGCCGGGTCTCGTGGGAAGGCCCTCAGCAGTTGAACGAACCCTTGAGCGACTCCCCTTCTTCCTGCCATCGACCCCTCGTCCTGAAAACAATTTTGCCTCAAGCCTAAATGTAAGTACGCCGAAATGTCCGGGGACCATGGTCCATTTATTAGCCTCCGATTCCAGTCTAATCGACTATCGGCCACCATTCGAGTTATTTTACGACGACGCATCCAAGATCATACAACCAAGCTGTCCCGCACGCGGGATTATAGACGAGATTCTTCTTGATAAAGAGGCTGAAGCTATTGAAGGCCACCCAAACGGCGACAATACACATCTATGTCCTTCCATTTCTACGAGCGCTTGGGTGAGACTTTTTCACTCGAGTCCTTGCGAAAGCCTGATCCATAGGTATATAAACCTGTCGTTCTGTTTGGTGTCTCCCCATCTGCATTTCAGAGTTTTCCTTGCTCAACCCCGGATGGCCCAAATCTCTCGCCTCTACGCCACAGTCCTCCTTGCGGTCCTTCTGTCTGTCAATGGTGTAACAGCTTTCAGTTTCCGCTTCTGTGAATACTTCTTCAATATTGTAGACCTTTCTCCGCCTCTCATCGATACCTTTTAGATTCGGAAAGTGCCTGCGACCACAATGATCCAGCCTCCAGTACTTCACCTCCCATCGACGATGCAGCGTTAGTCTTCAATTATCATTTCATTTTGGTTCCCATCGGACCCTTCAGCTCTGACCATCGCCGTCGCAGTGAAACAGGATTCGTAGGCAACTGCTACAGCGCACCCATCGGGACCGAGTGGATCGCCCTAGAGAACACGGATACATTTGTTTCCAATAGTGCGTCTTCTCTTCGCGCCGGAGTTCGAAGACGAGCACGACTCTTGACTTATGCCGCCTTGCAGCGGGGCTGGTCACATATTGCGATATTGACTGTGCAGGTGGAGCGTCTGCGTTCCAGAAGGGAACAACCTGCTTCTCTCCTCCTCCTGGGTACGTTCAATTGCTCCTGCATTGCCTGCGCAGCTGATCGATGGCAGAAACGCGTCCGTTCCCAGCTGTGCCATCGGATCTTTGTACGTCTCTTCAAAACTATATCCTCCGTATTACTCACATATTCTTTTACAGCATGGGATTCGAGTGAGAGGGATACCACGACGCTAGGGGAAGAGATGTTTGTTGTCGAGCTCCCTCTCTGTTGGTCAAGACGGTAGAAATCTCTGTGTATTTATCCAGGGACGTATAATTGAGATCACGATTCTTGTTTATTATGATGCTCTGTACTAAATCTGAGCAGCTCGACATACGCTACGTACAACGTTCGATGTTGGTCCTACGAGTGCATCACCAACCCTCTCAAAACAACTTGGACCCGCCTTTCCAAGTTGAAAGTGCCCCTTAGCCAGTATTTCTTCCTCCGTCGACAGAGATCTGGTTCCCACAGATCAGTTTGCTAGCGGTATAAGCGAGTGTTCGAAAAGTACTCACAATCTGTCCTGTTGTAAGAAGGGAGAAGTAGCAGCCAGTCAGTCAGTATGTTTATGTGGCCGCGATTCGACCTCGCACCTGTGATAAAACTCGAGTCCTCAGACGCCAGGAAAGACACTAAAGCCGCAACTTCATTCGATTTTCCGATCCTCCCAAGGGCGGCCGCACTCTCTTCCTATGGTCATACGAGGCGTATACATGAAGTCAATTATGTGAGTATACACTGCAAACAGAGGAATAGACTTACGGTGTTTATGAAGATAGACGGATCGCCTATTTCATTGGCGACAGTCTGAGCTTGAAGGTTCCGTCAGCTCCGGATTAAATGAGCGTAAAATCAGTGTCGCGATGCTCACTCATGTCTGTGTCGACACAACCGCTATTTTTTCAACGCAGATAAACAGTGAGGTGTAAAATGGATTCAGTGGAGAGCGTGGCGTGTGAGCTGAGTATATAGACATGACGTACGGAGCATATGCGTTCACGGTGATCCCGTGCTTTCCAAGGTCCAATGCTACCGTTTACGAAGAGAATTTACGCCTTCCCCAAAGTATAAGGGAGGATGAATGCTCACCTACGGCCTGCGTCAGTCCACGAACAGCAAACTTGCTCGCTGTGTATGTACTTCCCATGGGCATGCCTTGTTTGCCGGCAAGGGAGGATGCGCCTATGATCCTCCCTCCGCGCCGTTGTTTAATCATTTGACGTGCAGCATGCTGATAGCCTGTGAAGAGACCCGCTTTAGACCCATCTTGCAGGAGATTCTGCATGTGCACTCACAAAGGAAGATCCCTCTGGCATTGACGGACATGATTCTATCGAATGTATCTACAGAAGCTAGTACAATGATTTCAGACAAAATAGACTTGTCAGAGAGTAATAGTAGTGTTGCCCTTACTGTCTACAAATGTTTTGACCGGGGGAAAGATCCCAGCATTTGCTACCATCTGTTCATCGAGGATCACTATTGGTGAGTGGCAGATTGAAGCCGAAAAAAGATGAGAACCTACCACATCCAAACTACCCAGCTGGTCCACTACTTCCTCTACCATCCGTTTCACATCTTCCTCGGAAGAAACGTCCCCTACGGCGATAATACAATTCTGTCCCCCCGTACCAGAGCGGTACAGTTCACGAATCTCTTCCTCGATGTCTGTAAGTTCTTCTTTCCGGGAAGGGATATCGTTGATAGCGACGGACATTCCATCTTTTGCCAGTTGGAGGGCTATAGAACGTCCAATCCCTTTGATAGAAGACAATGAGCCAACTGTAGTTGAAAAACATTTGTGACACATACCTCGAGCAGCGACGCCGGTCACGAAGGCTACACGTGGTTTCGTTGATGACATGGAGAAGTTATTAATGAAGCGGAGACGAAGAGCAGGGACGTGAGGATGAGATGTGCCAGAACGACAGCTGATGGCTATAGTGTGTTATACACCTTCTATGCAGAGCTTTAAGGAACGCGATAGTTACCATGAAGGAGACCGCGGCATGCACAACCCCATAACTGAGGAGATGAAATCGGTGTAATCGCCTGAGTTCTAACCATTCTAGGTTTGCACACAAGCTTCACCACATTAAAATTGATCTGTACGGTCACCGGAGTGTCAGGATCTTCCGAGTCTGCGGATGATTAAGAGACGAAACATCCCAGTAAGTCCCATGAGGTCACAGATTTCTGGGTTACTCAGTAGTAGCCCAAACGCCAAAGCGTTAAGATCGTTCCTATCTCGAGAGTGATAGCTCATACGTGATCACAAGCCTCCAAGGAGGAAATGATCAGGCCCGCTTCCAGACAGCAGGTGTCTATGCAAGTAACAATCTAGGGCGATCTCGAAGAGTTAGTGTACTGGTACTTGAATGGCCGGCAGACGAAGAACGTTATTGAAGGCCTTAGTACTGCTAAGAGTTGGACTGACGAAAATCAACATAAAATAGATAAATAAAGCAGCAAAAGTTAAGGCGTACAGATCATTGAACATGAACCCCATTCTTCTCTTGGCATCGCTCAGCGGCGGACGCGCCTAATGGGGTACACAACTTCGCTTTGCTGGTTTTAGTCGCGCCTTGTCATTCTGAGCGGCCTGAGTTTCGGGTTAGCAGAGGCGTCAGATGCTATCAGACGGCTTTGCATTTTACTGATGGTCTGCACAGTCCGATCTGCAAAACTTGAATGACCTCTATCTCAACTTGGGCAGATGACCACCCTCAGTGAGATAAGTAAACCCGGTCAAAGCTGTGTATACTTGTCTATCGGTGAGGAGATGGTCGTACTTGGAATCATGGTAGAGATACAAGCGCATGGCAGCATTGGGAATACTGACGAACCATGGCCGTGGCGCTACGAACCTGTTTCAAGTTGAGATCTAAATTCTCGGCACTATCCGGAGCGCCATGAGCGGCAAGGACCTGACCCACCCAACCCCCGGGCCCGATCTCGTCTCCACTGACATCCTCAGGCCTTTGACAGCTGATACCCTCGAGCTCAATTCTTCGTCATTCAATATCTAGGTGTGCTCTATAACAGAATTACAGCACGGACGTACTTTGGAAAGGATTGATCAGTCTCGTCATTGAGTTACAGTGGCCACAATGTGGCGGCAAGGCTTCAAGTTCTCACAGTACTACTAGAATCACATCTCCGTTTCTTGGTGAGTGAGCGATGTTTTGCCGTCCAGTGCTACTATCAGTCGCTGGAGCTACATATGGATATCAGGTAGATCCGTGCCCTTCGGAACCGTCATCTTTCTTTGTAGGCCATACTCTTCGCATCGTGTATCGCAAAGAACATCGGAAACTGTCTCTAAAAAACTACGACGAACTATTTTCCCATTGCAAGTCTAAACCATCGAGAGAGAGGCTACACGATAGGTTTTTACCTTCCTCAGTGAGTAGTTTTAGGTGCCGTCTCAGTTAATGTATAGGCTGCAATTCCTGTCCTGATGGCTGACATAGCGATTGTGCAGGCATCGGAGTTTGCAGCCAATGACACGCTTGTCCTAATACTAATAGAGAAGCCATTTCTGGAATTGAAGCCGTCTATGACACATGAAGAGGTATGTACTCATCGGATTGGCAACATCAAATAGAGAGTTATACTGTCAATCATGAACCACGACAGACTCCACTTCCTTCCCTATCGTCTTATGCGATGCCCGCCAACGGTCGGAGCGCTGTCTCAGGTATGGGTATGGTTCGTCCACCGACATCCTTCTGACTTGGAGGACATACTGATCAACACGTGGACACAATGTCAGATCCTGCGGATACCCATCGTGTTGTGTCCCCTACTGAGTGATCTCCGACGGAATTAGACGCAACGTGGATATTTACTGGGTGTCAGTGAGAGCTGTAGTGATATTGGACTGATAGATAGTCCGCTCCGGAGAGTGTCAGAACCACCCCTGATGTCTGTACAAGCAGAGACATTCCTTTTGCGAAGGCCATCTGCCTTATGAACTCCCACTGATCAGCAGGTTCCATGAGCGTCAGGACCGGCACCTTGTACTATCAGGACACAAGGAACTCAGACCATATGTGAGGCCGTAGCGTATATGTCCTTCGAGGTAAGACTACAACCAAAGGCTGCGTACCCGGGTAGCACCAATCAAGTATTGAATCCGATATGTTCGTGCCTTTCCTTATTGTTCCGCCAGTAAATATCTTGCTTTTGCGTAGGACTCTGGAGGCGTATATAACATGTTGAGAGGATAACCTCGAAGAGTATACTTTTCTTCCGCCACCAATGGCTCTACTCTTGTACATCACTTGCGCTTTGGGCGTCGCCTTGATTGTTAGCAGGCTACTTCACAAACATCGCACTCGTGGAATGCCGTACCCACCTGGCCCTCCAGGACTTCCCATCCTGGAGAATATTCTCGATATTCCGAAAGAGAAAGAATACAAAATCTATGCCCAGTGGGGAAAGCAATATGGTATGTTTCTCTACATGTTATCTCCACACTGAAATCCATACTGATATATCCATGATAGGCGATGTTTGCTCTGTATCTACCTTTGGCACCAGACTTATCATTCTAAACTCTCCCGAAGCCGTGTCCGATTTGATGGACAAGCGGAGCGCGATTTACTCCAATAGGCCCGCGTACACAATGGCCGGAAACCTTTGTGGGTGGAACGACGTCCTTGTTCTCCTACCTTACGCCGCTCGTCTCCGTTCGTACCGCACGATGGTGCATAAGATGATTGGGACCAAAAGTGCTCTCCAGGAGTAAGGCTTTCTCACGTATTACACTTCCTCATCGCTCGACTGAAAAATATGAACTATTTTTGTGCAGGTTCGATGGCTTCATGGAACGAGAGGCTATCCTTTGCGCACGTCGTTTGTTGGAAGATCCAAATGATTTCATTGGGCCCATACGCAAGTCAGTGCTCACTCTCAATCAAAGTTTCGATTTGATCCTAACCAGGTCGATGGCAGGGGTGTTGGCGCCATTATATTGATGATATCGCACGGGTATAATGTCAAGAATGAACACGATGCTCTGGTCAGAGCTGCGGATGACGCTACCGACCAAATCGGCATTCTTCTGACACCGGGAACATTTGTGGTCGATCTTATTCCCATGCGTATGGGCTTTCTTCTGAATGTTGTGCACTTTACTTATCTTGCTTGTGTAGTACGCTTCCTTCCCCGATGGGTGCCGTTTCACCTGAAGGCGCAACGCTGGAAGGCTCTCTTGCATAAGATGACCGACGACTCATACAGCTTTGCTAAAGCTGCTATGGTAATGCCTGCATCCCTAAAGGATTTTTTCGGCTCACATATGATAACTCTAGATCGAAGGAAGAAAGCTGCCAAACCTCGTGAGCAGGTTCATGGATGGCCGTCAAGTCAGCAAGGAAGAAGAGAGCAACATCAAATGGGCCGCGTCCAGCTTATATTCAGGAGGCGCTGACACGGTGAGTGTTCTCTCCAAGTAACAGACAGCGGATGCTGAACTTATGCAATATAGCCCGTCTCCGCGATGCATTCGTTCATCCTCGCAATGGTTCTGTATCCTGAGGTACAAGCGAAAGCCCAGGCCGAAATCGATAGAATCGTCGGAACGGACAGGCTTCCGACGTTGGCCGACAAAGAGAGCTTGACCTACATCGTCTGTCTCATGAAAGAAGTTCTGCGTTGGGGGGTATGTCGACCTATACTGTATTCTCATCCACTAACTTATACGAATAATATCTCCTAGCACACCTCGCCTTTAGGTACGCAGCGAAAACGATCACCCTTTCGAAAGCCGTTACTGAAAGATGCCTTCTTCTCATAGGTGCACCTCATTGTGTGACTCGTGACGATGTCTATAACGGGTTCTTCATTCCAAAGGGATCAGTTGTAATTGCCAATATTTGGTGAGCGTTAGTCCGAGATGAGGCTTCCACACCGTCCGCTGACATGCTTCTCTAGGCATTTTCTTCACGACCCGGACGTGTATCCTGACCCTCATACTTTCGACCCCGAAAGGCACATATCCTCAAAAGATAAACCTGCGCAGCGTGATCCCTACGATGTGTGCTTTGGAATCGGGCGCAGGTGAGCAAGACATCATCAATCTTTATCTAGATCACTAGAACTGAAGTTCGGATTACCTTAACAAAGGACCTGTCCTGGTACGAACGATAGCGACATAAATTATCTTTGCGAGGATGCTAACACTATAATCATCTAGGAACTCAACTATCGGACTCGATGCTTTTCATCTTCATGGTCACTCTTCTGGCCACGTACAATATTAATAAAGTCAAGACTAGCGATGGAGTCGGCGAACCGAAGTACGACTTCACGAGTGGCGTTCTCATGTAAGCTATCCAAGCCTTCTTGTCTGTGCTCAGTGACCAGGGGCTCAATATGTTCTTCGACAGTCGCCCAAAGGCTTTCCGTGCGGCCTTGACACCGCGCTCGGCGGCCGCTCGAGCACTTCTCAACGAAGAGGAAGTGTAGTGCTTCACGACAAAGTGCCGCACTCAGCGTATTCGTTGGATCCATTGCTATTTCCGTGTACAAGTACAGTCAGGATGTCGATTCCTATGTGGTTTTATATCGATCCCGCTTATGCGAAGATTGTTTCTAGACGTATATTTTGTCTTCCTATGGATGGATCAGTCCGATTATGTAGGATATCGAGTGCATAGCCAGCCGTCCCATGACCAGAATTTCTCTCTAGACGTCACATTGATTGAGGGCAATTGTTGTCCAAGAACACGAGGCATAATGTCCAGGGGAGTAAATCCCCGCAACAAAACAATGAAGACAACTCCCTGACTATGAAACCGGATGTGCGCCATGCGGAGGACTCGATGTGATACAGACTTGAACGACGTGATAGGATCGATGTGAATCTCATGGGAGTTCCGGCTGCCTCTCTGTAAGTGGTTCGAACCAGCGCAGACTTGCAGTTCGCGAGAACTTCGAGGACACGGCACGACACTGACTCGACCTTCCTTTTTAAGTTATGTGTCTTTGTTGGGTATTTTTAGACTTGAAGGTGGCGTGGGCGCTTGTGGCCCTGCCCTCAGCCTGGGACAAGTCCTGACAAGTCCAAGCCTTGTAGATCTTCGGCCTCATCATAATATCTGCGGAAAGAGACACCCACGGAGTCACCTGTCGGGGATTATATATAGACAAACACCCCATCTTGGTACAGCAGAAACCATCTTCACCTACACAGCGCATCCACATTTCGTCTCCTCTACGTGCTGTGACAAGAAACCCTCCATCAACCTGAAGCGCAACCAAGACGTACAAACAAGTCACCCTCCGAAGCACCAACGCATTGCACCAACACAACCAACGTTCGAGGCGAGTATACAACAGATGAATAAGATATGGATCCGGGATGGGTCGGGGATGGCTAAAGGCTACAATGTTGCTGCAGTGCATTGTCCGTGCAAGAGGGGATAAATAGATCCAAGAGAAAAAGGCTGGGAAGGATTGAGATGCAGGAGATATATGCGTATAGTCGAATGGAAACCAAACGAATGAGAAAGAACGGACAGGGGCCAAAGAGCTGAGTGTCTCTTGTAGGCGGATGTGCGGCGGTGCGACATATTACAGCGTGACATGGACGGTGAACCATGGGAACGGGGACGAGATAAGTTTGCCATGGTAAGGGTGAGCGAGTGCGAATGGAGCATAGAGTATCGTCCACAAGCGCCTACGAGCTTCACCTTCGTCCACGGACGACGAGGCCAGCATCCCAGGTAGAAACATTCCAGCCATCTTCGACAAGCGCAGACCGTACGGCAGGACCCAAGACTCCAACACGGCCGACAGAGTGATTTCCCCGTCCGGTGATGAATTTCAGCGGACGAGCTGCATTGGAAGTGGTCCAATCCCAGTCAAGGGGGAAGCACGAGCAGGTACAAGAGCACGAGGTAGCCGAGAGGAACAAGGTCGGCGAAGAGTAAGAAGAAGAATAGACAGAATCGGCAGAAGCAAGACCAGAGGGAGACAAGTTTCGAGATGTTAGCAAAGAAAAGCCTAGGACGAATGACAGGATGGACCAACGAACCGGACGTAGCGCCATGCTCAGCAAGGATCTCTTTCGCGATCGTCACGGCCTCAGAAACAATAGTCCCGTGTAGATCCACAGTTGTCCCATTATCCGCAGTGACCCTACGCGGTACACAATGATTAGATCAGCAATTGCAATGCCCCACGCATAGAGGGGAAGAAGGGAAAATGGGATGGATGATGATAAAACGTACCTAGTACCCTCGACCTTGTCCCTCGCTGCACCCAACGCCTCCTTCTTCACCTGCTCTTGGAGCTCCCTCGCCTGCTCCGCATAAAACATCGCGACCTCGCCACCCCTATTCTTCACATTTCCACCCATCCAAGCTCTTCCAGCCCTCACAATCGCATCGTGTCTCTTCTGCTTCAGGTCGTCCATCGTATCCATCCTCCTCTTCTGCTTTTGTGCCTCTTTTGGATCGATACGTGCCAGCCCGAATGTCGCTGCAGGCCCAGCAGAAGAGGGTTCGCCCGCAGAGTTCGCCGCAAGCTTTCGTAACTTCTTCGCGGAGACGCCGTTCAACGGGTTATAAGCAGGAATATTAGCCGCAAGGGGATTAGGTCCAGGAGGAAGTTTCTTCAGCGGGATCGTCGACCACGGGTTCACGGGCGGAACAACCTTCGCCTCCTTCCCTTGTTTCGTCGCCGCATGCTGTTTTAGGTCCGGGATACTCGGTGGCCTAGTGGGCAATTGCTGCAGGTGCTTTGACTTGCTGAGTGCGCTCGCTGGCTGTTGGGGCTTGCCGGTGACTAGGGGCGAGGTGGGACCGTTGTTGTAGCCTGGAGTGGTGGGGCTGAGCGTCCATTCGGCTTCGGCTTGTTGGTCGAGTTCGCAGAGGAGCCAGGGAATGTCGAGGCTCGCACCTGGATCGGCGTTCGTGGCGCGTATGGCGAGGAGTGCATCCGTGAATAGCTGGGATTGCGTCGAGGACGAAAGTGTGTCGAAGGAGGGGTTGGAACGGATAATACCGGTCAGGTTGAACAACAAGATGGTGGCCTCCGGATTTAGGTCGTGGTCGCCTTCGCCAGAAGATGCAGAGACCTTGCAATCGGTGTGAGCAATAGTCGAGAGTGCGGTACGGATGGCCATGGCCGGTGTGGCGAGGGCGCTGCTATCCGATGCGACACCTTGCTTATGGAAGAATGATTGGAAGAACGAAGGCTGGTGCGATGGGACGAGTGAGGATAAGTGTGATGAAAGTGATGAGAGTTGGGTCCAGGGATCCGGAGCTGGCTTGATGCGACTGGTACTGGCCCCGATCGATATGGTAGGACGAATATGGTGCTGTTGGCGGACATCATTCAGAGAGAGCTTCACGCCCTTGTTCTTCTTGCCTTTCTTCTTCTGCTGCGTCACGTCCCAACCTGGGCTCTTCGCGGGCATTGTCTCGGGGGCGACGTAGGGCACGTCATCCTCCAGAGCATCCAGTCCTCGTTCCTCCAGATCCTTCAGATCCTCCTTTGTAAGAAGCCCCTCAATCACCCCTACCAGATCAAACTCAACGCCAGATCCATCGGCTTCGCCGTCTTGAGAGGAAGAAGGGGAGGTGTATCCGACGTCCGTGAGGGCACGCCTGAGTCGACTGACAGGAATGTGAGGAAAAGCCGCGCGGAGGAAACCAAGCGGCGAAGAAGCATCTGAGGCTCCAAAGGCGCTGCTGCCTTCAGAAGGAGGTGAGGAGCGTGTAGTAGTCGATTTAGAAGCCGCGGAGTAGCCTGAAGTGGGCGAAGTCGTGGCTGAAGCTGGCAAGCTATCGTCGAGGGTGCTACTACGCGCGCTGTCGTCATCGATTATACGAGCATCCTTGGCAAAAGCGGCGGCGAGATCGTCTTGGTCAGCTTGATTGGCGAGGAGAGAGAGGGTCTGACGAAGCGTATCGATTTGCTCTTGGGATGGTGGATCGGCGTCGAGATAGAGGTCGGCTATGAGTGCCGCCAGAAGTGTCGTGTCCAGCGGCGGACAGTATTCTTCCTGTAATCCAAGGAAATATTAGAATGAGCTATATACAGAGCAGTTGAGGGTGGCGGGAGGGCGTAAGCGCCGGGAGAGGGCTGTGAGGCGTCACAAATGGCATGGCGTTGAGTACGACTACCATCGATCCCAGCATAGGACCACGAGGAATATACCGCTAACGGAGACCACATATCCCAACTTGACCCATAGAACCGTTCGACGAGACATAATTTTTTTGCGTTCAGAGGGATGTCATCCAACCATCGCCACCTCAACTTTTATTGAGGGTCGTGATTGATCACCTGCGTCAAGATATGACTTTCCTCAACAAACCGCCCATCATTCTCCGCGACAAACAATGATCCCAATTCTCATGACACACTGAGGTTGGTAGATGTACAGATGTACGAGGACGCACCTGGAGCTTCTCCTGAAGTTCAGACTTCGTGTACGCGATCATCTCCTGCTATATTTCGCAGAAATGTAATGTATTGTTGGGTTTGAGTAGTTTCCTTGGTGTCTTGAGAAGCGATGTGATGTTGGAAGAGGGCGGAAGAGTAGTTTGTGATCGTCTAGCAGTTTGTGTTAGGCTGAGCGAGGAGGTGGCGGCATCTGCCGAACTCTGCCGAACTCCCATGAGCCAATTTATATATTCGCACGGTCAAAGGCATCAAAGCGCTCCACGTTCTGTCGAAATATTCATCCCAACGACATGCTATTCATTTAGAGTTCTATCGCGCTCCCGGTATGTTCTTTGCCCTTTGTTTACCCCGTACGTGAAATTTTCTTTCCTCTCAGCTCGAGCAATTTTTTGTGGTATGTTTGTGTGAGGTCTGCTCACAAGAACATCAAATCATTCACTGACAAAATCCAGGAGCACCATACATTTAAATAGGAACAAGATATTTAGTGCATCACTCATCCTAACTTTAGTCCATGGCCTGAATGTACACGTACCAGCCACATCGGCCAGTCTCTCCACATCTCATACACCCAGATGTATGAACGGAACCCACCTGATGAACTGTTCCTCTCCCACCCCTTCACGAAGACGACCTACGGCACGATGAAGGGCATACGCCGCTTGTTCGCCTCCAACCCGATCCCCACCATCCGAAGCCTTCAGCATATACGCATAAACCTGCTCGGCGATAACCGGTGCGTCCTCATCTCCTATTGACCACATCGTTCCAAACACAGTCCGAAAGCCTGCCATGAGCATTCCTGCCGCGAGATGAATCGCTTCCTCGGGTCGTCGCTCGTCGCCCGTCGCTGTCTGGCACGCAGAAAGAAACGCGACCTCGGCAGATGAAAATCTCTTTGACATGATCGTTGCGAGGTCGAGGTAGCCGTCGTGAAGAGCGAATGAACTCTTCAAAGGGTCGTCCGAACGTTGGATACCATGGCACGCCAGGTGGCACCAGGAGCAGTTTGACATTTCCCCTAAAACTGCTTCGACTGTGGCTTCCTCTGCATTGAGCCACTTGAAGTCGCGTTCCCCGACGTGTTGTTTCAGCGCTTCTATCTCTGTGACAGTGGACTGGAGTGGACTGTGGTGCGGCGTGTTAGGTTGAGAGATTGCTAAGATTCGTGCGGACGGTGCGGATGGTCTTTGGGATGCCTCGACAAGAGCTGTGAGCGTGGGTGTGTACGATGATACGACATGTCGGAATACTCTCGGTCCGTCTGCCTTGTCGTACAGTCCCGCTGCATGAAGTGGAAGAAACGCAAGAGGCCCCGTCACACACCAAGTGATGTGTGGCAAGCTGATATCCGGTACTGCAGGTGTCTGATCGAGCCAAAGATTAGTTCGGATATAAAGGTCATATTCTTCCTGAATTCACTTGCCTGGAGTTCAAGAGCTTCAATAATTGGCTGCACAATGCTGGTCCATAAAGTGGCCAAGATGCGAATCATGTTCGGTTTCCTTCCCTTGTCCTTCTTGCCCTCCTTCCCCAGATGCCGTGCGTCTTCATGACACTCTCGGAAACGGACACCGTTTGACTCGAGAATCTTTGAAAAGTCCTTGTGGAGCTGTTGCGCAATCTCGAACGTCAAAGAAGGGAGAAAGACGTGAGTAGGGGCTGAAGACGAGTCTCGGAGAACGACAGCGTCGCAGCGTGATGTGTGAACGTTGACCATGGCCACGGCGCCGAACGCGGCAGCAGACTGGAGCTCAGACAGTCGCTTTGTCTGTAAAAATTGCTCAAAGCCTGGGAGCTGACGGACGTTCTCCAAGAGCGTTTCGTATCTCTCAGCCGTCCTCCTATGAGCCTGAGCTTTTCTCTCGAGTGCCCCCTTGTTTGTATCCCCGGATAATGGGATAAACATCTCTGAAGGCTGTGTGTCCGCGGCCTGTTCAAGGTTCTTTGAGACCTGCATGAGTTCGTCGGCAAGGCCTGGATGTGCATTGCGCAAATTGTCCATCGGGCTTCGTAGACGACGAATCTGACCCCATACGATAGATCTCCCCTGTTCGAGCCACTCGATCGCAAGATCGTATCTTTGAAGCTGAAAAGCTACTGAAGCTGCGTTGTTGACCACATCGCCTAATGATAGGAGGCTTTCGAGACGGGACGATATACCTGTCCCTAACCAGACTACCCGTGGGATCAAGGCTAGAATAGCCTTGTGAGCGTCAAGTGAAGACTCGCCATAACGCTGAGAGTAACACCCGGCCCAAGACTTTGCGGCATCGAGCAACTGCGATGCAGGTCCTGTTCGAGATAACGCGATCTTGGAATAGAGGCGAATCGCTCCGTCGAGCCTAGCGACATCTTCTGTGACATAGGAGACCTTTGACCATATTGCGGTCGCGAGGCCTATGGAACAGGTCACTTCCATGGCGTGTCCATCGGGGATGAGTTGGACTGCCCTTGTCCGCACAGCAATAGCTTCTTGGATATCATCGACCTTTTTCGCGGTCAAAAACCGTGTCATCAAGGCGTTACCAAGGTTGTTCAGCCACCCAGCTTGGCGAACACCTCCGTCTTGTGTCAGCTCGACAGCTTTTCTATGGTCAGAAATGGCACGGTCTGCGTCTGTCGCGTCGTTGATGTATATGAATCGTCTCGAGTATGCGATGCCACGATAGCTCAGGTAGGATGCCGTGTCTGCATGCTCGCTAGGAAGAAGATCTATCGCTTGCGTTATTGCGTCGATCTCCTTCTCGTTGTCGGCGTGGCTTTGAAGGTGTGTAGATCGACGGCCTAGTGAATGAGCGAGGTTAAATAATATCACGCGCTTCAAGGCATGCCCGTCGGGGATGAGTCGTAAGGCTTGGTCTTGAGCAGCTATAGCCTCGTCTAAATCGCCAATGTTTCCGAGACGATCGTAGCGATGGCCGAATGCGGCGGCAAGGGTATTGAGCATGGCGAATTTATTCGCATGATCTTCCGGAGCAACTGTCACGGCTTGCAGCCCAGCAGAAATGGACTCGTCGAGATCTGAGAGGCTACCAAAGCTATCGAAACGGGTGAGGAGAGAGTTTCCGAGGTGTATTAACCGAGTGGCTTGGACTGCGTGGTTCTCCGAAGCGAGTGCGACTGCCTGTTTATGAGCGTGGATGCTATCCTCGATATCATCAAGGCTGCCCGAGCTCTCGAATCGACGAAGTAACATATTCCCAAGATTATTGAGCATAGGGCCATTGTCTATATGACCATCTGGGATGTGTGTCATGGCCTGCTTTTGCATCGAAATGGCCTGGGTTATGTCAGACATGTCACCTGCATGCTCGAAGCGCGCCACCAACGAGCTGCTCAGGCTACCCACCAAGGTAGGCCTCCGCTCGTCTTGATCTGAGACGAGAGAAATGGACCGTGACTGGAAAGAGATGGCCTCCTCCAGGTCAGAGATATTTTCCAGACGCTGGAAGCGAAGCACTAAAGCATTTCCATAGTTTTGGAGCATGCCAGGCTTGTCGGGATGCCCATCTGGTGTGAATACGAGGGCTTGCGATTTGGCGGTGATGGCTCTGTTAAGATCGGCTATATCTCTTAAGCGCTCGTATCGTCTCTGCAATGAGGACCCGAGATGGGTGAGGCACTTCGACAGGTCGGACGAGCGAGAGATGGGAGTATGCTTGACAGCGAGTGTGCTGACGAGAATTGCATTGTTGATATCTGGAAGATTTCCGAGGATTCGGAATCTTGTCTGTAGACAGATACTGAGGTGGCTCAGCAGAGTAGGTGTGATCGCGTATCCAGCCTGGGTGCCGAGCTCGCTCGCTTTCAGCATAGCTGATATGGCTTCGTTAAGATCGCTTATATTGCCTGTGAGCTCGAAGCGATCGAACAATGATTTTCCGAGAGCGTGAAGAGGGAGCAGGTTACCTGACTGGTCATGTTTGACTGCTTGTCTGCAAGTAACGATTGCCTCGTCCAGGTCGGATATGTTACCGGTAACCCTGAATCGTCTCAAGACCAGGTTGGTAAGATCATGGAGACATGCGACTCTGTCGGAGCTGTCGTTGAGCATCCTATCGACTAGGCCACGCTGAGTGTCTATGGCATGGTCAAGATCGGCAAGTTCGCCGTAATGCTCGAAAGAGACCTGTAAACGGGCCACCAGAAGGTTCGTGTATGTCCTCTGATCGTCGAGGAGAGATCGCTCCGCTGAAAGATCTGCAGCGACCTGATAGTAAGACAAGGCCTCTGTCAGGTCTTGTGAATGACCGAGAGATAAAAATCGCCGGAACAGGGCCTCTCCTAACGCGCCGAAGAACCTGTGATAGTTTTCGTGTGAGTCTGGCAGAGACGCAACCGCACTGCGGTACATCGCGATTTCTTCGGAGTCCTGGGCCACAAACAAAGAATTTTGTAGCAGACGTGAGTAGAGAAGCATATGGTCAGTGATCCGATATGGACGTCACGAAGGACCAAGTTGGACGCACTTCAACAATTCCCACCTCCTCAACGCTGCGTGAGCTCGTGTCGTTAGGGTGACCATCCTTTGGTAGGAAGAATGAGCAAAGAACTATTATATCGATATTCCAGAGCAACAAACCTGCATATCTTGCAAAGGTCTCGCATCTACGTCTGCGTCCTTGTTGGGAGACGAGGCCATATTTTGGCCCTGTATGGAACGATGGAATTTAGTTCGAAGAATATCACAGAAAAAAGAAAAAGGGTCATAGTACTGCTTGAAATCGAGTCCTCTCCAAGCCTACGATGAGCTCCTGGGATGATTTCTCCATGCCGATAAACTTCGAACCCTTTTAGATGCAGTGAGCATACCAGTACCGAGAACAGAAAAGAGGTAGCTAGTAAGCACGTACCTAAGGGAATTTAGAGGGTATTGAAAGGTCGCGGTAAGAAGAGGGTGGGCATTGGCGGCGCTTTATATACATGATTGTCAAGTGAGCTCGTGATGCGGTCGTGGTGGCGGTTGCCAGCAACACTGATCCTATTCGGAAGGTGGTCATGACGCGGTACTAAAGTATCCTCCAAAAAAAAAATCAGGGGAGGTCCTGGCCATATGGTATGTAGCCACGACCGCACCCCTATCGGCCCCCCTGCACATCAAGTCCGACTCCCTCTATGCCATAGACGGGCTCACAAAACACCTATCGGCATGGGAGGACAAAGGTTGGATCGGGGTCTCAAACTCCGAACTCTTTAGAGCTACAGCTGCCGCCCTCAGACGACGGGGTAGCATCACCACTTTCCAGTGGGTGAAGGGCCACAGCGGGATCGAAGGCAACGAGGGCGCAGACCGCCTTGCCAGAGCGGGCGCAGAAGCAGATGCAGACCCGGAACTAAGGATTCGCATCCCCCCGCGTTTCAATCTAACAGGCGCAAAGTTAACAACAGCCACCCAGGCGATACTGACCCAGGAGATTAAACGACGATACAAAAAACCCCAGAAGACGGCAACGACAGTCAACCTCGATATTGGGAGGTGGGCGGCGCACGACCATCTCCGTGCCGGCCTCCCCACAGACGCGAGAATCTTCAAATCCATCCGGAGCAAGAACCTCACGAAGAAGGAAAGAATTTTCCTGTATCGCACTGTACACAATGGTTACAAGATCGGAAAGTACTGGGAAAACATACCAGGCTACGAACTGCGTGGCCGCTGCTCCATGTGCGACGGTGATGAAGAATCCATGCGACACATTTTAGAAGAATGCCAAGCCCCAGAGCGAGAGAAAATATGGAGCCTGGCGAGAGAGCTCTGCGCGAAGAAAGGGATAGCTTGGCCCCAGATAACGATAGGCACGGTCTTAGCAAGTGGCCTAGCAAACTTCAAAACTGAACGGGGCAAACGGCGTCCAGGGGCGAACCGTTTCTTCCAGATCCTAGTAACGAGCTCTGCACACCTTATCTGGGTACTGAGGTGTGAAAGAAGGATCACAAAGGAAGACGGAGAGAACTTCTCAGAGCAGGAGATCCACGACAGGTGGGTAGCGCGCATGAACACCCGCCTAGACCTAGACAGAGTGGCTACGAACAGACGACGCTTCGGAACAAAAGCGCTGAGACCGAGTATCGTTCTCCAGACCTGGGGCGGTACGCTCTTGAACGAGAAAAATCTGCCGGAGGACTGGCTCCGGCAGTCTGGGGTTTTAGTGGGTATACTTCCTTGGAGACCAGGGAGGAACCGTTGATGACGGGCAAGTCCCACACTGCCTGCGACTAGCAGGCGTGCAAGTAGCATTTCCTCAGGGTGTTAGGTAAGTTCGCGGGGTGCAAATACCTGCCACCAAGCATATGACATCTCTTCGGGCTGGCTTAGGCGGCTGCGAGAGATGGAGCTCCACCAAAAAAAAAAAAAAAAAAAAGTATCCTCCAAAACGACCTCGAAACCTTTCTGAATCAGTTGCTCTTTGGATTAGCGGGTTAGCGTGTAGCGACAGCGTAGCTAACAAGCAGCCAGGGCTCGACTGACTCGGATGATGAGGATCAGGCCATCGGAAGTGCGAGTTGAGTGCGAGGGGAGTCTAAGTAGCGGGGGTTTGGTCAAGGTTTGGTCCTGGATGTGCGCGAGTTCAGCTGTCACTGATCTCGAAGCCAGTATAACATTAGTTACAGTAGGTGACTTTGTCCCGTGCAGCGCAAGGAGGGTGCCTTTGCAAAATTCAGAGTGAAAAATGACGACAAGCAAAGAATTGCTTTGAACAAGCGACCCGATTGTTCGGCTCGTGTCAAGGCAACTTCCGGAACAACGCATTGTCCCTTGTCGTCGAAAATATTAACACCCTGCCCCTCACTCTCATCTGGTTGCACCTTTCTCTGAACTGTACGCACTATCATGTCTAGTTTCAGCCGCCCCAGCTCGGTATCTCGGTCAGAAGAGCTCTGCGAACCTCCAAAGCCATGGTGCCTCCTGACTTCTGCTAGTACCCCGGCTCGTTCACTCTTCCAAGCTGCCTTGATGGAACCAGACACACTATCGACGAGTCTTGTAAGTAATTGCTCTCGTTCCGTCTCAATGCAGTACTATGGAATACATCTCCTGAAGCTTCATACTCGGGCATCCAGGAATTTCGCCTTGCCCATGTCTGGGGTCAAAGAGGATTCAAGATAGATCTGAAGTCTCCGAACAACATCTTCTATCGTGAGTAACTGCTGAGGGTCTTTCGTATATTCCACGACGTTAATCTACTTTATGAAAGTTCGAATCGATATACTACATAACTTTCGTGACAAAGATTGGACCTTCCTCCCGAACATCGATTGGACCTTCCTCCCGAACATATCCTCCGAGAGATACACATCAGCGTGACCACCGAATGCAGGCGGAGTCGGCCTAAATGGTCAAACTGGACAAAGGTGCGCTTTGCTTTTTGATGTCCAACGTGAGTCTCATTGGTTTCACAGCTCTATAAGCCCATGATCCGCGACTTCCAATTCATACCCATCAACTACCTGTCAGACTCGCATTCCATAGTGCGGCACCATCATCCCCTTTCATTCAACTGTGTCGAATATCAGGCACCTTTTGACACTATTCCTCCTCTGCGCTCCCACGTGCATCCATATCTTGCTATCTGCAATGCTGTTTCGAAGCTCGCTCGTAGTGACATGGACGACCTGCCTGTGCATGTTCACGAGCATGTCGCTCTCGCGCGGGAGATATGGGAGTGCTGGATGCGGGCGGCAGTTCCTAGACTGGCAATCAATGTGGGACACGTTCGAGCTTCTCATCAGGCCACTTTAGAAGGCACAGACCTCATTTCCTTTGTTCCAGAATCGTCGGCCTCAGCATCATCTACCCGATCCTCTTCGAAGGTCTTGTCCGATGATTCGTCAGTGTCAGCGACTTCCGCCGAATCTTGTCCCTTGCTTGAGCCACACCGCTACTGCGCACTCGATAGATTCTACCCCTTCTACGCAAAACCACGCCGTGATCCTCCTGTCCCTAGATCGGCCTTCATTCACGCTCAGTCTTTTGACTATCGTTCCGAACCTCAAACAGAATCCAACGCTTCTCAATCACGCAAACCTCTAGGCATCCCTTCTTCAGGCGAGTTCCACTGGTGGCCCGACGAACAAATCACTCGCTCTTGCGTCTCATCCGCTTCCGAGGGCATCTGGTATACGCGTTGTGGCAAGCGAGAGTTCATCCACGATGACTACATCTGCACTAAGAACGACGGTAGCGTCAATTCATACAACACGAATATCTCAAAACCAGACCCTTATCTAGCCTTCCGGCCTGATTATCACGAGTTGGCACAAGCGAAGAAGCTAAGAGATGCTGAGAGGCAAAGGAAGAGGGAGCAAGACCGTTTGCAAGAGGTTGATATCGTCACCTGGACACGGACTTGGATACGTGCCGTCAAACCCACAAAGCCGCTAGGACCCAAGGCAAACTCTACTTCGCGCAATTATTCTGCAGAGCCCTCAGCGCAGCCGCCTCACTCCTCGCACCACTCTTGGCGTCCAGATTCTTTGCCTCTCTGGCCTACGTGGACTCTAACCTACCGATCTGAACAGGTGGCGGTAGAGCTCAGCAAGCGGCCGAAAAAGATGCTAGCCCCAGCCTCAGAGGACCGACCAGCGAAGCGACGAAGGATATAAGCATCATGCGTAAGTTATGCTCTCTTTTCTATCCCCTTCCGTTACGTGTTCTCCCTGACGTTCAACTCTCCCTGTCCCCGAATTACAGCACTGCACCTCTGTACAGCACCTGCGCAGCATCAGACCGTATTATGTTGGTCCACTGTCTTGTTTTCGTTCTCCGATCCTTCGCACCGTGGCGGAACGCCCAATTGCAGAGTCATGTTCGTTATTCATCCATGAATAGTAAAATACAACGTAGCAGTGTCCTCTCCATTCATCGTACAAAGATAGTCGTTAGTATGTCTCAAAATGAAATGGTTAGTACGATGAGTATCAATCATGACCCCAAGTCCGCATAGCTTCCTGCATGATCCTCGCCGTGAACCCTTCTCCCCTCAGATCAAGCCCAATACCGCAAACATCATTCCAAATATAGCAGACCACAAGGTCCCTGCACTGTAATGACTGCGAGCAGCAGATGTGTCCCCAGAAGTCGAAGCTGATGACGACGGCGGCGATGCGACTGACGAAGCACTACCAGTCGTACCGCTTCCCGATAATGAGCTTCCGATAGGTGATCCGCTAAGTGCGGACACCGACAGCGGAAGAGTTGGTGTTGGTGTAGATGGCGTCGTCGCCACACCCAGCGTCGACGAAAACGAAAAGCTATTCCCATCCAATGTCAGACCGGCCGCGGCTGACGTCGTGGCAGCTTCTCCGATCCCGAACGGTGCTGACTGAGCCCAGAAAGACTGACGCGCGGTCGAGTTGCCTTGCGCCACTACATGGTCAAAGTCATCTCAGTTGATCGCACAGTTCGAGGGCCAAAGAAACTACTAACGCAAGATCACGTAGTCTCCTCCGGTGGAGATATTCGTCGGGACTGTGATGTTGACGCTCTGGCGATATCCGTCGAGGCCTACCGCGAGTGGGACTTCGATGTCGTGGCTGGTCGTACTCAAGACGATGTAAACCTGTCCGCTATGTGGAGCAATCCTAAAGTACAAAAACGAGGATAATGTGAGTACGACGACAGAGTATACAGAGACAGATGAGGTGCTGACCAAGTCACATTGTATGTCTGACCTGTAAACCAGGTCACCGAGGAATCCGGCCATGTTACATTGTACGGACCAGATTGTCGACTTGACAGTCGTTCACTTCTAGAGCCAAGAGAGCGACCAAGGAGAGCTTGAACGCCTCCTGTCACGAGAAAGAGTGACAAGAGGAGAAATGTATGAGGCTGCATCATCAGCATCGTCGTGACCGTTGACAAAGCTGTAGACGACGTCCATGCATTTATACCTGCAGTGATCAATGAGTTAGCTCCATGATGACCTCATCACGTAGAATAGAGCGTATCGTGGATTGATCGAAGTGTGGTCCCGACTACAAATAGGCCTCAAACCCAGCAGCAAACCTACACGACGGGCTAATCCTTCCGAAGAGATGACCATGTAGCGTCGAAGTCATATTTCGTGCTGTACAGCCGCAAGAAACATATTGGGCTGCTCGAAAATAAAGCGTAAACTTGAGAGAAGCAATTTAGCAGCGCTAGATCGGTGCATTTTCAGAGATATTCATCTATCGAGCTCCTAGCTGAGGGAAGAGTCCATAAAGCATGGCGGAGCGAGGGTGTCGCCGTGTGCAGAAACAAAATGTCGACGCCGGTTGGCGTCTGGTGGCGTCTGGAAGGGCCACATGGCGTGGGTAAGGACTTCCTCTCTCGTTGAGTAGCCCAGATTGCGCTGTCACCGTTTCTAAAGGTTTCTAACGACGAGCTCGATCTATATGACCTCTGGCAGACTTTGTGATGATTCAGACCTATGATGATCTTAGTATTTCTCCCTTCCTATCCAACGAGAGACTAGACGCCAGTCCGGACGGCATGAACAAACTTGAAGTCACCAATCAGCTCAGCCTTGAGATGTCCTTTCACTGCACCTTCTGCGTTTGAGACTCGAGCTTTAATGCCCGAGCTTTCCATCATAGATCATCACAGAGAACGAACGATTTGTGATCGTGACGAGTGATGCGTCGAAAGCGAAGCTTGTTGAACATGGCTGCGGTATGCAGCAAAGTTAAACCCACACGCTCGGTGGCCAACATGATCGCTAACGGTAAGCACTTCAACCTTTTCAAACGTGAAACACCTGTGATACATTTCTGATTGGATTCAATAGAGGAATTTGAGAAATAAGGGGGATCCTTTCATTCGAATTGAGCGTGGAGGATGTGTGGCGGTGGCAATCGGATGATGACGATGACATGGAGGATGTGAGGACAAGGAGATGGATGGTGATGGTTGGGCGAAGATACGATGAGAGCTTGTGGAGTAAGCAGGAAATAGAGGGATAGCAGAGAGGCGTGGGTGCGTATGGAGGTCCGTACGTCCTAGCGGACTACAAAGCAACAGCTGATTTGAGGAAAGGCCATAACAGAAGCGAGCCAACAAAAATTCACAGCGCGATAACAGCGCTCCATAGCGCAGCGACAGGCACGCTGAATGCTTCCAAAGTAACACTACGGTGAGCGAACACGTACCCGTCACCAATTACTGCAACGGTCTCACGGGCTTTGCAGTGAAAACCTTGGAAGGTGGAGTAGGCCTCCTCATCCTGGTATCTAGGCCCGCCCTTCCCCTTTCCGCGCTGAGAGGTGCGTCCCCCAAACCCATACCGATCAACTCGGAGCCATTCTTCATCGCCTTATCCGCCTGTGCGACTTTCACCGTAGAAGGAACGCTGTCGCTGACACCCGGACCCTGCTCACCGTACGTGAATGGAGAAGACGAGATGCTCCTCTTCCTAGACCTCTCCGCCTCCACATCGACCGCGCTGACAGTCGCATCATAAACCCACCCCTGCGGTCTCGCATCTTCGTCTTCGGCTCCAATAGACATCTTCCTCCCAACGATACGCCTCTTCAGTGCCCTCCCATCCTCTTCAAGACGACTGGCACCCCTCGCGTTGGCCTTCTTCACCGGACTGACGTCCCTCGCTCGGACCCTTGTCGTCGCCGCTTCGACAAGTCCCAACCCGTTCCCGCGTACGGCTTCAGCTGGGGGACCCATCGTCTCCGCGAGGGGCCTAAAGTTCCGCTGAGAGTCCTCGAGAACCTTGGACAACCTTTTGTTCCAGCTGGCGATGTCCCAGGCGCTGAATCGGTAGGACTCGCTATCGGAGCCGAAGGACCCGAAGACTGTGTCGGCATTGGAAGCGGCGGAGGTGGCGCGGCGAGGACGAGTGGGTTCCGCCATGGTGGAAGAGACGATCGGAGTAGCACCAGTCGAGGAGGAAGGGAGGGCCGGGATGGCGAAGCTGTGAGTTTGGACCGGGGAGGGGATGGCGTCCTGATCCGTCATGATGTCCATCTCAACATCTTCGGCGGCGATGGGCTTGCGGTGGTTGTTGCGTTGCTGGGTCAGTATAGAAGACAAGTCAGCCGGGAGTCGATCGGCCATATTTACGTCCTGATCATGCTCGATGGCCGCAGAGCGTGAGAAGTCTATGGGGCCAAAAAGAGGTTTTGGGAGAGGGGGCATGCTCTCGCGTGTCGCCGACAAAGGTGCATGAGTGGGGGTTCCTTTATTGAGACCATCTTGAGCTGGGGTGGTGGTAGCGACGGAATGACGACGATCGCGAGAAACCTCCGAAGTGCTACGCGGTGCAGAGAGCTTTTCGAAGAGATATTGGAGGCGTTGGCGTTCGGCGGTTTTGTCGTTGAGATCATGGGAGAGACTGCGAAGAAGAGGTGGCGCGGTGTTTATGGGGCGTATCGGGGTGTTCATGGGAGTCGAGGTGATAGCCCTTGCGCGAGGGGTTGTATACGCGATGGAGTCGGGCGTGACAGCCGTGGGGCGAGTAGGAGTACTCATGATGAAGGAATCGATAACGAGGACAATGGGCAGGACAGTCGACCTATGTAGGCAGCAGCTGACTGAATAGTGAGTGATTCCTGATGTGTCAACATACGAACTGAAACCAACGAACCTATGCTCGAAGCGCAGACGGAGACAGGCAAGTTTTGGGTGATGCTTCCGACGACGATGGCAGTCGGGGACAGAGGCAAGCTGTATCGCGCTAACTCTTATAGGCTCTCGGCAACGTGCACGCTGGGGAGTTCAACGACATTATGTCGTATGTGCGCTCACCAATTATGGATTGTCCTTTGTGTCTACCCCAACAGGGTTTCGGAACGAGTTCCGTGCCACGTTCAAGCCACGTTCCGCAGCACTGGCTTCTTTTCTTCTGGATCCGGTTGTTTCCTCGCTCTTCGACTGCAAATTCTGCAAGGATCTCCTTTCCCTCCGGATCCACGAATGACCTGTAGTCTTGCAGAGCTCGAGAGCATGAGATATCGCCTATTGTTGACGCGTTGACCACGCACACTCGGTTAGCTTTCAGTTTTGTCTCTATTGTTTCAAACTCCCTTTGATGACTGCTTTTGTCTAGACATAACGCACAGGGCACCATTGGCCACCTCATGTCACTATTTCCGGTCAATGCGCTACTGTATCGCTTTCATTGCCTACAGCCGTAGGCAAGGCTATGAAAAGTGTCCTCATACAACACGACACTAGGTCTATCAGGTTCGTCATCTCCATTCAATATCCAGATAACTATATCTACAATGTTTCAGCATCAGGTTCTATGGGTACGAGATCACCTTTCCCTTTAAACACCTCAAGAATATCCGCCTGTTCGCAAAGGATATGCCTGTCCGTCTGAGTCCCTATCTTAGCGAGAGCACGCCAGCGCTCGAAATCAGCGGGGTTGCGTTTGTCCCCGTGAGCCTCCTTGGCATGTTCCCAATGACCTATGAGGCAGAAGCGGTGGTTTAGTATATGGTTGGATGTTTTCTGATTGCGTACTGACCTTTGGAGAAACCGATCATGGTGGTGATTCGTTTTCTAGGAATATCATACACCAGTGAGACGATTGTACCGGTTTCTACAGGAAAGACGTCGACGTTACAACTTGCTTTCTCTGCGCTAGGCCCGATATTTCTCAGATAAGTTTCAAGTGACGTACCTTCTAACCAATTGCATTGCCAGAGCTCTCCTGGTCTGATGCATTGAAACTCGCATGTCTGGTAGTTCAACCTTCCGGCCATTGGACCACCGTGTATAGAGTACACGATCCTCTTCTCCGAGAAGAACCACATCTCATAGCGCCACTTCTCTGGATTTCCACCCTCGCCCATCACATCATAATCGTAGAGCAGGTGGACGTCTCGGATGTCTTTGTCGAAATGGTCCATCGTAGCCGCGTTCATGTTGTTAATGTGAATTGAGCAGTGCTTTAGAAAGAAGTTAAGAGTTTGATTCTCGCGACCTATAGCATACTTCCCAGCCGTCCTTATGAACGAATCCCGTCTTTCAGTGACGTAGGCGGCGGCGGGATGGCACGCCGAGATGACAGTCTCGATGAACTCTGGGCCTTCGTTATTCCAATGAGATCGGGTCAGTCGGATCGCAAGCGTAAACTATTGGCACGAACGTTCGTGCATGACATGCCTGTCATGACCTCAAAGCCGTAGATTATCCGCGTTAAGAGAATGATGAGCTAGCTGAAAGCAAGACCACTGTTCAGTAGTAAAGGAAAAGGGTAAACCAACAGCGTTTAGCCGTCGTGGCCAATAATCATATCAGCAGGCGGCCCGCCTGGGCAGTGACGGTACAAACAAGGGCGTTCGACCTGGAGCGTGTCCGGAAATTGATTTGGTATTTTATTTCATGAGGGGTCGGACCCTTGAAGTATGCGGGAGGAGCATTGGTAGGAACCACGTAGAGATATAGCAAGAATATATGACAGAACAATAACAAAACAAAACACGACATAGCAAGGGAGAACAACGATATAGTCATGGTGTGGGAGAGTCTGCGGGCCTAACGCCCTTGTATCCTCCTAGAAAAGTACCCGTTACGCCCTAACGGCGAGGTGGGCCCAGCTCTGTAACCGTATTACCCAAAATCTCTTTCCCTACACAGCGGAAAAATTCCTCTCCTTCACGTTCCTGACGGCAGGCCCATGCAACAAATCATCCATCTCCAATGAGATACTCACCTCCCTCTCTCTGTCTCCGTCCATATGTGCCGCGCAAATAGCAAGGTCATGAAGGCGCTTCCGCTCCCTTTCCTCGGCATAAGATCCAAGAGACTTCCTGCCTGTAGTGACAGGCTTCCTCGGGACTACACCAGCCTCAGGAGCATTACCACCTCCAGTCACGTTCAACCCCTGCCTTTCGGGCTCCTTACCCTTCTGCTTCGGCCTATCCTCCCACTGCACACGATCCCTCCTCATCTCACCAAATCCAATACCGTTCCCCCCTACTGCCTGAAACGAGGAGGAATACACCGACTCGCCCAAAGGCCTGAAGCTCCTCTGCGACTCCTCCAGCACGACCGTCATCCTCCTGTTCCAGCGTCTCAGCTGTCGAATCCTAGACCCCAGAAACTCGTCGGTGTCCGGCCTAGAGCCGCTAGCGGGTCCAGACGTTGCGACGGTGTTGCGGCGAGGACGGTTGATCCTCGTGAAAGTCGTAGATGAAGTTGTCGCTACGGTAGGGGGGAAGTAACTCATATCGGCGAGCTCACTGTCTTCGTCAGACTCGCTTTCAGAGTCCTCGCTATCGATACACGCGTCGACCTTCGGAACGGGCTTGCCGAGATGGCCTCGAATGTTATCGATAAGGGGAGCGAGATCATCGGGAATCTCGTCGCCTGAGTTGGGTTTGTCGTGATGAGCATTAGCGACAGAATCAACGACGGCAACAGAGGAGGAAACTGAGTGGGAGGAGGCAGAGGCCGTGTCGGCGTCTCTGTTGAGCGAAGGGGATGATGACGCGGAATCGCCAACGCTGTCAACCAAATCGGCGGGAGGAAGGGCACGAGCGAGCGAGATGGAGTCGCGACGAGAAGGGGATTCACTGTCAGAAGAGCGGACGTCCTTCAGTTTCTTTATGAAGTAGCAGACGCGATCGAACTCGGCCCTTCGTGAGTCAGTAGGGTCCTTCGAGAGACCATGGAGGGGAGGGGAAGAGATGGCACTTGGACGTGTCGGTGAGTTCATCGGCGTGATCGTGGTGCCAAGTCCGCCAGGCAGGGCAAGCACAGGGCGTGCGGGGTTGTTCATGATAGACTGTAGTAGAGTGTGAATGAAGAAGTCTCCGTGATAATAGAAAGCGTGAGCAGCGCAAACAGTGCTCTGGTCGGGGGTCGATGATGGAAGTCAAGTTGAAGAGAGTGTCCTATCACTGCGCGTGTTATATAGTGACCTGATTCGTTTACGATATGATGTGTCACAGACCTGATGAGGGTCTAGCCCAAAGGCGTCTAACCATTTTTGGCATGGCCTTTGTGAATCTCCAGAGTCGGTATCGTCCAATCCGATAACGAATTCCACTGTGATCTGGAAGAATGGAGTCTTCGTTGATTTATTCGTTCGAACATTCTTTGGTGTGCAAGGTTGTTGCCCCGTAACCCACGGGAGAAGAAATTGCACGTGAGACGTAATGCGCGACCGAGTCTTAGTCCGCTGCAACATATACATGGTATTTGGTGCAAGATAGGTAGTCAGATCTCGCGATTCGAGGCTCTGTAAAACTTTACGACAGGAAAACACAAGTATGACAACGTTCAAAGCCAGTGGATGCAGTCTTCCACAGTACGAGACATTTCGGGGCGTCCAAGCAGTGTCAGATACGAATCACACCCCTTATCATCGTACCCATCCGTGCGCATCCAAAATTGAGGTGGACCTACTGCGATTGGGCACCTTTGAAGGGAGGTCAGGGAGAACAGGGAGATTGGAACGGGTCGTTATGACTCGAACTCCGCCTTACCACCCAGTCCATGCTTGAATGTGACATTGCCTTGTAAAATAGCTATCAGTATTAGAGCTAGTAATTGAAGCATATAAGGATCGACTTTACCAGCGCAAGACTTCCATCCTTCTAACTGACCTTCATCCCCTCCCTGATCTCTCAACCTCGTTGGACCTCTTGAGCTCCATCTTGTTCTTCAACTGTGCCTACTGCTGATGAGTTTAATACGAGCAGCATGATATTCTACTCAAGGTAAATGGGACATCGAACGCCCCGTCATTTCTCTGATGCATGGCGTAGAGCACAAACAGTACGACCAGAACGAGTGGTCACTATGTGTTTGTGATGTCCGAGTCAGCAAAGGAGTATTCCAGTTCAGTGCAGATAACAGAAGAACAGGTGTAGACTAGAGACAGGACTCGCTACATGAATCTAGATCAGGATTGAGCTCGTCGCTCTGCTCGACAACGATAGTGCGTTTGGCGATGTGCGTGGCACGGAACAAAAAAAATCGAAAGAAAAGGAGCAAAAATGACCCGCACCGCCGGCCGAAAGCGGCCCCGCACCGTTCCGCGCAGCACAGGGCCTTGCTCGTCATTGACACCGCCGGTCGAGGCGGTCCCACTAGCTTTCATCTTGACCACATCATCTATCTATCATCGCTGTCGTCCCCGTCGTCGTCGCCGCCGACAATTCTTTGCGCTCTCACTGCCGCGATATCACTGGAATTGATCTGTCAACGAAGGTGGGCCACAATTCGCTCGTAACACATGGCCATGAACGGCCAACGGTCAGGGCGCCTGCTGACAAAATATATTCTGATTCTTCTTTCGGCACTTTCTCGTCACTTTGACGACGAATATCCAGCAAATCGCAATACATTTGGCCGACAAACTCCGGAGCGAGGATTGAAGATGCTATTCTACTTCTCTCTTCTTACCCTTTCAGCGTTACTGGTAATGCGTGCGTACTCGTCTTTTATCCCTTCTGAGACAGCCGAGCTTCACTCTCAGAATGCGACATAGCACGACGAGGAAGCTGATGGTGGTGTGGTAGGACTAAGAGTTGGCTGACTTGCTTTGACTTCATAGTGTTGTACCGTTACCGCAGTGTTCTTCCTCTTCCTCAGCGCTTGCGCTCTTTTCTTCAACACCCATCTTCTGCCAACTATGCCCCTCTCAACACATTCGCAGATCAAGCTGCTGCTGGCCTGTCAAGCTCCACGTTCGACATCGAAGCGAATAATTTGATGGAAGGGGATTCGAGGCTTGGGCTGGATGAGAATGGGACGAGGGAGGTGAGGGAGATCATGAGAAGAGAGGGTGTCGCGTGAGTTGATCACCCATTCAAGTGCTGATGCGCACAACGCTGATCAAATACTGGCATTTGAATGACCAGGTTCGACCAGGCCAGGTTGATTCGGCATAATCGCATTCTCGCGGCGAATGGTATTGACCCATCCGGTGAGCTCTTTACCTCGAGCCGCGGCCGTGGCACCTCCACTGAACTTCAAATTCGTATTCTTAGGCATGCCTATGGATGCGAAAGCGATCACTCATCTCTGAGGCATACCTTGCGGTCAATGCGCCGGCGACACTTCGCCGTGTTCATACGATCTGCCTGGAGTGCACATCTCGTATCTTATGTCTCTGTCACCACCATCCTCATTGTTGTATCGGTATTTTTTCATTTTCCATTGATTCTCTGGGCTTTCCATATTCCGCTGTTGCTTTCGTCGCATTTTCCACATTCCCTCCATCCATTGTCTCCCGCTTTCCTCGTCATCTCCATGGCTCATGTTATCTCCTGTATGGAGTTGTACTACGTATACTGCTCGGACAGTCGCCGCAATCTAGTTGTGTTGCTTACAGATTTCGGGTGACGAACGTTTGTAGTCTTGCGCCGCCTCAGACCACCGCGCTAATCACCTCGAGGCAGACAGAACGAATGAACCATCACCGGGGAAGATAAGCGTCGTGCATTCACGCACCTCATTTGATGTTGGCCTGTTTGTGTCGCACGTAAGTCTTCCAATTGTGAGCCACATACACCATGATTGAGGAACCCCTTGTCTTGTCGTGACTTTCGTACAAAGCTCCTTTGCGCTAATTGACTCTCCGCATCGGTTCGTCTGATCAGCTCTCGATACCCAATGTTCACACCTTCTTACGAATATTGGCCTGAATGCGACGGAAGATTCGCCGTGTTCACGATCCATCTCGTCTCTATGCACCGTCTGATAGTCCCTTCTATCATCGTCAACCTCTCCGCTAATATCGGTCTAGAAAAGCATACTACACCGCTTTCAAGCTGCTACACTACACCTCAATCACTCGTCTTTGTGCGAGTGCATTGCGCTAAGATGGATTAGGATGAGCAAAACATTGAGTGTGGTCGACCATTCCCTCCTTTTGGCTGAGCCTACTACGCCCATGGTCTTCGTTGTTGACATTTCGCGTCCAGCAGGTCCGAGAAGTCGTTATATTAAGAATGCACCATGACATCGCATTCGCGGCCACTTATAACGTTAACGCAGCCGAGCTGTTCAGCTCCTGGCCCGGTGTGATCGAGCGTCCCTCGTCAGGTTCGTGGATGATGCTTCAAATGAAGAACTTCCTCGAATGAATCACTCGTTGAATACCGTGTTTAGACAGATTCGACGCGGTATGGATTAGATTGATGCAGCCTACGTCAATATCGGTCGCTCGGTCTGCCTATCTTGCAGGGCGGACGCCCCGTCGCTTCGACGACGTCAGTAGCTCCTGGATCCAGAGACTGGCGCTGCAACAGTGCTCGCCGTTCCACGCCAAGCCCGAGCACAGTCGGTCATAAGACGCAATGGTTATCTCTCCTCTATGTCTGCTTCGAAATCGCGCTCAACAAGTTGACAAAGTCACTGTCAGGGTGAGTACAGCAGTGACTTCATAACGCCCTCGACGCGCATATCTCTCGATGCTTACCTCCTTCCGTAGCACTCGTATCTTCAAGATCCGTGCCGGTCATCATCACCATGGGTTATTCGTGATATATGCCCATTCCTCCCAGAGGATTCATCCACCGACGAACGCCTTTGATTAGTGTGCCGTCAGCCACGAACTTTAGGTGAAACATGGCGCCACACAGCATTATTTTCGGGCGCACAGAAGTGGCGATGGCGGACCACTTTCACCGACTACCTCATCAAGATGTCAGTGCACCAAATCAGGGTATGATTTGGAGTGAAAGAGAGTAAAGAAGGCGACGGGCGGCACAGCACAGACGTCCAACCTCCGATGCTCTCGCTCTGCACTAGTGTTTGTCGCCATGGTACGCGATTTTTCTTCACAGCTGGCTCGCAGGTACCGATCAGTTATGGTCAGCACTCCGATGTTCTTGGGTACATCCTGGTATCGATAGCTCAATGGGACACGGTTTTGAACGTTCGATGTGTGTCGGAGGACTTCTGGGAGATGGTCTGGCCTTGCCTATAGTCGGTAACAAAACAGGCGAACCTTGGGTCTCTGCTTGATATCTTGGATGCACGAACTCTCGATAGAGCTTGTAGAGTCTAGACGGCTTAACAAAAACAGTATAGTCAATGAGGGAGATCACACTTCCGTGTACGTCCGTTTTATTCCAAGACACACGTTTTGTGTCGTTGGATTCGCGACAGCAGTGCCACCGCACGGATCTATCGTCGGATGTATCTCTTTGTCAGAGTCACTGAACATTCTCCCGTTTAGGCTTTCTCTACATATTGCGCTCTCCCTAACCTGGTTTATCGCTCCTATTGCTCTCCGTGTGTAGGAAGAGAACGCCGCACAATCTACTTGGAGCAACGCCCAGCGGGTAGACAGTCAGCCAAGGCGAGGCAGGTCACATCAGCGAGCATCAACAAGTCAGTGTTCAGTATCAGCATCCCCATAAACTGCCCGGTATCGCGAACCTAAGCACTGCAATGGGTCATCGACTATCACGAAAATGTTGATGTGGCGTATGTAAGTCCTTCGAGGTTGCCTAAGCGCATTTTTCGCTCTTACAGTTCTCCTGCCTTCCCCTTGTATTGTTGTGCACATCCATCAACGCGGAAACGTATCGTATCTTGGGCCACAACTTGAATGATGAACGATGACCGAACAAGGCTGTTGTGGGAGACCCCCGATTAGAACTGCTACCCGCCGGCAATGGGCAACTCCTGTTCCATGGACGGGTCTGATACTCCAGATACTTACCTCGAGGCGGAGCCGGTCGTGCCCACGACGACGGATTCGAAAACGAGGCATTTTTTGCGTCGTGCGTACGTACTGTGCGTCCTGCACTTTGCACGACAACATCGGCAATTATTGAAATGCTCGGTTTACGCTTACCCCAACGGGACGTGGAGGAACCGCCAGGGAACGCCCCCTTTTGGCGCGCAGGCTAGATTTGAATTTGTGCCATGATTGGATCGTATCTCACTCAGGCGCGGTCGTGCTTCTAAATTGCTTTATTTTTATGATGTACTTACAGACCGACGGGTATAAAGGTACGTTCTGTTTTGGTTGCTCTTCTCCACTGCAGTGATCCCCTGTGCCCCGTCCCCATCTCACTCCATTTCACCTCACAACGCCTCGTACCCGTATCGCCCTTGTTCATCCCTCACCCTCATATTCAACACAATCACAATGGCTCTCGCTGATACATTCAAGTCAAACACTACCTCTGTCGAAGTAAGCCTTCGCTCTTGTCCTGCTGCTTCTATTTGGTCTTGTTCTTTTACTTATTATGTTCTCTAGTTCTCATGGCCACAAGGCGTTTCTGGCCTTGAACGTATCATGCTCTCTGCTCGTGGCGACCTCCAGAGACTTTTAAGGTTCGTCATGTTCCAACCGAACTCATCTGCCAAGCTGCTTCGTTGATGTATCACTGATATCAACGAATTCGTTCATGCAGCGCATTTTTTGCTCGCACCATTACCATCAAAACTATCTACTCTCACACTTCTCCTCGCACCCATGCCGCTTCTATCGAGACTCCTCTTTCCCAAAAACGCGAAGTTCACCTCGTCTGCAATCACAAGACAGTCTGTGTCGCAACCTCTACTGTAACCATCACCGACCCGCATATCGAGCACCTCTTCCTTGACGAGAAGTTCGCTATTGGTCAAGTATTCCGGAAGATGGGTACACAGGCCGAATTCGCACTACTCGAATGCGGTTCGAGCATCGACGCGACTACCGGGAACGATAAGCTTTGGAGGCGGTATATCCTTGCCATGGAGGGCTTCGAGTGCGATATCATTGAGGTGTTCCCGGACAGGGAGATGTTTACGGACGAGGCGTGGATCGAGGCACCGGAGACGCTGGTGAAGGGTGTTGAGGAGGCCAAGGAGCGGTATCAGGCCACGAAGCGCATTTCTCTCTACGCTTAGGAGCTCACCATTTCTTCTTCTCTCCACGTTCTTGGAATCTTTCCATTTTCTATTCTTCTTCTATCATTCCGCCTCGTTCCTCACTATCTCCTTGCAAGTTGCAACCCTTTAGATACCGACTCGGATGTACTCCGTCATTGTACATTAGCGCAGGCCGTCTCCCGGCACGTCTCTCGAGCTTCGTTGATATTATTTTATTATCTTTTCCATTGTCGTCTTCCATCCTATTGACATCCGATTCTCCTTCTCGGACATCCTCCTCGAGGCTCGCGGTTCTTCCCACACTGACGGCGACCTACGTCATCCACGTGATTCGCTTTCGCCACGTGGTCGAGACGCGACTCGCGTCTCCCGCGCTTCCTCCTCTTGCGCTCACGTTCAGATTTTCCCAGTCGTCTTATCCCAGCTACGTTCTCCATTGTTGCTAGACTGCTACATAAACATTACACGTATATAAATCTTGTCACCCTGCGATCACGACTCTCATAGTCCCTCTTGGTCAACAAACTGAAGACTCGATGATCATCTCAGTTTCGCATTCAACAGATTCGCCCTCAGTTCTAGGAACAGCCTCGTCTCTTGTCTCGTCGTCTTCTGTCCAAAACACTCGACTAGTTGAGTGAATTATTCTTCACCACATGGCACTGGAACGTACTATCTTGGATCTCCGCTATGGGTAAAAAGATGGTTCGCGGTGACTAACGGTGGCCTCGCTGGTTTGATGTCTTCAGAGCTGCTATCGCACCTCGTTACCTGTGGAATTGCTCGAGATTATCGTGGAAGAACTTCTAGATCTCAAAGGACGAAAACGAACGACTAGGCGTGGTCTCAACGGCCGCGACGGTACGTTTGCGCCTATCGCAAGCTTTAGTCTCGTTTCGCGGCAGCTTCGTCAGGTCGCATTCCGTGTCTACTTCCGTGAAGTCAAGATTACCAGCATCAAGGACCTCAATCGCATCTCTGCCATACCTGCTTGGAGTCTCTATGCTCGGTCAGTGTCTCAGATCTCGAAAAGACGCATGTATGCGGCTCAGAGATGCGCATATATTCACCTCTACCTCCATCTTCACGGCAACTGACCAACTCAGTCTGTACATCCCGGCCCACCTTGCTATCTGGTCCTCGCTTCGCATTCGTACTCACGTGGTTCACGTTTGCCCACTAGAACACTAACGACGACGACCATAATTCTCCTCTCAACGAGCCAATCCCGTGTCCCGCTCCGAAGCCTCCGCCTCAAACATCTATCGCTCTCCTTCAACGCCACGACGATCATCAAACTTCGAACCGCCACATACTCTCTTGTCCCCTTGTTTTCAGCATCGTTCACCAGCCTCTCCCTCACTCACCTTCCGAGCATCAGAAGGTCGCTTCTGAGCACCATAGCTGGGTCCTGTCCTGAGCTCGAGTCGCTTGAGCTTAGCGTGGTGGAGAGACTTGACGATACTTGCTGCATCGACTGTTTGGAGGAATCTGCGTGCTGTATCGTCCATTCAGCTCTTGGAGACAGAACTTCTGAAGGATCTGTCGAAGACCTGGCAGTCAGTCTCATCTACTGGGTCAAAGTTGCAGATCACTGACCATATACTCCTCTTTGCGATCTTCAGGTCTCTTACGCCACAGCACTCAAACCACTAACCCATCTCCGTCACCTCTCGCTCGGCATATTCCTCTCTCCTGACTCCGTCCTCTTCACCCACCTAACCCGTCACCTTCCCTCATCTTTCTTGTCCTCGCCCGCACCTCTTCCAAACACTTCGACCCCCACTTCATCTTGCTCTCCCGCTGTTGACATCTGCTCTGCACCTCAGACTCCAGCTCCGGGAACTCATCATACTTGCATCGCTCGACTCTACTCCTGCGTCAGCTCCGCGTCCGCGAAACCGATACCGATGCCAACGAATGGCGAGGCCCAACTCGCACTCAGTCCCGACGCCGCCCTATCCACGCCGTCGACCTGCGCACGTTGTCGCCAGAAACACCTCAAGGCGACTAAGAAGCTCGAATTGACCGCGTCGGCTAGAGTAGCGCAGATCTTGAAGGGGTTGCAGAGTGTGGCGTGGAGCTCGTGGTTCGTCGATTTGGAGAGGAATGTGGATGGTTCGGGGGAGAAGGGAGAAAATGAGGGTGGAGACGGTGGAGGGGCTGTTGGGACGTTTTCCATTGACGATGTTGATGATGGTGGTGGTGACGGCGGAGAGGAGCGAGATGAGCGGGCGAGGAGGTGGGCGAGGTTTTGGATTGCGAGGAGGGAAGGGCGGGTGAAGCTTAGAGGGAGACCTTGGTAGTGGCTATATGAACTTTTGGTGGACATTTCGGGACGCTTCGGGACTGTGATGTGATCATGGATGCCACATTGGTGCATGCAACAGACAGCGATAGGCTACGGTCATCAGTACACGTCGTGAGACGAACTTTTACCTTCGACCTTATCTGCGTAGTTGTTCACTTCATGGCTCGCAGTCGGATGTTATGACGAAAGACGCGTCTTCGGATATAAAGGCGTTCAACAGAGTAGCAGAGTGCAATAGGGTGAGCAGGCCACAAGAGCGTCCATATCATCCAAAATCAGATAACAAGCAAAGCTACCTAAGCGATTACAATATGCCATCCGTCACAGACGAGAGCTCACATACCTGCGACTAAAAGAAAAGGACAGTCAGCTCGGTGCCTGACCAATGGCCCTCAACTATCGCAAGCACGTTCGACAATAAATACGCACCGGACATGACCAATCCATCCTCCTTTCACCACACCCCGGGCATCCTGCGATACTTCTCAAAAGGGAAATATTCGAGTCGGGGATAAGAGTGATGATGGTGATGATGATGATGAAAGGACCCCTCGAGAGGGATAGGTATTGTGCCAGAAGAGACGAGGCGCATTCCGGGTGTATATGCGTTTCACGATGATTGTTCCCATAATGCAAACAAAGATCCGTGACATCCGAATTGGGGACAAAGACAGATGCAAGGTAGGTAGAGCAGTCGAGGAAGGAACATGATGGAGGTAAGGGTAATGAGTATCGAGAGCAGACAGATTTGCCGCCTGTGTACAAGTGCCGCACTTCGTCCTCTTCTGAAGAGAGATGAAGTCTCAGGGACGTGAGTGTCGTATAGTGGTCTTCAACGAAAGAGATGATTTCGTTGTCAAGATCCAACTCGAGGTCGAGGCGGCGAAGAGATGAGAAGGCAGGAAGATCGGCAAAGATCATACCGGGCAGTGGAGTAAATTCAGGTGCGGGCGGTATAATCCTGTAGGTTGATACAGGCCTTCAGAACTTTATTCATCGTCCCGAATACCCAATGAGACACTATATCAGGCGCAATCGTGAGTGATCAGAAACACAATCAACGAGACGAGATAGACTTACTTCTCATCCCAGTAGCCTTGGCTCCATCTTGGTTCATTAATGCTAAAATCGAGGACTTCTACAAGGAGCTGATACCTGGGCTGCCAGACTAATATCGTGTTGTACAAAGCACGCAGGGCAGCCCAGGTGTGTAAGTATACGGACGAATTGCCCGTAGAGGATACGGTTGCATAGAGCACGACATCGTTTGTCGAGGATACATATCGACGCGCAGTCGAGTGGGTTCCTGTCTCCCTCGCTAATAGACTGCAAAATATGCGGAGCGAGTCGTGCAAACTGGCAGTTGAACGGCGACAGTGCGTTTACGTCGGCCATCCAAGAAATAAAGACTGAAGCGGGACACTCTTTCAATTCCTTCAGCGATCACTGAGAAGTCACAACAGGCCTGGCAGAAAACAGAAAATCAGCTACCGCAGTACCGGTGGTGGATGGAGATGAAGAAGATAAAGTCACCGGTCCAAGCGGGAAACTCCTCGAAGACTTCGCTGACTAAGCAACCTCACTGTTCGCCACAAATAGCCCACGCCACATTGTCCGCAAGGACGTTAGGGAGGGGGGCGTATTGGTATCGAGGTCCGATCCCAAAACCCAAAAGTCGGGCGGTTCTGTACTCAAAGTTCGGGAGGTTTTCTGTACTTTTGTGGATCGGGTAGCCCAAATAAGGGCACCTTCCGTACTCACGCGGGATTGGACCTTCTCCCAGACGAACGCCCAAAACACTGTCAATTTGACACAGAATCGTCTGTGCGGTGGCGTACAGTGTTGGAGAGTGGCAGTCGGCGGCCAAGCCTGAACACATACAACGAAATTGTGCGCATAGTGATCGGACCTAGGCAGTCCTGCCAGCTTTCCGTACGCACAAGGGATCGGACCAAGAGGCAAATCCAGGCCAGTCATGTACGCACAGGATCAGACCTCACGTCGCATTTGCGACCAAAACAGTACGCATAGGGATCGAACCTCGATACCAATACGCCCCCCTCCTGGACCGAGTCCGTACGAGTACATCGACGGCGCTGCCTTGTCATTGTGATGCAATCTCACCATGTTTCACATAAGTACGCCAACAACATCACCTTTTCATGAAGAAACGGCGCATCACAAAACTGAAATCTGCCCTCTCGTGTCATGTATTCAGGGAAGGTACCGGGAGGCCCGGCATGGGATAGCACGACACACGACATAATTCGCGCTCACACGTTCACGACGAGAATGCTGATGCAGATGATGATGGATAGAAAGATAGCAGAGATAAATTATAATCGTATACTCGTACAGACGAACCCAGAACCCATGATGCGTGTGCGTGAACAGCCAAGACGAACTCCCGTACCCCCCCCTGCGCACGGACCACCCCCTAAAATGATGAAACGTCTAAGCACCGAAACCGTAAAGCGTCCTCCCTGACCGCTTGAGGGCGTAAACAACGTCGAGAGCAGTGACAGTCTTGCGCTTGGCATGTTCTGTGTAGGTTACTGAGTCACGGATGACCTATAGTCGGAAGGAGTCATGCACAGTAAGCATGGGACGCAAAGGATGCGAAAGGAAAAGGACGCACATTCTCGAGGAAGATCTTGAGAACACCACGGGTCTCTTCGTAGATGAGACCGGAGATACGCTTGACACCACCACGGCGAGCAAGACGACGAATAGCGGGCTTGGTGATACCCTGGATGTTGTCGCGCAAAATCTTGCGATGACGCTTAGCACCACCCTTTCCGAGACCCTACGAGAACAAACAATGTAAGTCTTCGAGTTCAAGTCGAGGAATGAAAGAACGTTTGACAAACCTTGCCACCTTTTCCGCGTCCAGACATTGTTAAGATAAATTGGGGGTGGGTGAAGAGAAGAAGTTGTTTGGGTGATGAGGTGTGAAGGTGAGATAGGCGCTAGGGGGTGAAGGTCGATGGGAGAGTTGCACGGAAAGAGGCAGAGGTTATATATCGCGGGCCGCGCCACATCACGTGCCATTCAACGAACGCGCGACTCCTCGGTTCCGAGCCGTTTGTTGATCGCATTTCGCGCGTCCGGAAGGGCACGTGACCAGACGCGACGCGGGATACATAAGGCCGCGACTCCGCGACTCGTTGGCCCCCATCCCGCTTGCTCTTCTACCGCCACAACAACCACACACTCAACTACTACCCAACTCAACAACTTCTTTTATCAGCAATGGCCCGTACCAAGCAGACCGCCCGCAAGTCCACCGGTGGTAAGTCGCTTCGTTGCCTTTTGTCTTCGGCGGGATTGTCTTTGCTCACTGGCGGGTTCGTCTTTAGGAAAGGCTCCCCGTAAGCAGCTCGCCGCCAAGTCCGCCGCCCGCAAGACCTCTGCCGCAGTAAGCCCCTCTTCACCTCCTGGTCATCGCCAGTTGAACTAACTTGTGTGTTGTGCACTGTAGACCGCGACTGGTGGTGTCAAGAAGCCCCATCGTTTCCGCCCCGGGACTGTCGCTCTCCGTGAAATTCGTCGCTACCAGAAGTCGACTGAGCTCCTCATCCGCAAGCTCCCCTTCCAACGTCTTGTTCGTGAGATCGCTCAGGACTTCAAGGTTCGTGTTGTCTTCACCTTCACCTTGCTCTTCGTGCCCGCCCATCCCTACCTTTCCCCTCTACTTCCAACATTGTATTGACATATCTTCGACTTTATCTAGACCGATCTCCGCTTCCAATCCTCTGCTGTCATGGCTCTCCAGGAGGCTGCTGAGGCTTACCTCGTCTCCCTCTTCGAAGACACCAACCTTGCCGCCATCCACGCTAAGCGTGTCACCATCCAGCCCAAGGATCTCGCTCTTGCCCGTCGTCTCCGTGGCGAGCGGTCATAAGCTGGTCATCGCTTCTTCCTCTCACCTTCACCTCTTTCCTACTTTACCCCATCTTATTCATGCATACCCTGACTCATACTAGTGCATGCGTACGATTTTCGTTTTGTCTCTGATTCTGGCTTGTATTTTTATTGTATTCCCTTTTCATTCCTCTATCATCGTGTGCGGGGTGGATGATTCGATTATGAAGGATGCGCTGGGTACTTACAGGGTTTCATAGACTTGTTGACTTCGTGCCGCTTTCCTAATCCAGATCTCTGCCGGGACATCCCTCTAAACTTTCCAGTGTGCGATTGCCCTCGACTGCTTGACTTGTGTGCATAAGTGAGATCGTCTATTGAGCTACTGGTATGTAAGCGAAAATAAGAGCTTGCCTGTTTTGGCATCGTTGGCGTTGAGTCGGCCAGAGCGCAATAGGGGCTACCCTCCCCGGAACCGAAGCTCGGACTCGGAGTCGGGACGCCACAGCATTTTGGCCCGGTATCGTTTTGTATGGCAGTGGACTGTGGCGATTTGTATCCTGCCCATGTCGTTCAGATCAGAGTGAGTTGCTAGAGTTATTAGGACACGAGTAAAGAATTCAAAGACGGACATATCACGTCACATCTGAGAGAAAGTGTGTAATACTATAATTGAGGGAGATTCTGTCATGATTCAAAAGGGAGCATCTGTCCTTGAGGACATACTCACACTGAACAGTTCCTCCATCATCCCTGGTAGTATATCGGATTAGTACACGCGCCTGTCATAAATATCGATTGTAGTTCCGCGCGAGAGCGGGGTTCGACTCCCCGCCAGGGAGGTCAGCTATCCGACGCTATTTTTTTTTTTTAGTCACTATCAGTGGGTCTCGTTCAGCGATTCGGATGGACAGAGCATTTTGGCCTTTCGAAGACAAGAAGCTCGACGTGCGGAGCGAAGACGAGACAGGACAAATTATGGAATGAAAGATGCTTGAAGATCGGGAGGTCCGTGCTCTACATCGACGGAGAGAGAAATAAGGATACCACTGCAGTGGGGTGGAGTGAACGTCTAGGGGCGTATTGGTAGTACAGTCAAGTAGCCCAAAGATGGAGTATAAATCACGGAATAGCAATGTAGGATGTCCTGTTGAGATATGGGAGTCGTCTTATAACTTAAAAACCACGATTGTCCGAGTAGAAGCAACGAAAGTAAGGCAAGTAACCGAGCAGCAGAGGCGATACGTGGTGGTGGTTGATCTATGGGTACGATAATAAATCACTTCGCGTCAAGTCCCCACCGCTTCCTGACTATGCTGATCATCAACGTCCTCGACTTGACGAGGCTTGCGAACCACGCTCCAAGGACGAGGCGCCAGCCGAAGAAGAGGGTGAATGAGCCCATGCCTCCGTTCTGGATCAACGAAGGAACGATAATATCAGCACCGGGAATGGGTATTCGAAACGCAAGAAGGGCGATATGGGAACAAGGACATGCGAAAAAGTGGTATGGAAAGAATTGGGGTGAAGGAGAATGAATGAAGACGCACTCGTCCATTTGTGATGACGATTAGTTCTCTGCTGCCCTTGTACTGTTTCGATGGTGCCTTGTTGTCGAGGTAATCGAGGACGTTGGCAGCTACGACGTCTGAGTGTGCAGCATACTTCGCCACTGAATAATTCGTGACAATAGAGGGATAAGTCAGCAGTAATCCGAGCGACATGATTGAGGAGAGGAAGAGTGTTAGGAAGAGGACGGTGGCGAAACAGGGGAAAGGGGCGTACTCTGCTTCTGCTCATTCCAATCAATCGCGTCTCCCAGAGCGAATATGTTAGCGAACGAAGGCAGGCGGAGATTAGCGTTAACTTTGATTTGGCCGAACGAGTTGAGGATATCTGAGCCTAGGGAAGCGACGAATGATGTAGCAGGACGGGCACCGTACGTAGGAACCTGTGGAATACGTTCACCAAGCACACGTTAACTCGTCATCTAGCGTACAGAGGGACTCAACACGTACGATAAGGTCGCCTTCGACGACCTTCCCTGCGCGCGTCTTGACAGTTCCGGACGTGTTGCCGGATGTATCAACGTCGTCCACACGGTCGTCAAAGATGATGTCGACGCCACGAACACGCAAGTCCCGTTCAATTTGGCGACGACCCTTATCGGAATAGGTTGGGTTGAGTAACATAGAGCTGTTATGGGCGATCGTGACTTTCTTGTCTGGGAAGAAGTCTTTCAGCTCGCCAGCGTATTCTGCGCACAGTTAGAACGAAACATTAGCGAGTATCATAACATGCGGTAAGACTTGTATGACACGTACCGATTCCGACTGAACCTCCCCCGACAAGTATAACCCCCTTCGCCGCCTCGAATTTCTTCCTCCACGCCCCGATATGCGCTTTCACGCCTTCCTCCGAATCAGGGAAGTCCAACGGTCCCGCCCAAGAACACCCCGGCGAAAGCACCAACACATCGTACTTCACCCTCTCCCCACTCTCCAACACCACCTCTCCTCCTTCCGTTCCCTTCCCATCGCCCTGCTCGATCCTCGTAACCCTCCCGAGCTTGACTTTCCCATCTACACCATCGCTTTTGGTCGCTTTGGAGAAAAGTGGGTCGTAGGGCAGAAGCGCGGTATCTTCGAGGTGACCTTCTGAAGTTGTAGTGAACCGTGCGGCGGCGGGAAGATAGATGGAGTAAGGACGGGCGTCGATGAGGGTTATGCTGTGGCGCTGTGAAGGAGGCGCAAGAGAGAGTTTGGTGGCGAGCTGGAGAGCGGTGGTGTAACCTGCTGGCCCTCCTCCGACAATAACTATTGATTTACCGGACATGACGGGATGGGATAAGTGTAAGAAATGTGAGGGGTTCCGAAGTGACGAAAGCGCAGATGAGGAGAAATGCTCACTTTCAAGGAACGACCCAAAAGTTTATAATGAGGGAAAACGCGTACGTGTTGCCATTGACAGTGCCGCCGGTAAGCGGCATAAGGATGAGTAAGCGTGAATGGGCGTGAACAGCCACGCAAACATATAGCATTTTGCAAAATATGATAGGCAGGCAGGGGCAGACTTCACAGACTTCACTGCGTAGCAATATTGTTTCCCGCTAGTGTGTGCATTGCTGGTCACAGCGTGACTGCCAATGGACCAGGCCGGGGAGGACGCCCTTTGATCAAGACAAGAGACTTTGGGACGGCAAGATCTGGAAAGGATGGCTGTGATTTGCAGTTGTGACTCTATACTGATAGAGAGTAAGGATTTGGGTGGGGATAAGGGTTAACAAATGTTGGTGAGGCAAGATCACGGCAAGATGGTCCCATGCGTGGGACATGTGTAGGGAGTGGCGTTGCGTTCAATCGGTGTGGCGAAATCCCCACGAACTCTGAAAACGACGAGCAGCTAGACATGCCAGTGTCAACTACTGCCACCTCGTCCAAGGCGACGATTTACAAGGTAAAATATGTTCCTACGATGATTCACGATCCGACCAAGAGTATGTACAAACAAAAAGGAAACGGCGAGCACACCACTGGCACTATCAAATCAACCAAGAAAAAAGAGAAAGGGAGGAGACGTAAACAGGTTGCCAAGCAAAGGCGGCTGTTATAATAGTGTACATTATCTAGCGACAGCAAACTAGCCTACTGGTGTGAGATACGGCAAAATTTGTATGGATAGCAATATCGGCAGCAGAGGAGGAACATAGCTTGTCATATGAAGAGACAGATGAGACGAGTGACATGGAGAGAAAGAAAGATAACAGATGCTAGGGGAGAAAAGAGACGACAAATGATGAGTGAGAAAACGAGGAAAGACAACAGATGATATCCAGGTCATGGAATAGGGGATGGGGACTGATGGTAGTCTGATGGTAGCCGCGATGGAATGTGTGGCGGGATGAGACGGGGAGAAACCTTGCGAGAACGAGTTCAAAGCAATGATCATAGCAAGCAGAGGATGAGATGATATACGGCCAACCGTAAATAAAACCAATAAGGAAATTGACGATACCACCGCAGAACGAGGAGCGACCATGGAGACTACTGGACGCATCATCAATCAGCATGAATGAGAAACAGAGGGGACAGGATAAATAACACGCACTCTAGATGTACATGTTCAGGGACCCGATGCCCCCGGTGATGTCCTCCACCACCTCTGGCGTGCCTTTCCTCGCCACCTCCCTCTTCTGGTATGGCCCCGACGTTTGTACCGCCGGACTGGCCGTCTTCCCCACCTTCTTCCCACCAGCAACGGCTTTCCTCAAGATGTCCTTATAATCCACCGACTTACCCTTGGCATCTGGCGACCGCTGCACCATACCAGCTCCAAGCAACTTCTTGGCCTTGTCAAGCGAGATCTGTTCCCTGGCTGCCTCTATGATGCCCTCCCTCGTGTTCTTGCGAGGAGTTATATGCGCGAAGGGCTCGTACATGACCTCCCGGCAAGACGCCAACACAGGGTCCTTTTTGCTCTCCGCCACGTAGAGAATCGCACGTCCCTTTCCGCCGGTGGACCTGCACAGGTCAGAATGCACGATAGACTTCTCGCCGGCGCCGTTGGCCCTCAGGTAACACAACGAGATGCCCTCCGCCTCGGTCTGGCGGTGCAACTTCACCAACTTCTTCAACCAAGGGACAGCTTCGGCGGTCCTGGAAGCAGTGGATCTCTTCCTCGGCATGGGAGTAGGGGAGAACGGGGATGCTGGAACGCCACTAGGCCCACGCATGAAGGATGGTCCTCCCCCAAGCCTGTTCCTGGAGTACGGGGAGCCAGCGCGCTTGACAGGTGTGGCGGAGACGCTCTTCGTAGGACTGGCGAACGGTCGAGCGGAGAGGCTGTTGAACGTTGACGTCCAAGGGGTCGGGAACACAAGACCGCGATCGTGACCGTCTTCTTCTGGATCGTCGCCGAACTGGGCTGCAACTTGGGCGATATGATCTTCTATATCGTCGTCGGTGTCGTTGTCTTGGCCGGGGGAGGGAGGGTACGGGCTACCTCGTTCGAGGTTCATGGGAGAGCTAGATGTAGAAGTGGATGCCATGAGGGACTGGTGGGCGGGGGAGGAATCGGCGGCGTAGGGACTCTGTTTCCCGAGGTCCATGGGAGAGCCAGCGGGAGAGGTGGATACCATAGCGGGTCGTTGAGCGGGGGTGGAAGGGATGGCGTGGTGCGTGTGCTTCTCTACGTTCATTGGAGAGCCAGCGGGGGAAATGGACGCCTTGATGGTTTGGAGGACGGAGGTTTGGACAGGGCTGAGAACGTGAGAGTTCAGGCCCGGGATATCATCTGACGCAGCGTCAGGTTGCTATAGATAGTGTAAGTGATGGGGCGATGGCGAGGAATCGTCAGTATAGTTCGAAAATATGTATGGCGAAAATGAAAACCTACGGAAGACATCGACACATCTCCAACGAACTCTGGATCCATCTCAACATCGAATTCGGTGATAGCAGTTGTCGCGCTCTGTTCGGCCACGAAAGAAGGCGATGAGTAAATATGAGGATCATCAAGTGCAACAACCATGCACGACTCACCTCCAAACTTGACCGTTCCGACCCTGATTCATACACCGTAGTGGAGGCCGACAGTGTCCCTGGTCCATGACCGAGCTGGCTGCTCCTCTGTCGCATCTTCTCCAGTAATTCTCGGAAGTCAGCAGAGTGGTTGAACACGGTCTCCGAGGACGATGACGACGATGACGACGAAGCAGCGGCCCTGATGCGTCTGTTCCTGTCTTGCATATTCTTCACGATTTCCTCGATACGTTCTTCTTTGGTAGCAACGTCGGAGCGGTGTTCCTCGCCGTACGGGTCGAAGGAGACACGTCGGGCTGGACGCGGCGCGCCCGGTGCCCCACGCGTGGTTTTCGATAGCGGTGTTGGTTGGTTCCTGTACATGATATCTGTATGCGCTGCGAGGAAAAGTGGATGAGGGACGTGTGCAAGGTGGAAAGGCAGACGAAAAGGGAAGAGGAAGCGATGTGATGATTTAAAATTCAAAGTCGAACCCTGGGAAAATTCTTGACTCAGAGATTGACACCACGAGGAAAATTCGAAAAAGTGTTGATCAAGGGCATTCAGCACCATTAAAAGCGTACGAGCACATCCTCGCAATAGACAACGAAGCCAGACAACATGGCATCGAGGGGCAGAGCAGTTGAAGAGACGGGCTCAGCGCCACCGGGCCCGGGGAGAGTTCAACATTAGTGCACGGACCAACTGACACTGATGCACGTCCGTCGAGGACACCGAGTTCATCACCCACTCTACTATGTCTATGAGTTAAGAGGCAGGTTCAACAGGGCGAGCTATGGACTTAAAAGTTCAACATTGACGCACGGACCACCCGACGTCCAACAAGGGTCGCCAGACGCGTCGTCGAAGACGACAAGCCAGCACCCTTCGTCACGACGATGTCTAACTCGCAAGATATGGAGTGTAGAATATCTACAGTACGGTAAACGAGACCCTCGCGTAGACAGATCCAAGGGTGGCCCGGATCCAACAGCGACGCACGGACCAGCCGGCGCCCACTGTTCGTCGAGGACATCAACCTTGGTACCTACTTAACAAACACGTCGATGTATAGAGAACACGCCGACAATGGTGCCATTGTTCAAGTTCAACATTGCACGTGATGCTGACCGAGTACAAAAGAAACGAAATGGGGGCACTAAATGGGGAGGAATGAACATGTTGAAGGAGCGTACCGTTGAAGTTTAGGCGTTGATTGGCTTGTAGTCTGTCTTGTGTAGAGCTAGTATTGTCTGGAGTCTAGATGAGAAGACGAGCGAGAGTCAAAAAGCAGCTTGCGCGACGTGTTCGACGGTGGAACTCACTGAGGGGAGGCAGAGATGGTGGTGGTATGGGAGAGAGTTGGAGACGGGCACGGCCGGGGCTACTTATATGGCACAGTCAAAGAGGCGGTTCTATCTGAACGAACACGCTCGCCGGATTTGGACACCGTTGGTGTTTTTGATCGATTCGCGTCAATCTTGTGCCCTTGCATTGTGCGCAACCGTGACCCTGGCGACCCCTGTGTCGTGGCAATATCCGTCAAGTGCCGTTGGTGCCACCGTGACTTGACACTTACTGTGGCACCTGGACCGGTTTGAGGGGAGAGGTCGACTCCGACTCCTCTCAACGCCCAATAAATATGTCGTGAGAGGGAAATAGACCACGAACATGGAAAAATATCGTTCGAACCGACTCAAATCGGGAGATCTCCGTCAGACCGATTAATAAGTAGCTGAGCGATCTCCCAGTGACCATTCAATTGTGGCAACGCCGGTGCCACTGCGACACATCAAGATTCCGCTCATGGCGTGCCAAATCTCCCTGTACAATGATTAATGTAACGTGTTTGGCGGAAATTCGAAGACCTAGTTACAACTATCTACCGTTGTTTCAGTCCTTTGCGTCACAACCGCTGCTCAAACAATAAAGGGCCCGGGAGAAAACTTTCGCTTTTGGTTCTTTGATCAAGTCAATGAGTGTCCCAAACATAGGAAATGGAAGCGATGACCAGCACCGTGGAAAGGATAGTGAGATAATTAGCCAGAGTTTGAAAGTGGTCGACGACTGTTCTGGGTTGGGAACAAGTGTTAGGGACAAATTCAAGTTTCAATAGCCATTGTTTGTGCATGTTATGACTTGCGACACTATTTGCCAGCCTTGGTGACGCGATCGGCACGCTGTCTTGACATTCGTAAGAAATGGAACAAGCACTCCTTGCACAAATGTTCTGATCAGCTAGTATGTCCGGCTGTGAGCAAAAGAATGCATTTGTACGATTTGATTGCAGATAGTGACCAGTCCGACGAACAATGAAAGGAGAATCCGAGTCGAAAGCGAACAAACATAAATGAACATGGCATAGTACATGAGGGGCATGAGGTGGCGGTCTATGATCGTAGAAGGTATAACATGAGGAAGATCCAAAGAATAGCAAAGACAAAGTCGATCGCAGCGTACTGTTCGCCATCAAATCCGACGAGTAATTTTACACCAAGGTTCGAAACGCAGAGAGTTTTGGTGGTCCCCACGACGCGGTCACCCGGAACCGTGACAGAGCGAGGGCCAAAGTCGATCTTCCCGAGACAAGGCCCAGTAAGGCGAGCGGAAGTCTAGCAAAACAGCAAAACTCTAGTTCGAGAGCTTCATAGAGCCAAGAGCTCCACGAAGGGTCTCCACCTCTGCAGGCGCCTTCTTAGAGCTTGAAGTACCAGCCGTGGTCGCGGTCCTCTTGTACGGATTCGTGTTCGAAGCTCGAATCCTAGTCCTCTTGATTTTTCCGCCATCGTGGCCCTCGGACTCGCACGCGGTAATTCGACCACTGTTCTGGGCCAACGGCGGCCTACTATGGATACGAGACACACACGCCTTGGCCATGGGTGCCGCCTCATCCGAGTCTAGTATAGAGGGCGGGATCACGGACGACAACGATCCCTGGTCCTTCGAACTGACAAGAGAATGGATACGGCGGAAAGCTTTTGGTGTCATGCGAGAGCCTACAGAGGATGTGGCAACCGTAGCAGCAGCTGTAGCAGTAACGGCAACCTTGGAAATCACGGGGGCGTCCATACCAAGAGCATCCGAGCAAGTTGAATTCGGGCGATAGGTGCCCTTGACAGCAGATCTAGACGGGATACCGGGGCCAGTGGGAAGGGCATGACAATGGGACGTCAGATACGGGAGCGGGGACGGCCCATCCTGTGGGAGTCGTATCCTTAAATCCTTGTGTTTTGGGGAGCAGGCCATTCTGTTAATAGTGCTGGAACGAGGTCCGATGGCAGCACCGGATTTTGTGAACTTTTTGTGCCGAACCGGGCCTACGCTTGAGGGCTTACAACGGGCAGATTCGAGGGTAGATTCGTGGCCGTAGTCGAGGAATGGGTCCGAGGGCACCTCTGGAGGCGGAGACGAAGATGCGCTCCGGACGTGCGACCGGAGGGGGGACGACGCGTAGGGCGTGAACCTGGACGACCTCACGGGAGATTTTGGGGCCACCTTCAAGTTGACGGGAGATAAAGCGCGCACGGCGAGTTCGATGTTGAGAGTGGGTGAATGGGCCTCTTTCTTGAGCTTACGGAGCAGGCGATGCTGTGCAGAGTTGACGAGGGTGATTATTAGTTTTCGATATTTCGACGACGAGGGAGTGAAAACAAACATACCTCTGGGGATTTGAGGCCATCCCCGTGAAACAGCAGCTTGGCACTGAAGCTACGGGGCGTCATACGCTTGTCGGGGTCAGGCCTCGTGGACACCTTCATGAAAAAACGAAGAGGGTGACACGGATGAGGGACAATCGAACTATTATGTATCAGAAAATGTGTCAAACTCACCTCGTGTTCCCATCTCGATCCGGGCCTTTTTGGTGTCTCAGTCAGCGCGTTCAACGCTGCCGTCTCCATGCCTTCCTCGTCAGTATCATCGGTGTCCGGCGTGTACGAAATCTGACCGAGCCTCGAAGGTCGACGAGGCGTGCGAGTGACGCCGAAAGACTGCATACCAGGCGAAGTGGGAATCGTCGAGTTCGTGAAGATGGAGAGGCGTGTCCGACTTATCTACAGGAGATCGAACGGTGTCAGCGGAAGGAAGGTATCGCGGCGAAATGACGGAAAGAGAGAACAAAAGGGAATGCGGATCAATATTATGTAACACGGGTTGTGGGTTGTCCTCCGAAGCAATGAACATTGAAGACGGCTGTCAGGCAATGGCTGGCACTCGCCACTCGACTACCGATGACTGGAGCTGGAGGTGTCAATGTCCGTCACGTTCGACATTGATGGCCTTCGGCATCTGCACCATCCCGGCGATCCTGAGACATGGCCTTCGTTGCCATACCGTCTTCCGAGTCCATTGTTGAAGGCAATCAAGACATCGAAGAACACGTACCAAAGTCTCAGATCTAATGATTGTCTCTGGGAGACCTGTTCCTCGGACTTGCTGTAGCTTGATATCGATCCTACAAGATCAAACGAATAGGTAGACTAAGACTTCGTTTCGTCAGAGTACCAATGAGTCTGACCCGCGACGGTGAGATGATGGTGAGGAAGAGCAGAACGAGGTGAAACGTTTATATATATATACGCCGGGAAGAACCGACGATACTTATCAGGGCCGGATCTTACGCGAGATAGAAGCCCTCCGTATTTTCCGAACGTCTTGATATGGAAGGCTCTTTGTGCATAGCTATCTTGGGCCTGGTCAGTGGTAGGCTGTTCGGCAATGGTTATTCTGGAAGAGAACCCGAGTGTAAGTATCTTCCGGTCAAAAACTAGATAGGGTGATGAATCAGCTGAAGAAGAAACTTTTTCGGAGAGGCTTCACCCGTGCCAGTGCCAGTGCCAGTGCTTGAACCTATGTAACCAATGAAGAAATGACAGGAAGACTTCACCTCGATTCCTACGTTGTGTGTCTACCAGCCAGACGATCGGAGCGAGCATGACATGAAACGTGATGAGCAGACTCGAAGCCAACTACTGACTCGAGGGGAATTCAACGACGCCGCATAAGCGTCGCGTGTCCACATGCTACGATAAAACCACACGCACAACGAGTTACGAATCGCCCTCGATCTCGATTCTCAATCCATCTCGAACAACAACACCTCCGCCACGCCCTCTCCCACATTCTCCACCCTCACTTCACAGCCCACCCTCCCCCACACGAACGCCCCGTCTCCTTCTCTCAACGCCACCTCCCCCTTCCCCTTCCCCGTCTCCTCACCCCCATCCCCATCCCCACCCGCCTCCTGAGTCGAAATGATGCGCACGGTATTCCCACCCGCAGCACCCGTATTATATCCCGACGTCTGCACCACATGGACATACATCTTCCGCTCTTGCTCTTTCTCTTCCTCTTTCCCTTGGTCTGACGTCGAAGAAGCGGTGCCAGTGAACGTGTACGAAAGAGAGGTGGCTGGCGAGAGAAGGGTGGCGTAGAGAGATAAAGGCGCATGGACGGGTGCGGGGCCTGGGGCTTCGCGGTCGAGAGAGACGTAGGAGGAGGAGGAATCAAAGGGAGCGACGATATGAGCCCATTTATTCCTTTTTTCTGCGTCTGTGAAATGTCTGCACTCATCCGTCCGTCCATCCATCCAAAAACGCACAACCCAATCACTGTCAGCATACCTCCTCATGCAAGAGGTGAAAGGTATGAAGGGATGGAAGGAGGGACCAACGCACCTGGTGTAGTACTGAGGTTTGAGGCCCCTCTGCGACGGCAAGGCCCATATCTGCAAGAAATGGACCTGTTTGGGTCCATGTGTATGTTCGCTGTGACGAATGCCTGTGCCGGTGGAAGTCATTTGGAGGTCTCCCCGCTTCAGGATTTCCTTGTTGCCCAGCGAATCATTACTTCACACACACACACACAATCAGCAACCCGCAGAACAAAGAGGAGGGGTGGAGGGAGGGCGAGGAGGAGGGGAGGTGAGGATGGGGATGGGAACGAAGAGACTCACTGCTGCAACTCCCCCGAAACGACATACGAGAATATCTCAAACTCGCGATGCGGATGCGTTCCGAAGCCAGTCTGGGGCTCAACGCGGTCCTCGTTGATGACTCGCAGACAACCAAAGTTGTTGAACCGAGCGTCAGAATAACTGTCCACGAAGTCAGCCAAATACGACAAGAGGAGAGTGAGAACGAGAATGAAGATGAAGATGAGCACGACTGAGAAAGTGTAGGAGATGGGCTGGGATGGGTGGTGGTAGACGTACTCCGCGAACGAGAACGTGTGGAACGTCTTCAACCAGCCGTGGTTCGCCTTTCCGCGCTCTTCACTCGGCAGTTTCTGGAATCGAACAGCAGTCTTATCGGAGGTCGACATAGCTCTTCTTTGTACGCGTATAGAACCAGATAAAGAGGTCGAAGTGATGGGTTTCCTGAAAGATTTGAGAAGAAGCGAAGCCAGGCTGAGTACTCTCTTCAAGTGAGTGGGATGTGATGTATCCCAAAGGCTCGTCTATCCCTCCTTATATACACCCACGACCTGAGGTCTGAGAACCGACAGTCGACAAAAGGCACCTGGATTAGGCATAGAATTGGCTTGCATAAGTCTCTCGTTGAGGGAATGACGGCTGGACAAATCGACATGACGCCTCACAACCTCGTGTGTTCTCAAAGCTTCCCTTTTCGGGTGCGGGGTCCCACGTCCTCCCACGTCCACCGCCCGAGCTGACTACAATATAGTACTGTCTGCTTTTTTTCTGCTTGATTTTGGAAGATTTGAAGGTTTGGTGTATGTACAAGGTGTGTGTGGACGTGTGTGGGAAGATATGAGAAGAGCTGACTATTAATAACATTAAGAATGACGGTGGATGGTTGCCACCGCCACTGTGGCGTCTCACAGCCTGCCTATGTACTGTATCCAGTACCCAGGCTTTGCTGGTCTATCCATCGATCATTATATTCTGTGAATACAATAAGGACAAAAACCCAATAGCAACAACCAGAACTTCCTCCTTCCTGACCACAAGAAACGCTTTGATTTTGTTTCTTCTTTCTGAAAGGGGGGCCACCGAGCCTTGCCTTTCGCGGCTAGCGCAGGGCATCCCTCCACGTCATACCGAGCTCGCGTCCCCCATCCAGCTGCTGCTTCCTTTCTCATCCCCACCACTCCGTCCGCCGTCCTCACCCAAAAAAAAACCAGCTCGTCTTTCTTTCTTTACATATTCTTTCTGTAAACGTCTAGTCTAGTCTTGACTCTTCGTAGCGGGGCAGGCCTCCCACCCACGAATCCTCCAATTCACGGTCGATTCTGAGTATTCATCTACGCGCTTTTGGGCCAAACGGACGCTCGAAACCACATCGACTCTCAAGGAAATCCTTGAACTCGAACGTTTGAAGCATTAAACAATGACCGTCCCGCGACGCGAACCGGGCGTCGCGCCCGCGTCCGCACCGACGTCGAGGACGAACTCCGCACAGGCGGTCCCGAAGGTTAGCTCGAACACGAAATCATCGAAAGTCAGATCGAAGCTGGCTGCTGAGAATGGGAATGGGAAGGTGGTGGATGGGGTATGTGCTTTTGCTTTTTCAGATTTTGAAAGGCGGTGGTACTTTTTCGTTCCGACGGGTTGCGTGACGAGGCGGTGGGAGGGGAGGGGAGCATGTCGTGAGGCTCGTCGTCGTTGAGCTCGACGTGCGGGATTGGTTGATGAATGATGCGCCTCTGATGGTTGCGGTCGTGCGCCGGACCTCATGCAACTATTCCCATGCACTCCAGTCTCAGAGCTCGCTGTGACGTTGCGGGCTTTGCTTGCACCACGCGTATTGTGCGTGAGTTGCTAGCGAAGGGATGCGTGGGCTGTGTTGCTAGCGCAAGGATGCGTGGGTTGCTCGCGAATGCTAGCGAAGGAGTCGTACCCCTTTCACGCGCGAGGGGCGTTGCGTATAACGGGCTTAGTCTGGTGGCTGCGATGACTGTAGTGGAGCTCTTGATAGCACGCAGGCGTAAGCCCGTATCTTTGCGCTCTCTTTGTACGGGGACATATCTTGCCACCTAACGTTTTGTGTGTGTGGCACTTCGTAACCGTACGCTGTCCGAAATGACCGTGTTCGCCGTTTGGGCACTCACCCTTGAGCATGCTTCGTGTGACTGGATTTATTGACTGACATATTTGCTTTTCTGCTGTAGGATGATTCACTCAAAAAGAAGGGCAAGCAAAAGGGCAAGCCTAAGAAACAGGGCAAGGTATGTCTGTCCTTCTTTCCTCCATCCTACTTGGTATGGTTTGTTCGTCAATGGAGTTCGAGCTGGTGTGATTCCGGCTACGAAACCAGGCTGGTTGCTCCGGCCCCCATCTTCTGTGCCACGCCCACAACCTTCGCTACCTTCGTTCCTTGTGTACGCGCGCCAACACATCACGCTAATCCCCTCGCCCCCACAGAAACGCAAACGCACACTCTACTCAACCTCCTACCTCGACCTCCTCTTCCGCTACCTCCTCCTCTTCTTCACAATCTACTCCCTCTCCGTCTGCCCCTCCGACAACTCCCTCGACTCCCCCATCTGCCGCGGTCTCTCCATCTACCGCAAACTCGTGCTCGATCCCTACGTCCTCCCCCCGCTCAACAGCGCCTACCACACCATCATCACCCACCCCTCCGTCGCGCCCAAAATCGAACAGGCGAGACCGGTCGTGGAGAAAGTTTTGTTTGTGGCGGATAAGGTCGTAGAGAAGGCAACGCCGGTGGTTAGAAGTGGAGTGGCGGTTTGGAAAGCTAGGGTCGTGCCGCAGTGGGAAGGTCGGATCGTGCCGCTGTACGAGAGACATGTCGTCCCTCGGGTGAGATACTACATCGAGCCATACATCGCCCAGATCGAATCATACCTCGCGCCCTACATCGACACTTTCAATTCGAAAGTCTACGCCCCGTCGAGTGCGTCCCTATCGCACTACCACCGCCTCGCACAACCGTACATCCACACCTTCGCACTCAAGACGCACGAATACGCATTAGAGGCCTATCGCCTCGCGCGCATAGCATACGCCAAGAGCGCCCCAGTAGTGCGAGAAGCGTGGGTGCGCGCGGAACCGGTTAGAGTTTGGATAGCGGGGAAGGTGGGCGAGGGGGTGGGGCAGGTGGGAGTGTTGAGGAGGAGGTGGGTGGATCCGCAGGTGGAGAGGATATGGGAGGCTGTTGTGGAGTTGAGTGGGACGGAGAGGAAGGGGGAGCCGGTGTTTAGGACGCAGAGCCCGGGACATAAAGTGAATGAGGGCACGACGGAGGAGAGGTTGAGCAAGGTGGAGGCGGAGCCGGTGCCGGTGGTGGAGGACTTGAAGCCGGAGGAGACTGCGAGCGCGAGTGTGATTGAGACGGTGGAGAGCGTGACGGAGAAGGCCAAAGAGACGCCGGTCGAGGTTGTTTTCGCGTCTGTCAAGTCTGTGATTGAGGAAGCGACGAGTTTCGCGGGGTCGTCGGCGAGTGGTGCTGTACCCGCTGAAGAACCTACACCCTCCTCCGTCACATCGTCCTCATCATCCTCGGTGGCACAAGAACCGGTACCCACGCAAGTATCTGTCCCTGTATCGGTCGACTCGTCCGTCGTGGCCGATGCGCCTGAAGGAACGACTGCCCCCCTCACCGAAGAAGCTGAAGAAGTCGAAGGGGGAACAATCGACCTCGACCTCCTCAGCGAAGACGAAGAATCCGACCTACTCGCCCTTCTCGGTCTTTCTCCCTCCTCTAACTCCAACTCCGCCTCATCTTCCTCCTCCTCTCCCTCTTCCTCAGGCTACACATCCCCCACGATCATCGACGTCGACCCGGAACTGGGAGCCGCGACGGCATACGCTGCCCCTCCTTCTCCTGATGATCTCACGGAGGAAGATAGGAAGAGATTGAGGATGGAGAGGAGTGATCGGATGAGGGCGGATGTTACGAAGCGGACGGGGGTGTGGGAGGCGAGGTTGGAGGACGGGATTAGAGTGGGCTATGGCCGTGTCGTCGCAGCCCTCGAAAAGACACGCAAAGAGGCTGTGAGAGACCTTAAAAGTAAGAGTGCTGGTGCGGGTGGGGAGAAGATCAGGGGGAGTGTGGAGGGACTGGTGGGCGAGGCGGAGAGGCTTGTGGGTGGGGCGGAGAAGTGGTTGAAGAAGGAGGAGAGGAAGAGGAAGAGGGAGGGGATTGAGGGGGAGGAGGGTAGGGCGATGTGGGAGATGGTGGTGGAGAAGGTGGAGGAGAAGTGGGTGGGGAGGGTGGGCGAGGTTGAGGAGGAGGTTAATGTGTGGTTTGGGGGCTGGACGGGGAAGGAGGCGGATGAGGTGTGTTTCTTTCCATTTCTCGCTGTTCCCTTGGCCTTGGATGGAGGTAAGAAATATATGTATACTGACATTTCATTTGTGTGTTTATAGGTCAACAATATCATACGCGAAGTTCGCTCCATCGCAGAACGCGCCCAGGGCGATATCGGTCTCGATTATTCGTGGCTCGAGGACGTGACGTACAAGGATTGGCAGAGATACCATGACTTGATCCGACGTGCGTTCCATCCCTCTCTCCTCTTCTTTGTCTCCCTTGCACGTAGTTAACCTTTTGCTCTGTTTATTCTTTCACGATCTGTCGCCCACGCGCCCACCCTTGCTTGACGATCAATACACCCGTCCTTCCTTGACGATCAACACGCAAACAGGCACCGACAACTTCACAGCCGACGCCATCGCCCTCCAGGACGGCTCGCATCCCTCCGCGTCGCCTAATCCCGTGCTCGCAGCGCTGGAGGACCTAGAAGAAGAAGTGAAGGACGTTATCGCCGGGTTCGAGACGCGGTTGAGGCGGGTGAAGATCGGTGGTGAGAAGGTGTTTGGATCCTCCTCTTCATCCTCCTCAGCATCATCAGAACCGTCCAGCTCGTCGTCTGCTGAGTTCCCGGAGTCTACGTCTTCGGTGGAAGAGGGAATAGAGGCAGAAGCGGAGGAGGCGGTCGAGAAGATCGAGAAGGGGGATGTGGAGGAACCGGTGGCTAGTATTTTGCCGATTGAACCGGAGCCGGAGGTTGCGCAGGGGGTGCTGGGGAGTGGAGCGGGTGTTATTGGGAGGGGGAAGAAGGAGGTGGAGGAGGCGATGGGGAGGGCGGAGGTGTTTGGGGAGGGGGCGAGTAAGTTTGTGAAGAGTAAGAGTGGGGAGGCGAAGGAGGCGGTGAAGACGCATGCGGCGGATGAGTTGTGAGTGGTCGTGGGGTGAGGTGTGGCAGGAATCAGAGGAGTTTGGTGCAATGCGTCGAGTGTGGTGGAATGGCGTAAGAAGTGGTCGTTGGCTATCTTTGTGGGTCCATTCTTCCTCTACCGGGCTACGATGCATGCTCTGACACGATACGCTGCAGAACGGATTATTAGGTTTATTCAGCTCGGTCTCCTTGTTATTCTATCTCTCTGCCTGCAAAGCATCATCCAACATATGCAATCTATGCAAGTCTTCATCTCTCCTCTACAGTCCAATCCCGTTCTCCGTTAGTGACCCCTCTTCCCTCTCCTCTCCGTTATTTTTTCTTTCCTTCTCTTTGCTTTCTTCCCTTTGCTCGCTCTCGCCGTTTCGTTTCATCATTGCCTTCCCCTTTTATACCTAGCATCCGATTCGATTCCCCGTACAGGTTCCTATATCTGTGCTCAGCCGCGGGGCACAACTTGCCACTTGGCACCCTGCTCGAACTCGCTTCTCTTACAATTTACATCCTTTGCGTTTATGAGCTTTACATACTCCATAATGAGATGGCTTTCCCCTCTCCTCCCTATTCACCTTCGTTCCTCGGAGTGCCTGAGCTGACCCACAGGTCGTCCCGAAATGAGCTGTCTGGTTCATGAGGACTAGCTGTGGCTGGAAAGAGGGGCAGCAACCCTTCACCTTTCGCCCTTGAGGTGGTTGTCATGCATTTCTCTATTTGTTCACGGTACATGCGACAGTGGCAGGTATTTTTGACTAGCGGTGTCGATATTGCTGCGGTTGCCTGTGTGGTTGTCCTTGCATTCAGATACGAAACCTCGGCCAGACGTCGAGCACATGTAGAGCGGTGGCGTTTCGTATGGAGGGGTTCTATGCACTGTAAGTCCGCCATTCAATCGCTGAGTGATTCGTTGCTGACTGTTGGTGACTCCACATTTTCATGGGCTAGCTTCGTATATTCGAAGTTCGAGACGATCACCTCGGCTTTCTGTCTTTTTGTTCCTGTTGACTCCTCCGGTGTTAGGGTGGAAACCTACATAGATGGGTCGCGGCCGCTACCGCGATGCGCTTTGACTTGGGAGACGGTGTCCACCGACCCGTAACATGTACAGCAACGGCCTTGCCGATCCCAGGGAATCAAACGACCAGCCGATTCATGTCAGCGGGAGAAACTCCCCTCTACTTGTCGCTGCCGAACAGGTAGGAGATGTGTGGCCGTTTGGATCGACTGCATGGTTCTAAGGTTGTATTTATTACATACAATCCTTGATGACGTCGCGCAATCTGAGGCTAACTTTTAGTAAGTTGTATCTGTGCATGCGGCTCGGTGTCTCGGTCGGGCACCGACGCTGGACAACGCTGGTCATCGTTTACTCCCGTGTTCACTCGTCGGTCCTCCGACGATCATGACCGGTTGGGCACAGATGGTGATGTCGCGTCACGGCTAACTATGCAGGTCGCTCATCCGTAGTTGGGGTCGACGGAGTTAGTTTAGACAGCCGAGTGGAATAGTCTACTGCTTGTATAAAGCAGTAGCTACGTGGGGTCAAATACAGCGGTACGCTTTTCAACCTCGAAGATTATGCCGGCACTTACAATAGGTTTCACCAGTGCCTGGCTTCGTTTGATCCCAGCTCAAGACGCAGCATCAAAATACGTAGTCTGTGCAGAGGGGATAATCATTGGTTGTTTTCCTTCGACGGTATGAAAGGCAGTGACACTATATTCAGACCTATCCCCGTCTCAGTCGGCTATTCGTGCGCTGTACTGGGTTATCACTCTGCGACTAGTGGTGTCCGCGGAACGCTTGGATCTCAGTCAGATATCTCGGGTCTGACTGAAAGAGTGCTGCTCGAGGTTCGATATCCTATTGTTAGACCATTTGCGGAAGGCTTGTGATTCTGTTGTTATCGTTAGGGGGTAGACGGATCACGGCGAGCTTGCGAATCCAAATCAAACCGATGGTCGGACAGAGTGATTGACTGGTGTGTCAGTGATGTTAAGCGTTTCTCACACAAACAAAAAGAAGCGGGTCACTGATCTCTCCCTCTTTTTCGTTCTCTTTAGCCGTAGAACAATATGTTGCGCAAGATACAACATAGAGAGCAGAATGAAGCTCATCGACGTCACCACAATTCCCGAGATCTTGGTGGCGCTACGTCGTAAGTATTTTCGTCACGCACGTTGTCGAAACTTTGTCGTATAGACTTTGCTGCCCCATGGCAGTACGCCTAGCTGAAACAACAATTGTTGGCGGCAAAAGTCGATGATGCCTCTCCATCATACTCTTTCCGGGCAACGTGGTGGGCAGCTACATCGAATTGTACTGGTCAAAATGTGGGTGAATAGACCGTATCTGCGAAGAATATTTTGACCTCGCTAAAGCCCAATGGGACACGGTGATTGGTCCGATCGCCGTTTTTAAAGTCGTTTTAAACGGTTGCAGATACGGTCTAATGCTAGCAACAGTGCTTTCCCTGGAGCAAAAGGCATCGGAGTCCGTTGGTTTGTGGAACAGATCCGCGGTTGACATCTGCTCATTGAGACCGTTTAAAACCCCACTTTGCAGGTGGAGGTGGAGCTGATACGTCTTGCTTCTTCTCTGATTCGGTGAAGTTCTCCTGATCAGTCAACAGGGGAACTTTTCGTCGGATTTTCCGTTATTCCAGTCGACCAAAGCCCGATGATTCGTACTAATGTGGGACTATACCTTCCTTCCTTCCTGGCATACATCCCCTTCCGTCTAACAAGGCCGTAATTCCAGGCAGTCGTCGCTGCTGGTCGAGCAAAGATGTAACGGAGGTTTGTAACAGCCGTCCACTTCCTGTTCGCTCCTTCCCGTCATGAAGACCATATCAGCAGCTGACTCATGCTATCATGGTTCTAGTAGGTTCCTGTGGGTGTAACATTGTTCATCACAACCACCATCAACAAATATAATGGCCCAAACTCACACTCGCTAAGCAAACACTCGGGCATTTGGTAGCGTTCGCGGCTACCAAGGCCCTACCTCTCCCTACCTCCGCTCGCAAGATGCATGATCCTCGGCTGTTCGCAATCGACAATTCAAACACGTACGTTCCTGTTTCACTTGTCGCTGAGATGTGAATGGTTCAAGAGCACTCGGCGGTACCCGTCACAAACAATCGCTACCGACTGCCGACCATGCTTAGTCCTCCCGACTCTGCGATCTTATTCAATTGACATGCCTGTTCGCACGGATATCACGTCGGGGTAACGAGCTTCATCGTAAGCAGCGGTGTCAGTGTGGTCATGGTCTACTGCGTTGACGTTCAGTCTCTCAACCGCTGCCAGACGAAGATCGCGCGGATTATTGCAGAGACAATAAAGCGACACGGTGACTTCGAATCATGCGTGCCTTGTGTCTCTAGTGGTTTGATCGGCGTCGCCAGCTTCTATTACCTCTTGACCTCAAAATGATTATCGATATTAACGTTAACACTGAGCACTGTGATGTGACCTACGGTCTGTGGCGCAGAGCCAACCCGTTTGAGGGCTTGGGTATGTTTGATGGGGGTTTCAAACACTCTTCGAGTTGCTCCTCGGACCTAGGTGCAATGTATGTTTTACGTTCCCATTCGGGTATAGACCACTCGATGTGAAAGTTTTCGATGATAAATCACCTTTGTTTCCCTTTTCCCATCCAATTATCTAACCATTAGAACCCTAGCAGTTCTACGGTAAGGTCGCTCGAGGGAGATGCCTCTGTAACTCCACTTGCGGAGTCTGGATCTGTGCATCGAATTTCAGCTCGCCCTAGAGGCACCTCCGTGGCCTGTGGTGAAACGGCCGCCGAGAGCTGCAGAGACGACCAGGCTAATATGTAGCTGCATGTTGGACTACACTTTGTGATAGTCTACGTAAACCAACATTGCGCGAACTCTCTTATTCCCTCCTGGCAGGTACCGATTGTGAAACGACGGGCCCTCTGGCTCTTCTTGAGCTTATGGTATGTCCCCTATTACCAGGCCCATGTCAGATAGAGCTGATCGTGAAAATTTCCTGTGTACAGCCTACTAATGCCCGGAGCCGACCACCTAGCTAAGGGTGCATTCGGCAACCGAGAGCGGCGGATTCTCGCCCGATTTCCAGCCACAGATTCTCGTGCCTGCGGGTCGGACCGAGCCATCTTCGTACTCCGACGCTGTCACGCCCGACGGTACCGTGATCTTGCACGTCGAGTACCATCCCATGCCGTGTTCGACGCAAAATCTACGACTCGAAGGGCTGAAATTAGCTTCTAATATTCGCAGAAGGACTTGTGAGGGAGACCGTTTCGCATATTTCCCCTATTTTTTGTGGACGAAAAAGTGACTGGTGATGGCGTTAATGAACAACCTCCGAAGGGAGAGTTCGGCACTGTGGCGCTCGTCATGGATGTTCAGATGCTGTACCCATTTCACTCCATGAACCATGGAAACATATGAGATAGACCTATGATCCTCCCCATGATAGCATTAAGCAAATCCGAAGTGAAGTCGAGGTGCATGTGTCAAGCATGCACCATAGGCCCCTTGTTGAAAACATGCCTTTGAGAGGTCTTTACGAGCCCATCCGTCATGCAGGGGCAAATTAAACGTTTATGAAGCTGTACAGAGTCTCAGAGCACCACCATTAGTTCCTTTTTTTTGAGCTACACGAAGTGTGAACTGCGAGATCGGCCAAAGGTGTGAGCCTCGGGACACTATAAAAAGTGGATGGAGATACACTTCGAAGCACATTATAACATACTTTTATCTTTGGGCAACACGGCACAGTTTGCAGTGCAGCTCACCAAAGGTAGCCCATCATCGTGACACGATGAGCGCGAGTTCCTCCAAGTCTCTTGGTGAAAGGTGGCCGCACTGATAAAAGGGCGAAGTGCCACAGCGAGAGTCACATCAGTCACGCAATATGCACACGGCAGAGCTCGGCAGGCATTTCGGCTGCCGAAGAATCCACGAAATCCGAGAATCCATATTCTTTCATTTTGGCGGGAGAATCTGCCCGAAATCGACCCGCTCTCGGTTGCCGAATGCACCCTAAAGTTTAGAGTAATCGCATGCTGTTCGGTGTGTCTATTGTTCACACATTTATTAACCGTTGATGGAGCGATTCCGGCGAAACGTCGTTGAAACCGGGTTAGGATTAAGCTGTCGAGATGATGTGAAGTTGCTTGCTAAAGTAGAAGGACACTAAAGAATCTGGGCCCCATAGTCCTATCCTACGTGCTTGGTGCGCACAGGCACTGTCATGGATTTACTCGGAATCATTGCCATGGACGAAAAGTGTATATGGTATGATGGGGTCGTCGACAAGGTGCGCCTCTCGATCCGCTGCTATTCAAGTGGGTTTAAGGGCCTTTTTGTACTACCTTATCCAGATTTGGACGGCAAAGAGCTTCCCATCGCAGGGCTTGAACGTGATTTGTTCTCCTGCTCCGCGTTGGATATGATCAGCAAAGTCAGTATCACAGCTTCCCATGTCTTACCTGCGTGCGCCAGGTCTACAACTATATTTGTGGTCCATATTCAATCGACAGTGTTGGTATTGGTGTACCTCCTTCAACGTCCAGAGGTCTTCGAACCCGCTCTTCTCGATAGCATTACTCCAATCTGCCAGAGTTAAGACTCCGTTCTTAAATCTGGGTGTATCCAAGCTCCTTGGGTCAACTACTCTCCGCTGTAGCTGCGAATATCAGGCATCTGACCTGTGCCCAGTATTGCTTCGCGTTGAACGCAGTGCTGCTGGCTGCTTGTTCGCTTCCCCGACAGTTGCCTTCAGGCTTTCGATGCCACAAGTCGGTTCGACGCTAAAGTTAGCCTGTGGTAGTAACACGTCATTGGGAGCGCAATGCAGAGGGCGCTGATGCGACCGTTTGCGGACGCCACCTCGTGAGGCCTAGTATACGTGCGCGTATTGAGTCGAGGCTCGAAGATCGTGTCTGTCAGGTTTTGGTGCTCTTCACTTTCTTTGGAGGCTCTGACACAATCGCCGCATTTGTTACAACGGACGTATGGCCGCTCCACGGACTCGCTGCATCAGGATTATGCCTTCCACTGCTCACCAAAGGTCCGAGACACTCTTGATGTTCGTGTCGACGTTTCCAAGACCGGCTCTGTTCCTTTCGGCCCAGGTGTTGCTGATGAGGAGTACGCCGCACATGCAACTGTTTTGAACATACTATTTGTCTGGCCTACCCATCTCTCAGTGTTTTTCGACACACGAGACCCTTGAGATGCAGCCCACCAGCCAATTTTCAGCCTCCACGACCCAACGATATAGGCTTCTAGGGATATACCGCTACAGTACTCCAAGACCCCACTGCGGCGCGAAGGCGTCAGTCAATTTACACGTTCTGCGCCTTGTTTTTTGGTGTCAGCTAAGTTATGTACAGCTGGAGATTAACCCACCTCCACAAAACCCTGTTCTCTTTCCGAGGGTGAATGACGGTATCAATTTAACCGTAAAGCTATTTATCGTATTCTACTTGTAGCTGATCACGATGCTTGATTTAGCTCGAGAATCGACGGTTACGTTCACCACTGCCGTTCTCGGTCCTACTAGCTCATCATAGCTCAACTTTCCTTCCCTCTGCATGATGATCTCTCAAGACCTCACCGCGTTCAACATCGCCTTGTGGCGACATGATTACCGCCGCGTCTCGCCACAATACGTCCAGGCCGACAGCGTACGAGTAGGATTGAGCAAGAGCTAGTACCTTTGCCATGCATTCCGAGGGTTCGGCCGCGCGTCAGCCGCTTCACACGGAGATTTGTACGACCCGCTGGAGAGATCGTGTGAGTTATATGGGTGGCCATTCATCGATGTTGAGGCTCGAGAATATCCACCCAACCCTCTCATAACAACTGTTCTCCAGGCTGTGATAGGAGTTCTGACAATACACAAGCCGTCGTCCTGGGATATGCACCATGATTCTCGATTTTCATCCCAGGCAAGCTGTTTGCCGCGTTCGTCGCCAAAAATGTTGACCACCAGGCAGCGGGATCCTTCTCCGGTGCTTCATGCCGTGTAAACGCGAGATGTCCGCTTCGAATTTTCCTCGTTCATCTTGTGTCCACGATGCTGGAACCTCAGACCTCAGGGTAAGTGGGCTGACCACATCTTGTAATAGGGCTGTGTGAATGTGCGAGGAATCCACGGCGACCGGATTGGGAAAGTACCATGGAAGTGGAACTCGAGACCGTCTGTTGCGTGATGGTCTATATATCAGTGCCTCGTCGTGTTCTGCGTGCTTGCGCGGCGACTGCGAGGCTTTCGTACCTCCAAGTAGATGAACGGAGGACTGGAGACCGTCACAGGTGGGATAAGAATGTGCTCTTCGTGGGTTCACCGTGGATATTGCCGTACATTCTCTTGCGAGGTGCCCACCGCATGCGCGTGAAGAAGCAGAACGACCGTCTTCGAACCAGTCAGCCAAGAAGCAAATTCGGGCGCAATGAAGTCAGTTGAACTAACTTGGGATAGCTTCGAATTTACTCCTCGGACGTCGGGGGAAAGACAATTCCTCGAGCAATTCGCCGAGCTTTGAGTGTGTTTGACCAAAAAGGTCCAACTGGTAACGTCCAAATCTAAACCTGAGTTTGACAGATGCGCCGTTCGCTCCGCTGAGGCGTCACATCTTTGAAGCTTTACGTTGGTCCAGCCCCCATCTTTGAATAACCATATACTGATGGAGGCCTTGGAAACGAGTAATGCATTCCAGAGCGAGGTCCTTCTCCGCAATTCTGTACTAGGGGGCAGATTTCCTAAGTCAATGCGGCCGCACTCACCATGCGTATAGATGCTATAAAAATCGCGATTAAATTGGGTAGAATAGGCATCAGGGATTCGACGCGTTGGGCACGTCGCGAGTCGAGGGTGTTCTAGGCAGAAATTGTGAGACTTTTAGGCCTTCGTGTTTATAAGATTAATAGAAATGCCCCATGTCCAAGGGGATGAGAAGTAGGGCGGATAAGTAATAGGAAGTCACTACCTCTCAGAAGGGGTTGGCCGTATGAGTAGCCGGCGTATCTCAAGGGAGAAAGAAGATACCAGTGTGACTCTGTGTGAAATTGCTTGAAGCAAGCGATTCCCAAGTAGGGCGGTTCGTGGGTACGGGTTCACCAAGCCCCCGTCATGCGGACGAAGACCTCTGGCATTCTGGTAGGTGGAACAGCACACGGAGAGCAAGATAAATCTCATAGATGGACATACGACAATCAAATAAGAGGCCGGATGGACGGTGACCAACCGACCACGAGTTCGAGACAGGTCAATATAGAAAATCGGAGCAATAAGAGAATTGATAACCTCTTGTTACTCAAGCCTCTTCCTCCGTCTCTCTCCAGCGAAGATTGCCTTCATAAAATGCAAACATCTACGAGTACCAGGTAGTCAGCGCCATTAGTTCGTGTTGCAATGAAAAGGGAGGCTCATAGGACGCACCTTGTTTGGGAATTTTTGATAGCACACTGTCGTTCTTTCCTTGCAATTCTCGGCCACCTTTTTGCTATTTCGGTTAAGTTGATGATCGGTGAGTCAACTCGTTTACAGGCGTAAAAGACAGAACCACGTACAGTCGAAAGAACACCCAAAGGTTCCCGTCATCGTCCCTCTCGACGGTGTCTACGCGCTCGATCGAGTTCTCCCAATTCTCCCTCTCTTTCCACTTCTTCTCCTTGCTAGGTTCGATCGTCGGCACGTCCTCCTCCTCCTCCGTATCGACAGTAGAAGGCGCCTTTGCCTTGGCTTTGGTTGATCCGTTTGACTGCCTCGGCTTCTTCGGTGCCCTCTCCTCGTCTTCCTCGACCGAAGTCTTTTTCAAGCTTGGTCGTCCGCGGCCGCGCTTCTTTGGCACTGCAGAAGATTGGGTTCCTTCATCGTCTGAAATCTCGGACCTGGCTGCACTCTTGCGACTCTTAGTGACCTTTGGCTTTGCACTTGCACTGGCGCTGGATTTTGGTAGTTTCGCCTTGTGTGTCTTCCAGAAAGCGTCGATAAGATCCTGCGCGTTTCTGCAGGATGATTGACATTAGCGAGGGTACTATATAGTCGTGGAATGATAAAGAAGTCTTGAGACTCGTGTCGAGCCATTGTGTCTGTATAGATGATGGGTCGATGTGCCGTCCTTTGTGCGACGGTGGTCCCAACATGGGTAATAGATGGAGGAATATAATGAACAACTCACCCAGCGTCTTCCTCCCTGACCCAGCTGTTATCCTCTTGAGGATAACCTTTCCACTTGACAAAATAGCCCACTTTCGCCTGCTCCTGAATAATGAGAAAGCATATCCCCGGGCAAGAGGCACCACGCGTAAAAAGCGTGTCAAGTGGATATTCGTGATACGCACTTGCTCAAACACGCCTTGTTTCGCGTCCAAAATTGCTTCAATCTCGTACTCCGGTTCATCGTCCTCATCGTCTCCTCCTGAGACATTCTCTCCTTCATTCGCGTCCTCATCGTCTCCTCCTGAGACATTCTCTCCTTCATTCGCGTCCTCCTCCGCGTCAACGTCGGCCTTGCTGGCGCGTTTCGTCTTCAGGGTGCTCTTCTTGACTTCCTCTTCGCTGTCAGAGTCGGTTTTGCGAGGCATAGCGTGTAATTCGGAAAGCAGACGTGAACGAACAAGTGAAAGAGAGAAATGTTGCAGGACGCGTCGAAAGCGCGTGTGGAATTTGCGTGACCATTGTGACAGCGTGATGTTCGCGCCACTCCCAATGTTGGTGGCACAGAACGGAAGATAGCCACGAACTGCCATCGCCCACTCCTCGATTTACGACCCTAAATAACTCTAGCTTATACTAATAGAGCTGAAGTGAACCCATTGCCTCAAGCAAGCTGAGCTTGAGCACTCATTTTATCCGTTCGAATTTTGATCAACAATTCAATAAAGCAACAATAAAGGTATGTTTCTGCCTAATTTCTGCCACTGGTATTCCTTCAATTGCAATGGCCAGTTCTAGGGCAATCATGTTTGAAGAAATCCCGCATCATTTTAGTTTCTCTCGAGGCTACCACCTAGTACAGGAGAACTTGAGGAGAACCGTTTACTCGTCGAATTGAACGCTGATAAGTAAGTTCCACCGTTTTCTGAAGTTGAGCACTGCTTTTACACCTTCTGTATCATACGCATTAGCTCTTTAACCATCTGCGATTCCGTGCCCGGGACGGCGCTCACGCTCCACTGCTCAGGCGAATGTCAGACGGACAAGTTTTCTCATCGTTGCCTCAAAATCCCATCCTTTAACCAGGACCGAGGCTCATGTTCAGCCCCATCCGGATCTGCGGATCCGGCTTGTAAAACCTCAAACCGCGGTTGTGTTACATACACGCAGCTACACCGCCGTTTGAGCTTCCGGTCAGAATAGGTTTGGAAGGTTCCAACCCGGATAGATGTCGTTCGGGCAATGGGCCAAGGTTGATGCAGATAGTCTCGATGCGAGAACCAGAGGAAAGAGTCACGGTCCAAGGTCGAAGTCGACCTTGGACCCATTATGTTGCTTAGTCATTGCCTAATATAGCGATCGCCGACAGCGATATCGACGAACCGTCGTCGACGCATTCACGCTCTGACAGACAGAACCGGTTGAAAGATATTAAGTTGAGACGGAGGGTATACAGTTGTGCAAAATCCTCGAAATCTACTCTATACAACACTATGGAGCAACGGGAGCAACAGGAGCGTCCTCTGCTTCCTCTGCCCGAATCGCAGCGGTGATATCCTCTAGCTCGCCATCAACGTTGTCCTCGTCGACGGACGGCTCAGCCGCCAAATCCCCCTCTGAATATGACTGCATCTCCTTGATGGTCTTGTAGATGGCCTTCTGCCAAGGAGACATGCCACTGATTCTCGGTTGAAGACCACCAGGGCATAAGCGAACATGCTTGGTCAGTGCCAGTTCAAACACTCTACAAGATACGGTCAGACAAGAGTAAATAAAGGAAGCAAATAGCAAGTTAACGCACTTGCTGATACTCTTCCTACGCTCCTCGGTGTTGGTGATCTGCTTGTACTTGTCGCGCCGCTTCTGGAGTTGTTCGTCGAGCCAATCCCAGAACTTTGATGCTCGCTGCTCTCCCTTGGATACGAGTTCTTGGAAATCTTCAAGCTTCATTTGCTGGATAATGTCAATTTCGGAGTCGTTAGATAGACTCATAAGGATTCGGCGTAGCAGTAAATCAACGTACCACCCAAGCCCATCGACCCCACATCTTCACCGACGGCTCGACGCTAGGCTTTCCGATGAGCTGCCCAACGAGTGTGTATATATTGGTCTTGTTCTTCCATCCCTTGGTCAGCTGTAACATCATTAGGACGACTCAGTATACATAGACGTCACATTCACAGGGGCCCGGTACGCACCTTTCGCTTATACTCGCCCCGAAGAGCACCCAAAGATGCTGAGATTGCCGTAGCGAACTCCTGTGTTGTCAAATAGTCTACAAGCGAGTCGGGAATACGATAATCTGCGGAATGGAGACGAATATGCCGCTGACAGCCGAAGATACAAAGGATTCAGCGACGAATAACTGAAGTAGCAAGACAAGCACACATACAACCCAACGGGCGGTCAAATCATTTTTGTAGAAGGGAAGATCTTCATTCATGAACGTTGCATGAAGCTTGGCGACGACAAATTGCTGTGAAGCTCAAGACAGTCAGTACAGCCCAGAGTGCATCAAAATTGGATGTTACCTTATACTGCCGGCCCTTGAAGTATGCCGTGGCTGTGGCATCGGACACGTCAATACGATCCCGAAGCATCCTCGCCCACATAGCGACCACGAGCTTGTGCGTCGGGAGCTGTAGATAGACGGACAGTTTGAGAGAAGAAAATAATGCACAAACAGGAGTAGACAAGAATGGAAACAGGATCGCACCTGAGCTTTCTCGATAAAGTCTTCTTGCAACGAGTCCGGTACCCCATATTCAACGCAGATGGCCGTCGCGAAGCCCTGGATGTTTTCCTTCTCGGAGTTGGTCCACTCGCGCAGGTTCTCCGGGCAAAGCAGAGAGTGGTCCAGTAACGAGAACGCAGATTGGTCTTGAGAGATGGAGGCATTAAGCGTGGCCTGCGATGTCGTCCGTAAAATGCCTTGATAATGGTGTTGAACGTGTCTGTCAGACCTAGGTTGAATCCAGAGAAGTGAGGAAAGCACGCACCATTATGCGATTCACCTTCTTCTTCAGTCTGCGACGTCGTATCGAAAGTGTTCGGGACGTCCGCGGTCTCCGTATACGACATGCCTGCTACATTGATATTGTACGGAAGACGGAGTTCTTGCAGCGGATCCGGAGTGCGGTTAGAGAAGCGAGCTGGAGTGGAAGGTGGTCCTGGTGTTGATGGCCGGGGGTTGGCATGAGCGTGAAAATTGCTGTCATCCTCGAATTCGAGATCGTCGCAGAGAGGCATGACCGCAGCGTATTGATCTGCTGGAACTGTCGAGATCCTGTCAAGGGAGTGGGTTTGGGGCGAGTGGAATGAGCAGGTCGCAATGAGGGCGAGGTGAATAATGGCACAAACAAATAGCAAACAAGTCAACAAACTTCACGTTGAGGCCGCACGCCGCACGGCACAGACTTCGGTCACATGACTGACCTGGTTCGTTGCTGTGTGGCACCACTGCGATGTCGCAACTCTCGACCTTCATTCTGGGGACGCTCACTGTGAGGCATTACCAGAAATGAATCCAGACTATGGTAATCGAGCCTTGCGAGCTGATGCTCACCACTGCTGGTGATTCGAGCATGAGCAATAAGTAGGATCAATATCATGAGTGGAGTGGGGCCACAACTGTAGCCCTTGGGTATTTGTTTGAATGTGTGGTATGATCCTTGATATCTACGATATCCGGAAATGAGTGGAACAAAACTGTGAGCAAATGAACAGATGATAGAGCATAAGGAAGACCGACACAAGTAGACTATAGTCGCCAAGACTTCATTATGTCCTGTATGATGTTCGTGCAGGCTGGCAGTCTTTCAACTCAAAGATGATAACAATCTCCATGAAGCACCCGATGAGACTTCGAGCACCAAAGCAAGCAGTAAGCAGTGAGATGGTCGAGAGAAGGAGCTGTTGAGGAGCTGAGGATGAGCGCGTGCATTGCGCGTCTCAGGCTCAGCCTCGTGCATTGCTTCCATTCCCACCGAATTGATGTGGCGGCACTGTATATAATGACCCTCGAGCGTTCGCACTATTCTCTTCCTTCAACTCTCACCTCTTCATGATCCATTTCACAGATTCTCCTTGACATGGCACAAGACAGACATGGCTGTATTATATTCAAGTACACTCTGGCACTCGAAAGCCAAGTAGTCAGTACATTGTGATTGGAGATCATACTCGTACGTTACAATCCCCGGCATCTTTTCAAACTTTTCTGACTCCGTCCGACTTTATCTTCAGTCCCAAAACTGCGGCCTTTACCGGTATCTGCCTGTGCACCGTCATCGCTAGCCTTTTCCAGCTTTTTTGCTCGTTGTACAGCCCTCTCTCCACTCTCCCATTCCTCCTTCCAATCAAGCCAATCTGCTCTGACTTCCGCATGTCTCGGAGGGAGCTTTTTGACGAGATAGGGTGGCGGTGGTTGTGGTACAAAACTGTCCGTCTTTTTCAGCTCCTCGCGGAGCAATACCGTCCAGTCAAACATGGCCTGCCATTCAGCTCGCGCGGTGTTCGTACATTCCCAGGCGAAATCGTGATCCTCCGAGAGTTTTTCGCAACGTGCGATGAGGGCTGCGCGAGATACGTATGGCTCTGTAAAATCTCTCATCATCGCATGGGTTGCATCTTCATCAGCATTGGGTACGCTGATTTCGTCGTGGCTAGGTGCGATCTAATTGGCCGGTCATTCAGACGTCTCTTGTCAGTATGCATCATTGACTCGAACAGTTATCAGCACGGTACCACCTTAAGTTTGCGAGTCACTGGGATTGTCTCGTTGACGACAGCCCTGTGTTGCACACCAAGTGTGTTATTATTGTCTAAAGCTTATGGAAAGTCAAATGAGTTCTTGTGGAGAGCGCAGTCAGCCAGGCAAACTCTCACCTGCCAAGTCGGGCTCAGACTTGATGGTGTTCTCGACAAAGTTCGAGCTTGCCTCTGTGGCCTTTTGGAGGAGCCGGCGCCTTCGGCGCTCCTGCTTCCGCTGTTCTTCTTCTGCCTGGCCAGGTGCCACAGACCAACCGGAACCTAGGTTGGCCTGTATTCAGCTCGGGACTAATACACTTACCCAAATAAATTGTGGCCATTACACTTACTCTCAGAATAAACCTCAGACTCAGAGTCGTACTTCACCGCATCTTTATCATCAGAGAACAGTGTAGCTTCTGGGTCTTGCGAGTAACCCTGGCCGTAGTTGTTGTCCTCCCACTGTGTTTCGGTGGTTTGGCTGTGGTCATTACCACCCGGCTTGAGCGGCCTTTTGTATGCACGATTGTTTGGCAAGTGCGGTAATATGCATGCAGAAACTTAACACGGCGCACCTTGCTTGATTTTTGAATTGCTGCTCGGAGACATAGCGCAGCTGATAATTAGACAGGGTTAGGGTGTTGTCTTGTGAGCCCTCGTATTCATCCTCGGAGGACATCAGGCTGGAAGTTGCATGCAAGAAGGTTGATCGACTGTTGATGCCACCACAGTCAAATCTTCGTGTTGCGCGCACTGGTCACGTGTCACGAATCAGTGGCGTTGTGTGCACTTTGTGTGTGGCGGCGCTTCCTTCAAATTTCAGTCTCACTGAACGCTCCCCTGATCCCTGGAGTGAAAAATGTACAACATGCATATTTGGTTGCTACGCTGTTTTATGTCCGAAAAACAACCTCCGTAAATATGCTGCATTTGCAGCTCTTGACTCTTCGGAGACATCATTCCTCCGCCTTCGACCTCCTACGTTGTTCTCCTCTCCTTCTGCCTCTTCTTCTGGTTGTGTAACCTTGTTTGCTTTAGCAAGCAATGCCTGTGCTCTCACCTCACGGTGGATCTGGTCTAGTACTTCAGCAGTAGGAGGTGGTTGGTTCATCCTAAACATACAGCAGCAATCAGCCGTTGTGTGCCATAGTATGAGGCCCGTGATCAGACTTACGCAGTATAATGGTCCTTTAGTCGGCCAATTAAGTCATCCTTCTTCCCTCCGACCCGTAGGTTCTCTCGCCGGCAGAGTTCTTTCAGAGCATCGTTCGTGCACTTTTCGCTGAATACACACCGTCAGTGTTTATGGATTTGCATAAATAAACAAAGAAGTGGGCTCGAACGCACATTGTCATGATCTGCGGCCGGACAGCTTTAATCTTACCAGGTGTCTTACGACCCGACACAACAGAATCAAAAATGCGGTCAAAGACCTGGTCGTCACCTGAATGTTCAAGTTGTGGCCATGCACCACTATCCTCATCGCCCACTGCTGTGCCGTCCTGTCCCACAAACATACTTTCCAAAACATCCACAAACTCCTCGTCATCCTGAATATTAGCTGTCACGTCTTCGCTGACAGCGGTGTCTCCTGTTCTTGGTAACGGAGGTGCACCTGCTCGGCCCATTACCTTGGCCATGAGAAGGTTCTTCTTCTCTTCAATCTGCTGCTGTTTTCTATCCCTTAGAGATGCAGCGGCAGTTCGTCGTAGCAATGCAACATCGTTGATCTTGAAAGAGTAGTGTCGAAGGGGGATAGGAAGAGCTGAAGTGATGTGCTTGTGATTATGAAGTGACGCTGTATTCAAGACGAAGCGTGTTTGATTGGTGTGCTCGAGAACCATGCGGGACTGCGATGTCAGAGTGCGCTCTTGAATGCGTGGCACAGCACGAGTAGCGAGGCAACCTCCATGATGGCAGTCATGTTGAACATTGACGGTACAGACAAGGTCCTGATTGCAAGTTGGTCTTTGTAAGATAGGCATTGATTTATTGGGTGATTCTTTCGACTCACCGATGCGGAAAGAAGAACATGATCATTGCTAACCGTCAAGATTGGCTTATCCAACAGAGCATGGAGTTCGTCCGACAGATCAAAAAGCTGTATCAGGGCATGGACGTCTAATGATGGCTTTGTGTGTTTCGAGCACATAAGAAGCTCCTTGACCATGCCAAAGCGGAGTGGTGAATACATTCCCTGAAGAGACATCGAGTCTTTGAGGATTGGATTCAGTGGACGGACAAAAAATGGCTACGCACACCTTCCGAACGACAAATGACCACAGATCCACACTTAGCATTATCGCCTGATTGAACGGTCAGATCGCGAGGCTGTGAGAACATCTGGTTGCCTATGGTGTATGGTCGGAACGTTGCTGGCAAACGGATAGAAGGGATGACTCCCGCTACCAATAATTGTGACCATGGCATAGGTGATGGCTGCTTGCGCACATCTCGTTTGGTGTACCAAGAGATGTCACCTATCGTTTCACTGCATAATCAGCTGATAAACCAAAGTCTGTGTTTCTTTCTCACTTACCCGGTGAACGACGATTGGTGACCGGAAGACCAAGCAAGGCTGCATGCTCAGGATGGACAAGCATATGCCGAAGGACCGCTGGACCAGCGCGGATCCAGCGCTTTGTGTGACGGTCCTGCCAATGTCCCCCTGTAACGATGTGCTTGATACAGTCCATGCCAGCAAATGACCATGCAATGTCCCGACTCGGAGCCGCTCGATTACTATGGATTGCCGCTGCTCGGAATACTGCATTGTAAGACTCATAGCGCTCAGTGGAAAAAAGAACCGCAGGTCCAAAGCGCAGGATGAATGCAGGAAGATGTACGAGAAAGTGAAATTTGGGTTTGGTGATGAGAATGGAGGGGCTGCACTGGGCAGTGACATTGAGGAAATCGTCTATGCATTGCGTGAGGTCCGTCTAGCACACGACAAAGCAGCTTCATGAGCAAAGGAATCAGAAAAGAATGACAAAATTCCGCACAATATATGTCTGCATGTCGTCAATCTCGGTATGCCATAGGAGCACGATGAGCCGTCCAATAAGATTCCATGCATCCAAAACCTCGCGAGGAACAAGATCATAAACGGTGAACGCCATGACTTGTGCAATTGTCTTGAAATGCTTGCCGATAAGTCCACCTCGATATTGACACATGTAATCACCAGAGATCTTCGGGATGTTCAGTCCATCTTCAATAATGGAGTTGAGTCGAGACTGAAATAGTGGTACTTGTTTAGTTTTGTCAAGCAGCCACATCGTCTGACCCCAGAAGTACTTGACAACTCCAAGTAAAACGGTATGAAGTATTTCCGTGGGTGTATCCTTGTGTATATCAAGACCTTTAGTGAGAAAGGACATGTTATAAGCATTGATATGACTACAAACCGACTATAACTGCTGAAAGATGCAAGGAAGACATACCATTCATGTCTAGTAGCGGGTTCATCACAGCACCCTTCGCATGTGCCTTGCGCAACTCCTCCGTTAAAATTGACTGGACTTCATCAGGAGTATATGCCGCACGATCAGGAGAAGCTTTGCGTAGCTGTTGGCCAAGTCGAACTAGCGAGTCGATGATTGGTTGAGCAAGCTGGTCCTTGAGGCCTGATTCCTTTGCAGCATCATCAAGAGCAGTGATGACATTTGGCTCAAGGGATTTTAGAAACTGTTGAAATACATGTTCCTGAGTTTCACCGTATTGACGGGGTTCACCTCCCTGTAATCACGGGTTTAGAAAATGAGATGATAGATGTTAAGGTGTGAATCTACCAGAAAGATGCTGCTGAATCCGGCATCCGAACGCTTATACTCCTGTGATCCGCCCACTTTGCATGTGCGGCAAAAGCAGTTCGCATTCAAGCCGGCACTGTTGCAAAGCTCTGCCTGCATCGGATTATCACCAGCAACAAATAGGGGATAGACTCGGATGAGGCATTCTTCCTGAGCATCACAATCGTATGCCACAACTGGCTCGACGAAGGTGCGCCTGATTTGTAATCAGTAAATGAAGCAAACTACGGACATAAAGTAGACGGACTCAATAGAGGATCGTACTCCATGCATAATCTCCAGCGGTGATGCATGTGGAGATGTTGCCACAAAGCGAACATGGAATTCTTGCATCAACTTCTCTCTAGGGAGCGCACCGTTGGACATATAACACGCCCAATGTTTGTTCCACTGCTTAGAAATATTGCCGGACACATCATCAATAAAGATAATGATTGGAATGGAATAAACTGGATGTGTCCCAGCTTTTCGTCGTAGAGGGTGAGGCATTTGATCACAGAGGCTCTCAGATGAAGCTATGAAAAATGTCAGCAGGTTATAAGAAAATCAAGCAGACGGAACGCACACGCAAAGGGATATATTCCTGAGTTAGCGCTAAGAATTTCTTGTATATTTGCCGTGAATGTTGATACTGGTACGGCCGCCTCTGTCTCTGTCTCTACCAGACCGTCCTAAATATCACTGAGGAAGTTGTACGAAAGAATGATGAAAGTGATCACGTACTGCAGTGTCCTCTACATGATTTCCAAAAGCATACATTGTGCCATTGCGAGAGAACCATCGCTTAGGTATGAACCAGCGGCCAGGTCCGCGTTTCACCAGTTCACCGACATAAAATATGCGCCCACCAAACTTGACCATAGGTGTCAATACCCCGTCGGCGACTTCTGATAAGACCTTCCGCCCATGCCATACTTGGTTTACTCCGTCAGAAGGCCATTCCGGATAAAATGTCATACTTGGGCGAGTTACTGGGTTTGAAATGTCCTGGAGATATCAATCAATAATCATTATAAGTGGTTAGATACTGTGAAGCAAACTTCAACCAACCAACCTTCTTTATAGAATCACCAATCTCATTCAAATACCATACATTTCCCTGAGCAGACACTTCACGACGTGTAGGACTGCCGAGTTCATCTCCAAGTGCACTCTGAAATTTGTTGTAGGTATGGTATGATGGAGACGATGCACCAAGCTCTCGTGCCCAGGATAATATGGCCTTTTGCTGGGACCGGGAGAATCGGAGCCGTGGTGAGTTGAAGAGGACACTTGTCAGAAACAGCTAGTACAATATTGTCATATCAGCTATGAGATATGAAGTGAAAATTAGCACAGGGTATGTACCGCCTTGTCAGGGTAAGGGAACCACTCTTCAGCATGACTTTCCGGTCCAAACCACCGTTTCAATAAATCTGCAGAGGATACCCCTTTCGAGCCACCAACAAAAGATCAATGCGGACTCAGAGCTTTGCATCTTGAAATTGTCCTGACCTTTTGCCTTCCCATTACCTCCAGCAGGATCATCGTCCTCACCGTCAATCTCATCATCATCACAATCATCCCAACCCTCATCCTCAAAGACAGGTGGAAGTCGCTCTGTTTCTTGCAGTCCAGCACCATTATCACTGCGAAGTGCACTGGCAAAGGATTCTGCAAGAGGGTCTACGGGATCCTCTCCTGCAGAGAAGAGTACTGGCCTTCCCTCCGCGTCTATCCAGCGGAAACTATCCTCAAAAGCATGGGTCATAGAAGGCTGTGGAGTGGGAGCTTCATCGGATGGAGGCGCCATATGAACATCGAAGGACGAGTCGACTACACTGAATATAAGTCGACATGACAATGACAAGTATTCTCATACAGCATACCGTTAACATCCATGGCCTCTGTTGTCGGTGGGCCATCTTGTTTGTCATCTTGAGCCTGTGGCACTGCTTGAGCTTTCGCATGCTTCCGCTGATGGGCTTTTGCATAAAGCTTGTGTTTTGTTGAGCTATCATGGCTGCCGACATTCCTATGCTCAATCCACATCGAGGAAGGGCAGACCTTGCACCGTGCAGATGAGCCGTCCACTTCATAATCTGTGTGGCGGTACGGCGGCATTCAGTCAACGGTCAACTTGAAGCAAGTTACCGAAAAACAATCTCAAGACGCACTACTCCACTGTACAGAGTGTTTTTGACGTGGTTTCCACGGTGTCCAACCGAGCTTCATGATATGCTTGCTTCGGGTATATGCGTGGTTGTCAGGAAGAAATGCAATCGAGCAAACAGGACTCAGACTCAGACGGTGAAGTTCAAAGCGCAGGCAAAGCGCAGGAGGTGGCGACGCACGTGGCCGGCCCGGTTCAGATGCCTGCCTTGATGGGGCCCCGCTCGTCGAGTTTGCTCCAATGTTGGCTTTGATGATGAGACCAATTGGGAGCCACTTACAAGGAGCAGAGGTCTACAATATTCGACTACAGTACGATGCACATGTTGTATACGATAGAAACAGAGGTTGGAGACCCCCGAGTAGTACATATTCTCTGCGACGCAAATTCAACGCGTGTCCACAATGTGGCTCGGCGCCGCTCCAACTATATCACTTTCGAATCCCGAGCCCGTTTTGAACCCAGACGGCCGTGTAATCTAGATGATGTGACGGTTTCAGGGAACAGTACGGAACCCAACCAAAACGCAACCCCATCAAAGTCTGCTTTACAGTCCCTGACGCTATGTCGAGTCTCCTTTCCGGCATCCTCCCGACGTCATCTGCATATGCATTCGACTATGGTCCTCGCACCGCCCCGCGCACGCGTTTTCAATTCCGTTGGTCTCTCGAACACGAAAAACTTATCTCCGATCTCCTGTTCAAATATAAAGGGACTGGCATCATTGTCGTTCGCTACGTCGTTTCTCTTCCTTTGAGCATCACCGCTTCTATATAGCGTACTCTCTTTCCTCCGCTTCATCCTCTCTTTCGCCCCAATCACTATACTCAACACAAGACGTGGCAATGTCTGAAAATCTCTCTCTCATCCAACATCCATGTGCGTTATGCTTCAAACCCACTTCCATGTGGTGCAGTCGATGTCAAAATGCATGGTATTGCTCCCCGGAACATCTTAACAGCGTGAGCTTTCCCTTACTCTTCCGTCAGCATCGTACAGGAACACTCAGAGCTATCTGTGTACTGTGTACCCTGTTATAGGATTGGGCAAGGCATCGCCGAGAATGTGTTCCTGTGGCACCGACTCAGCAACAGTATGGGATCATCGCCACCCCGCCACCGGCTCAGACCCAACTCATTACAGTGTCGGCCATCTTGTTTGCCCCTGAAGAAGGTTCGTCTCCTTGTGCTTATACCTCCCATGGGTACGGTCCACTCATTCAACTCTGCTTATATATCATAGAGAAACCGCGCACCATCACGCTCAATTGCCAGCCGCCACAGACCCCGTCGCAGGGCATTTGTCCTACCCCACTCGTGCAGGATTACTTTGTGGGCGGACAGGCCAACAGTGTTGTCCTGACCCAAGGGCTCAACGGCGAACCTTTGCGATTCCCCTTACACTTGTTCTACTCCCCCGTCTCGCTTTCAACAGGTGCCCCCATCAATCGCGCCATCTACCGCATAACGTCGGGCGCAGCCCCTAAAGCGTGGTGTGGCGCCGTCGTCGTCCTCAAGTTCAACGGCTCTCGTAGACAAGGTTACTCCGATGCAGGCACGAATGACCTCCCAGCGCTTTCCGCGTACTTTCTAGCTTACAAATAAAAGGTTCTTCGCGCTCGGTTCGTCTCAGTTTATCTCTTCCATCCGTACCCGTATGCTTTCTGGCTGTCGACACATGGATGTCTGACTTTCTGCTCTTACAGCTTCCCAAAATATACGGCGCATTTCCCGATTCTTCGTCATATTTCTTCCATTCGTCACGTTGCCTTGCCTACAATATATTAGCTCGTAATATTCAGTGCATCACAAAAATACTAGTAATACTAGTAAACTACGTGCGAATGGGTCACCACTGTACTCTTCTTAACGTACAATCAAAGGCAGTTCTTCAATTCACAGTGGTTCTCATCTTATAATTCCCCCGTTTAATCTTCACATCAACGAGTGGCGAGTGATTGGACATACAATATAAGAGTGACAGTCGCTCGAAACTCACTCCGCAACTCACATCCGGCTGGCCCCCGTCACTCGTGGTGGATACAACAGGCATGTTTAACAATTCTGTGATTCCTGGCTTCACTCTTTTCCTTTATCGACCGGAGACAATCTACATACAATCACGAACCATCACCCAACTTTACCGACCCTGCAGCATTGTGGGACTCCCCGCTTCGGCTATTACAAGTGATTGGCGATCGAGCGCTTTACTTGCGGGAGTCCCTGTCGATCAAAGCGTAGAACGCCGGGTTGAGCAAACGAAACATGAGCCTTCTGGTTTCTACATATATAGATAAGTTCCTACCAAAGGCGACCCGAGGGATGATCCACATACTACGCAAAGCCGTCGAACGCCAGGCCTGTATTTTTGTATACTTAGCAGTCATCGCTATCACTTTCTCCCTTATCGTTTGTGAGCTGTCTTCGAATCTGCTCGACATAGATTTTGGTATTAGACATAGAATTGCCAAAGAATTGCACGGGTAAGTTTGAAGCTTTGAAGACCGCACGGCGCAGAAGACCGCTCCAAGGAAACGGTGTGGCACCCGCGGAATTGTGCGTGATCGGAGTTGATCTGAGTTCAAATCTCCTAATAGTTTCAACTTTCGGCACTCCTTTCTTCGTTTTGTGGCGACTTCGACGTAGCCTTATCCTATACCATACACGCCTTCGAGCGCCATTACAGTTGTTATTGTCATTTTGTCACGACTTTGAGGTCTCTGGAGCTCGTTTTATGACCACCAACGAAACGCCAATCCTTCATACAGCGTTGAAGATCCAGACTGCTGTAGCTCAACCGGACATACACTCACTACAATGGGGTGGTGACGGACAATTACTCTTTCTCACAAAAACATCTATATATATTCTGGTAAGTGCTGCTCTTACCACTATCAGTACTGTGAAATAATTCTCGAGCAAAAAACGCTGCCTAGACCCCTGACTTAGGTGTCAATTTCGACCCCTCTTCTGCCTTCAAGGCGCCTCAGATCAAAAACACTGAATGCGCCAAACCGCTGGGGTGGCACAAAACAATAATCAAACATGATAAAAACATTGTTTCCCAATGGTCAGCGGAATCTCAAGGTAGGTTCTTCCTTAATGCCCCCCCGTTGCAAATTTTGTCTAATTGCCTGTCAAAAAGAATGGGGAGCCGTGGCATTAGGATCGCTGGATCTTTCCCTACGAACTGTCAGCGTGTCTCCTAGTAATCTTACGGCTGATGCAGGGTATATACCTTCTAGAACGACCTACAGAGGAGTCGAGTCTGACAGCATTGCTTTAGTTGTGTCTTAGCCGTGGTCACGACCAATCTAGAGCTCTCCATATGGAGTGCTGTAAAAAACCATCTTACAGGACAATGGGCAAAGGAAAGGAAGACTCATACTCATATGTGCCGTGCTTATGCTCACTCGTGGGTCTGCAGATCGCAGACGTGACCCCGTTTCTCATGACAATCACCAGTCAATCGGGCTCGGATATGCAGCGGACTCTTGAGGCACAGACGACATGTGAGTGAGGACTGTGAACATCTTCGGCAGAATGCCACACTGACCGTAGCTGAACCTTAGCTGCCGCTTGGTCTGGCCAGCCGGACTTCGGTATCGTACCAGCGCCACAATGTGATGGGTCTCTTTTGGCGGTGGGCACGCGGGCAGGAACTCTCATCCTCCTCAGGTGAGACGACTATATATTGGATGGGATCATCGCTCAGCATGGGTCTTCATCAGGTTTGATAGAGACGCAGATAGTCACTTCGAGCACATTGCGTCCATCTCAATCACGGAGCGCTGGATTACCAGTGTGGCCTGGACGCCATGGAGACTATCGGATACCGGAGAATGTTGGTAACCATTTGGGCTCCCTTCAAAGATTTGTTGGTGACCAAAAGTACTAGGCACGGGGACCCTAGCTTGTGCGGTCTCTGACGGATCAATCAGACTTCTCGAAGTGAAGCAGACCCTTGAGCAAGCAACGACCTCGGCCCAGTCACATCGACTGGAGATCGCTACTGCTGTTCTCGACGACTGTCCCAGTCATCCTGACAAAAGGAGCATTACAGGAATATCGTGGGTGCAGGTGGCATCTGGCAACGTCAGTGTCATTCATTGATGCTATCGCGTTCTTGTTTGACCTCTTCATCTTGGTGTAGGCGATCCTCGTACACGCTAAACCCGGAATCGTCCACCTATGGTCTCCTGAGGATGGTCCTGGAGCTTGGTCTGGCTCCCGAGAGTTTGTGCTTCGCACTCAAAAGGTTTCCGCAAGTACTTCTCCTTTTTACCCCATCACAGGCATCGAATATGTCGAAGGGCGCGATTTGTTGTTACTATCACTATTCGACGGCACATTTCACGTCATTCACCACGTCTCACTTGAGCCAACTATGACTCCGGACGAAACCGAGTTTACGTCCGAACACATGTCTTCTCTTGCTCGCGCAACATTTACTCGGACAGAAGGAGGTGCAGTCACAAAGGCAGATATGAACAGGATCAGTGGCATAGTTTCTTACGACGGATTGTCTGCAGTAGGATGGGTTCACGAGTGAGTCAAACTGTTGTCAACTTTCGAAGCTGGAACATCTCACCACGGGTTTTTAGTGCATGTTGCCCATCGGATTTTAGCTTTAAACACGAAGCAAAAATGCAGACCACGTTCGTTGTGGCGGAGATATGGTCGGAGCCCACTGACGAGCGGATTATGGACGGGCTGAGGAAGACTTTGCTTAACTCGAAGGCTGGTATGTACCAGAGCAAAACGTTATTTGATCCATGTCTCACTGACTGGGTCATGAAGCTGCTGGTCGGGCTCCCATCGACTTGCTGCGTGCTACGTTCTTCAACTTGACGAGACCAGGGAAATTGAACGCCTTACATCACCGTATCCTCAAGGCTCTAGAAGTTCCTCCAGAAGATGATGGGTTGTCGTTGGTCGTGCAGCCGTGGTCAGACGATCTCACACCACACATTCGCTCGCATTTTCGACGCAACTTGGAGGAACATTTGTTTGGCTCTGATAGCCTCTTATCTCTTCGTCTTAGGCTTGCCTTGGCCGACTTCTCCTGGGTAGTACATTCCACTAATATTGTTTCTCATTCTGTAGTCTTTATCATCGATTCAACTTACTCATTAACCTGTATGTCAACAGAAATACGCAGCAAATGCGCAAGCGCAAGCGGAGTGTGGCGCGGTGGCCCAGACACTGCTTAATACCATCTCGCATCGCGTACTACGGACACTTCTAAAGCACTTGACTGCAGTGGCCGGCCTTGTTTCTCGTAAGCCTGTCATACGCGCGGAGGGAAACAGTCGTAGCTCATCAAATGTGCAGATAGCGATGTTCCTTTCGTCCTGCGTGTGGTCGTACAATCATTGCTCCCAGGAACACCACCCTCTCTGTCGGCGATGGCTCAAGAACTTTCCACTCTTGTTTCGACCTCTGTACCAGAACTGGCCGCAGAGACACAAGATCCGAGCATGGGACTCCAAGAAAATTGCCCCGCTTGTGGAGCCCGTGTTCCGCTAGAGGACATCACCAGCGCGGTCTGCCCCAATGGTCACACATGGTGTTCGTCCAGCTCTCCCAATATCCTAGAGTCAATATATCAACTGATAAATCGCTTTATGCTTGCTTTTGACACGGGACTGTCTGCTACGAATTCACATGCTAGCTCGATGCTCCATCACCTCGTTCATACTGTCGACGCCCATGGTCCGGACGTGTATCGGCTGCACCCGCAAAGCATTCCTCCCACCCTTGATCTCCTCCGGGCACGCCGACCCTGTCACGTCCGAAGTAACACCTTGGTTGCCAGACGCTGCAAGGGGCTGGGTGGTAGAAGAGTTGTTGAAAGCTGTTCGTCGATGCCTATTTTGTGGCAATCGATTCGTGAGCGTGGTTTAGGGAGGGGTTTGGGTCTTGCTCAGGTGCAACGCCTAACTCGAAGGTCCACTGCGTAGCTATTCGTGATCCCCTCGTGTACTCGTAATTCCAATACATGTTGTTTCAATAGCAGATCACCAAGGTTCTCTGTCAGGATCGCGCAGAAGAATACAACACGTAGTAGGCAAGACTATGAGCCTACTTGTGTGCATTTCGCGAAGCTGCCTTTTCATGTCACGCAGAACAAGATGTTGCATACCGAGGCAGCATTGACAATTCCCATTGCAGTACATTTGAGCACGCATCGCACCCGGACCACAAGAACACTGAACTTCTCCTTCACATACTCTAAGCCAGCTTCCCTCCCCGGTTCTTGGTAATCGAAATGTTTTCGAAAGATCGTTATGACACCAGGGATTGCAGGGCGACGAAGTTCGGCGTACCGAGACCAGTAACTGAAAAATAGGAAAGTTATGTGAGCAAGACCATACTTCGAGATACGGTGGCCAGACACAGAGCCATATTCGTCGCAAAATGGCTACTGCATCATACCCGGGACGTCAAGGACGCCGTGTTCCTTGGCCCACGCGTCGACGTCTAAAGCGCAAGCATGGCTGCTTAGGGCAGGCGAACGGCGTCAAAGCACCACGCCGTGTGAACTGAATGGAAGTCTTTCTCTCCAGACGGTCAAGTGACACCTGGACCATGCAGATGTCACTCAAAAATGGAGTCGCTGTCGATCCACGCTTCATGCATGGAAGTGACCGTCGCAAGTCTGTCGCTGTCTCGATTTGTTGTGAGAGGATGAAAATCAGACGAACCTGGATCCCATCCTGAACCTGGAGCCGACCATCGCATCGATCAATAACGAGAATAATCTGAGTGGCACTGCCAACGTACCTGCCGTGAAACCAGTGGTCCCGCATCCAGGATTCGATCCCGAGGTGATGTCCGTCAGGCCGGAGACCCCAGTGGAGTAGAGGAAGGGATTCAGGAAACCCAGCGGCGATTTCCCTTGCGAAATGAGGAAGTCGTTGAGGAGAGAAATAACGGCGGCGAACGTCTGCAGAAAACATAGGCGTTAACAACACTGGTAGGGCTCAAAAGGAAGATGCACTCCTGGATAAGCGTACCGGTGACGCGCAACTGGTGCCTGCGACATTTTCGGTTCGACCGCCCACAATAACTTGGAAGTTTTCGGCCTGGGCAGCAACGTCAGGGAAACCTAGGCCAGACAAATCAGATGCAGCCATGAAGACGATGGACTATCGGGGCACATACCTCGTCCAGTACGACTGTATGATAAGGACACCGCGACAAAGAATAGGTGGGAGGTCAGTATCGAATCATGCGAATATCGATAGTAGGCTGCAAAGACGGTCAAACTCACTTGAACAACCCTGCGAACTTCGTAGTGCCGAACTTTGTCAAGAACGTGGTGACAGCAGTATCCTGATAGCTAGGTCTCGCGAAATAGTTGGAGAACCCGCCACTCGACAAACTCGCCGCGACCTCGGGGTTCACCCTAGTCGTTCCACCCACAGAAGTGACGAAGGGGCCTTTAGGCAGACATAAGAGATTTAGAAGAATGAACTTGGGAAGGCGATAAAGTTGATGATTAGCAATACGCACAAGACGCCGGGAAGTTGGGTATGAACGCCTCGGCGCGTGAACCGTTGTTGGATTGGCAAGATCCTGGCCCAACGCCTGAGTCGCCGGAGCTGAAAAGGATCGACGTGCCCTGGGCGCCGAGTTGAGCAAACAAGTTGCAAACCTCTGTGGCGTAGTCGAGGGGGACGGTCTGCTCGTCGTCCTAGGAGAGGTATCAAAGTCATTGACACGTAGGCTTCATGAAGTACAAAAATGACCTACGCCATAGGAAGTGCTAATGGTCTGCGGAATAGTGGATTGGGCCAGGATGAAATCAAGCCAGTCGAGATAGGGCTCGTTCGTGTTCGTGGGCGTGTTCTGGTCGGCTATGAAGGGAGGAGAGCCACCGGTGCTATAGTAGATATTGGGCGTCGGGAAAGAGATTCCCTCAGCGTATTGGATATCCAGATTAGCCTAAGTGGTAAAGGCGACGTCAGTAAGTTGGCTATGCAGATGCACTATTCCGCACAAAAATACGTACCTCTACTCCAGGATCGTTCTGGTTGTTTTGACCGCCGTTGACTTCGACAGTCGTAAACGTCGCACTGGTGGCATCTGACCGGAATTTGGTCAGGAAGGTCTTCAAATCTGCGGTGTTGGCGAACTCCTCCAGATAACCAGCGATACCGAGGATGTTCTTGCTGGTGGCAGCGGGAGTGTAGGCGCTCGTGCTGTAGAGAGCCCTCAAGCAAGAAGGAGTGATGGTGGATCCGCAAGAGCTGGGCACGGTCGCGAGCGACGTGAGATTTCCAGTAGTCTGAAGAGCGGCAATCTCAGCTTGGAGGGCATTGTCTCCGTCGTCGAGGGTGGCGGCGTTCGGTTGAAGGAATGATGTGGCGCGCATGGCGCGGGTCGTTCCGAAATAGGTGGTCGGAGCGACGACCTTGATGTGATCATGAAGAGTTTCTGGAAGAGAATATTCCGTGCAACGC